ATGTCCGGCACCTGCAAGCCAGGGGGGGCTGTGGCTTGCATGCCCCCCCAAGCGGGCGGCGCTGGCGGTGTTGGGCCGGGGGGGGACAGCGGGCCTCAAAACGCACAGCGTCTGATGAGGGTTCCCGTCCCTTCCACGGGGGGCTGTGCTGTGCTCGGGGTTCGAAGTGCAGGCACCAAAACCCTGGGCCGGGCAGAAGAAGCCCACCTGCACTGCACTGGAGGCCGGTTCAGCGTTGAGCCAACGCCACCCTACCCAATGACGACAGCTCGAATGCCCTGCCCGTGATTGTGCTCCCACAGGTAATCGGTGGCCCGTGAGGTGAAGGAGCCGCCGCCGCCGCCGCCGCCGCGTCCTGCCACGGTCCCCAACTGCACATACCTAGAACCGACGGGAGCCAGGGCTGTGTCCGCATGAGGTGGCTTGTTGGACGACGTGAGGTGCGCCGCCCATACCCTCTGTGCATGTGCATGAGGGGCAACGCTCGCCGCGTCTTAAAGGGCTCCTCGTCATCACCACCACCACCACCAGTACCCTCGTCCAGTCGTTGCCTCTCTATTCAGCGTTTCCCCCTCTCGCTCCCATATATCGCACCTACAAAATTACGTGCACTCTCCTCTTTTCGTCTCAGGCCCAACAACGCGTCGCTCGCTCGCTCGCCACCTCGCTTGCTGCTGCTGTTGCTACGTACGGACTAAATAGCCGCGGCGTCCGCCAAGCTTCGGTGCTAGCTTATATTATACCTGCGACTCCGCTTCCATCCATCCTGCTGCCCACGCACGCGCGCGCGGCGGCCGACCGGTTCTTCTCGAAACCTATTAGCTCGCTCCCCGGTGGTGGTGCGGTGACAAGCTTACATACATACATTACCTTACTTGTCCCATCATCATCCAACACCACCACCTTTCTTCCACCTTGTGTTACCCCTCCTCACCCTCCTCCTCCTGCTCATCTTCCTACTTCCTCGCTCCGCCATTCTCCTCCCAACGAGTGAATATTCTCCGCGAGTCCCCCGCGAGACCGGCCAGTCACTCAGAGGCTCCTTGTGTTCCTCGGCATACCCATATACCTACCTACCGAGGCAGCCTGACGTCCGCCCACGACAACAGCTACCACTACACTCCTAGCATGGACGACTTCGCTCCGCCGCCGGGCCCCCCGCCGCCCAAGGCCCCCGACGTGCCCGCCGGCTGGGCCGCGCGCTGGAACGAGCAATACAAGGAATGGTGAGTATTCGTCTACCCTCCCCCCTCTCCCCCCTATCCTCGTCACCCGCAACCTGACGGGCGAACCGCTCGGGGAGCTTTCTAGCACTGGCACCGACACTGACACTCTCAAGGTTCTACGTCAACGTGTACACGAAAAAGTCGCAGTGGGAAAAGCCCACCGCGCCCGTCTTCCCCGTCGACGACAACGCCCCGGACGAGCCCCCGCCCGGCTACGAGCCAGCCGGCGCCGGCGCCACCGCCCCGACAGACACCAAGAAGAACCCCTACGAGGACCGCTCCGGTAACCACGGCGGCAACCTCGGCGCCGGGGGCGGTGCCGGCGGTAACCCCACGACGCCCGGCGCCGGCTCGTCCGCGCACCTCGACGAGGACGCCAAGCTCGCCGCCAAGCTCCAGGCCGAGGAGGACGCCCGCGCCCGCGGAAGCAGCGCCGGCCCCGGCGCCGGCGGTGCCGCTGCCTCCTACATGCAGCAGCCATCAAGTACCGGTGGCTCGTATCCCCAGGAGCAGTTCCCCACGGAGATGCCCCCGCGCGGCGACCGCGACCGCAGCAAGGGCGGGCTGCTGGGAAAGCTGTTCGGCGGCAAGGGCAGCAAGCCGCAGCAGGGCTACGGCGGCGGCGGATACTCGTCGCCCCAACCAGCCCAGCAGCAGGGGTACTACCAGTCGCCGCCTCCGCAGCAGCAATATGGTGGCTACGCGCCGCCGCCGCAGCAGTACGGCGGCTACGGCGGACAGCCCGGGTACGGGGGCGGCGGTCCCGGCTACGGCTACCCCCAGCAGCAGGGCTACGGCGGTGGTTATGGCGGTGGTTACGGAGGGTACCCGCAGCAGCAGCAGCCGCAGCGCAAGGGCGGCAGCGGCATGGGCATGGGCCTGGCGGGCGGCGCGCTCGGCCTGGGCGCCGGTGTGCTGGGCGGCGCGCTCATCGCGGATGCCATCAACGACCACGAGCAGGAGGCGTACCAGGAGGGATACGGTAAGTGGCTTCACCCTTCGCCCTGGAGTGGTAGAGAAGCTTTGGATCGCTAACATGAGTATCTACAGAGGATGGACAGGATGGTGACTTTGACGGCGGCGACTTTTAAGGTTGAGGGATGAGAGCGGCGCAGCAGCGTGGATGGAGCCGTGGGTAAGGGTGCGGGCGGGAGGTGTCGGGCCTCAGGAGTGGATGCGGTGGACAGGAGGCATGAGGGCAAACTGCAGGAGCACAGCTGGTTGGTGTTGCATACTCTAATTACCGTAGATGACGTGAAACGACGTTTATGAGGCACGTGTGGTGACGGTGATGGTGACGGTAACTTGAGCCCCTTGTCGGGACTATAAACGGATGCTACTATGTGGGCTGCTTCGTACATGTCTATATCTCATTGTTCCCCGACCTCATCAGTCCACGTGACACATACATGCCAAGTTCTCTCATGCAATCCTGTACAAATACACCTTTGCCACCCCATCGACTCACGCCGTCCCCCGGGCCCTCATCTCCTGACACCCTGGCTCTTCGACGCACCCTCGCCGCCGCCGCCGCCGTTGCCAGATTCCTTCTTCTTGGAGCCAGCCAGGAAGGCGGCCATGTCGAAGTCGCCGAGCGGGTTCTGGGGCTGCTGCGCGCCCTCGCCGCCGGAGCCGCCGCCGCCGCCGCCCATGAGAGCGGCCAGGCCGCCCTTGCGCTGCTGGGCCTCGAACTCGGCCTTCATCTCGGGGTCCACTGTAGGAAGGCACAGACGTGTTAGCGACGCTGCATTAGACCACGCACAGCGGGTGTGCAGGTGGCATTGGAGTTTGAAGAGAGCGCGGATATGCGCGAGGAAGACGTACTGTTGTCCATGAGGTACGGCATGCCGATGAAGATGAGCATGCTGACCAGACCCATGAGGATCATGGGGTTCTTGAGGATGCTAAGAACGGAGACTGCACAAGCGGTTAGCCAATTCGCCCCTTTCCCCCCTTTCATGTAGTCCAAGTCGACCGGCCGCGGGTAGGGGAGACAAACACTTGGGCCTCTCCATAAAGTAATTCTTCTTGCCCATCCAGCGGACATGCACGCCCCCACCCTCCGTCAAGGCCATCACCTCGCCCTTATTCCCCCAGTCATTGCCGCGAAATGTCTCCCACGCCTGCACAACCAGACGCGTGTCCTCGGCACCAGCACCAGCGTCAGCGTCGGCACCGCCGGCGACGGCAGGGGGGCCGACGTCCACGCGCAGCGGCCGGAACGCCTCCGTCGGGCAGTGCACGTCGACGAGGTACGAGCCCGCGCTAACGTTGCGGAAGACAAAGGTGTTGACGGTGGAGAGCGGCGCGGCGTGGTGCGCGCCCAGCGAGGAGAGCGTGGCGTGCGTGCTGGGCGGCAGCGTGAAGGGGTTGGGGCTCGTGGGCAGGATGAGCGTGATGGTCGTCGTGGTGGTGGCCGCCGTCGCTGCGGCGGCGAGCGCCGGCAGGAGGGCCAGCAGCAGGGATGGGAGTTGCATTGTCGGAGGGGTGCGCGCGTGGTCGGCGGGCTGGGTTGGATGGATGGAGGTGCGAGCGAGGCTGTGGTGATGCGGGATGACGAGCTGGAGGTGAGGTGAGGTGTGAGGTTCCAGAGCTAGCCGGCGCTGGCCAATCAACGAGGTCCATTGGGGTTACCCAGGACCCGCACATGCTTTGGGCTCTTTGAGCCTCTCGCAGCCTTCAACACCCCACTTCCTCAAGGCCAACGCGGACGGCTTGAACCTCGTTTACTTCACTTTGCAGCCCAGAACACGGGACAAACGAGATTACGAGCAGGGCGAGCAGCTTTCATTCAGCGAATTTGTTCATTTATTCGAGTCATCATGGGTATTCGAACAGCCGCCAACGCTCGTCAGTCATCACAGCGTCGTCATGCCGTCTAGCTCTAGGGGGCCACGGGCGCCTCGGCGTGGTCCTTGGACGTCACGCCGGCAGGCTTGCCCGCCTCGCCAGTGGTGGTGGCCGCGGAGGCCGCCTTGAAGGACTGCTCAAAGTCGGCGATAATGTCGTCGATGTGCTCGATGCCGACCGAGATGCGGATCAGGTCCTTGGTGACGCCGGAGCTGGCCTTTTCCTCGTCGGAGAGCTGCTCGTGGGTCGTGGACCAGGGGCTGCGCCGGCAGTCAGTCTTCATGGTTCATTACACCAAACGAATTGAGGAAAGGGGAGGCTCACTGGATGGCGAGCGTCTTGGCGTCACCGACGTTGGCCAGGTTGGAGATGAGCTTGAAGCCGTCAACGACCTGGCTGCCGGCCTCGGCAGTACCCTTGACGCCGAAGCTCAGGACGCCGCCGGAGCCCTTCTTGAGGTACTTCTTGGCCGCCGCGTGGTAGGGGTGGCTCTCGAGGCCCGGGTACGAGACCCAGCTCACGTAGGGGCTCTTCTCGAGGTACTTGGCGAGGGCCAGGGCGTTGCTGGCGTGGCGCTCGGCGCGCAGGCTGAGCGTCTCAATGCCGAGGAGCAGCTGCTGAGCGGCAAAGGGGTTGAGGGCGGCGCCCAGGTCGCGCAGGATCTCGACGCGGGCGCGGATGATGAAGGAGATGGCGCCGAACGTGTCCCAGAACTTGAGGCCGTGGTAGCCCTCCGAGGGCTCGACGAATTGGGGGAAGCGCTTGGCGTGCTTGCCCCAGTCAAACTTGCCCGAGTCGACGATGACGCCGCCGATGGTGGTGCCGTGGCCGCCGATCCACTTGGTGGCCGAGTGGACGACGATGTCGGCGCCGTGGTCGATGGGGCGGATGAAGTAGCCGCCGGCGCCGAACGTGTTGTCGACGACGAGGGGCACGCCGGCGTCGTGGGCGACCTTTGCGATGGCCTCGAGGTCGGGGACGTTGTAGCGCGGGTTGCCGATGCTCTCGACGTAGACGGCCTTGGTCTTGTCGTCGATGGCGGCGGCAATGTCCTCGGGCTTGTCGCCGTCGACGAACTTGGTCTGGATGCCCAGGCGCGGGAGGAACACCTTGAACTGGTTGTAGGTGCCGCCGTAGAGGTTGGACGTGGAGACGATGTTGTCGCCGGCGTGGGCGAGCGTGTTGATGGCGATGAACTGGGCGCCCTGGCCGGACGAGGCGGCGAGGGCGGCGACGCCGCCTTCGAGGGCCGCGATGCGCTTCTCGAAGACGTCGACGGTGGGCTGTCACGGGTTCGGAGTCAGCGGCTCTGCATACGCCCATCAAAATGTGAGTGGGGGTTCTGAGCTCACGTTCATGATGCGGCTGTAAATGTTGCCAAACTCCTTGAGGCCAAAGAGCCTCGCTCCGTGGGCCGAGTCATTGAAAGTGTAGCTCTGCGACGCTCGTGAGCCCAATTGGCCTCTCCGAGGGTTTGTACTTTGCATGTCATACCGTAGTCGCATAGATGGGCACGGCCCGCGACTTGGTCGTGGGATCAGGCTCCGCGCTGTGGCACCGCAAACCTCAAGTCAGTACACTTTCTGGGAAAGCCCCAACTACTGTCGAACCCCTCCCCCGCCAGCCGCCAGGACAATTCGACTTACCCCGCGTGGAGCTGCAGCGTCTCAAAGTTCTTGCTCAGATCAGACATTGCGGCGGTGGTGGTGGTGGTGATGGCAAGACGGGCTTGAAAGGTCGAGGTCGTCGGGAGCTACAATAAGGCCCAAGACTACCTATGAACGAGGATGGAGGAGGAGAGGGTGTGAACGGGAGGAAAGGAGGGGAGGAGACCAAAGAGATGGAGGAGGACGGACGGGAGAAAAGAGAAGAGACGAACCACTCCCGTCGTCGTCTGAGACCCTACTGCCGGCACCGGCAGCCCAGCTGCAATTGCGTTATTGCACGCCCCCTTCACGCCAGCCGGGCAAGCCATCCAATGCTTGACGGCACCCGGACACGCGCTGAGGTGCTTGCTCTGCCTCCCCGCGCCCGCCTACAGGCACCTACTTGCAGCACAGCTGTAGCTCTCTCCCAGCCGGCCGGGCGGTGGCGCCCCAGGTTGATGGAGGGGCAGCCACGGCTAGACCTAGGGTCGGGTCAGGTATCGGCGCCGCGACAGTGGGGGACAAGGAGGGGTCCCAAGCTCCCCAGTGGCCCGCCCGGCCGCCCGCGCAAGCGAGCACGCAAGCACGCCATCGCCGCGACGGCGCTCGCGTCATCACGGCTAAACAGCAGGTGTCGTCGAAAAAGGTCGGGCCACTGGAGGGGAGATGTTGGGATGTTTGGAGTTTGACACAGCGATGGGAGCGCGTCTAGATTCTACCTAGGTACGCGGGTGTTGGACCGTTGGAAGAAGAAACGGCGCTGCTGCTGCTGCTGCTGCTGCTGTGCGAGTACCGCTGCAGTATCACAGTGGCACGGGCGGGTAGAGTCGAGGTGAGGTGAGGTGCCCTGCCGCATCTGCGGTTGAAGAGCCTCATCGGCGCGGGGTCCGTTTCCAGTTGATCCACCGCACGCCTGTGACAGCTGCTTGCGGGGGCGCCAGCCAGACAGACAGACAGGTGGGAGGGGCGCCGAAGGCCGGAGCTTTTTGGAGGGGCTTACACCACAGTACGAGTACAGCGCAGCACAGCACAGCACAGCACAGCACCAACACGGGCAGTGTGGATGGGGGCTGGAGGCTGGACGCGCGTGGGGCGCCGCCATCCATCCATGAAGTACCTACTCGTAGGTGCGCTGTGGCACGCTCGGCGCGTGGCGTGCTCGTGTCCCGGTCGGGCGGGCTGCAGGCGGGAGTCAATGCAGGCCGCAGAGAGCCCTGGAGGTGTGTGTGTCCCCGCCGCCCGTGTTTGTGTGCCGGCCGACGGCCCGGCAGTGTCAGCGGAGGGGACTGCCGACAGCCGCCGGCTTATTGCCCTGTTCACTTCAATGTAGAATAATCCAATATACCACTGGCTGTCATTTCATGCATATGTAGGAGTGTGACACGATGATAGGAAGAGCATTCATGTCCTCGTTACCGCCAAGCTGCCAGCAGCACTTTGTCCGCGGCCAGTAACCACCTCACGTGCACCATGCCATCAATTACCACGGAAGTTATTCACGATCTGAGCACCAAAGGGGCCACTACCTGGCTGTACCAAGACCTCGTCCAAGAATTCATTCTGTAATGATATACCCGCTTCTTTCGTATCCCTTCTCGGGCTGTCATGTCCGGCCGTCTGTGTCCGTGTCGTGTACATTGTCTCGTCGCACGCAAACGCTCCCGCGCATTGCGCACATCTGCCTGCCTGGTTCTCTCGCCTCCATAGCTCTGCTAGGGGTCAGATAACACATCGCCATAGCTGCAGCCGCAACCGTGCAATGTGAAAAGAAGATGCCTCCCGCCATGCGTACACGTCCGTCGTCGCTCGCCCGGGTCGCTCGCTCGAAAAGACACAAAACAAAAAAAGACCGCGTCTGCATCTGCCACCAGTGTCACCTCGTCCGCCACGTGTTCTGCACCATCATCACACCGCTCGCGCCGACAAGGCCTTAGCCTGAGGCTCAGCAGCCCGGCCGCGACTGATGATGATAGTCTTGGCCGTCAGGATGGTCGACGCAATCCACGCGCAAAACGCCGCCGCCGCAACCACCGACTCGGCCCGGCCCGCCAGGCACACGGTGCCGCGACAAAACTTCAGCGTGCCGAGGAAGACGGCGTACGCAATGAAGCCGCCAAAGTACAGTGCCGTGTTGGTGCCCTCAAAGGCGAGCGTGACGTACGGGTTCCAGATGCGCGGGCACACCCGGGGCACGAGCTCCAGGTACAGGACCGACACCAGGGAGACGCCCGAGGCGAAGGCGAGGAAGGTGACTGCCCCGGGCGAGCCGTGCCGCGTGTCGGTCAAGAACCAGTTGATGACTGCCAGCCCGTCGTCAGCATGACTCGGCAGGGTAGACGCTGCATTGTTGTAGACATACCGTAGGCTGAAAGCGCAATGCCGGCCGCGGCCAGGCAGGCCTGGAAGACCCGGAGTGAGGCGTTCGTTGCGCGCCCCATGGCGACGACTTGGCGTTAATCAATATATGAGGGGCCGGGAGCAGCCGCCGCGATAAGGTATGTAATTGCCGCACAATATCTTGACTCGCTTGACTGGAATAGCAGCAGCAAAGGCATCAGGCAGAGCAGCGAGACGACGTCGCAGATTTAAACAAAGGCACCCCCAAACTTCGTGGCGGCGGCAGTGGGGGGGAAAGATCGAGCCTTTCAAAGTCAAAACAACATGGAAGGACGCAGAGTCTCTGCCCACGACCTTCCGTCTATTACTCTGGGTCCCCTTTTTTGCATAAACGTCACTCGGCCTAGCAGGATTTCTCGCATGGTCGCACGAGGAGGAGAGCCCCATGGTAGGAGAAGTGGCTTGGGTGGTTGGGAGGGCCCCGCCATTGCAACCCACGGTCGAATATCTGAGACTCGAGGGTTGCTCTGAAACTGGATGCGACTGGGGCCAGGCTCGCAATGCGCTGGTGAAAGGTGGTGGTCACTGGTGGTAAGTGGTGGCGGGGGGAGGGGGGGCGCGCCGCAGGCAAGTGCCGCGATGGGCCAGATCCCTTCCGAGTTAGTAGGACGCATTGATCTGCATCCCGGTACTTTATAACGTAACGTGACGCGTTGGATTGCCCGGTTGTTGCTTGATTTAGCTCGGCGGCGGGTGATATGTGTGGAAACAGAGAAAGGGGTGGTTGATGGCGGCGGTTCCTCGGGCGGCGGCGCGCGGGAAGGCGACGATGGAAAACGTCGCGGCGAGAGTGATGTCGACGCGAACCTCCTTTTTTTTTCCAGGGATCGCGGGTGCCTCCTGCTGCCGAGACATGCGCCCAACGTATTGCGTCCTGAAAGAGGCTGTTGTATCATACAAAGCGTGCCTTGGATGCACCTAATAGTGTGCCAAACGATGTTTCGATTTGTTGTATAACTACCACGCATCGAGAGTTTCGCCGACACGGTCGTTGATGCACTGCACGATCGCCGTCGATGGGTGGTGGAGTGTCGTTCGCCTCCTATCTGTGCGTCTGGGTGGCGTCACAAGCTTCCCCGTAGTGCGCTCGGGGACCCTCGGCGCCGCTTGCAGTAGCGCCGTGCGTCACGGCACGACAGCCAGGCAATTAAGCTCCCGGCCGAGCATTGATTGTCAAAGAAGGATTAAATAGGACAGCATGCCCTCCCCCGGGATGGTTCCGAGTTGATGCCAGCCGGCGACTGGGGCGCTCTTGGCGACGTGCCGTGCTGGGCCTCGCCCGACGAGAGGCGCTTCAGTTGTCGTCAGAGAGCATGTGGCTCGTTGTTGTTGACCTACCCTATGCCAGCGTCTATTCGTGAGCGGACGCAGCTAGGGGCGGCGGCATCGTCGGGGGCACAAACGCCGGGCGGACCAGCAGTGTCCGAAAGCACCGGGTTTCATTCAAGGGCCGAAGCCCAGCGAAGTCCGCGCGGCTCCAGCGAAAACTCCGGAGGTGGTACGCCCCCGGACGTTTGGTGACGGGGAAACGTACACAACGGCGGCTCTCATCAACCATATCTCTGCCTGAGATCTGTGTCTCGCCTCTGACCTGTCTGCGCACCACGTCCGACCATGCAAAACATCTGCGCTCATTTTCTGGCTTGGCATCTTTCGCTCCTTCAGCTGCAGCCGCGAAGAAATGCGATTTGCTCTGCGACCCTGCGACGACGCGGCGGCCGGGACGGCGGAGAAATTCCTTGGCCGCCCTCCATCCAGCAGCCCTTTTCCCCCCCGTCACATGCAACGGACGCGACCCGGAAATTGATTGAAAGCGGGCGCCACTGATTGGCCGCAGCAGCCACACACACCTCGTGCCTCCCCCACGGGCCATCTCCAGACGGCATCTCGCCGACCCCACGAAATGCGACTGCGCAGGCAGCCTGCCCCGTCGTGCGCTTTGCTCTGTCTCGTCTTCCAGACGACGCTGCACCATGGCTGTTTGGCGGAAAAGGTCGTTGAGGGTCTGGCGCTGAGGTCAGCGGCACGGCGTCAAGGGTCGGCATGTGTCAATTCAGCCGCCGTCGCCGCACATGGCAGATTGCGGCCCGCCGGAGAAGCGGCGGGTGCTCGACGCCGGACGACCGCAGCACAAAGTACCTTGGGTTAGGTGAGCCTCTCCGCAGACCCTCCTGTACCCCGTCCGGTGCCTGGGCTGCACCACACCACACATCAGCCGCTGGAACGCGGGAAGGTCCTGGGCGCCGGGCCACTGAGGTGGCCGCCCAGTGGAGGCTTCAGTGGAGGCCGTCCCTGTGACGGCCAAACAGAGTGCTGACTCGAGGGCCCCCAATGCCTGCCCGAAGCCCCAAGCCCGCCATGCCCCTCGCACGCAGCCGCAGTGCCGCACCGCTAGCGCCGTCGCCGTCCTTCTGGCGACCCGCATCCGCCTCAGATGCCCGCCCACCGGCCAGCCCGTGGGCCAGAAATCTGGGGCAGCCGAGGCCCCCGGTGCCTCGGCCATTCCTGCCCGTCCTCATGACGGATTCATTGTGCCAGTTCCCCCCAGCGCCAGCGCCAGTGCCAGCCAAGCCAGCGCTCGCCGCCCCCAAAACTCGGCCTCAATGTCCCAATCCAGCATATACTCCTAGCCGACCTCTTCTCCAGACTGCTCCTCTTCTCCTCCCGTTCTCCCGCTCCTCCTCCTCCTCTTCGTCCTCCTGTCGTCTGGCCTCTTTCTCCCCCTTTTCCTCCCATCCTCCTCCAAGCGCGAAGCATCCTCGCGTTCCTCGACCTTCGTGGACTTGCGCACCTCCGTCTTGGGCAACGTGCATTCAGCTCCGCGACACGCAGCCTTGTCGAAACCCCGCCGACTCGGTCAATCGTGATCCCTCCCGTCGCTCTTCAGCTTCGGCCTCTGCGTCTATACTCTATACCGCCTGTGCAACTTCGCGCCTCTTTGTGTCCCCCCGGGCCCTCTCCTGAAACGCAATGTCTTCCGCCCTCACCCCCGCCGAGGCCAAGGACCTCGGCCAGCCTCCCGCTCCCGGCTCCCCGTACGGCGTCCCCGTCCCCGGGTCGGAGCGACCTGGCCGCAGCGCCATCTACAGGCACTACCGCTTCCGCGACAGGCCTCTCCTGACATCCTTCGATGCCAACATCCGCTCCGTAAACGACCTCTTCGAGAGCGCCGCCAGCAAGCGCCCCAACAAGCGATGCTTCGGCTCGCGCACCTGGAACGCGGCCACCAAGACTTGGTCCGACAAGTTTGAGTGGATTAGCTATGCCGACGTCGCTGAGCGCCGCAAGAACCTGGGCGCCGGTCTCGTCGAGGTCAACAAGCTCGCTGGCATCGCGGGGGACAAGTATGGCGTCGGTCTCTGGTCGCAGAACCGCCCCGAGTGGCAGATTACAGGCAAGTTTCGATTTGCGCCTCGCGAGGCCGTCTTGCAATACTAACCAGCCGTCGCAACAGATCTCGCGCTGGCCTCGCAGTCCCTCTACACCGTCTCCCTGTATGAGACGCTCGGCCCCGACACCACCGAGTACATCATCAACCACGCCGAGCTCGCGTCTATCGTCTGCTCCCTGCCGCACATCCCCACCCTGCTGAAGCTCGCTCCCCGCCTGCCCCAGGTCAAGGTCATCGTGTCCATGGACCCTCTCGACGATGGCGAGCTCGACGGCTACTCCAAGGGCGCCGTCCTGAACCAGCTTGCCGCCCAGCACGGCATCAAGATCTACTCCATGAAGGAGGTCGAGGAGATTGGCGCCAAGTCCGGCCGCCCTCTGCGTCCTGCCGGCTGGGACGACATCTCCACCATCAACTACACCTCTGGAACCACGGGCGCCCCCAAGGGTGTCGTCCTCACCCACGGCAATGCCGTCTCCGCCAACGCCGCCGCCCGCATGAGCGGCAACGTCACCCAGAACGACGTCCACATCTCCTACCTGCCGCTCGCCCACATTTACGGCCGCCTCATTGACCAGGTTGCTCTTTCTGAGGGCGCCTCCATCGGCTTCTTCCGCGGCGACATCCTCGGCCTGGTCGACGACATGAAGATCCTCCAGCCCACCGGCTTCATCTCCGTCCCGCGCCTCTTCAACCGCTTCAACTCGGCCATCCGCACTGCCACCCTCGAGGCCCCCGGTATCCGCGGCGCCCTGTCGAGACGCGTCATCGAGACCAAGAAGGCCAACATGCGCGCGCCTCCGGGCCAGGCCTCCAACACCCACTTCCTGTACGACAGAATCTGGACGCCCAAGGTCAAGGCCGCCGTCGGTCTGACCAAGGCTCACGCCATGATCAGCGGCAGCGCGCAGCTCGACCCTGATGTCCAGGAGTTCCTGCGCGCGGCTTTCGCCAACAACTTTGCTCAGGGCTGGGGCATGACGGAGACGTACGCTGTCGGCAGCGTGCAGATGAACGGCGACTTCACTCTCGGCAACGTTGGCGGCCCCATGGCTGCCACCGAGCTGTGCCTGGAATCCGTCCCCGACTACGACTACTCGGTCGACGACAAGCCCAACCCCCGCGGCGAGCTGCTCATCCGCGGCAACGCCATCTTCAAGGAGTACTACAAGAACCCCGAGGAGACCCAGAAGACGCTTGAGTCTGATGGCTGGTTCCACACCGGCGATATCTGCGAAGTGGACAAGTTTGGCCGCTTCAAGATAATCGACCGCAAGAAGAACGTCCTGAAGCTGTCTCAGGGCGAGTACATTTCCCCCGAGCGCATCGAGAACGTGTACACTGGCAGCTCCAACGTGGTTGCCATGGCCTACGTCCACGGCGACCCCAAGGAGTCGACCCTGGTCGCCATCTTTGGCATCGACCCGGAGAACTTCCCTCCGTTCGCCAGCAAGGTCCTGAAGCGCGAGGTTCCCGCCGGCGATGCCGCTGCCGTTAAGAAGGCCGCTTCGGACCCCAAGGTCCGCAAGGCCTTCCTCAAGGTCCTCGACGACATTGGCCGCAGCCACAAGTTCAACAGCTTCGAGAAGGTCCGCAACGTCTACCTGGACATTGAGCCGTTTACCATTGAGAACGAGCTCCTCACCCCGACGTAAGTTTTCGTGCGCCAGACTTTTGACTGAGTATAGCAATGCTAACTGTTTGCACAGACTCAAGCTGAAGCGGCCCCAGACCGCCAAGGCCTTCCGCGCCCAGATCGACCAGATGTACGACGAGATCAAGGCTGAGACGCCTGCCGGCGCTGCCAAGCTGTAAGAGATGGATTATTTGGAGAGGGCAAAGATTTGGCTTGTTGCAACCTTGGCGTGCGAAGACTTGTTGTTCAAATGTATAAGCACGTGCGTAGGCTACCTAAAGAGTATCTAAATTACACTCTTCTTTTTGAAGTACTTTGCTCTGCGCCCCTTCCGCATGTATCTTGGTGGTGGACGGTATCGTGTCGCCAGCAGAGTGAGCCTCTTCATCTGAGTTGGGGGCCCAAAGTGTCCGTCTCTTCCCTGTGCTGCTGATGTGCCGATTCGGACGACAGAGCTGAGGCTGGATGCCGGCAGTTGCAGGGACGTGGCCAACGGTCTGAGACAAGGCGTAAAGATCGTTGTCAGCGCGTCGCGGCATTGCGTCCGCCGACTCGCCATGCCGCCTCGATGTTCACAGCCGGAGCAGGCCATGCTGGAACGATCGCGAGTTGGGCATCGCGCCGTTTTATGCATGTCTCAACACTGAACGCAGCCTGCGCCGAGGCGCCTCGCCGCCGCGTCTCGAGCTCATTTTGGGCGAGCCGCGCCATGTCTCTGGTTGATGATTGAGTGAGTCCGGCCCGGCCCATCGGTAGTAAGCTAGTACTGAGGTCCCGTCGTCGCGATGAGAGCGAGGGATGGTGAGTGGCGGCCCATTGGGTGTCCCATGTGGTGGTGATCAGTAGATGATGGGCTGCGACATCGGGCCAGACATGGATGGGTCTGATCGAGACTGTTTTGATAGGAGGGCTGCGAGAGGTGTTGTTGTTTTTGGGGGTATAAAGGGGGTGAAGGTCACTGTGATGTTGATGGCGCTTCTGGCATTGAAGACTTCCGACACTGCTTGACAAGCCAGAAGCAACCTACGTACATCTACAATCATGCAGTTTTCCATGCTCCTCCCCGTTGCGTTTGCCGCCGCTGCGGCCGCGCAGTCTACCGTGGTAAGACCGACACTTCTCGCATCCTCGTGCGGATGACAAGGAGAGTGGTATTTAATGAACATCTTCACGCAGGCCATCGTTTACCTCGACCCGCAGTTCGCAGGGCCGTCACAACAAATCACCTCTACGGAGCAATGCGTCGCCATCGATCCCAATACCATGTTTGTGGTCCCTTTCCTACGTCGTTCCAACGACACCATACAAGTGCCTTTGCTACAAGCGGGCAGTTGCTAACAGCTGGCAAATGCGCAGGCCGCCTGAGGTTGGGTCCATTCAAATCGCGTCGGGCGTCGCCTGCACCACCTACTTGTACGTACCATCCAGTCCTCTCCTATACACGTACAGTCGCAGATATACACGCAGTGCGAGTTGCGCGTGCAAACCGAAGCTATGAAAAAGCTGACGCCGCTGGCTGTACACAGTGACCCCCAGTGCCAGAACCCGAACCAGCACCTCACGGGCACAATGTCCAACATACCGGGCCCGCCTGACGCGCAGTCCATCCTCTGCCAGCGCCCCAACTAGGAAAATGGGCGGCAAGGTGCGGCTCCGAATCAATGAGGGTGGGTAGATGGGGGGCTTTGCGCAGCGATGGGTTGGGTGAAGAAAGATGCCGCTTTTACAGTTAAACTATGGGCTGTGTGGTTGTTTGCTGTCAATGGCAGAAACTAACGTTACATATAACTCCATAAATTCCTAAGATAAGAAGGAAGTGAGATACTGCGTGTATTGTACTGTAGAAAGACTCGAGCCACAAGCCTTTGTGCTGTACTAAGTTCTCCATGGCTGTCTAATAAGAAGTATAGGCACGACACTGTCGTTCCTCGCATACCACACATGGAGTGGAGATCTGCCTTGGGAACGGGCTTCGCAGGGGGCTGCTCTGCGCATTGGCGAGCTCCGCCGCATGACAGCCGCCCAACGCCACCAGACTGATCTCTCCATCTAACAGGACCCATTGTCAGGGAAGGGGCACCGAGCGCTCTCTTCAATGCGCACCTGCCTGTCAACTGTAGTGGTTTGCGCCCGAATCCCCGTGGTTCCATTTTTAGTAGCAGCCGGCGATGTTTCTACAATTCAATACCAGTTACGGATGCGTCTAGTAGACCGTATCAATTGACGGAACTACGACCGATATATGTTAATAATAATACATGAAAACTAACAGTATGATCAACGGCAATATCTTTCATGAAATGAAGACCGCAATCTGCTGCCTTAATGGACCGCGTGTAGGGGTGTTGCTGTCTGGCTCCTGGTCGCAATGGCAGTAACGTCTTGACATGTCCAGAAATGTACCAGATGCGCAATTGACTGCCCGATAAAACCTGTCAAAGAAGGCATAACGAGAACGGCCGAACATTTAATTGTTTATGCGACTGTCTGGGCATGTTAATTATCTAGTCTTGACAGTGAGGCAGCAAGTAATTAGCAGCTATTTCCTATTATAATTCGCTAAATATATAATATTATATAATATCTTAATATTTAATATCTTTAATAATAAAAGTAATTATAATTGAAATATATAGGCTTAAAGAGCTAAAGAAAAGCTTTATAAAGCTAGGAAAGTCATCTAAATAGATATCGCTTAGCTAATCGGCCCGTTATTTAGTCCGGCTGGCTAATTAAGAGCTACGCCGCCAACGGTGCCCGACCTCTATCGAAACACTCCACACCATCCGCGCCGCGCGATGACGATGTCGTAAGTGCTCCCCCTTGCGCGTGCACGACGCGTTCCCGAAACACTATATCCTTCCTATCCACGATCCCTCCTGCTCGGCCGGCTTGTCGTGGCCCGCGCCTCGCGTCCCGAAAGCCCCCGCGGCACACAATCACCAGCCCGTTGTTTGCCTCCATGAGCTTGACGCTTACCGCTACTGTTCCTAGGGCCACCGTCATCGACCTCGCGGGCGACGAGCCGCCGCTCAAGAGGCGACGCGTCGAGGATCTCGCTGGCGACAAGGAGAGCCTCCGGGCTCGCGTGCAGGAGCTTGTGCTCCCGCTCGTGAGCCATGCTGTGCAGGGACTCTCGCGGAGCGTCTACCGCGTAGACGACATTGCGGTTCAGGTGCGTCTGCTGAGCACGCGACATTCGACGTGGCCATGAAGCTAATATTTCGAGGCAGGCTGTCGCGACGCTGGCCAGGAGCCCCGTCTTCCGGATCAAAAGCGAATTCAATCGGACGCAAGCCGCTGCGCAGACAGTGGACGTTATCAAGGGGCTAGCTGCGCGTCCCGTAGGTCCTCAAAGCCTCACCTCTCGATATACGCGACTAACTTTGCTGGCTATAGGAATTTCGCGTACAAACGAAGACTCCCCCGACCCCTCCTCCTAGCCGCCTGCTCGAACCTCCATCGCCCTTGCCGGGTGCTGTTCTCGATGTCGAATCTCAGCCTTTCCCCCCGCTTGTCCGTGTCACCAAGGCCGTTGCTCGCACGGCCGGCCAGAGGAGTGCATTCCGGGAGCAGTACGCACAAAGGCTTGCCAGGAGGGACCGACAGACGCCAAGCTCCCAACGGCCTGCGAGGAACAGCTGGTTTAGCCACAAAAAGCGGCCATATCTCGCCGCTGCGGAACGGGCTCTGATAGCCAGCGGAGTTGGCCTTGCAATTCCGGCCTCGGCCGCTACCGATTTCCCTCAAGTCTACCACGTCGACTTTACGCAACGAGAAATCGAGGAGATATTCGAGCATCTGCAAAAATATATCCCCACTCCCGGTAAGCCCACGGCCGAGTCTCTGAAGTCGCTCGCATATGAACACAATGTTCATGTTGCGTCGATCGTGGGCAGCGCTGTCGCAGGTCGCAGTGCGGAAGATGTGAGGAACTTCTGCTCAGACCTCATGGCCGGCACCGCCAGGATCTCTGACAACCAACAAGTCCTGTCACTAGACCGTGCCACTGAGCAGCACCGGACAGACCGTCGCGCCAGTCGCGTCTCGTCACTGCTGCTCGCACGGGAGATGGAGGGCAACGCTGGGTTTGGTCGCATGCGGCGCTACGAAAACTTCCAAAACGAGTTCAAGCGAGCACATGAGGATGGCATGGCGCTGGTAGCCGAGTTCACCAATTGTGCGGGCGACATTTCGACCATGTCGTGGGTGCCAGACGGCAACATCATCTGCGGCGCGACTGCGCATTCAGACACCCACAACCAACAGTACAACAAGCCAGGAAACCTCGTGCTTTGTTCGACGTCGCAAGGTATCCTTCGCGCGTTTGCGGATCACCGGATACCGCGGCCGCTTGTCGAGAAGGGCGAAAACTCGACCGAAGCCATGCGGCAAAGTCAAGATCCCTGGCTCTACTCGTCCGTCGTCTCATCCGACTACGACCAAGTCCACGGCCGTGCCTTCACGTCGAGTTTCGACCGAACGGTCAAGGTGTGGCAAGTCGCCAAGAGCGGTGAAACAATGCAGTCCATTGCGACTTGGAAGCACGATGGTAATGTCAACTTTGTCGCAGCAGCAAAAGACGGCTCAGGTCGCGTGGCCTCCGCGGCGGACGTCCCGACGAGAGCCGTCCGCATATACACAGTCAATCCAGACGACGTTGCTCACAGCCCGTATCAGGCCATCTCCTGCACTCGAACGGACGCTGACGGCTCCGATAAGTGGGCGTACTTTCCCGCAACCATGCAATGGGGGCGGGCGCCGGGAACCACACATCTCTTGGTTGTTGGCTACTCGCCCCGCAGCCTCACAAACGATGATCACGACATTCCAGAAGACAAGCGAAACTCGGGAGAAATCATGATGTGGGACGCTGCGAAAGGGTGCCGAGCCGCTGTCATGACGGCCACAACTGCCAACGTCTTCGAGGTCGCGTGGCACCCTCAGCTTCCTCGATTCATAGTCGCAACATCACCTTCTGGACTGCTTGTCGAGCAGCACGTCCGAACTCAGATCCATGTCTTTCAGCGCGACCGTGAGCGGGGAGACGACGATCTGGCGTACACGGAGTTTCAGAAGCTGGATTGCCCAGCCATAGACATCAACGAGCTGACGTACATGCCCAACTCACTTCTCCACGCCTACGTCACGGCCGCATGTACGGACGGAAATGTCTACGTCTGGGACACGGCGCAGGGGGACCGTCCGATCCACACCCTAAAACACGCCGAGCCGTTGGAGGATTTCTTCACGCACGACCGGGAAAGGGAGGACACCGGCGTGAAGTTTACAGCGTGGGGCGCGTCGGCGGATAGGTTTTACACGGGGTCCAGCGACGGGGCCGTTAAAGTGTGGAACGTCCGCAACAGGCGCAAGCCGTTTGTGCGGAACCTGTTGGAGGCTCCCGCGCCTATATCGTGCGGCGAGTTCTCGCCGGGCAAGACGCAATTAGCCATCGGCGATGCGTCGGGACGCGTGTTTCTATTCTCGGTCGATGAGCGAGACGAACATGAAACGCACTTCATGACGCTTCCAGGGACGAATCGCAGAATCAGGCGGCCGAAGCCGTTCCTCCCGCACCCGGAGCCCCCGCCCCCGGAGCTGAGCGCCGCTCCGGACGAAAGCCCGGGTCGAATACACCTCGATGCTACGGACCGATCGATAGCCGCGTATGCCCATCAGACTTATATAGCCTCGGGCCAGCTCGTCCTGACGCGCAACCCAGTCATCGGCGCGGTCCAAGGCCCAGCCTACGCAGCTACAAACCTCTTCCGCCGCGAAGCCCACCTCGACGACGACCCCTCCGGCCCGCTATTAACCGAATTCGAGCGTCACCAGCGCGACACCCTCGCCCGCTGCCGCGGCCCCCGCCGCCGCTCGCAGATGCGCCTCCAGAAGATCCCACCCCCGCCTAACACCGACCACCTCGGCTGGTACGATCAAGCTACCATCTTCGAGTATATTCGGTGCCTGCAGCTGCATGTCGCCAATGTAGACCAGGACTTTGGGGCGCAGCAGATTGACGAGGCCCTGGAGCGCGAGCTTCTAAGGGACGGGGCCGATCTCGATCCGGAGGAGGACTGGGGCCTCGCGTATAAGGAGCTGCCTGCGAGTTTCGACGACGAGTTTGAGGAGACGGTCTGCAGAGTGCAGTAGGGCTAGGACTTGAGCTTTTTGTTATAAAGCATAGCGAGCGTTTTAAACCGACACCTACTAATAAAGAAATTAAAAGAAGAGACTCTTTTCAATAATGGCTTAACTGATATTATAAGAGATATTATATAACTTTAATAGGTTTAGTACATTATAATTCAAGTCATAAGCATACTGAAAGATGGACGTGGCATCGCATTCCGTCTATTTCGTTTATTGGCGCCCTCTAGCACCCCTTTACATAGCGTGTCTATAACAAATGTCATGGGAACCAGAGAGTAACAAATAACCAGTCGCCGCCTGTCCACGACTCGCGCGCGCGCGCAAACGCTCCCACATCCCTCCCGCATATAGATTTGTACTCGCAAGAAGATACTCGGCCACGCGCGGGTGGGGAGAGTCCTGCTCCCGCGCTCGCTCAGACGACCCCATCATTGCCGCCGCATTCGCACACACACAAAACGCACACTCGCCTGGCCATGATACGACAAGAAAAGCAGTTGAGGACCAGAAAAGGCCCAGGGAGGCCCGTGTCGTCCGCGTCAGGCCTAGGAAAATATCATGCCCCCTCTTGTGTTTTGCAAAGTGTGCCCATTCCCGGAACGCCGCTTAATGCTTAGCCGAGACCGAGTCGCCGGTCAGCTTCTCAACATAAGTCTTCGCCCTGTCGAAGTTGTCAGTAACTTGTATGATGTACGTGGGGGTTGATGGTTGCCGTGTGGAGAAGCAGTGGGGGGAGCTAGAGGGGAGTCTCACATGTCACCGAAGGCGACCATGCAAATGGTCTGCCAGACACCGAGACCGATGCGCGGCGCAACGCCGCGGTAGAGGCCCCGGATGCCGTTGTTGGCGTAGATGTACCTGAAGGTGTTGCCGACCGTCATCTTCTTGGGACGGTTGGGGTCCTCCTTCTTGCTCTGCATCTCAACGCGGATGACCTCGATGGGCTGGTTCCAGGCGCTGAGACCACCACCGATACCCGAGGCGAGGATCTTCTCGCCGGCGGACAGCTTGTCGCCGTCCTTCTTGCCGGTGGCGGAGCGGATGCCGCCCTCGGCAAGACGGCTGAGACCGAAGCGGGAGCCCCAGTTGGTCATCTGGCGGATGGCGACGGCATTGACACCCTTGTTGATGCCGCGGATGCCCTCCTTGCGGTAGATGTCCATGAAGGTCTGGAAGGTGGACTGGGGCTTGACGCCCGAGGCGGCCATCTTGTGCTTGGTGATCTCGACCGTCTTCATGCACGTGCAGAAGCCCATGGTGGCGTAGGCCTGGGCGACACCGCCCGTGATGCCGCCGAGGATGCCACCGCCAAACTCGGACGCGCCGGCCGCGCGGGCGTAGTACTCGGCCTCGGAGGCGACGAACAGGAGGACGGCGCCCTTGGTCGAGGCTTCGATCCAGGCCCAGGGGATGAGGCCCTGGTAGACTGTCGCGCAAATCCATGTCAGCATGTGACACGCGACGAGCCGCGCCCGCGCCCGCGCCCGGGCCAGCGGGCTCACAGGCGCGCGGCAGAGCAGAGCGGCGGACGACGACGATGACGATGGAAGGAAAACTTACAGCCGAGAACACCTCCGCGAGACCAGATGCGGCCCAGGGCAGTGGCGAAGCCGTCGCCTCGATGGGCGGCCATGGTGGTCTTGGTGACCTCGAGGGGCTGGCCGAGGGTGGTGACCTCGAACATGTTGAGACCGGCGCCCAGCAGCAGGTTGGAGAACTTGATGGGCTTCTTCTCAAGCTTGTGAGGCTCCCCAACGGGGGCGGGGACGGTGGCGACTGCGACCATGGCTCTGGATTGCTTCGACGGAGGGGGGCCCTGACCAAGGGAAGAGGGTGCTTCTTCGCGAAAAAGGGAGGGGAAGTTGTGGTGGTTGTGGTGTTGAAGGTGAGACGGAGCTCGACGACAGCGAGGAGCAGCTGAAAGTAGACTTGGGCCGGTTGGCTGAGTCAGAAATTCCCGGGGGGAGGGATTGGAGACTCCTGGAGCGACGACTGCGGACGCGGGCGCGGGATGCGGGATGCGGCTGTAGGCTGCGGTTACCGAACGGGATCGGAGCGGAGTATACGACTACGGCCCTGAAATGCGAACGATCTGAGGCCTTGGAGAGGGTCAGGGAGTCGAGAGATGTCCGGAGACGGAGTCGAGGGCCGAGGCTGTTCGGACGATGGAGAGGGCCAGTCCGTGATTCTCCGGAGGAGCAGCTGGTGCTGGGGACGCGCTGAAGGCAGCTGCTGAGCGCTGGAGAGTTGGAGCGCTGGGGGGCGGTCGGGGGGCGGCCGGGGGGCGCTACAGCGGTCACTGGGAGGTGGTGGCAGTGGAGGTACGGTATGGAGGCCCCTGTGGTGGCTGTGCCTGGCCTGGCCTGTCTGAGGCGTCGGGTCCTACGTGTCTTGCACGTGTCTGTTAGCAGGCCGCCGTGCCGGCTACTTGAGCGGCCCCGGTTATTACGGTACGCGTTTATGTAGCGCAAACCGTCGAGGCTTATCAGCGGTTCCTGGATGGGCGCGCAGCCCCCAGCAGGCAAGCACCACAGGCAGGGAAGGAAAAAAAGGTGGGCCGCTGGGGGGGGAGAAGCGGAGATTCCTCAATGCCCCCGGGCCGGGGACGGTGTTCGTACCTACCTGCGGGGAGGGACTGGAGGGCTCTACGGGCAGTTTACTGCGGTCACCAGTATTGCGGCCTACTAACGGTAACGAATTGGGCGTTGGCCATGGCCCGACGAGATTCGCGAAATCACAAAACCCTCTTGAAGAAAACAAATGGACGACAAAAAGCGAAGGTCCGTCCGCCGTTTCTGTTGGCTCCCGCAAGCCAACAAACAACCCGACGGGACAAGGCTACGAGAGGCGCCAGGTCCTCCCGCTTGGCCCTGCCTCCCTACAGCGCGGGCAGCCTCTCAGCGGGCACAGCGGACTCGCCAGCGCATGCAGGGCACCCGTCGTTGGCGCGGCAGGGCTGGCTGGGAGCCAGGTCCAGCACAACTCCTCAGCACGCCTCGTCCCTCCCGCCATAAAACCAACACAAAGCCCACCGCCGCCGATAACTCTCTGAGGTGCGCTCCAATGGCCAGCGCTGGAGTTGAGAGGCCTTCAATCCCTTCCCACCTGCATGGAAGTTCCATTTATGTTGGGTGGGGCCTCCTCGCCCAAGCGCCACCGTCACCCAGCCCGCAGCGTCTTGTGCGAAGCTCCAGCTCCCTCCCGTCCCCTCTGAATTGGTCGGCTGGACCCTGGTCGCGCCAAAAAGCCAATTGGGGCTCTCAACACGACGGGACCGATTGTTGAGCTGCCGCCATGCCCTCCATGCCCTCCATGCCGTCCAATCCGTGCACCGACGTGTGTCCCCGACAACAACGACGACGACGGGCTATTTTCTTTTCGCGAATGCCAACGAGTCGCGCCACAGCCGGCCCGTGTAAGTGCTGATTGCGCCGTGATGCACAAACCTTCGCACAGCACTGGACGGCCCGTAACCATGCTGTACCTCAGGTACGGATGCAGGGCCTCGGACTTGTCCCAAACGCACCCACCGCCATGTTTGCGACCTCGTAGCGCCTGTGCCCCTTTATTGCCTCTGCGCAGGGATCGATGCTGACACGGCCCCCCATGCCGTGTGCGCAAAACCATCAGCCATAACCTTGCAGTGTTGCAGCAGGATACGTCTTCACAGTAATATCGCACAGCTTCCGTCCATGGACCACAAATCACGTAGTCAATCACCAGTCGCGCCCCAGCTCAACGCTTCAGCCGTAGCCGACTTGCAGCGTCAGGCGTCCACTTCCCGAGCCTCTCGCAGCTGCAGGATCTGCAGCAAGGGTCCTGCAGCGCGGGCTCGGAACCGCCTCCGGCTTCGGCCTCGCCATGGCCGCGCCGGCGTCCAATCACGACGTCATCGCACAAAAAAGTGTCGCCAATCGCGCCAGCACTCGAGCACATTGTCCGTGACAGCGCATGAGCGCACGCCCAAGACAGCACGAAACAGCTTCCAAAAGGAATTCCAATCCCATTACCTCTAAGCGAGAAATAGGCCCAAGCATACTGTACAAGTCAAAGCGCCAGTGGGTTGTGGTATCCGCTCAGTCGCCCACCGACTGTCTATTCCCAAGCCGTCCTCTCCCAGCGTACACCACGCCGTGCACCGTCCAGCCCGTGAATACGAGTACACGCCAGTCGTTCGCCTTTTTCCGTTGCATGTCGTAGTTTTGCGTGTTCAATCTTTGCTCCATATGCATCGCCCCGGTCCGTCATCCTACCATCGCTTACAGCTTGCTGACGAGCTCGACCCACTTGTCGGTAGAGAACGACTTGGGGCGCTCGATGGGCGAGCCGAAGGCGCGGTCGAGGATCAGCTGCGGAAGGACACCAATGGCGCGCGACACACCGAACAGGACGGTGTAGTAGTTGGCCTCGGTCAGGCCGTAGTGCTGCAGCAGGACACCCGAGTGCGCGTCGACGTTGGGGAAGGGGTTCTTGGTCTTGCCGTGCTCAGTCAGGACACCGGGGGCAATCTTGTAGACCTGGCTGACGAGCTTGAACATGGGGTCCTCGGGCATGTTGGCTGCGCTAGTGTTAGCAAAGCAATTCTCTCTCTGCCTGCGCTGACTTCACGTACCAAGGGCAAACTCGCGCTGGGCCATGTAGCGCGGGTCCGTCTTGCGGAGGACGGCGTGGCCGTAGCCGGGAACGACACGGCCGCTGTTGAGCGTCGACCACAGGTAGTCGGTGATGTTCTTGTCGCTCAGGTCGTCGCCAACGACCTTCTTCATCTCGGTGAGCCAGTTGAGCACCTCCTGGTTGGCCAGGCCGTGCAGGGGTCCGGCGAGACCGTTCAGGCCAGCCGCCAGGGACAGGAAGGGAGAGCTGAGAGCGCTGCCGACCAGGTGGGTCGTGTGGGCGCTGACGTTGCCACCCTCGTGGTCAGTGTGGATGGTCAGGTACAGACGGAGCAGCTCAACAAAGTCCTTGTTCTCGCCGAAGCCGAGCTGGTTGGCAAAGTTGAACGAGTAGTCCTTGTCCTTCTGGATGGGTGCGACCTTGCCGCCCTTGAAGACGTTCTGGTAGATGCGCGAGGCGATGTTGGGCAGCTTGGCGATGAGGTCCATCGAGTCCTCAAAGGTGTAGCTCCAGTACTCCTTCTTGTTGATGCCCTTGGCGTAGGCCTTGGCGAACGAAGACGTCTGCTCGAGGGCAGTGACGGCCAGGGAGAACTGCGCCATGGGGTGAAGGTCGGTCGGGCAGTGGTCGATCAGCTCCTCGACGAACTTGGGGATGTCGGAGCGGGCGGCCCACTCGGCAGACAGAGCGCGAACCTGCGCCTCGGTCGGGACCTCGCCGGTGAGGAGCAGCCAGAAGAGACCCTCGGGGAGGGGCTCCTTGCCGCCGGGAGCCTTGGGCAGAAGCTTCTGGCACTCGGGGATGGTCTTGCCGCGGAAGCGGATGCCCTCCTCGGCGTCGAGGACGGAGCCCTCCCAGACAAGGCACTTGATGCCACGGGCGCCGCCATAGACCTGGTCGAGCGTCACCTTGTCGACGACCTTGGAGCCGTGCTCCCTAGGGAAAGGCTGTCAGCATTGTGTAGCGATCGGGGGCTCCGGGCTCGATTCCCCGGGCCAAAGGGGGGAGAGGACACGTACTTGCGGAGAGCCTTGATCTGCTCAACCTTCTCGGGGAGGATCTCGGCGAAGCGCTCCTTGAGGGTCTGCGGATGGGACGGACGGTTTAGCTTGGGATTCATCGATACTGTTTGAGCTCGCGACGATGTCTGTCCTACCTGGGTCTTGGCCGAGTAGCAGCGCACGGCATTGAAGGCGGCAGTCCGGCCATTGAAGGCCGGGGCCTTGAGGGAGGCCCGCAGGGCAGAGTTGCTGAGGCGCGTGACGGAGGCCATTGTGGCAGGTCTGGGGATGGAGGGCAGCAAGAGGCTGGAGGTGTAGGGAGGGGACGAGAGGAAGAAAAGAAGAGAAGGTGTCACAGCACGGGCCGGAGGAGAGTTGAAAAAGGCGCAGCAGCCGGCGGTGTCTTGGTTGTCCGAGCAAGGCAGCGCGGAGGTACCTCTTGGGTGCCGGGAGAGCAAGTGCGCGCGTCCACCTCGCGGCCGAAAAAAAAAATTAGCTGCCCCCCAGAGGTCCGGCCGATCCTGGCGCTGCAGCGCTGGGCCTCGGCGGCAACGTGGGCCCCGGGCCTGCCTCACCTGGACGGGCACCCTCTGAAGGGGACCCCCCTGTCGCCGTGAGACCCCCCGTGGGACCCCCGTCACAGCGAGCTCTCGGCGGAAGTTACATCACCATTACCGCAGCCGCAGCCGTCAGAACCACTGGGGCGCGCGCCCCCAACACCACCCGACCACCACACCTTCACCTCCGTGTTTCCGCCCGTCGGGACCGGGCCCACCGAGGGCAGCCTCTGCTGCTGCGACTTGCACGGCGCCTTATCTCTGCCACCTGCGAAAGGGGCCGGACGGTGCAGCCAATAATACCGCAATCGCGCCGACCGGGGTGGGTGGTCGGGACACACATGCCAGATGGACGAGAACAAGATGATGTCTGGGGGGACCCCGGGGGGGAAGACCATTTGCGTGTGAATGGCGTGCGCCCGGGGAGGTGCTGTGTGATGCCCTGCTGCGTCTTCTGCTGCTGAATGACGCCGCTGCTGCTCTGCTGCTGCTACTACGACTACAGTACCGCCGGACGGGATGGAATCCATGGATGCCGCTCCTGCTGTTGCTGCCAGCGCGACGACGCCCGCCCCCTCCGCGTGCCGACGTGCAGGCTCGGGCGACGGGAAGCGTAACGTCGCCCCCCGTGCTCCGAGCAGGCCGAGGGCAGGGCAGGCAATGCAGACGCAGGCACAGCGGGAGCCAAGCTGCCGTCCTGCCCAAGCCGGGCAACGCGCCGAATTGTCGCGTCATTTGACCCCCATGACGGCGGTCGGTTAAGTTAACCTACCAAGCTGCGCGCCCGTCCAGTCCTGCCCGTCCCACAAGCGACGGTACAGGAGGTGCCTCGGGTGCCAGATCTTGCGCCCGGCCCATGATGTCGTTTGCTGGCAACTGGAACGCTGGCCCACAGTCGCTCTGCCGGCGCCTCTCCTCCGCATGTGTCCTCGTGAACGCCCTGTCCACCCTGCACCCGAGGGCCAGCCAGCAGCGTCCGGCTGTCGTTGAAAACCGGGTGCGAACCGTTGCCGCACTCGATCGAGAGCGGCGCGCATCACGGGCTTCCATGTCCGTCAGTGCCTCTTCCGCCGGCGATCGGACTCTCCCCAACGCCACCGCGGGCGGCCACTCAAGCCATTTTCCGTGCCCCCCGGTCTGAGACCAGACACGGCCTACCTCTTGCGTGTTGAAATTCGCCAGGCCTGTGCGCCCAACGAGAATAGGACTCGTCCAGTACAAAGACATGTGGAACGGATGTAGTAGCACAAAGGGGTTGGGCCGCGTTTTGTGCACCGGAATAGACTGCCTGCACCGGGAAAAGTCGCAGCGCGACAAAGGCGGGCTGACCCTGCTGTCGAGCTGAACACCGATCCGCCTCACCGCGGTGTGTGGCCCGGCCCGGCATTGACTTCAGCGAGGTGGGTGACGGGAACAGTAGCAGCCTGGCGTCATCTGGGGCGCCTCAGGCGGCAACGAAGCAGGGAGCCTCGACCATTCAGCCAGTCACGTGATATAGTCGTACCTCCTTTTGGGGGGTACGAAGGTACTTCGGATTAATTGAGGCGCCATGGGCCTGATGCAGGTGACCCACTCTCGAAAACCAAGGCCTCTCCAAAGCCCGCCCCAGCCCACACCTGACCATTTTCGCTTTCTCCTCTTTCATCTGCGTTTCGCCATCCTCACAACCACCACTTCCACCCCTTTCCATCAACCCGACCGCATCGCTGCCATCGCCTCGTGCGAGCGCCCATCTCCATCTGTCGGGCCTCTTCTTGCTCGTCGGTCCTGGATACCTGATTGCCGCCGACGGCCCCTAGACGCGTTGGCAAAGCCATCGCCGCGCAACCAAGAAAGAGCCTTGTCCGACGCTTTCCTGCCTGTGACTCACCGTCGCCTTGTTTCCCGACGCCACAGTAGAAGGTCGACTGTCGCGCTTGCGCCAAGGATCTCGGGGGGATATCAATAAGCCGCCGTACTCGTTGAGCTTTGTCACTCTCGTACACGCCCGCGACGCGCACACGCTTCTTCGTGAAGTCTCGCTTTGACGAGGCCCGTAAACGCCCGTGTTCTCGGTGCCTGGCCTCTGCACACTCTCCTCGTGGGTATCTCAAAGGGATAGAAGGATCGGCCTCGAGCCCCATTCATAAGAAGACTGCTGCCCCAAGCCGGCCCTTTGGCTGTGTGCTCGGAGACCACATAAGTACGAGAGATAAAGACGGCGCAACGACGCGGTCCTCGGGCTGGTGCACCTGCAAGGAAACTTGAACCACGCAAGGAAGCGTCTTGAGCGTATTCCGCCAATACTACACCATGGCTTCTGCAGTAGCAGACCTGGAGGCTGGCCTCCAGGCCATGCTCAACCTCAAACCACCTGGAGTCTCAGGATCCCGTATTACCAGCTTGACGTCGCTGTGCGTCGCCAACGTTCAGGTATGCCTTCAACCATCACGACCCTGGCACGTCACGGCACGGCAACGTCTCCAGACTTGCTTGCCGGGCGTGCGCGCAGTAACCCGACACATGCACTGACTGACGCTTATTTCATATAGTCTGAGTCGGTTCTCATCCAGAAGATCTACACACACTTCAAGAAGGCGCCCGGTACACACAAGTTGGGGGTTCTCTACGTCGTAGACTCTGTAACCCGCAAGTGGCTCGAGCAAGCAAAGGCCCAAGGACAAACAGTAAACAGCTCTGCGCAAGACGGCACATACGCTGCCGGAGTTCATCGAGTGACGGAACTCATGCCCGTATTGATGAATGACATTATCCAGTCCGCCCCGGACGAGCAAAAGGTACGCACTGCTACATCACGATTAATGCTTCATTCGAGCACAGCAGCCCTGGCCGTAGCTGCGAGTAGGACGCAGTCGGACCTGCGGCGGCGTTCATGACGCCATGGCCATCGACGGTCGCGATGACCTCTTGAGAGTCTCGCCTACAGCGGGTGACGCGATAGCCTCATTTCACACGGCGTGATCGATCCGTTGTTCATGCACACGGCCTCGCACTCATCCCGTCCAAGCCTCCCCGGCTGTCTCCCTCACCTGCACGCACGCTCGCTTGCCATACGACGCACACGATCAGTAGCTTACCAGACCTCTCGTGAAAATAGGAAAAGATCAAGAAGCTGCTTGACATTTGGGAGAAGGGCCAGACGTTCCCGCAGCCCATGCTCGAGTCCTTCAAGCAGAAGCTGAGCGCCTCCCCTCCAGCCAGTACGTCTCAGCTCCCGTCCCGTGTCGTACGGCATGCCGCCCAACGCTGTCGACTGACATGTCTCTCACCAGAAGTATCGACGACTCCCCCCGGAAGCCCTCCGGCAGCCGTTGTGGCCTCGTATCAGAACCAACAGGTTAAGCCAACGCCGCCCGCGGCTCCGGCCCCTACAGGCTCTTCCATCCTGGAGGCGCTGGCCAACATTGCGCGCCAGAACACCACCAGCGCTGCTCCGAGCAGCTCTGCGCTTCCCGCCCCGGCGGCGTCGTACAGCTATCCCGCCGCCAGTATGCCTCAGTCGGTGACGATGCCTCCCTTCAGCCAGCCACCGGCGCAACCAGCGCCGTCGTATGCTGCCCCCGCGCAACCAGTGAATGCTCCTGCGTTGCCCTTCTCCCTGCCTCAGATGCCGGGCCAGGGTGTAAGCATGCCGCCCACCAACGGCGCCCTGCCGAACCCGTATGCCGCCGCTCCTCCGTCCGCCGCACCCCCGTCCGGCGGGCTTGATGCCACCACTCAGCAGCAGATCATGCTCATCAAGGCCCTCGCCGACCAGGGCGTCCCCTTCGACAAGATCCCGGCCTTGATCCAGAGCATGACCGGCGGCAACAATGCGACGGCCCAGCAGTCGTTCCAGCCTCCTGTTCCCGCTGCGCAGGGGTCGTATCCTGCCGGCCAGCAGCTATGGCCTGGTGCCGATAACGCTCGTGACCGTGGCTATCAGGATGGCATGAGGTCCCCCAGACATCACGGGCGGTCACGCTCGCGCTCCCCCGATCGCGGTTGGGGCTCCAAGGATTCTCCCCGCGGTGGGCGTGACAGACATGACGACCGTGACCGCAACGGCCGACGCAGCAACGACTACCGCCAGAGGAGCCCACAAGGCCGACGGGGCCGTAGCGCGACCCCCGACTCGGAGATGCCCAAGATTGAGCGATGGATTGAGTACGATCGCTCTCTACCGCCAAACCACATCAAGGTCTACAGCCGCACCCTCTTCGTGGGCGGAGTGACGTGAGTGATGCCACCCCGATTATTCTTTGCAATTACTAACTGGAGTACCATACAGCTGCTCCGAGGCTGAGCTCCGAAATATCTTCAGCCGCTTCGGCACCGTCCAGACATGCATCGTGAACAGGGACAAGCGCCATGCCTTTGTCAAGATGCTCACCCGCAAAGACGCCGTAAATGCCAAGGAAAGCACAGAGGACCCTCGCAACATTGAAATACCTCTCAGGGTGAGTGATTCCGGGCTCTACTACACGCCAGCAACATACTGACCTGGCATGCTCTAGACACGATGGGGAGTCGGCTTTGGACCCAGAGACTGCAGCGACTACTCGACGGGCATCAGCATAATACCCATTCACAAGTTGACCGAGGCAGACCGCAAGTGGATGTTAACTGCGCCTTACGGAGGCAGCGGGGGCAAGCCCATTGAGAGCGGGATGGCCGTCGAGGAACCAGATATCGAGATCGGCGCCGGCGTCTCGTCCAAGGCTATCAGTCGCCGCATGCAGACGGACAAGGGCGGCAGCAACGGACCCAAGTCGACGCGCAACCGCGATGAGGAGGGCGGCGGCGGCGGCGGCGGCGGCGGCGGCGGCGGCGGCGGCGGTCGCGGTCGTCGTAACAGAGACCGCCGCGGCGACCATGGAGACAATGGCGCCGGCGGCCAGCAGCCCCCGGCGTCCGGGTTCCCCTTCGGCATGGGCAACCTCCCCAGCGGCATGCCCAACTTCCCCGCAGGTTTCGGCAGCTAGGCCACGGTGTCGAGAAGCGGCGTTGTAGCGGTGACGAATTGATACCCCAGCGTGGGGCGCGCGGCTGACGAGCCTCGCCCCGTGCGCCATCTCAGATTTCTCTCTTGGTGTTTTCTTGTCTCTCATGGTCGGCAGGAGGGGGGAATTTAAGGTCCGGCGTTCTTGAGGAGAGGCGGAAAGACGGCACACGTTGCCGCACGGCGGTCTGGGAACCGCTGGTTCTTTGCTTATTCACGAGCTTTCTCAGGTGTTCCGTCCCTGCCCCTTTGGAGAATGGAGCGGGGAGGCTTGTCGTCCCCTTCGACTTGGGTGTCGTTGGGACGTACAACTCATGTGGGTTATAGAACGGTGGAACGTCGACGGACGGTGCCGCCGAGTTGCTTGCTGCTTTTTCTCTTTTGCTCCCGGGTAAGGGTTGCTTTGTTTACTGGGACGCGCTTGCTGCGCACGTGGTTCCGAATAATTGAACACATACTTGACAAGATGTCTGCTTCGTTGAATGTGTGAAGATCTCGCTGCGCGTGACATGTCTATGGGGATTTGGAGGTATTCTATCTAGTGAGGGAGAGTGAGGCAGTGCCGTGTCTCCTCCTCGGCGGAGCAGAACCGTCATTGACGCCCTTCTTTCTTCCTTCTGACTACTAGGCGATCCTTTGGGTAAGTCCAGACCGATCTGGGCGGTACACAGGATATGCGGCTCGTCTCTTTACTACATTCCTAATCTACCAGCCGCGTCGTCTTGAAAGTGCGGGTTGAGAGATTGGCCTACCCTATACCTCAGTCGAAGAATTGATCCCGCGACATCAACTTCCAATTCTGGCCCATGAGCTCAAAACGAGGCTGTGGCCTCTCCGTTTTGATATCCAGGTCCCCTGAACTGTAAATAGCCTCGTAGAAACCTTAATCAATGATGCAGCGCTGCAGCTCGGCAGATGGATCACGCGGGAGCACCAGGAGCAAGGTACAATTACAACATGCCACTACGCGTGCATGAACGCGGAGACAAACTCTCTGCAACACCACATAATAAAAACACGATGGCAAGCTGCAATCACAAGAGCATTGGAGTTGCATGGTCAGATGAGCGACAGTCGCAGCGTCAGACAGACATTGCTCCCCCACGGGCCCCCGTCACGATGCATCGCCGCATCGGCGGCGGCGGTACGGGACCGCGTTGACGACACACGTACGGAGCGCTCGCAAATGACAGATGGGGCTCTTCGTCCTGCGGCTTGTTCCGGTCGTCAAGCACGCAGCAAGTCCATGGACCGAGAGCGAGGCGACGACTCCGTTTTGCCTGCCCTCGCGGGTCACGCCACGCGAACTGGGGAATTGCGCCCTCCACACCTTCGGCCCGCGGCAGTCCGACGACTTGACATGCAGGGCGAGAGACCCAGCAGGGCCGTCATCGTCGGGCGACCCCTGGCTGGCGTCATGGGCGTACCGGCTGATGCCCCTGTTCCTGACGGCGGGTGTCCGAAGCAGGGCAGCGCAGGGCGGCCACGCTGGAGCCAGGCCGGCCCTTTGGCAGCGAAGCTTGTTGCATGGAGAGCCTCGTCCGAACGCTCCCAAGACTTGCCCCGGCTGCCAACAGAAACGTTTGCGAGGCTCGCGGCGTGGGTCCGCCGGCCGGGCCGGTCGCCGGCAGTCGCCTCCTGAGGGCAAAAGTGCCGTGTCAAACAATCGAGCGAATGGTCCCCTTTCCGCGTTCGCCATCGGAAACCGTTCCTGTGTCGCCTCTCCTCGCCTCGCCTCGCCACGCTTGGTTGGCTGGGCGTTGACGCGGGACGGCAAGGACGGGAGGCTTATTCCCGTTGATACGACCGGCAGTCGTCGAGCAACGACATCGGAGCGGCAAGAAGTAAAAGGAGAGACATGACTAGGACGAGGACCATGACGTCTTCAAGGACAAGAACAGAGACATCCCAAGGTTTGGGCAGAGCCGCTTATCTCCTGCTCGATTCGGCCCGCGACTTAGGAGCGCCCTGGGCTCGGGAATCCCGACGTCCAATACGAAGCGGGTGACAACATTTTGGATGGAGACGCCGTTGTCCACCATCGTCTCGGCGACTGGGCCCGCCGACGATGACGGGGCAACGCTGGCCGCAAACGGTTCCCCTCGTCGGCCGAGTCAGGCAATCGACAGGCGCTCTCGACGCCAGCTGAAGCGACGAGTACTGCACAGTACAGCATGTAGGTGCCTGGAGATGTTGTCGCAATCCTCACGGAGGCGCGGCTTTCGTGGCGTGTTTCCAATGCACCCCCCGAGCATGGCTCTGCATGGAAACCATTTAAGGCTGGCTGGCTTGGCATGGAGAAGCGTGTCGCAGTAAACAGGACGAAACGAGGCGTGATACGAACGGGAAACATGGTCAACCGGCCCCAGAGGCGCCATGGGACCGAGCCCCAATTTGTCATGGGTCGCGAGGCTGGGCGGCGGCCGAGCGACGAGGCGCCGCGCCGCCGCCGCCGCCGTCAATCGCCGTGCCTCGCAGGGTCCTGGTCTGCAGCGCTCGAGCGTCGGGATCCCGCCTGCGTTTCAGGCTTGGCAGAGCAGCTTGTTTGAGCCCTGAAGACCCTGTCCCGTCCTTTCCTGTCCACCGTCGAAGCCATGCCTCTTTGATCATCCGGGTTGCCCTGCTGGATTGCGTCTTTTTGCTGATGTCGACGTTGCCGCGAGGTCCGTGGACTTGCCATGGGGGCGGCCAGGAAAATTCGAAAACGCCGTCCCTCGACCGCCTGGCCTCGCGCCTCGGAGAAAACGGCTCCTCGAGAGGCGACGCCCGGCGCGTCTCGGCAGCGGCGGCACGGGAAGAGTGGGAACCACAGCTAGCCTTTGCGACCGCCGCGTCTGGCGGCACTGGAAGCGGCAAGCCATCTTGCGCGCGCGCAGGGCGACAGCTTCGCTCGCCTCAACGGCCGTCCCAATCAAACCCCGGCCAGCCAGGCACCGAGTGCGTGGGGGAAATGCGCGCAATGAGACTGCTCCCGTAGCGTCCCGTCACCGTGCGTACGTGGTGTGTGATCGTAGCGGTGCCGGAACTCGGGGGTCGATGTTGCGATCTGGGTGGCTATTGATTGATGTGCCGCGTGGAATAGGACATTGCACAGCACTGTACTCACGGTGCTGTGCAACCCAAGACCTAGAAATACTTTCCTATACAGCACAATGCCGCTGCCGACGCGCATTGTGCATGTGCCATGCTGCTGGCTGACAGTCGTCTCGACTCTCTCCGCCATGCTGCTGCTGCCGCGTGTCCGGCCGTCGGCTGTTGAAGTGGCTGGTGCTAACATCTCATCCATTGTCTTAGCTGCCGAGCTCCTGTTGCTCGTGACCAGCAACTGCCGTCGGGCCTGCCAAGCGTGACGACTGTATCTCGTAGCAACTCATCAGCTGTCACAAACGGCCCATCTTGTTCCTGCAGACGGGACTTGCTCGCTGCTTGTTGCACGTCGGCAAGGTCAATGCACCCTCATGGACGCGGCCCGGCACGCCTCATGCTGGCTGCATGCAACAAAAGCCACCAAGAGCTTCGGCCCTCGCGGGCCACCGCCTTTCCAAATCCTGAGGCCCTGTGCTCTGCCACCGTTGTCGTGCCGGTGGCTTCTTATCTGTTGGCTGCGTTGCCCACCGACGTCAATTGTAGCTGGGCACTGGATGCCATTGTGCCGAGATGCCAATCCTGGTCACCGAGCGGTGCAACGCTGGGATGTGCCGTGCCGCTCGCCGATGACGCGGCGGTACTGTTCTCGTCAACGACCAGAGGAGGAGGTCTAGCCGGGCATGGCCAAGTTGCCCCGAGTGTTGAGCGAGCGACCGTGTCGGCGGCTGTCTTCAGCGGCACAAGCTGGCACTGGCGGTGTGTGTCCGTGAAGGCTAGCTGCAAGCGACATGCCTCGCATACAGGCAACGGATCGGGTCAGCAGACGAACAGACAGGGTTCGTCCTTCTTGACTGGCCCAGCCTCATACATACTGTAATCCCTCTACCCCAGCCATGGCTTGTCTGTCTGGTGCATGGGTCCCGGCCCCAATCCGGAGTTGTGTGTGTGTGGGCGGATGAGCGGGCAAGCTTTAACCGCCCGGCTACGATGCAGGATCGGCCACCCCAAATCAGTGTGAGAGTTGACTACGACACTCCCGAACAGCTGCTTCATGATTGCTCGCACGGCCGAGCTACCTGTGCGTAGGTGACAGATGCAGATTCGCAGATGAGCGGACTTCAGAATGTGACCAAATTGGACACGTATGCCTTAGTGAATGACGAGCGGCGGGATGGGCATTCTCGACTCGGAGAATGGGCCGTCACTTGAAACCTCGTACAGGAGAGTACTGCCATGAGCTGCAGGGACGGCCACAAAGCGGTTGAGGTCCAGCTAGAGACGGCTCGCCGTAGAGAACCCTGGCGGCATGACGAGATGCCAGACGACGCCGCTCCCCGTTCCGCGTATTCTGGCGCGCTCGCGTCCCGGGCGACTCGGCCAATTACTGCAGGCCGGATATGGCGTTTGCGCCTCGGGACAGGCGTTCCTATTGTGGACTGGGGCGGGAAAGTCAAGATAAGCTGGGGTTTGACTTACGGCATCATTGAACACGCTTCGTGCCGGGTCGCTGCACCGCAATGGATCAGCCCTGCGGGCTCTTATGCAGTCCATCGTCGGCTCACGCGACAGTGGCACTGTACTGCGCAGCACTGAACCCTGTGTGCAGTACGGAGACTATGGGGAAGTGAATAAAACTCGATGCGCGTGTGGACATGCTGCACTCCATTGTGCTAGTTAGCCTGTAGCCACTTCGCAGCAACTCCGTGTGTCCACTGGCGGCGTCGCATGGCCTGGGGCCGGCCTCAACAAATGCCTCGTCGCAAATTGAAGCAGGAACGGCGGTGGACGGCAAACGGTCAGCCAAAAGTGGGCGTCGGCCGGGGCAAAAGGCCACCGCCGTGGCCGGCGGAGCGAGAGCGCGCGAGCTGAGGTGACGATGAGCGGTTTTGTGGTTCCCGTTCCGTCATTCAGTCGGGAATAGCGGGCAGCCGCAACAGGGCCAAGACGTTCTCGAAGGCTTCACCGAAGGGCAGCGGGCGGGCGACGACGCAAAAGGAACGCGACTCATTGGGTGGCTCCGGCGGTGCGTCTTCATGCAGCCGGCCGCCATTTCGCCGCCATTGCCCATGGGGAGAGACCCATCGTGGGCTCGGTCCTAATGCTGGGGGTCAGTCGCCATTGGATGGTGCAACGCCGAAGCCTCCAGAGTTTCCAGAAGACACGGAGCGCGAGGGCGCGAGGGCAAAAAAAGGCTCACCTGCAGCCGCCGAGGCCAGACCCGGCCAGATAACCCGTATCCACCGCGGGAGCCAGAAAAAAACTCGTCAAGCCATCAAACACCAGGGCTGGCGTGCCCCCCAAGGCAGGCGCATATCGTTACGTCTCCAAAACCTGATTCAGATTGAGCCGCCGCGGGAGGTGAGGCGCTCGCCTCCCCCATCCCATCCCATTGATTTCCCCCATTCCGCCTCCCACACACCCACAAAAACGGCGACGCCGACCGAACGCCAACCTGGCCAGGTCGGACCGGGGGTGGCCCATCTCACACACACCCGCGCAGCTTGTCAGGCGTCCAAATCGGCGGGCGAGACGATGGCCGGCGGCCACGAAAAAATAAGCCCGCGGGCTCATTGGCTGGGTGTAGCTGCTGGTACGGGCGCCCGCGGCTTTGGAGCCTGGGGGAGACCAGGATTGGATCGCCGACGGGGGGGGGGGCCATTCCAGGCAATGACGTAGTGGATATGTTTGCGGGCGAGCATGCCTGTCGTTTCGACTGTTTATGCGCAACAGCGAATCATTGCCGTCGGTGTTGTGCGCACGAGCACGGCACGGCCTGGCCAACAGGAGGAGCAACGACGACACGGACGAGGTTGACGATGGATGCAAAGCGGTGATGATGGGGATGTTTTTTTTTCTGGGGCATCGCTGGGGCGGCGTCGCAGATGCGCGCCACTTGCTCTTTCCCATTCTATCTGCGTATAGACGTGGAGAGGAAGGAGCGCACGAGGCGACGGAGGGCAAGAGGCCAGCGCTGGAGCCAATGGCCGGGGCGGCTTGCCAAGGCCCATTACCTGATGGCGCTGTGCCTTAGTATAGCACGCGGTCCTGTATGAAACCGATGCAGACATTTGTGTCGACGCCTACAAGACGTTGCCTGTCAGTGTCACGTCACGGAACGGCGCACGCAGCCCGCTCAGGGCAGGGCCCCGGGCCGCCGCTGGTGCTGGTGCTGGCGCCGGTGCTGGTGCCGGTGCGGTCCTGATAGTACGTGGCCAGGCCAGGCGCTGATGCCGATGCGGTCGCCGACGGGCAGAACGCGCACTTACACAAGCGCATCTCGCTCGGATGCTGCGGTAACACGTTTCGCCAGCAGCATGCAGGTGAGCGACTCAGCGCCGGGGCGACGATGGGCGATGGGCTCGACACAATTTTCACAGGTCTGTTCTAGCGCGTGTTTTGTGCCCTGGAGCACAAACAAGGTGAGACGGCAAGACGGGGCTCCTAGGCCAGGGAGGTACCTGGCGGCGTGGCCTGGAGCCAGTGTGCCAAACTGTGCTGCCGCTGCCGCTGCTGGGGCCCCCATCCACCTCCATCCAGTTCCGGCCCCGGTGTTGCTCGCATTGGCGCTCGCATTGGGGCTGGCCTGGCTGGCCTGGCTGGCTGGCGCTCCCTGTCCGCCGGGGCTTTCGTGGGGATTCCGGCGACTTGCGTGCTTCGGTGATTGGGAGCGGCTCTACCTTGGACCTTGACCTTGCCCCGTCCACCTCAGCCGGCGGGCGGCAGGCGGCAGGCCCGGAGGCGGCTCGGCTTGTCCAGCGCCCAAAGACGGCGGGCGGGCGCCGTTGGACGAGGGATTGAGTTGTTGGAGGCGAGGCAGGATGACGATGCATTGCCGTGCGTGCTGCATGCGGACGACAGTTTTTTTTCTGCTTTGCCCCCTCCTCTGCGTCTAGCTGCACCGCACCGCATATCTCGCTCCGTTGGCCTGGCCGTGTCGTCGCGAACGCCGGCTGCCACGGAGATTCCGTGACGGCCCGTCAGGGAAAGCAGCATGTCCGGGACATTGTCGTCGCGCGCAGGGCAAAGCCAGGGCAGGACGGGGCGTTGCTGATGTGGAAGCTGATGAAGCTGTCTCACTGCGGAGGGCGGCTGCAATGGCCCAGTCCGGCTAATGGACGACGGAGGGGCGCCGCAATCCCCGCGGAGTCGTCGTCAACTGAACCGCCAAGCCCAAGTGTTGCAGTCCAGCCGCCAGCCAGAGTCCAGGGCACCTCGACTTCCATTCTTGTGCAACGGCGCCAAGACGACTCGCTGCTGTCAGGTGGTGGTCCCGGTGGTGGCTGGTGAGGCCTTTTGGGCGCATGCATGATGCTTATCCCGACATCACGCTCGCCCGTGAGCGACAACAACGTGCGCCGCTCTGTCTCTCCCACGCGGCCGGACCCCTTCGGGCCCCCCTTAGACAGGGCTTGGAACAGAACAACCTTGAGCGCAACCTTAAACTTGCCGCTGGGGACAGGCCGCGATCGACGCCACAAAGGCGCCGGACGTGCTCAACTCTGAGACGAAACATCGACCTGTCAAGGGAGCGGGCAAAGGGCACGCGTCACCGTCGTCGAGGGCGGGGGGACCCGGCTCTCGACGTTGTGTCGGCGCAAGGCAGCAGCAATCACGAGGGAGCTCGCGATATCAGATCTCCCACGGCACATCCGGTGCCTATCGAGGCTAGACAGAAACGGGAGGCGATCTGGACGGAGCTGGGGCGCTGGTGAGGCAATGCTCAGGCGCGGCTCCGTGGCGATCACTTACATGACGAGTTACAGAGTAATAATACCGACCAGCAAGCTGCCAAGGCCGAGTGCAAAGGGATGCAAACGCAGGGCAATGGGCCAGACGCCGTCGGTCAATCGCTTCCTGATTTACCGCTGCAACGTACGCACGGTACTGTACGCGAGGGGACTCCTGGGAAGCGTCAAACAATCAGGCATCGGAGTCTTCGCTCGTCCTGGACGCTGGGTAGCATCGCCCTCCGGGTTGCTCCTGGTTCGAGCTCGAGCGGATTTGCATTTGCAAGTGTCGCGGGCACTACCGCGACGGCGCACAGGGACAACCTAATGGAAGCTAGCCTAACCCAACGTCAATGGAAGGACGGCCGCGGGAGTCTGTGGCCGCTGACCGCCACGCCGACCGGGATTCGCAGAGCCGACCCCAGCAGCGTCATGCTGGGGGAGGTGCGGGAGCCGAACCTTGGAGGCTCGAGGACCACCGCCCGTGTTGTAGATTCTCCCGCAGCATGCACAGTGCTGTAGGTACCGGAGCGCCTGCAGCCAGCTGCGGAGCAGGCACCAAAGCGGAAGACTAGCACCGCTGGCTTGTTGCCCGGACCCGAAAATGCCTCAAGCAACAAGACGGCGAGGGCGCTCGCGGCCAAGAACCGGGTCGCTGAATTATTACGAGAGAACGCACACTGGTTGGGCGAAACTCGTATGGAACCGGCCTGCTCTCGACTCGCAACTGAACGGCAGCGCTTCTCGCGACGCACCTCGAGGGTAGACGCTGCTCGCGGGACGCGGAGGACGCCGACGAGCAGACGTGTCACATAGAGCCGTTCCGAGTATTCACATAGAGCCGTTCCGAGTATTGTGCTTGGCATGCCGCAATGGAAGCCAAGATAGAAGCAACGGCTGTACCTGCGCGTGCGCTGTGCGTCTTCTTCGGCCACGTAGGTACGAGGTGCTGCGCTGTCCCAGGCGCCGCTGTGCAGTCCCCCGCGAAACAAGGCGGCCTTGGTACCGCGATGCGCTGCTACCGCGATGCCCCGCGCACGTACAGGAATCTGGAACAGCGACGCACACAGCAACGCACACTACCGGCGGCGCAACTTTTAGAATCGGCCTGATAGCACGCGCTGCGCCGTACGTACCAGCTACGAGCGCGTGCGCGCAGAGACTCGGCCCCAGCACCTCGTGCCTGCCCCTCCCCCATTCCCCGGCCTGTGCTGGCTTTCTGAGACTCAGCGTCGCTTTAAATGGCCTGCCAAGCTCGGCGCAACTGGGAGTCTCTCTCCCTTGGGCCACGGGTCATGTGCGTGGCTGCGTTGACGCGCACTCCGGAGGGCGACGCGGCGCCTGCACGCATGGGACCCTCCCATCCGATGTCGACCTTTGACGACTTGGTTTACCAAGCCATTACACTACCGCAGCACATGCGCGAGCGTCCGAGCTTGACCGCCAGCGCCGTGTCTGCGTCAACACGTGCTCGGTAAGTGCGGTAACGCATCGTCATCGAGCTGAACCGCCATGACACGACGACGCCATCGGGCGCAGCTGGTACCTGGGACAGCGTTGCTGGCCCGACTTCTCGTTACCTCATATCGAATGTGCGGCGTGGACTAGAACTGGTGCCACTGAGGAGCCCCGGAGCCGCCAAGAGCCGCGTCTCGTGCAGGCGGCGCCCTGCCCATGGGGCCGGCCGTCGACGGTGCTGCTGGTGAGATTGCAGGGCCTGGCCTGGCGCTGGCTCTGGCTCTGGCCTTGGCTGGTATCGCTGCTGCGAACGGCTTTTGGTCCGGCAGTGTGGCCTTTGGGGCGGCCACCTACGTAAGGCGAAAGCCAGTTATAGCACGCTCGCCCTCCGGGGGAGCGCCCGTGAGCCGCCCGCCCGCCGTGATGCCCTCGTACGAGTCCGCGCAGGGCAATTACGCAGCTGCGCGTAAGTAGCCAGCTGTGAGCAGAGACAACATGACGATGGCGCCACGCCGACCGCAGGCGAAGCAGCCAACACGACATTGCTGCGGTGCTTGGCGGCGATTGTCGCGGTGGCCAGTTGGACGCCATCTGGTGGCACCTTGGTCGAGGACCGTCGTGTACATGCACGCAGTGTACGGCGAAGCGAGGTACTCGACGCCGGAGGGGAGAGCCACCTCGCCGCGCCGATTCAGCGAGTCGGAACGGCCGTGGCAGGTACTGCAGTCCTGGCCAGGCTCCAGAGTGGCAGCTGGGACGTGCTGGAGCCCTTGGAGTCTTTTTTGGGGGGGGCATGACCTCGCGCTAGCGGGGCTCCTGATACGCACCGTGCCGGGGGCGCCCAATCCGCACTGACTGCGTCCGTGTACTCCCGCAGCCCGGAAACGAGCCAGACTTTTTTCGTGAGTGTGTGTGTGCCTGTGCCTGGGATGGAGCCCGGTGGAGCGGAGGGATGGATGGGCGGTGGATCCTTGGGGCGAGCGTCGGCCGGCATCCATGGGGCGTGCAGGGGGGCGACGCCATGGGTCAGTACCACCAAGACCATGTCCGGCCCACGGTGGAGCCAGGGCCCGAGGAACCCAGAAGCCTCTGCCTCCCCCCCCCCCCCAGGGCAGGACCGGACCGGCGTGCAGTCAAGTCAGTCAGTCAGTCAGTCAGTCACCTCAGTGAGGGCGGGCGGGCAAAAAGTCTCATCAGCGAGGTGTGAGAGCGCCCAAAGCTTGTGGTCCGTCGCTCGCTCGTCGTAGGCTCGCCCGTCGCAGGCTCGCCCGCTCTGCTAGTAAACCCAAGTGTCTGCCTGTACCCGGCACCATCCATCCATTGAAATAGTCGCTCCCACCCGTCCCGCGGCCCGGCTTCCTCTTCCCTTTCCCTTTCTTCTCTCGACACCCACGAATGCGTTGCACTGAGTGACCATTGCCGTCCCCTTCGTGTGGTGCTTCGACACTCACCTTCTTTCTTCTCTTTTTCTTCCCCCCCTCTCCACTCCATCGCTGACCTGCGCTCTCGCCTACGCACGAGCGACTCCGTGGCCGTCGTCGTCCTGATACCCTAAGAGCCCGCATCTGTTACACCAGAAGAAGAAAAACCTAGGATCCTACACCTGAGCTCTTTTCTCGCACCCCGCCATGGCTGACGACAAGGCCGCCGGCGCGCCCGCGCTGGACACCAACATCGAGTCGGGCAACTTCGACGAGAAGCGCGCGCAGCAGCAGCACCAGCAGCAGCAGGCCCCTCCCAAGAAGGTCGAGGCCGCCGGCTCTGCCGACGACGACGACGATGAGGACATTGACGCCCTGATCGAAGACCTCGAGTCCCAGGATGGCCACGGCGCCTTCGATGAGGAGGAGGAGGAGGGCACCCCCGGTGGCGGCCGCGTCGTCCCCGAGGACATGCTCCAGACGGACAGCCGCGTTGGTCTGACCGAGTCCGAGGTCGTCGCCCGCCGCCGCAAGTACGGTCTCAACCAGATGAAGGAGGAGAAGGAGAACCTGATTCTCAAGTTCTTCTCCTACTTTGTCGGCCCTATCCAGTTCGTCATGGAGGTGAGTCTCTGCTCTGCGCTGCCCCTGTCATTCTTTGTCGCTGCTGCACCACCATCATCATCACCACTTCCACCCAAGCACGCACCCCCCCTTGCACGGTCCCGGTCACAATGACGCTGGGGGCGGGCTGCTTGCCACCAACGCCGCACTCTGCACGCAAGGTGCGGGTGCGGGTGTGGGTGGTGACGCCGGCCTGCCCAGTGTTATTTTTCGGACTGTATTTTTTTTCGCGCTTTTTTTCCCGCAGATTACCAGCTCCACATGAGCTGTCGGGAGTGGGCCACCCAGCAATTGGCTCACCAGACTGGCTGGCACCCATGTGGGGGTGCATGCGAGGTGTGGCCGATCCATCCGACACGCCCGCAGTGCAGCAACCGCGCCAGGCCAGAACGGGACAGCCGCTGTTTGGGTGTCTGGGTGTTGTGCAGCCGGCCGCCAGGCAATGGGACGGACTTGTTCGCGCGCCTGGCTTGCGGCGTCGCCGCTTCCAGCGCCGGGCTGCCTGAGCCTGGGCCTGGCCTCGCCTCACCTGGCGCCGCCGCCGCCGCCGCCGCCGCCTCTTCGCCGGGTCGAATGCAATTGAATTTCGGCCACCCGCGAGTCGTCGCAACTCTATCGCACGCGCAGCATGACAAGCACAAATCACACGCACGAGTCGCAGTGGCGCTAACATGGCTTTCCCTCTAGGCTGCCGCCGTCCTCGCTGCCGGTCTCGAGGACTGGGTCGATTTCGGTGTCATCTGCGGTCTTCTCCTGCTCAACGCCTGCGTTGGTTTCATCCAGGAGTTCCAGGCTGGTTCCATTGTCGAAGAGTTGAAGAAGACCCTCGCTCTCAAGGCTGTCGTTCTCCGTGACGGCACCCTCAAGGAGGTCGAGGCCCCCGAGGTCGTTCCTGGCGATATCCTGCAGGTTGAGGAAGTGAGTCAATCACATCCCCAAAGTCAATCGCGCCCAGCTAACCGCCCCAGGGTACCATTATCCCCGCTGATGGCCGCATCGTCACCGAGGATGCCTTCCTCCAGGTCGACCAGTCCGCCATCACTGGTGAGTCGCTCGCTGTCGACAAGCACAAGGGCGACAACTGCTTCGCTTCCTCCGCTGTCAAGCGTGGTGAGGCCTTTGTCGTCGTCACCGCCACTGGTGACAACACCTTTGTCGGCCGCGCCGCCGCCCTCGTCTCTCAGTCCGCTGGCGGCACCGGTCACTTCACTGAGGTGCTCAACGGCATCGGCACCATCCTGCTCATCCTGGTCATCGTCACCCTCCTGGTCGTCTGGGTCTCGTCCTTCTACCGCTCCAACCCCATTGTCGACATCCTGCGCTTCACCCTCGCCATCACCATTGTCGGTGTCCCCGTCGGTCTTCCTGCCGTCGTCACCACCACCATGGCCGTCGGTGCCGCCTACCTCGCCAAGAAGCAGGCCATCGTCCAGAAGCTGTCCGCCATTGAGTCGCTGGCCGGTGTCGAGATTCTCTGCTCCGACAAGACCGGTACCCTGACCAAGAACAAGCTCTCCCTCTCCGAGCCCTTCACCGTCCAGGGTGTCGACCCCGATGATCTCATGCTCACTGCCTGCCTGGCCGCTTCCCGCAAGAAGAAGGGTATCGACGCCATCGACAAGGCTTTCCTCAAGGCCCTCAAGTACTACCCCCGCGCCAAGAGTGTTCTTTCCAAGTACAAGGTCCTCGACTTCCACCCCTTCGACCCCGTCTCCAAGAAGGTCCAGGCCGTCGTCGAGTCCCCCCAGGGCGAGCGCATCACCTGCGTCAAGGGCGCCCCCCTCTTCGTCCTCAAGACCGTCGAGGAGGACCACCCCATCCCCGATGCCGTCGACAAGGCCTACAAGAACTGCGTCGCCGAGTTCGCCACTCGCGGCTTCCGTTCCCTCGGTGTTGCCCGCAAGCGCGGTGAGGGCGCCTGGGAGATCCTCGGCATCATGCCGTGCAGCGACCCCCCGCGCCACGATACCGCCCGCACTATCAACGAAGCCAAGCGTCTCGGTCTCTCCATCAAGATGCTCACGGGCGACGCCGTCGGCATTGCCCGCGAGACTTCCCGCCAGCTCGGTCTCGGTACCAACGTCTACAACGCCGAGCGTCTCGGTCTCGGTGGTGGTGGCGACATGCCCGGCTCCGAGGTCTACGACTTCGTCGAGGCCGCCGATGGCTTCGCCGAGGTCTTCCCCCAGCACAAATATAGCGTGGTCGAAATCCTCCAGCAAAGAGGTTACTTGGTAGCAATGACTGGCGATGGTGTGAATGATGCGCCGTCGTTGAAGAAGGCCGACACTGGTATCGCTGTGGAGGGTGCGTCGGACGCGGCGCGATCGGCCGCCGACATTGTTTTCCTTGCTCCGGGCCTGGGCGCGATTATCGACGCCCTCAAGACTTCGCGCCAGATTTTCCACCGCATGTACGCGTACGTTGTGTACCGTATCGCGCTGTCGCTGCACATGGAGATCTTCCTTGGTCTGTGGATCGCGATCCTGAACCGCAGCTTGAACATCGAGCTGGTGGTCTTCATTGCCATTTTCGCCGATATCGCTACGCTGGCCATTGCCTACGACAACGCTCCTTTCTCGCAGACGCCCGTCAAGTGGAACCTGCCCAAGCTCTGGGGAATGTCGGTGCTGCTCGGTGTCGTCCTGGCCATCGGTACCTGGATTGCGCTCACGACCATGTACGCTGGCGGCTCTGACGGCGGTATTGTCCAGAACTTCGGTAACATTGACGAGGTGCTCTTCCTTGAGATCTCGCTCACTGAGAACTGGCTGATCTTCATCACGCGTGCCAACGGTCCCTTCTGGTCGTCGATCCCCTCGTGGCAGCTCAGCGGTGCCATCCTGGTTGTGGACATCATCGCGACGCTGTTCTGTATCTTCGGCTGGTTCCAGCACGGCGAGCAGACGAGCATTGTCGCCGTTGTCCGTATCTGGATCTTCTCGTTCGGTATCTTCTCCATCATGGGTGGTCTCTACTACTTCATGCAGGGCTCTGCTGGCTTTGACAACCTCATGCACGGCAAGTCGCCCAAGCGCAACCAGAAGCAGCGCTCGCTGGAAGACTTTGGTAAGTTTTGTGTCTCGAGTCCAAAGGATCGTGCATCGCTAACAGTGCGCAGTTGTCTCCCTCCAGCGTGTGTCCACCCAGCACGAGAAGTCGCAGTAAATAAGGCTCCATACTACATACCCGCACGGCTGAACGCCTGCTCCTTTCGCTTTCTCTATGTTTAAATTGCATTGTATGAGTCTTAGCTGAGCATCGTCGCGTTCCTGGTGTGGGTGAAGGGGCAACTTTTCATATACCAACTAGAGACCTGTCTTTCATAGACACTAATAAAGAAGTAAAAATATGTTCTGTACTTGGCCTGTGAGGTTCCGTGGTGATGCTACTCCTGTATTGGCAGTCCGCCCACGACACGGTCACAGGTAGCTGGGGACGCATGTGGAGAGCGCCTCGCATGAGAAACGGCGGGCGCGGCGTGGGCCCTGCATGTTGGGGTGCTGCAAGATGCAGGCTTGGCGACGATGCGCCGTCGAGCGGGAGACAGGGAGCCCTTGAAGAGGCAGTGCAATAGGGCTGAAGACGGCGTTATGGTGGTCATGCTGGCAGGGGAGTCTGGTGTTGTAGACCGTGGCGTAAGTCACGTGACTGTTGCGTCGGCAGACCTCTCCAGCGCCTGATGTCAAAGTGCCATTTACAACGTTTGCTTGTCATGTGCCGATGTCGAACATGGCTCGACATTCGCTTTCTGCTTTCATGTTGAGAGTCCGTGGTAACTACTCAGAAGAAATCGCACGACACAAATTCTCTTTTCAGTTGGACGATTTGACTCCGTGTTGAGCGGCAAGATGCCGCCGGTGGAGATACCGGGTTACTACTACGGTGAGACCACGCATCTCGTTGATCTTGGGCTGGGCGTTAAGGTTATCTGAATCTGACCGACGGACCAGATGAGGCCAAGAACAAATATTTCAAGATCGAAAAGTCTCACACCGCGCCTCCATCGGCAGCATGGTCGGCCGACTCGGTCAAGAAGCGCCGGGTCGAGGACACTGCGCGGCGAGAGGCCCGGCACAGGGCGCACCTGGTGCGCAATCACGTCAAGCGCAGCGTCTTGCGGCGCAACATACTGCCCGCGGGCCTGCTCGCCCGTGAGACCGAAATCGTGAGGAGTGCCGCCGGCGGAGTCGCAGGCTATGGCGCTCGCGCCGACGACGGGGACTTGGGCGCCGCGGCGTGGGTGAGCGGTGTGGTCGACAAGGGCCATGTGCCGTTCGTGCCCAGCTTTGCACGGACTCGCTTCGCCAACATGCCCTGCTTTTACGTCGGCGGGGATGACACCAAGACCGGCCTCGGCGTGGCATACGCGAGTGAGTTCCCCGGCCGTGCCGCTGAGTTGTCGATCTTGAAACTGATGGAGCGCAGCCCTGGACGAGGAGACACTCGTTGGGAGCTACATATCCACGGACGACAACGACCGGTATGTGAGACACGTTGCCGGGGAGCTCGGTGAGACGCTGACGATGAACCGCAGCATAACATTTGACCGAGACCGCCCTGGCACGCTGGAACGCGGGCCGTCGTTCCGCACGGAAATGATTCGGTGCCCGCAGATGTCGTCGATCAAGTACCACAAGCCCTCGCACAAGATCCTCCTCACGTCCCGGGAGCCGGACCACAGCTGCGGGCTCTACTTCTTCTCCCCACCCCTGTCTCCCCCGGACGACCCCCGGCCGCATTGGCTGCTAGGCGAGAGTACGTGAAATAAGCTACGCGTGCCCCGGCACATGGCGGAGATCGCTGGGCTGACCGGGACCACAGCTAATCACTACCAACGGCTCTCCATCCGCCATCGACTCCGCGATGAGTGGCTCGTGCATCAGAGCACGCCGGCCCCGGCGGCGTCGGACCTCCTCTGCGTCATCGGCACCAACGCCGGCATCCTCCGCGTCCGCTCCAACGAGACCATGGCCTGGATCGCGCCGCAGAGCCCCCCCAAGGGCCTCCACCTGCCGCAGGAGATCTTTGACCAAGACTTTCAGCACGGCAACCACAACATCCTCCTCGCCGGCGGGCGCCAGCCGCGGCTCTGGATGACGGACCTGCGGACCCCCGAGTCGGACTGGTCGTGGACCCGGCACGCCAGCTCCATCGCGCACCTGCGCAGCGTCAACGAGCACCAGATCCTCGTCGCCGGCCTGCAAAACTCGATGGCCCTATACGACATGCGCTTCTTCGGCCGTCGGCCCAACGGCATCAGCCCGCTGCTCGACTTCCCCGCGTACCGCAACGCCGCGCACTTCCACACGGGATGGGACGTGAGCCCGAGCCTCGCCGTTGCGGCGGCGGCACAGGACGACGGCACGGTCAGGCTCTTCTCGCTGCGCTCCGGGCGCGCGCTGCGGAGGCCCGCGATGGACCGCGCCGCCCGCACCGACACGCCGGTGCGCGCGCTCATGTTCCAGCAGATGCCGTGGGAGAAGACGCCCAGCCTGTTTGTGGGCGAGGGGCCGTCCCTGCGGAAGTACTCGTTCGGGACGGTAGATGTCGACTACGAGGCCTGACAGCCGTGATACCTGACACCTGATACTCGATACCTCACGAGCCCCGCCATTCTTATTTCTGCCGGGGCACCCCCGCGTAATGACATGTCGTCTTTTCTCGGCTGCTTTTTGTTTCTGCGTCCCTCATATGCTTGGCGTCGTTGGGTCGTCCTTTTTTGAACAAGAAAGTTCATCATTGTTGGGAGTCAGTCTTTAGTACGTATTAGGCGGAGATGAGCTATATGACCTGTGGATAAGGGGGGTTTCTTTTCTGCCCTGCCCTGCCCTGACATGGCGCGGCTGCATGGCATGAGGGCATTGTCACTTTTGCCGATATGACTGGGCTGGATTGGGGAATCTGCAGCCCATGCACGACATGGCGCACTGTACTTATCACACACTGTAGGAGTCGAGGCTGGAAAGGCCGTGGGCACGGATTCGTGGTGTTCCAGACCCTCGGTACATTGTACACGAACACCGTGCTGAAACTGATGTCCGTACGAGGCCCGAATCCGTGACCAACGACCTCATGGAGATAGAAGATCTAGGCCCAGGCAAAAGCAAAACATCATCAATCAAGTGCCTGTCAATGCAGACAAACCGCCGCTCACCTCCTACCGCAGGAATAGACCAAAACAAAATTAAGAAAATAATGAAAAAGGGCAAAAAAAGAAAGTCGAATGCGTGATCTGGGAATCGAACCCAGGGCTCCCCGACGTTGCGCGGATGGCAACGGAGAATTTTACCACTAAACCAATCACGCTTGTTTGGTTGTTACGAAACCGCGGTGGTTCGCTTGCAAGGAAGGGTGTTCCTTGCTGATTGGATGTTTGGAAGGGGAGGTAATGAGGTATATACGTGTCTAGTCGAGTGGGCGGTGGGTGGTGGTCGTATTTCGTGGGCGAGTGTGGGCTTTGTGGGTATTTTTCGCTCTGATACGGTATCGTGGGTGGGTACGGAGTTGTGCGTTGAGGCTTTGTGCGCGGTGGGGTCTAGCTTGCACAGCAAAGGGGTTCAGGAACCTCAGTCTGGGCGTAATGTGCTGGTCCTGGTCCTGGTGCTCGTGGTTTTGGGGCCACTTGATGAGAATGTCTGGCAGGTTGAGCACGAAAGTGAAGAGTGTAGTGTGAGCACTCTGCGCTTGGATGCGCAGTGTATATCTACAGCAACATACTATGGCTACATTTCGGAAGACGGTGTTGTGTCCTCGCCCTCCAGTTCTTGTGGGCCATCGAGAAGTATCTGTTCAATGTCTCCGGTCAAGGGATTCTCCATCACTCCTGTCCCGTCGACATATTTCCCGACCAGTTGCCCAACAATCGTATCTTCCTCGTAGAAATCCCATGCCTTCCATCTCTGCCGAGCCAAGGGAGAAGAGTCAATTGCTTTAATATGACTCCACTCAAACTCTCCCCCTTTCAGCTCGGCGCAGTTCAGCTCGCACTGGCCGGAGATGCATTTCTCGATATACTTCTCCCGGAGCAGTTCCAGTGCTGGCGACCAGATCCCGTTCGTCAGCCCAATGCGGCCAACGCAAAAAAACACCACGCTTGGCCCCAAACCCCTGCAAATAGCTTCGAGATCTTTTTGGTCCATTGAGATGTATGCCAGGCTGAGTTTTACCACATGTTGCCAATTTATGCTGCGCAGGACGTGGCCAAAGGGATAGTAGTCCTTCTTGCGCCCGGAGCTCCACTCGGGTGCTACACTCAAACGTGGTAGGCATACATCGATCTCCCGGAGATTCGGGCTCGAGAGTGTCGCAGAAAGGAACTTGTCCAGAAATTCTCGCTCGTCGGGAGGGATATGCTCAGATAGAATAGCATCCTCCACACATCGTTCACTCTTGGACCTCTGAAGGCTGCCGAGTGCGACGTGAAGGTCGTCCCATGACACGCCCCATGGATCCATCAGACCAGGTTCCAACATGTACAAGTCTTGCATGGGGAGGGTGTCGATTGTGAGAGATTGCAGCGCCGCCCCTGCCTTGTACATCGCGATGGGAAGATCCCAGAGGATCGTTGCTGGAACAAGTGGTGAATACACATGTAGGAACTGATGTTCCCACCATGCCAATGGGGTAGCCATAAACCGGCGTAGTGTATCTGCACCCGATAAAACCAGCGTCGCATCATGGCTGAGAGGTTCCGGATGCCCGCTTGGCTCGTCGGTGAACAGCAGTGAGCCGTTATATCGCATCCGCGCAAGTGAGGTAGCCAGATTTTTGGTGAAGTGTCCTTCCGAAATTAACCGCAACTGTTCCTTATGTTTTTGTCGATAATCCCGAAAACCCTGGTAAAGGCACTGGTGGTAGGTCAAAAGCTCTCGTGGTAGCATGCCGTCGCAATCCTCATCGAGACCGGGATCCCATGCCTCTAGTACTTTTTCATAGTTTTCCACTGCCCGTCTCAGCGGCTCCTCTGTAGCGGGATCATTGCCCGCCTCGACATGAGCTAACCTTGATTTGCAGGCGGCATGGAATTCTTGAAGACTGCTTTGCCTTTCATCTTGAAAACGGATGATATCCTCGGCGATTTCGAAAGGGCGATAATACAAAAAGAGTTCAATGTGTCTGATGCCTTTGGCAAGATGAGGCCGCCTGGAGAGCCGGTCCACAAAGTCCAGAGACGACTGACTGATGTCGAGTTCAAGCCCCGAGAACAAGAACCGCGATGCGAGTTGGTTGAACAGGCGACACACGAGGCGTACACTCCGCACAGTCTGCCGACGATCATCATCATGCCTGGCGACGTAGAGCTCCTTCCAGTGGTCCCGAGCCGGATGCATGTCCTTTGGGTCGTCAAAGTTGCTGAACACCTCGAGCAGAAGCTCTACTGGGAGACTGAGCATGAAGGAGTGCGGCGGTGAGCGACAGGCGAGGTCCGTTTCCTCGGTGCAGGGCGCATTTGTGCTGACGCTGGCTTCGGGTGAAGACGGTTCATGGCGTTTGTTGTTCTCGTGATGGGTGTGGGCTTCATCCACATCATCGATGCCACTGCGGTGCTGGTCCACATGATGGTCATGGCCCTGGCAGTCCTGGCCGTCTCGTTTGTCAGCCGTCGTGCTGCGTTCTTCTGCCGTCGCTGAAACGTCGTGGTCTTGGCCAGGTGAGTGCTTGTCAAACGACTCGCTAGCCGGAGACTGCGTGCCATCCATGGCCGTGCCTGACGATGGGTGTTCTGTCGACATGTGCTCGCAACGTCGGAGTCAGGCTGTGTCGACGGCGTTGTGACAAGGCGAAGTGTTTGAACGCGTGGCCTGCCTGTTGGGAGAAAGGAACAAGTGGAAGTGGCAGTGGTGCAGGTGCGGTGCTGCACCGTGGTCTGGGCAGGAGGTGCGAGTCGCTCCTTCTTCAGACGAAAACCATGCCGACACCCGCCCCCGAAGAGCACATCTCCAGGCCCTACCTCAGGCAGCAAGTCACGCCGCTTTCCTGGCCCATGGCTCTACAACTCACTGCTCGTGTAGAGTCCCTGACGGGGACCTTGTTGCCGCAGACAAGGCCTCGTGCGTTCATCGTTGCCACTTCAGGAGGCGGGTTGGGACGTGACGACCGCTGAGAAACAAACGGAGGACCTTTCACCGGACATGCGTGTACTTTGTTTGTCAGGTCCCCTGAAAAGGACAAACGGCCCAAGAACCGAAATTATTTATTCCCCTCACATATACCCATCCATCCTGCCCGGCATGCCAACTCCTATCTCGCCCTGGGGGGGTATGTTGGCAGTACTACCTCCTATCCCGCCGCTCTAAAAAGCGTCACTGTAACAAAACAACCCAGGTATACCCGCAAAAAACAACCAACATCAAACTCCGTCCCAACATTTTTTGTATAAAACAACTCCAAAGAAAAATCCGCAAAGGGGAACCTATGATCCAGCGATGCCGCGTGTAGAGGATAGCCGGCGTCTTTTTTGTATGAGGCGAGGGGAGAAACGAACGAAACGACTCGTCGTTGCACGATCCCGTCACCGGCTCACGGACGACGCCGCCGAGGACGGCGGCCCCCCGCGTGCGCGCGCGTCGACGTTGCACGTATCCGCGAGGGACGGAAACGCGCGCACGAAGCGGTCCCCGAGCCGCCAGTTGTCGAGGCTGCGCAGGTGCCGCTCAAACACGGGGTTGATGACCACCTCGTCCGAGTCGGGCACCAGGAGGAGCGTGTCCGTCTCGTCGTAGGGCCAGCAGAGGCGCAGCGTCGTGGTGAAGGGGATGAAGAAGTTGTCGAACAGGTACTCGTGCGGGTTGTAGTCGCGGGCGAGCTTCTCGCGCATGAGCGGGAAGGGCAGGTGGTCGATCCAGGCCGGGTGCGGGTGCGCGAGCTGCGACGCCGTCGGGTGCATCCACTCGGGCAGGCGGTCGTAGTTTTCGCGCGTCGGCGCGATCTGCCATCGCATTACCAGGAACATGACGTACAGTACTGCGACGCGCTCCGGCAGCATCGAGATATCCGGGAACGTCGCGAGGATGTCCGTGAACACCTTGGACAGTGGGTGGCTGTACGCGCTGTTGGCTGGGTTGAGCAGCGACGACACTGACGGGTACCGTGGCCCGATAACCTGCGGCATCGGTAGGCCCTCGGCTGCTCGTTGCCGCCGCTCGCTCAGAAAGTCGAGCAGCAGTGAGTCGAGCGGGCACGTCGGGCTGCAGTTTCTCACCGGCGTGGCGTACCGCGGCAGGTTCTCCGGATCGTGTTCCCCACCCCCTGCATGCGGATGCGAGCTTGTCGCTCCGACCGCGCCGCCGGGAGACTGGCCGTCGTAGCCAGGCATGGAGCCGCTCGTCCCAGCCAGGGGGCTGTGCCGCGTACCCAAGGCCTCGTTCTTGGTGACGGCCGTCCAGTCGTGCTTCATCGGCACGTGCTGGTACTGTGGCGTGTCCTGTGCGCCGTGCATGCCGCCCTGCAAGCGGCTCAGGTGCTGGCCTTGCCCCTGATGCAGCAAGAAGCCCAGCTCGAGCCGCTCGGGGCCCATCTCCAGGTCGTGCCGGATGCGATGCCGCTGCTGCTGCAGATGCGCCGCGGTGAGTTCCCCTGGCGTTCCCGCCGCCGAAGTCTCGCCGTGAGTCCACCCGTGAGACGTCTCGACGGTCCCGGCGGGTGAGGCGGAGCCCGTGGGCGTAGGTGATGCGTGATATGGAACCGAAGCCTGGACTGGAGGTGCAGTAGGCGGCGCGTACGCCGGCGCTGGTGATGCTCCGCCAGCGTTTTGATCTGCAATATCAGTCAGTATCAAGGTAATGCGGTACCGGCAACAGCCTTAATGTACCTGTCCCAATGATTGGGTTAAGCAAGCCCACGATATTCGCGAGCTGCCGCTTGATTTCGGCGTTCTCGCGCTCGACGGCCTCCTTGGCCCGCACCACGGCCTGCAGCTCCTGGTACGGCTTGAGGTTCGTGAGCTCGCGGATGCGCCGCTCCAGCGTCTCAATCTGGTTCTTTGTGCGCTCGCGGATGGCGCGCTGCGCCTCACGGTCTGGCGTATATCATGTCAGCGGCGCCGTGTCCCGTGTCCCTCACGAAGCGGCTGTCGGTCCAAAACGCATAACAAGGGAGTAAGGATGGAGAGAGGGGGCTGTACCGTTGGCACGTTTCTTGGCCAGCTGCTCCGGCGTCAGGTTGGCGACGCCCCTACTCCCGGGTCCCGTCTTGAGCTTCTTCCTCCGGCCGGCATCGTCCGTGCCGTCCGCCCCCGAGCCCGCCGCCTCGCCGGCCACGGACCCCTCGTCGTGGGGCACGCTCCCGGCCTCTCGTCTCTTCATGCCGGCGGCGGGGCTTGGCGAGCCGACGGCAGCAGGACTCTGTCCGTCCACGGTGGCGACCCGCCCGCCTCCTCCGCCATCTCCGTCGCTCGGGGACCGACCGCCCATCGAGGCCCGTGCAGCCGGGTCCCGCGCCGGTCCGCGCTCCGGGGCTCGCGCGCCGGATGCCGGAGACACCACCAAGCTCGATCCAAACGGCTCTTCTCCTCCCGCTCACACCGGGCGGCGGCCAAGCGGGCCGGCCCAGCCCAGGCCGAGCTCGCTCTCAACGGTCAGCAGCCGCGGGTCCCCCGGGCGTCCAAGGGAGGACGCAGCTGACCGACGGGAGGGTCGGGGCCCGACAACCGCGTTTCGTGCCACCTCTCCGGCGCGTCTCTCGTGCCTCCCAAGCCCTCGACAAGAGCAGCAAGCCCACCCCCTGTCGCCCCAAAAGCAGGTACCAGTCACGTTCCGTCCCGGCTCTTAAACGGGGGTGATGACAGGCCCACGAGGGATGTGCGTCCCCGGGGCTTCCTTTCTCGGGTAGCCGCGCGCAGTGCCCAAGCGGCCAGGCGGAGCAGCAGCCCCAGCACCGCACTGAGCGCCCCCGGGCGGAGGGTTCGCGGGTACGTACGTCCGAGGCACTCACTCAGGGCCAAGGTACAGCAGCACTCGCAGTTTAGCGATGCGCGCGCGCGTGTGGTGGGGATTGGGGGGTTCCCCTTCGAGCAAGCACCCAGCAGTGAGCGGCGGCGGCGGCGGCGGCGCGTGCTGATGCTGGTTGCGCTCATGCGCGAGCAAGGGGAGTGACAGGTCGTCGGGTGTCGGTGCAACCTATGAGGTGGACGATGCTGAATCAGAGAGGTCGCGTCGAGCACGGCAAGCTCGAGTCATGGGGGGGAAAATCCCTGGATGTGCATGGTTGGACGCGGGATGCGGGACCCGCAGCGGAACAGAGGGCGGCGAAGTGGCAGCCCCAGCACCGGCGGCGCTGATGGCGGGCGGCGCTGGGCTGGCGGCGGCACGTGCGTCACAAGGTGGCTTGCGGCATCTCGTACGTCAATTACGAAGTACGTAAAAGCAGCAAAAGACGGTACTTTGCAGGCATCATCACTATATTGCAGGAGCATTGCAGCAGCATAGCTTCTGGCTACGCACCTCGACATAGAGCAGCCGAGGTATCCTGTAACATAAATTTGTGTTTCTCTACTGCGCGCTTTTGCCATCCAACCTTGACTCTCTCACGTGCATTCCCGCAACCAAGCCCACCAGGCAAGGCACGCATGAAGCATAGCCATTCACACCCGCTACTCTATAGAAACACGCCCTCACTCCGCCGACGCCCTCGCCAGCGCCTCGTGCAGGTGCGGCGGGAACCGGTACCGCAGCTGGCTCGTGTACGTCGTCAGGTCCAGCGTCATCTGCTTGAGCTGCTCCACCATCATCCGCCGTGTCCCCTCGTTGCCGCTGAACTGCCCGTTGCTCAGCTGCTCCCGCTGCCTCACGCAGCAGATGATTGTCCACATGAGCAGGTTAGGCACGTTGATCGACACTGGCTGCGACAGCCCCGAGAACTTGGCCGCGTAAGCCCGGATCGTGCTGGCGTCGCCCGCCGCGTCCAGCGGCAAAATCTCCAGGCTGCGGATTTTCTGCCACCACAAAGTCAGCAAACAAGCAGAGAGATGCATTGGTGAAAGTGAAGACTTACGTCCAGGCCCTGCGCCCACTGGCCCGCCTCCACCACCTTCTTGATGCTGCTCATCTCCAGCAGCACCCGGCACGCCACCCTGTTCTGGTCCTGGATCTTCCTGTAGAACATGGCGTCCCGCTCGTACATGGCCATCATGGTCCTGGCCAGCTCCACCGGGTCGTCGATGGACGCCAGGCTCAGGCTGCTGCCCTGCTGCTGCTCCGCCTGCGCCCCCGCCGCCCGAGGCTTGACCGGCATCAGGCGCATCGGGTCCTCGCCAATCTCGAGCGAGATGGCCTCGCTAAGGGCCCTGCTCACAATGGCCACCACCGTGTCGTACTCGCCCGCCAGGTGGTACAGCAGCACCGAGTCCGTGGTGCGCCCGTTCTCGTCCGCGAAGCTGGCCGCCTGCAGCGTCACTGTGCTGGCAAAGTCGTCCTCGTCGTCGAGGCCGATCAGCGGGCCGCGCTCCTCGATCACGCCGCGGATGGCGCGCCCGTCTGGCCTGATGTCGCCGATGAGCGTGCTGAACTCGCGCGTCTCGAGCACGAGATCGCGCAGCGCCTCGTGGCACAGGCCGCTCTGGCGCTGGCCGGCCTCTCCGCCCAAGTCCCGGTTCAGACAGATGAGCGCAAGGTAGTCCACCGCTGACACCACGTCCGCGGCACGGAAGTCCCGCGTGTAGTAGCCAATCATCCGCCCAAAGTTGATCTGCGGGAGGTTCTTGACGCTATAGCTGCGGAGGTCGTTGGATGCCGACATGGGGTCGCTCGGCCGCAAGAGACCGTAGTAGGCGAGCGCCAGGCCGAAATGCACGGCGTCGATGTAGGAGAAGGGGTACAGGTAGGCGACTGCATCTTCGAACATGCCCGACAGCACCTGCAGGTAGAAAAACATGCCGAAGCTGCCGTTGCTGGTGTCCTCCGATGTAGCCTTGGGGAAGTGCTTCAGGCCAATCTCCCGGATGCTAGACTGGAGCTCTGCAAGGCCGTACGACTCTCCAGCCATCTCAATCGTCCTGTCGCCCTCTCTGGCCAGGTTAAACTGCAGCCAGATCCAGTCGTTGATGTCCGTGTTCAAGCCGTCGAGGTTCCGGTTGCCCAGCTCGATCCGCCCAATGACCTTGTAGCAGGCCATGCGGAACGGGTCGATGGTGTTTTCGGGGGCGTTGCGGGATCGCTGGATGTACTCGTTGGTGCAGCGATCGAGCAGCTTGCGGTTGGTGATGCGCCGGTCTTCGCTGGCCGCGTAGTTGTTCAGGTACGTTGAAAACGTGCGGTCGATTCCTCTAAACTGATTGCTGTTGTCGTTGACGTACTGAGCTGCCTCGCTGACGTGGCCCGAGCGGAGGAGGTAAAAGACCACGGCCCAGATGTACTCGCCCTGGATCTGCTGGAGCTCTGTGTTGTCGGGCACGAGGTCCCTGCGCGCAGAGCGCAGGCGGATGTAGGCCTTGATCTTGCTGGTAATGTCTGGCAGGCCGCCGAGTCTGGCTTCGTGAGGGTGCTTAGCGATCAACGACTCCACCTCGCGCAGGAATTGTTTCTCAAGGAAGCTGTTGGAGCCGTGCAGGATGCGTTTCCTCATCTCCACAGACCGCTGCGAGTTGGGATTCTCGTCCAGGTACTTGTCGGCAAACTGTCGCTCTCTCGCCGTGGCGTTGTTGAGTGATGTCTGAGCATCGGGGTCCTCGCCGACAATCTCAATCATGGCACGGTAGGCCTCGACAACGTGAGGCGCATGGGGCTCGTGAGACTTTTGCTCCACCTCACCCAGCTCTGCAAAGATTGGGTACGGGCGCTTCATCAGACGAGCGGCGTTCAGGGTGCGGACCTTTTCAGCCAGCTTGGCCTGTCTCTCCCGCACAGCTCTGTCCTCGGTAGCGCCGCGAGGCTTGAGGGCACCCGAGCCGTCCGACGAGCGGTCGACGTCAGAGAACTCGGCTTGGTGAGTGCCGATGCGACTCGGCGCGCCAATGACGGACCGCTGCATCGTCGAGTTGCCCAGCATGCTGTTGCGCCCGGCCCGAGATGCGCCGCCCTGGGTCTTGCTGCGGCGGGACCGGCCAAATCCAGCCTGGGACTCGCGACCGGCAGCCATAGAGTCCTCGCGGGGCTTGATGCCAAAGTGCTGGTAGATGCGCTTCCGTTGGGCGTCCCACTCCATGGACACATTGTCGTCGAGGAAGTTGTCGAAGTCACGCACGGAGCGCTCGAGGCCGTCGGCTATCATGCTGAGCGTCGTCTTCGTCTGCAGGTTCGACAAGTACGTCTCGACATCGATCTCGGTCGGGGCGTATCCGTGCGTCCGTTCGGGTCGTGCGCCCTGAACGTCGAGCATGCCGAGGTCCTTGGCCGCGACGCTGGGGTCGACGCCGGACGCAGCCAGGAGGTAGTGCGCCTTGCCATCCAGGGGCCGTTCGCTCGGCTTCGACTGCAGCTTTCGCAGGCGGTGGCGGAGGTCGCCCAGACCAAGCTCCAGGCTCGGCAGGTCCTCCATGTTTGTCGTCTTGACACCGCCCTCCTTCTGCGACTTGGCGAACAGGCTGTCAAAGTAGGCACCGGCGGGCTGCTGCTGCTGCTGTTGCGCCTGCTGCTGCTGAGGCTGCATGCTCTGAGGCTGCATGCTTTGGGCCGGCGTCGCGTACAAGCTCCCGCCGAGTAGGGTGCCACCAAACGCAGTGTTGCTCTGTGGCTGCTGCTGTTGAGTCGTAGCGGATCCGAAGAGCGATGGTTTGGGGGTCGAGCCGCCCACCAAGGTGCTCCCACCGAGGGTCGTCGAGGCCGTGCCAAAGAGCGAGGGCTTCTGCTGGGTCTGCGTCGACTGGCCAAAGAGCCCTCCGCCGGTGCTCTGCTGCTGCTGGCCCTGAGCCGTCGACTGCCCGAAAAGCCCGCCGCCCATGGTCCCGGTCTGCTGCGGCTGCGCGGTCGACTGGCCAAAGAGCCCTCCGGTCGCGGGCTTGGCCTGTTGCTGGCCGAACAAGCCTCCGCCGGTTGCACCTTGTTGTGGCTGCTGCTGGGTCTGCGCGCCTCCAAACAGTCCTCCGCCGGTCGCTGCTGCAGGCTGCTGAGTCTGCGCCGTCGACTGACCGAACAAGCTGCTCCCGGTTGCGGGCTTGTTCTGCTGGGCCTGTCCGAACAGCCCTCCGCCGGTGCCCTGCTGCTGTTGCTGTTGCTGCTGCTGCTGGCCAAACAGGCCGCCGCCGCCGCCGGTCGCGGGCTGCCCGAAGAGCGACATTGTCGGGCACGCGTCGAGTACGGATTCCGGAGACGGTGATTGAGGAAGGGTGGGAGGTGAATTGGCGAGCGAGCGACTGGGCGGGGTGTTGTTGCTCGCACGCTCGCGGGTTGCGGTGGGCAATGAACAAGCGGATGAGGCAGCGACGCGCCTCGCTGCTCTAGAATTTTGGCGTTGGCAAGGCTGCTGGATGTTTGGGGGAGCTTGAGCCAATGAGCGGGTGGCAGCGGTGCGTTCTCGCCCCACTCTGCTCGGTGGTGGTCTGCCTGCCTCAACCTTTACCTTGGAAGGATATTGTGAAGGCCACACGATATGAGGAGCGACAAGTACACGCGACAAAATATCTTCCAGGTGTGGAGAGTTCATGTAAAGTTCTTTAACGGTCGCAAGCTACGATGATCGACAGTCTCGCAAACATGAATCATTTTGCGGATAGGATACGAGCAGGCAGTCTATAGTGCGTTCCTCCATTGAGCCATGATCCATCCCTCTACATGCACCGTTTCATTACGTTTCTATGGTCAGGTCGCGGTCGCTCCCCGGCCCTCATGCACTCATCCACCGGCGTCGAGCCCAGCTCGGATCCCATCGTTCCAGGGCGAGCCTACTCGTCGCCGCCAAACTCCGACACCCACTTCTCGAGCGCCTTGTCCACGCGCTTGCGGTACGCCTGCTGCGAGTTGCACATCTCGAGGAAGACCTCGTACTTTGCGTCCAGCAGCGCCTTCTCGCCCGCGTCGTTGTTGGGCTCGACCAGCCGCCCGCGCTTGCTCATGCGGTCCATGATGCTCCAGAGCGTCTCGGGCTCCGAGCCGTCGTCGGCGTTGTGGCTCGCCGCCTTGGCGCCGAGCATGGCCGCGCCGTGCACGACGGCGGCGTGCACGTACCGCGGGATCAGCACGGGCATGCTGCACGTGGTGGCCATGAGGCTCATCAGCACCGGGTTCTGGCACTGCGAGCCCGACATGAAGATGGACGAGATCTCGTGCCCAGACTTGTTCATCTGCTCGATGATCTGCCGCGTCTGCATGGCGATGAACTCCATGGTGGCGTAGTACCACAGGGCCATGTTGTCGGTGCTCTTGTCGCTGTCGATGCCAATCATGGAACCCTTCATGTTGGGATCGGCAATGGGTGACCGGTTGCCCCAGAGGTCGCCGTAGAAGAAGAGGTGGCGGGCCAGGTAGGGGATGCCCGGCGCATTCTGCTTCTCAACCATGTACTCGAGGTGCGCGTTGAGGAAGTCGTAGATGTGCTTGTCCTCGGCCTTGGCCAGCGCGCACGTCTCATTGTACGCCGGGTGGATGTCGAGGATGTGTCGCAGAAGCTCGCCCGTGGCTGACTGCCCTCCCTCGGCCAGCCAGTAGTCCGGCAGAAGCACGTCACGATACGGGCCCCAAACGCCAGGAACGAAGACGGGGTCCTTGGACATGGCCAAATGGCAAGTCGAGGTGCCCGCAACGGCGGCCAGTCGGGTAAACGCTTGCGACAAGTCGTTGTGCGGAACGTTGGCGTTGAGCTCGTCGTCACCGAGGTCGACCTTAGCGCCAACGGTGCCAATCCAGCCAGCATACGCATCAATGACGCCGCTACCGACGGCGATGCCCATGGGCAGGCCGAGCTGGTAGGCAGCCTGGCGACTAAGGGTGCCGACGCTCTCACCAGCGCTAAAGTAAGAACCGTTCTGTAGACTGTCAGACGTTGCCCTCTGGGAAGAAAGGTTATGGATCACACTCACTACACCATTGACGCCACCCATCCTCCTGAAATTGTCCTTGGTCAGGTCGCCAAGACCAATGGTCTCAAAAAAGTCTTCCTGCCAGCCCTTCTCGCTGCCGTCGACACCAACGGGCACGTAGCCCTGCTTGCATACGGTGCTGCAGAAGCTGCGCGCCTCGTTGCCCGTAGCTAAGTGAGTAAGGGCATCACCCAGGTCGTAGAACTTGCAGCGCGCGAAGAGCTCCGGCGGCATGTTGTTCTTGAGCCAGAGGACCTTGGGGATCTCCATCTCAATGCTCATCTTGCCGCCGACATATTTGAGGAGCTTATGCCTGGTGGCATTGATTTTCTCCGTCTCCTCGACGGGACGATGGTCCAGCCAGAGAATGACGTTGCGGTCGTGTCCATCGTTCGCAAAGTCCGGCCCGGTAACGGGTTGGGGCTCGTCAGTGTCCTCGGTGAAGACAGCTAGGGAGCATGTGGCATCGAAGCCGATGCCCTTGATGCGAGAAGGGTCGACGTTGGACTCGCTGACGACGCGGCGCACACACTCGCAGATGCATTGCCAAATGTCTGTCGTCGATTGCTCCTGTGCAAAGCGTCAGTCGCGGCCCAATTAGCTCGTCGGGTCTCAAAGGAGCTCTCGTACGTAGTAGCCGGTCTCGGGCTGCCACAGCTTGATGTTTTCCGAGGCCAATGCCTTGATGTCGCCCGTCTCGTCTATGATGCAGGCTCGGGCGGAGCCTGTGCCCACGTCGACGCCAATGTAGTAGTCCTACAATTCATCAAACGTCAGCCTTCAACTCACTGCAGCCTGACGGGTCGCCCGCTGAGCGTTTCGCATTGCGTCGCAACGTCCAACGCATTGCCCCGCGCCAGCAGACGGCGCCGCGACGTAGCTCAAGCACAGCAGGGTGGCAATTACCGTGACATGGGGAGGCCTGCTCATGGGGGGTAAGCCGTCAGTAATGGTCCGGGCATCGAGAACCTCCATCGTGGAATATTACAGCCGCGCGGTTAAGCTCAAACTAGGCGATCGGGCAAAGTGTACAGTAGAGCAACGAGAAGCAGGAGAAGGAAAGAGGGAGAGCCAGAGAGGAGGCGAGAGAATGCCAGGCGAGGCGAGGCGAAACTTACTCCATGGCCTTGATGGGCTTATTGTACGCATACATGGCTTGCAGATTTCGGGGTCCCGTGGCGCTCGCTTGGCCCTGGCAAGGATCCCTCGGGGGCGGGCGTCGTGCGTCGTACGTGCGTTGTCTGGTCCGGCCTGGTCTGGACTGCTACTCTCTCAATCGGGCTTTGCGTCGCCCTTGGTCCTTGATCGGAGCTTGAGGAGGCTGCGGCGACTGCTGGTGCTGCTGCTGCTGCTACTCGCTCGGTCGGTCGGCGGGGAACTGCGGCGCGGGCGCGCGTTTGGACGAATTCGGCGTGGTGTCTTGGGAGTGGTGGTGAGAGGGTGAGGGTGTGTGAGATTCGTCGTCGTTGCCCGTCCAGTGGGAGGCGAGCGGGAAGAATGGCGAGGCCGGGCGGAAAGACGGGATGAGGGAGGGGAGGGGTGAGGAGGGGGAGGGGAAGGGGGAAAAGGCAAAAAAAGAGAAGCTTACCCAAGAACCCCTTGGGATTTCAAGGATGGCCGGCCGAGGGCAGAGCAGAGCAGCCAAGCAGCGCAAACGACGTCGCTGTTTTGCCTCCCGAGCGTCATTCTCCGCGAGGGGGATCCATCGCCAACCCCACCGGTGCCCACCCCTCCGCCAGCGGCGGGCGGTAGCGGTGGCGGGCGCGCACCTCGGAGGAGGACCTAGGGGCGTGTGCAGTGGACCTTGGAGGGGATCCACTGGCCCGTTTTCTCCAGGCAGCCGCCCAGTGGACGGGAGGCGCGCGCGGGGGTTCCATGGCTCGCCAGGCCCCGGGGACATGGCCCCTGGGCGCTGGAATGCTACTGGAACAGGGGCCGCCGTTGCCGGTCATCGGCATTGGGCGGGAGGACAGGGAGGGCAGGGCAGCAGGTCTGCTTCCGAGGGAGAAGTCCGGGCCCGGAAACGTCTGCACTTACCGCCGCCGTCCGTTCGCCGTGCGCGGCGCTTCCGGCATTTCAGCCCATCTCTAAGGTTCTTCCTCCACTGTCCATGGGCGCCGTCAAATCGATGGCCAGGAGCAGCCAGCCAGCCAGCTTGCCAGCGCCCTTGAACAGCTTGGCGCAGACCACCTACAGCAGGGTCCGCTGATCGCCGTCGCCTCACCTGCCACCGCCCTTGACCATCTTTGCGACTTTGGGTTGGGGAGGCGTTGTCTCCCTCTCAGCGGCATCCGGTAGATGCTCGAAGCTACTGCGAGCTACAGCAAGCCACTAAGAACTGGAACAAGATAACGCTCTGTGTTCCTTGATGATGCCCACGGCCCAGCTGTAGTTGTATTCCGCGAAGCTGGCAGCATCGGAACGGGGGTCCTCGTTGGAGCCCTGGAGAATCCCCCGTCCCTCCCGTTGCGATGCGCCGCCAACCTCAAGCTCCTTCATTCAGCCAGAGCACTCCCCCGATCCTCTGCAGCAAGGCCGCTACTTCATGGCCTCAACACTCTCTCATCGTCCCACCATCCTCCTCGCGCACACCCCCCCTCGCCCCCCGCGCCCCCGGCGGTGGCAACCTGCAGCAATTGTGTCCCCCCCAGCGCGGAATCCTCGCCGAACTCCCCGGTCAGCGCCAGGGTTCTTCCCCACCGCGAGCCAGCCCACTGCCGCTCCCTCCCCTGTCATCCCCTGTCGTCGGCGCCTGTGGCTTTTCGCATCCACTCGACACGTCTGGACATGGATGGGAGCTTCCCCACACCCCTCCCTCTTTCTCCTCCTCCACCGCCCATGGGCATCAAGGTCGTCCGCAACGTACGAGGAACAGTCTTTGCTTTCCTCCACACGCGGACTCCATCGCTGCAGTAATGCGGAGACTCGGGAGATGGGGAGAGTAGCAAAAAAGTTTCGGTCCTCGTGATCTAGTCGGTCTACCCCAGCATCCCAGGTACTAGGTAGGCAATCACCAATGTGAAGCTCAGAATACCCGCTCTCTAACACGTTTCCGCGCGAACCCCTCGTCACTTGCAAACGCGTTCTTCCTTGTAAAAGCCCATTCATCTCTCGTGCCGTCATGCCTCGTTACCGTCGTCACCGTGTAGCCGGTCGTCCACCAATATCACCACCGTCAGCGTCGCCGCGTACGCCTCCCTGATGGCACACGCCATGCTGTCGCGAAGCTCCCACGTTAGCAATCACATACATACCTAGGTAAAGGGTCAGATCAGCTGGCTCGGGAAGGCACATACCAAGTCTTGTCCACGTCGGCGACGACGGCGCTCAGCCCCCAGTGCGAGCACCAGGCTCTCGCCAACACCTCGTTATCCCTTACCCCAAACGCCTCCACGACCAGGACCTTTTCCTCGTCCTGCTCCTCCTCGTCGTTAAGCTGGTCATAGTAGTCGTCCAGGTTCCCGTTTGGCGGTAGCGGTGGTGGCGCAGGGCTCGATCGTGCGCTCGTCGTCGCGCTCTGCCGTTGTCGGGCGTACAGCCCTCCCCAGTCGCGGACGCGTACGATATCGTCCACCTGTATGGCCTTGTAGACGTAGTCGAAGAAGAGCGGGTGCGGCCCGTCGGAGCACGGCCATGCTGATATAAAGGACACGTCGTACATGAGCCGCAGCGGCCACGACAGTCCGTCAATCGCGAACTGTATCGTCGCATCGAAAAGTTGCGGCACCGCAGCTTTGCCGGTGCCTCCGGCGCCATTGCCATTCTCCTCCTCTAGGCTAGGCTGCGTAGCCGAGGGCCTGAATCCTAGGAGCTCGATCCGTACCGTATCCACCTCGAAGCCTTCGTCAGTTTTCGGCCGGGCAAGCTCGTAGTCGCCTATGGGATACGTGTCGGCAGGCGGCCCCAGGGGATCCGACCGCTCGCCCATGCTCTCCACGTCTTCGGGTCCCATGCGGCGCCGCGGCTGCCGGGGCCTGCGGCTCCGGATCCGAGCAATCTGCGACCGGCCGAGATCCGCAGTCGGTCTCCCGGGCCCGACCCACCCGCCGACGCACCGGCACGTCGGCGCGAGCACCTTGCCCACGATGCAGCTGGCTGACCAGTACGTATGACTATTACGGTACTGGAAGCCGCATTGCGGGTGCGTATGCGACAGCAAGGCCAAGTTGTCTGTCGCGGGATCGGGGTCCAGATCGATGAGCGTATTCATGATGAGGAATGGGAAACTCGGCTGTTGACGCGTCAGTCGATGCTTCCGTATCATGCCGTTAAAGAACGTTTCCCACATACCCCTGGAAATACGAGTCCGCTGAAAAAGGCAAATGCGTCGGAGCTGATGGCGTCCAAGGCGAAAGCGTCGTCCTTCTCCTTCAAGTTGTCCAGTGTGCCCCCCAAGTTGGGCCACTTCATCATCTGCGCGAAGCGCTTCAACATCTTGACCTGCCGCTTCTTGAGCTTGTACCTCAGCTTGACTGCTCCGGTTAGCCCCATCCTTCCGCCAGTCATATCTTCAACCCTGGTCAGGCTTACTCTTGTCTGGCGTGTCGCCAAACTCGTCGACTCTCACGTATTCCCTCCACCGTCTCGCCAGCGCCAGGCTCCACTGAATCGTGGGCGGGATCTGTTGCAGCAACTTCTCCTTGGCCCAGTCCCCATGCTGCGCCGAATGTATTCGTAGCTCCAGCTCGAGGCTCAGGAGCAGCTGGTGGAAGAACGTGCGGTACCGGTCTTCGCGCCCGCCTTCACCCCTGTCAAAGACAAATCGCGTCGCGACGTGGTTTTTTGGGTCCGTAAAGTCGATCCAATCTGGACGCGATAGCACGAGAATCAGATCTGTAATCTGCTTGTCCAGCGTCCTGTGCGGGCTGAACATGCGGTCTGGGTCCCGCAGAATGCGTCGGTACAGGATCTTGTAGAGCAGCCCTTCATCATCGTCCTCGAGCCCGGATTGCAGCTCCTTGAGGCGCTCGAATATGCGAAACAGATCCATGGGCCGTGGTTCGACGCCCGCGTCGCGCAGTGCAATCGCTGGCGGTACGACGCTCGCCATGGACGCCCAGTGGTTCAGCGTGATGGTGCCGGGGCGGCGCCCGTACATGAAGGCGCAGCTTGGCTGCTCGAGCGTCTCCCACGGATACGAGGCATGGCCCTGGCCCAGCATCCTCAGCGTCATGAGCTGCGCCATGGCATCGTGCAAGTTGGCCGCGTCCGAGCCCGCGCCCCTATTCCCAGACGACGTGGCATAGAGGGTGTAGTATGAGTCTGGCGCATGAGGAACGGCCTTTTTGTGACCCTTGTGAAGCGACGCGCCGCGACAGATGAGCTCGAGGGCGTGCTGTGGCGGGAGCTCCTCGTCAGCCGACATGCCCCGCGGCGGCCACTCCACCCTCACCGCCGCCGGCGCATGGTCGTCGTACTCATCATCGACATCGTCTGCTGCCACCGAAACGCCTTTGCCCTTGAGGGCTCTCGCCGCGGTCGTTCCCGCGTGCGGGTCGGGGTCCGGGCGCCTAGGCCGGCGACGCGAGCGAGCTCGATCCCTGGGCGGCGGGTCGGGTCGGACCTTGCGCAGCGTGGTGACATCGCCCTCGCTCACGCGCCGAGTGTGTTTTTTGTTGTCCTGTGCCGGCAGCTGTCAGGAAATAAACATGGAAGTGGCACCACGGCACGCAGTTCATCCACGGGGCGGATAGGAAGGGGAGGTGGGAGGGCTCCACGCACTTTGGTTCCCTTGTTGAATGCGAAGCTCCCACTGCGCAACAGGCCGCCCAAGAAGCCCACCTTCTTCTTGGGTTTCCTGTCCCTGTCGTCGTCGGCGCCTTGATCCATGGCCGCCGCCGTCGTCGTCCGTCGTCGTCGGTGGACGGCGCGCAGCTCTCATCGACATGGGCGTCGCTCGACGAGGTGGAATGCAGACCCGCGGTCGGTCGACATGCTTCGCTTGCGCGCGCGCGCGGCGTTGACACGTGCGTGCGTGGCGTGCGGGCACGGTTGCTGCTGCTGCTGCTGCCTCCCGTCCCTGATCCTGTTTCGAAACCTTCACTCACAAAGAATACCGACAGGCGGAGACTGCTCCAAACAAAGCCCGGATGGGGATGCGTGCGTGTGTGCGTGCGTGCGCGGCGCCGTGCAGGGTCGGGATGCAAGAAGGAGAAAGCAGCGAGCGCAAGGGCAGGGAGCTGCGCGGCCAATAGGTATGAGCAGAGGACGGGCCGGCAGCTGCAGCTGTGCCGCGGACAGCAGAAGCAGAGCACCTGATGCAGTGACAAAGTACTTTTTTCGCTTTTTTTTACGCGACGCGGCCATGCTTTGCCTTGCGTTATGCAAGATGCTACAATGTCTGGCGGGCGGCAAATCAGATGGCGCCTGGGCCTGCCGCCATGCCCCCTTGCTGTGGTGAATCATGCCCGCAGGCTTTTCGCGACCGACGACCGACGACGTAGTGCGAATTCGCGCAGGGAATTATCATGTTTGGTTGGTTTGGCTGTCTCGGGCTCCGAAACTATGGATAACGCACCAAGCTGTCAGACTGTCCGGCTTACCAGCCTGCCTACACAAGAAACACCATGCACGCGTCCCATCCAAAAAGCAATGCTGACGCTCCAGACGACTCCGCCGTGATTAGGAATACAGGCCGCTGCCCCGTCGCTACCTCAGCTCGTCCGTCACAAACACCGTTCCGTTGCCGTGGTCGCCCATCTTGGCAAACGCCTTTTGATACTGCCCCGTGTTTGTTAGCCAGCTGTCCAGCAGGCGGTGACGGCCCGAGAAGTCCGTGGAGCACTTACCGAGAACACAAAGTTGATGATGAGCGCGGCCATCAGCGCGATGCTGATGACAATCGGCCCAAACATGTTGCCAAAGTCCTTGCCGCTCCTCTCCACAATCATGTTCCTCCGCACCTGCATCATCGAGTAGCCCCAGACGCCCGCAAACGCCGCGATGGCAATGTAGACGATGCCCATCACCTCGGCCAGTAGGTTCTTACCCGCCGCCGTGTACAGCCCGACCGCCAGGCCGCCCTGGAGGATGCAAATGTGCTGCCACTTGAGAAACGTCCGCTCGTTGGCCAGCCACACCTTGGGCTCAACCTTGAGCTCACCCATGTTCTTGATCCACTCGGTCGGCTCGACCACGCCTTCGGGGAGCTGCACCTTTTGCGCCCGCTTGGCCCTGGCGTACTTGGACAGGGACAGCCCCGGGAGCACCGACGACAGAGTGCCGTAGCCGCCGCGACCCGGCTGCGGCTGCTGGGTGCTGCTCGATTCGCCCTCCTCCTCGCCGTTGGCCAGCGTGCTTCGGCGCCGGAGCGAGTGCGACATGGACGCCCTCGAATCGGCCGCCATCCGATCTGCCAGGTACGACTTACCCACAGGCGAGCTCTGCGCGGCCTTGTAGGACCCTGTGACGTTGCCGATCAGGCTGCCCACGGCCATGACATCGTCCGCCCGCTGCGCCCGGCGCTGCTCCTTCTCCTCAAACGCCTTCTGCGGGTCCTTGCGAATGTCCGTTTCCAGATCGCTGAGCCAGAAGGGCAGGTTATTGACATAGTCCTCGAACAGGGAGGCGACGCCGTGGACAAACTTGGAAAACCGCGGCGTGGGGTGGACGAGATGGGACGCCATCAGGTCCTCCACCCACGCCGGCCGCTTCCGGTTACCGTCTTCCTTGAGCTTGATCTCCAGAACAGCGTACGGGAACTTGGACACCTCGCTCTGGTTGATGTTCTTGAACGGATACGTCATGTTGGAGTCGTCAATCTCGGCGCGGTGCCAGTTATTGGGGTCCCTGCAGGGGCGGTCGCTGTCGAGCGTGTCCTCCCGGATAAACGCCAGGTCGGTGTCGATGGAGATTCGAACGCGGTCGTCCGCGGGTTTCTGGAACGCCGTGCGGACGTAGTTGGCCCTGAGCACGGGCGATAGCTTCTTTGCCTGCAGGAAGCCCTGGATCTTGGCCACCGTGCCCTTGTACTCGTCGACCTGCTCGGTGGGCACACCCTGCCGTTCCATCTTCTGCACGCTCTTCTCCATGCTGTACTCGCCGTCGAGGAACGGCTTCACCCACTTGTCCTTGATGCTGAACTTGGACTCCTTGCTGCTGCCCTTGGCATCGGCCGTCTTCTGCTCGACGAAAATCTCGGGCCGGCTGCTCAGCTGGCCGTACCACCGCAGGCGCAGGGAAGACGCCTCGGATTGGCGGTCGACCTTTTCCGAGTACAGCTCGAATTTTTTGTTGTCGAAATAGAGGGATGTGATGGCGGGCGAGTTGTCCGCATCTAGCTCCTTGGCAGACTGTTCGCTGTAGACGAGTGACGGGAGTCGACGGAGGATGAGAGTCTTGACCTCGAGGAGGTTATCCGGGTGCACCCAAACTGCAGTCCGTCGCGTTAGTGATTACAGCGCGTGGGCATGTTGGCTTCCAGGGGGACATACACTTATGAGCGGTGTACCTCTCGCCATTATGCGTCTCGCCCTGGCTCTCGAGGTCGGGCGGCGCCTGGTCTCCGCCCTCGAGCTGCTGCCTGATGGCGTAGTACATGATGGACAGCTTGTTGAGGAGCGGCGAGTAGCCCTGCTCCGAGTTGAATGGCCGCTGCGCCAGGCTAAGCTGCATCATGGGCCTGACGCGGTACCGGTCGCCCCTCTTGCGGTCATGCTTCTTAACAATCTTGAGGAAGCCCGTGTAGTTGATGCTGCTGTACTTTTTCAGCTCCTTGACCTCGTTGGTGATGTCATCGAGCTCCTTCTCCAGCTCTCGCAGGCTCGCGGTCGAGACGTCGCTCTTGGGCGGTGGTGCCGGAGCGCCCTCGCCGCCCTCGCCGCCCTCGCCCTCGCCCCCGGTGGCTGTGGGAGTGGGCGCGAGCTCCTTAAGCTTGTCAAAGGCGGCGTCGACTCGTTGCTTCAGGTCGTCGACACGCTCCTGCTGGAACTGGGCAACCTTTTCGAGCTGGACGTTGAAGATCTCGTCGCAGAACTGCTTCTCGTCATCCTCGGTCCAAGGCACGGCGCCGTCGTCGTCGACCTTGTCCTCGTGCAGCAGGGCCTTGAGCTTGGTGTAGTCAATGTACTTGTCCTTCCATGGTGCGTAGACGGCGTCCCGCAGCGTCTTGCCGAACCGCATCTTGTCGCAGTCGTCGTCGTAGTTATCGTCGTAGTTGTAGTCGCCGTCGCTGCTGCTGCTGCTGCTGCTGTTGCTGCCGCCGCCGCTCTCGTCTACTCGCGGTCGTCCGAGGTGAGGAGGGGAAGCGTCTGCGTGGGCAACCAAGTGGCGAGCAGCGAGGCCCGTGTGATGTATGGTGTCTCAGCGCCGCGTTGGGAGACAAAGGGACGTCCTCGGCTCGGCGGGCATCAAAGGATGAAAGAAAAACGAGCGCGGCCCACCTCCGCTCTCAGTGCGCAAAGGTAAAACACCACGCGAGGAGGGTTCGACAACGGGCCGCCAGCGCGTGGCACAATAGCAGCACGTTCTGTATGACAATGAACCAGTGGGTGGCCTTGGATGGTGCAGCAAATGGAAGCACCCACGGGCTGGATGTGACAGCTGCTCGCTCCAGCTTGCATTCCCTCCCCCACCTGGGCTGGGAGCTCTCCCAAATGCCCCCAGCCATTGCCCTATCAACGATTAGAGTTTGGCACGTGCCGCCAATATTTTCAGCGCCAGACCTCCCTCAAGCTGGTCCGCCGACAAGGGTCCGTCCCACTACGATCCAGAGCGCATTAGCGCCCCTTCAGTGACGCAGCGGGCGCTGCCCGTCCGCTGCAGGTCCTTCAGTGCCACATTTGGTAGGGCAAGGTTTCCGACTCGCTGAGCTCGACGCTGCAAGCGGACGACTGCACGCACGCCCGGCAAAAGGCCGGGTGGCTGGGTGTTATTGGATTCAGAGCATCAGGAGACAGGACCTGATGCCAAAGTCCAAGATGTTTCTGGGAATCTAAACCAATCTCTTGTCAATGTGCCCATGCTAGGGTTACCTTTGTCGTACGATATCGACACTTGCCTTCACATCGAATTAACCCGTTAAAAAGATAAAACCAAACAGCAGTCCCTACTACATATTCAACTTCAAATAGAGTCGACATAATATATACAGCCTTGCTCGTGTCTGCATCAAAAGCCACCAAACATGCTCGAGACGATAGATAAATGCCTCGTCTGAAACCCAGGCACATGCAGCAACATGGTATGAAAACTGGCAAACGTCGCCCCCAAGTCTTGCTGGTATCATGATCCATCCGCTCATACCCGTACGAATTGGCAAAACCAGGCATGCGTCGTGTCCATCACTGTCGTTGCATGCCGTCGTTACCCAAAGAAAAGGAAAGCAATGTCGTTTCCAAACGCCACAATGACAACACCAAGCAACTTTTCTCTTTACTGTGCCTCAACCACGCGGTTGAGAATCTCCTGCGCAGTGCGCTTGACAATACCACCCGTGACCGGAAGGTTGGTGTTGTTCTCCAGGTACAGGTCCACCTCGCGGGCTGCCATGCGGCCTTCGTTGATACCCCTGAAGCATACGTTAGCCGCGTCCTTTGGTCATGTATGCAGTGTGCGATTGAGACTTACCAGACAATCAGGGACTGTCCACGGCGGGCGTCGCCAGCGGCGAAGACGCCGTCCAGGTTGGTGCAGTACTTGCCAGCAGGCGTCTTGACGTTCTTGCGCGCATCCTTCTCAATGTCGTCGCCAAGAACGCGGGCCTCGGGTCCAAGGAAACCCATAGCCAGGAGGACAAGGTCAGCAGGGAAGAACTGCTGCGAGCCATCCACCTTCTTCATGTCCCAGCCGCCACTAGGCGACTTGGTCCACTCGACGCGGATGGTGTTGATGCCCTTGACCTTTCCGCTGCCATCGTCGACAAACTCCTCAGACATGATGCAGTACTCGCGAGGGTCCTTGCCCGTGTGCTGGCGCACCTCGGTATGGCCGTAGTCGACGCGGTAGATGCGAGGCCACTGAGGCCAGGGGTTGTCGCTGGCACGCTCTGGGGGCGGCTGGGGCAGGAGCTCGAAGTTGGTGACAGACTTGGCGCCATGGCGGACCGAGGTACCAATGCAGTCGTTGCCGGTATCACCACCGCCGATGACAACCACGTGCTTGTCCTTGGCCGTGATGTACGCGTTGTCAGCCAGCTCCGAGTCGAGCAGGGACTTGGTGTTCTTGTGCAGGAACTCCATGGCGTAGTGAATGCCGCTCAGCTCGCGGCCCTTGATGGGCAGGTCGCGCGCGACAGTGGCGCCTGTCGCGATGATGACGGCATCGTTACCGCTCCGCAGGTCACTGAGGCTGGGGTGGCCATCTTCGCCAACGGCGACTCCGGTCTTGAAGTTGATGCCCTCAGCGGCCATGAAGTCGGTGCGTCGCTTGACGATGCGCTTGTCCAGCTTCATGTTCGGGATACCGTACATCAGCAGACCACCCAGGCGATCGGCGCGCTCGTAGACGGTGACGCTGTGGCCAGCACGGTTCAGCTGATCGGCAGCGGCCAGACCGGCAGGTCCAGAGCCAATGACCGCAATGTTCTTTCCGGTACGGACCTTGGGCGGCTCGGGAACCATCCAGCCCATCTCGAAGCCACGGTCGATGATCGCGCACTCGATGGACTTGATGCCAACAGGGTCCTCATTGATGCCCAGGACGCAAGCACCCTCGCAAGGAGCGGGGCACACGCGACCAGTGAACTCGGGGAAGTTGTTCGTCATGAGGAGACGGTTGAGAGCGTCCTTCCACTGGTTCTGGAACACCAGCTCGTTCCACTTGGGAATGATGTTGGAAATGGGGCAGCCGGTCTCCGACTGGCAGAACGGAACACCGCAGTCCATGCAACGCGCCGACTGGTACTTCAGCTCATCCTCATTGAGGCGAGAGCTGAGTTCGGCCCAGTCCTTGGTTCGAGTAGTCACGGCGCGATACTTCTCGGCACGTCGGGCGTACTTCATGAAGCCCTTGGTCTTGTCGAGGACCAGCGCACGTTTCTTCTCAGCAGCGTTGTCGCCAACAGCCTCTTCCATGTCCTGAAGCTTTGGGGCCTTGTCCTTCTCCTCCTTCTTGTGGACGCCGGAGACGACGGGAAGGTTGTACTCAGCACGCTTCGCGGCGGCAGCCTTGGCGGCTTCCTCCTCAAGAACGCGCTTGTAATCGACAGGCAGGACCTTGACAAAGCGAGGCAGGGCACGGTTGAAGTCCACGAGGATACGAGCCGCCAGCTCCGATCCGGTGTAGTGGTGGTGATCCTCGATCAGGCCACGGAGGTAGGCAATCTCGGCCGGGTCCTCGAGAGGGCCAGCTTCAACCATCTCCGTGTTGAGCTTGTCGTGGAAGTCACGGTTCTTGTCGAGGACGTAAGCGATACCGCCAGACATGCCTGCGGCAAAGTTGCGACCAGTGCTTCCAAGAATGACAATGCGACCACCAGTCATATACTCGCAGCCATGGTCACCAACACCCTCGACGACAGCCGTGGCACCAGAGTTGCGCACGGCAAATCGCTCGGCGGCGACACCGCGGAAGAAGCAGGTACCGGTCGTAGCGCCGTACAGACAGACGTTACCGATCAAGATGTTCTCCTCTGCCTTGAACACGGCAGAACGCGGCGGGTAGATGATCAGACGACCACCCGAGAGACCCTTGCCGACATAGTCGTTGGCGTCACCCTCAAGCTCCAAGGTGACACCGGGAGCGAGGAAGGCACCGAAGGACTGGCCAGCGGAGCCCTTGATGTTGACATGCACAGTGTCCAAAGGCAGACCAGCCTCGCCGTAGCGCTTCGAGATCTGGTAGGACAGAGACGTACCCATGGCACGGTCGGTGTTGATGACGTCGCATTCGATTCTGGACGGAAGGCCCTTGTCCAGGGTCAACTCGGCCTCCGAGATGAGCTTGTTGTCCAGGCGCACGTAGAGCTTGTGGTCCTGCTTGCGGACGTTGAAGGTGGCAACGCCAGGGCGGAGCTTGTGAGCAGGGGTAAGCAACAGCGACAGATCGATGTTGGCCGTCTTCTTGGTCCGCAGATCGTCCCGCATCTTGAGCACTTCCACGTGGCCAACCATTTCGTTGATGGTGCGGAAACCGAGCTGAGCCATGATGGCACGAAGCTCGTTGGCGACGTAGTAGAAGAAGTTGATGACGTGCTCAGGAGTTCCCTGGAACTTGGCGCGAAGCTCGGGATCCTGGGTTGCGATACCAACCGGGCAGGAGTTCAGGTGGCACTTGCGCATCATGATGCAGCCCATGGCGATGAGGGGAGCGGTAGCAAAGCCCCATTCCTCAGCACCGAGAAGGCAGGCAATGGCAACATCGCGACCAGTCCTCAGCTGACCGTCAGTCTGCACAACGACACGTCCGCGGAGGTCGTTGAGAACAAGAGTCTGATGAGTCTCAGCGAGACCGAGCTCCCAAGGAAGACCAGCATACTTGATTCCGGTCCATCGAGAGGCACCAGTGCCGCCGTCGTGACCGGAGATGAGGATGTGATCGGCCTTGGCCTTGGCGACACCAGAGGCGACGATACCGACACCAACCTCGGAGACGAGCTTCACAGAGACGCGAGACCGGGGGCTGGAGCACTTGAGGTCGTAAATGAGCTGCTTCAGATCCTCAATGGAGTAGATATCGTGGTGAGGAGGGGGCGAGATGAGGCCGACGCCAGGGGTGGAGTGGCGAGTTCGAGCAATGGACTTGGACACCTTGTGGCCAGGCAGCTCGCCACCCTCACCGGGCTTGGCACCCTGGGCCATCTTGATCTGGATCTCGTCGGAGTCGGCAAGGTAGGCGGAGGTGACACCAAAGCGGCCAGAGGCGACCTGCTTGATGGCAGATCGCATAGTGTCGCCGTTGGGTAGGCGTTGAGATCGCTCAGGATCCTCGCCACCCTCACCCGTGTTGGACTTGCCACCGAGTCTGTTCATCGCAACGGCAAGAGTCGAGTGCGACTCCATGGAGATGGAGCCATAAGACATGGCGCCAGTGCAGAATCGCCGGACAATCTCCGTCCAGGGCTCGACCTGGTCGATGGGCACAGGAGTGCGGTCCTCAAACTTGAAGTCCAAGAGGCCGCGCAGCGTGCAGTTCTTGATCTGCTCATACTCGGACTTGGAGTACGCCTCATACGACTTGTCGTTCTTGGTCCGGACAGCATCCTGGATGTTTGCAATGGAAGCAGGGTCGTTGACGTGCGGCTCACCGCCATCTCTCCAGTGGTATTCGCCGGACTCGGGCAGGCCCTTGATGCTCACGGTGTATCGGGACGAGAAGCCCCGCTCGTGAAAGCGGAAAGCATCCTCGGCAATCAATTCAAAGGTGAGGCCCTGAATGCGGGAGGCAGTGCCCCTGAAGCAGCGCTCGACAACAGACTCGTCAAGACCAAGAGCCTCAAAGATCTGAGCTCCCTTGTAAGAGGCCAGGGTCGAGATGCCCATCTTGCTCATGACCTTGAGGATGCCGCCATCGCACGAGTGCTTGTAGTTTCGGATCAGAGCCTCATCAGTGAGCTTCTTCTTGATCAAACCCTCCCGGTTCAGCTTGAGAATGCACTCCATGGCGAGATACGGGTTGACAGCATCGGCGCCGTAGCCGAGCAGGACGCACATGTGGTGCACCTCGCGAGCCTCAGCAGTCTCGACCACCAGGGCAGCCATGGATCGCCACTTGTTGCTGACAAGGTGGTGGTGGACCATACCAGAGGCGAGCGCCGCCGATACGGGGACACGGTCAGCCGAAGTGTTGCGGTCGGACAGGACGATGATGCGGTCACGAGCCTCGATAGCAGCGGTGGCCTCATTGCAAATCTGGTCGAGGTGGTCGATATAACCCTGAACACCCTTGGACTTGGGGAAGGTCAAATCGATGGTCTTGACAGACCAATCGGGGTAGAGCGACGCCATGTTGTTGATGGCCTTGAACTCGGGAATAGACAGGATGGGGCTAGGCAGCATCAGACGGCCACACTGGGAGGCGTCCATCTCCAGCAGGTTGCCCTGGGGGCCAACGTAGCACTCCAGGGACATGACGATGGACTCTCGGATAGGGTCAATGGGAGGGTTGGTGACCTGCGCGAAGAGCTGTCGGAAGTAGTCATAGAGGAGGCGGGGAGCCTGCGTCAAGCAGGCAAGAGGGCCGTCGTTGCCCATGGAGCCGAGGGCTTCCTTCTCATCAGCAGCCATGGGGGCGAGGAGCAAGCTGACCTGCTCGTGGGTGTAGCCGAAGGAGAGCAGCAGCGGGTCCTCCTGAAGGAGGGTATCGTCCAGCTTGGCAGCCAGATCAACAGAGGTCTCGAGGGTCTCGAGAACCTTGGGCATGGTGATGAGCTCGCGGTCAAGCCAAGAGCGGAAGTCGTGGCGGCTGGAGACGGCCTCCTTGAGCTCCTTGTCGTCGATGATGCGTCCTGCCTTGGTATCGACCAGGAGCATGCGACCAGGCTGCAGACGGCCCTTCTGAATGACACTCTCAGGCTCGACAGGGATGGTGCCAACCTCAGACGCGCAAATGATGCGGTCATCGTCGAGGACGTAGAAACGGCAAGGTCGCAGACCGTTTCGGTCCAGGTTCGCACCGCAGTACCGTCCGTCGGCGAAGGTGAAGAGGGCAGGGCCGTCCCAAGGCTCCATCTGGCAAGCAGCCCACTCGTAGAAAGCGGCCTTCTTGGGGTCCATGTCCTCGTTGCCTTGCCAAGCCTCGGGAACCATGAGCATGACGGCCTCAGGGAGCGACAAGACGCCGTTGATGGTCAGCAGCTCGAGAACGTTGTCAAAGGCAGCCGAGTCAGAGCCGCCGTCCTCGACGACGGGATACATCATCTCGAGCTCCTCCTTGAAGACGTCGGACTGCATGACACCCTCGCGAGCTCTCATCCAGTTCTTGTTGCCTCTCAGGGTGTTGATTTCACCGTTGTGAGCGGCCCATCGCAGCGGCTGGGCTCGGTCCCAAGACGGGAAGGTGTTTGTGGAGAATCGAGAGTGGACAAGAGCAAAGTGAGCCTCGTAGTCGGCGTTAACGAGGTCGTGGTAGTACGAGTAGACTTGGACAGGGGCAAGCTGGCCCTTGTAGACAATGTTCTTGTTGGAGAGGGAGCAGAGGTAGAACCAGTTCTTGAGGCCGATGGTGTGAGTGGCACGTTTCCGCAGCACATACAGCTGGCGCTCGAAGAGGCGGTCGTCGAACTTTTCAGGGTCGGTCATCTGGGGCTCATTGCCAGGGCCATAGGCAGAGGCAAGGACGACAAATGGCTGAGCAATGATGGGCTCGCGCGACTTGGCGGCAGGGCCGAGCAGCGTCGAGTCGACGGGAGGCCGACGCCAACCCAGGACTCGCAGGCCCAGCGACTCGGCAACATCTTCCAGCTGCCTCTTGGACTCCTCGAGGGTCTCCTCGTCGGGCTTGAAGAACAGGTTTCCCACGGCGTACTGGCCGAGAGGAGGGAGCTTGATGTTCTCCTCTCTCTCAAAGTTCTTGATGAAGAACCTGTGGGGAATGGACGTCATGACACCGGCGCCATCACCGTCACGGGCATCAGAACCCACGGCTCCCCGATGGGTCATGTTGCACAGGAGGTTGCGAGCATCGCTGACGATTTTGTGGCTCGGCTTACCCTTGATGTGGCTGCGGCGCGGTCAGCGTCGTCGGCGATGTAGGCACTCGGGAGGGGGGGCAACGTACCAAGCAAAGCCGACACCGCAGGCATCCTTCTCATAGCTAGGGTCATAGAGACCCTGCTTCACCGGGAGAGCGCCAGCCCAAGAATCATTGTTCTCGGTCTGGTACTCGTACGGCTTGTATTCTTGCTTTTCAGCTTCGAAAGAAATGTGTCGGTCGTCGAAATCCTCGAGCAGGCCCATGCTAGGCGAGACTTCGCGGAGCGCAACCTGGAGGGGGCGTTTGTTAGGGGGGTCGGCGGCAGGCACTGGACGCCCTGTTGGCCAGTGCTGGAGCTAGCGGACGGAGGATCGGGGTGAGAGCAGCGCCGAGGGCTGCTCTGGAACTGATTGTCTATGCACACGAGGACGGTCAGCTCCGGAAGCGAGAATGCGCAAGATTTCAGTGCTCTGCGAGACAGCGCGTGCGATTGAAGCTCTGGGCGCGAGGTGAGGGGATAGAAGGGGAGAAAAGAGGAGGAAGGGCCAAGGGACGGCGGCGTAAAGTAAAAATCTCCAGGCTCTGCTGCTATCGGCGTGGGCGCCGTCGGTATGCTTTATCGCTGCAGACGGAACTAGCGGGCTGGTGGGGTGCATTTCCCTCTGAGCGTCTGACGGGGGGACAAAAAGGCGCCGTCAGCGCTGACACAGGACGCCCCATCGGGTGACCCGGGGGGCGCGGTGTCGAAGTCCAGAAAGTGCCGAGCGTCATGATTGCAGCACGACAATGCAGCATCTAGCAGCGGCGTCGTCTGCAAAAGGTTCCAATTGCGAAGCGGCCGGGACCATTGATGGGCAGCGCGTCTGCAGTCGCAGAGAGGTTGAAGCAGGCAGCATTCTCCCCGTCTTTTTTGTCCCCCCCACTGCCAGATGACAATCCCGCCGATAAGATTGGCTCTCGTCCCGCGACGGTCCCACGTCGCGCACGACTCAAGCTCACCGAACTCTAGCTGCCCGTCTCACGCCCGCGACCGGCCCAAGACCGAGGCTCGGAGGTTGCGCAGCTAAAGACGACTTGCTCGGCGTCGAGCGCGACACTGTGGTTCCTGAGCTCTCGCGTGCAGTGTGGTGCGCACAGGCGGCGGCGGGCGGCGGACAGCAGCCTTGGGGAGCCTTGGGGAGCCCTGCATATGCCTGTCGCGCCCGTCGAATAGGAAGAGGGGCGCCGGCGGCGGCATGGTCGTATCTGGCAATGACGGCGGGCACTGCGTCATGCTGCGTTGGGTCTCTGGCCAATGCACGAGGCCCCGCCCGCGAATGGCGGCGGCTGCGAATTGAGGCGCATCCCCGCCAACCACGCCAACCCTGCAAACCCTGCCGCTGCTGATGGCCATGGGCGCGAGGTGGGCTGGGCGTGGGCGGCGCCGGCACCGGGGACGCAGGTGCCACCGAGCACATGCTTTTGTGGCCTTTCTGGGCGTGGCCTTTTTGGGTGTGAAAGCATGGCGGCACGGCGTGGCTTCGTCTGCCGCGCGCGGTCGTAGTCGCGGTCGCGGTCGGTTGCGCCTGCCTCGTCCAACGCCGCGAGGCGCCTCGGATTGCTGCCTTCTTTTCGTGGCCTTGGGTTGCCTGGTTTTTTTGTTTTTTTTTTTTTGAACGCAGAGGAAATTCTCGCTTCGTCGCATCCTTGTCCGTGATGGCCAGCTGAATGTCGTCCAAGCGGAGGAATTGTTGTCGTGTCTTTGCCGGTTCACCAGCCATTGTCCTCGAGCGTCGGCTCTCGCCCGCACCCCGTCCGGTGGCCACGCAGCGACAGCATCTTGGGTCCGGGAGGAGCGGCGACGGCAGCAGAGCCATGAGCTGAAACTCAATTGTCGAGTCCGGGTCGGCGGCGAATGCAAACAAGGCAGGGAAACGCAACACGCATGGTGCAAACAGAAATACTTTTTTTTATTAATCATGCTCAGCAACTTACCAGGTGGGTGATTTTGGTTTGCACGGCTTGACAAGACGATGGGTTTCCAGGCGGCTCGCTGCAGGGCAAAAGAGCAAGTGAGCAAGAGATCCAAAGGAGAGAAAGCCCGGTCAAGAGGAAGAGGAGGGTGGGAGGCGACACTGCTCGCCTTTTATTGCGGAATGGATGGATGGGTGAACGGATGGATGGATGGATGGGATGGGGTACGGGCATTGAATGAGATGGAACGACTCTCCGGCCTCGCCCTGCTCTGGACCCCCGGCCGCAGCCCTCGCCTCGCACCACCCGCCGTCGCTCGAGTCGAGTCGAGCCCACACGTCCCCGAAACTCACGGCGGCGGCCCTGCCAAGCCCAAGGCGAGAAACCCCGGCGGCAGGGAAGACGCGGACACTCCCACGCACACACACGCCGACTTCGTACAGCGCACAAAAAAATAGTTGCTATCGAACGACGTGTCTAGCCCCCACCAGCGGCTATTTGTGTTGCCGGGGTCTGTGTTAGCTGCGACCGACCGGTGGGGAAGCCGGGATCATCGCTGAGATTGAGGCGGCGACGGCCCTACGGAGTCCATCCATGGCGTCCCTTCTCCTCGGTCCTGGCTTGCTGGACTGGTTGGCGCACCGCGAGCATGGCACCGACGCTGGACGCATCCACTTCCCGGACGCCCCCCAGAAGCACATGTCAGAAAACACCGCACGTCGAGCAACTGTCCCGCCTGCTTGGGCACAGCGCAGCCACCGTATAGGACGGCCTCGTTCCGATGCGGAGGGATGAGTGAGACGGCAGCGTCTGCCTGATGCTCTCATGGGCATGGGCGGCCGTCGCCGCGTCTCAGCCCGCCGATGCCGCATGCGAAAATGGACCGTCCAATGCCCCTCTCCCCTCGTCGTCGCCAATCCCGATGAATCACAATGCAGCCTCCCCAAGATCACAACACCGAACCCCCCACACGCCGTCCAGCGCTGTGTCGCAGAGGAACGGTCGCCATCGCCAGGGCACCGGTTGGGGCCCTGAACTTATTGATTCCCTTCTGGGAGATGCAGCGCTGTTTTGCGGTCGCCTTTGCCGAGATCTTACCAGATGTCTGCAGGCCCGTACGTAATAGTCTGGGAAATGCCGGTCGTATTCTCCGTTCTTGCCTATTTGGTGGTTCATGGGGGTTCTCATTACCCCCGAATTACCCCCTCAAAACTGCTGCATTACCCCTACAAAACGTCGCGATTACCCCCTCGAAACCCCAAAATTACCCTCTGATTACGCTCTGGAAATCTACCCCGGACGCTTAACGGGACCCGCGACGGGCGGCTGACGAGCTCAGGCCATGGGAAACTCGGCGCTTCCGCACGGGCGCGCGGCGGGTTGGCGGGTTGGCGGGGAACCTCGTTCGTCTCGACGGGTGCGCATTACGGAGCAACCATTTCCTTGGTCGTGCCGACTAACCACTCGTCGATCTCGCAGCGGCAGAACAGCCTCGCTGTTAAGGCCGAGAGGCCCGAGGTACCTGCACAGCGCCCTGGTCTCATTGTGGCCGTCTCTGCCGCATTGTCGGACCTAGAGGTCGCTAATACCTATCTGCAGTATCACGACGGCAAAAGAGGTTGCTACAAGAGTTGTGTAAGAGAAATCTGGCGCCAGACAGGCCGAATCCGGGAGCAGGACCCCACACCTCACTGCAAGGATCTGGCCAGCCGTCGCGAGGGTGGAACGCGCCACCGAGACACAAGGAAACGTTAAACTGGCCCTGACTTGGGGAGGGTGGCCAGAGCTCGGAGCTGTGCTGCCAATCAGCACGGCGGATTTCCAAGCCTTGCGCGCCGATGTCGCGCCCAGCCGGCCGACCCTGAGAGATCCACGCTGCTTTGGACGAGGACCCTTGCAGGCCCCAAGTCGGTGTCGTCACTGGGGCGCGGGGGACGGTGCAAATCAACAGAAGCCGACGGGGTCGAGGTGGTATTGTTTCCATCCCTTTTGCCACCCCAGCAGGCGCTGCCTGGAGGCCCAGGAAGGACCGAGGAGAGGACAAGAGCCGACGACCCTGGTGGTTGTGGGCCTGAGCCTGAGAGGCTCGTTATGGCCACTGTTCGAGCGGGAGCAACACGCGGGAGTCGCATGCTCGGGCGTCTACAAGTACAGGTAGCGAGGACGAGCTACCGCCCTCTCATGCTCTCAGGGGCTCCCGAAACACAGAGGGGTGCGCGGCGAACATGGTACTCTCTCACGAAGCCGGGCTTGCGGGCCTTCGGGCCTGTCAAGAAAACGGACGCTCGCGGCTCATGTGGAACCTGGGCCGCGAATCAATCTAAAAGGCGACACGCTGTCGGACGTGAGCTGGGCCAATGGCACGTGTGGCCATTTCCATGGTCGCACAGCGCGGCACGACCTTGCGAGACCCAGCCTCGTCGGTGGTGTTGCTGCGCACTTCAGCAGATGCCACGGCACTGTTTCCAGGCTCTCGGGCAGCCTTTCGAGTGTCCAGTCTGCTCTTGTCAAAAGATTCGACACCAGAAAACTGGCGGCGTGGGCCAATCATGACGTGGGTCACAGCGCTAGATGCTTATCTCGCGCCAGACGTGACGTCCGGCCCGTTTGGCTGCGCTGCATCTCGACTTCTCAACGCTAGTGGCTCGTGGCCACCGGCAATCTCGCCGCGGGAGGACAGGGGCAGCGCATGCTGGGCGATGGAGATTTCTGATGCGAGACACCCCGTTCCTCCGCGCTCGGCGGCACTCGCTTATTGTTACTATTACCACGCCTGCCCGCTGCTGCGCGCAAGACGTCATGGCCCGCTGGGGCGGCACGCCTGTGTGAGGTGCAGCGGCAGGGGCGGTCGTTGCCTGGACGTGGCATATGCATCCGACGAACTGGTCCGCGCTGTCACAGTCGAGCGAGTTGACTCGAGGCTGCCGCTCCGTGGAGTTGATACGCCCGGTCGCTTGCCCCCCAAAACTGGGCAGAGCCACGGCGACATCTGCCTGCCAGGCCCGTTGATGGGTTCAGGAACAGCTCAGTCGCAAATCGGGAGCCTCGATTAGAAATGTCTCTTTCCAACCGCGGCCACATTCAAAGACCCAGTCCGCAAGTTAGCCCGGGAGCGAGCTTACTCGTAAGGGGGCCGATGGGCCGGCCGAGGTCGGCCGAAGCAATGAGACTTGCGTCTTTTGCGAAGCCGACGCCAAGTTGATGGAGTCTCATACGGGAAATCCCGGCAGACACGACAGGACCAACGCTCCCCTGGCTCAGTCTGCGGGTACCTGACCAGCAATGGGACCATTTCTGCCCAGAGTGGTCCTTGGCGTTTCTGCACCGCCAGGCTGTCAAGACGACAAGCGAACATTGGTCCGCAGAGTGTATGTGGCCAGGTGTCTGGCGGCATTTGCACAGCAGGAACCCTCTGTGGCTATTCAAGAATTCTGGCGACCTCTAGCAGTGAGGAGACTTGATTCTACAGTGTCGCTTGCATGAGAACAAGGCTCGTTGCTCCCAGTACCAAAGTCCAGCTGGCGCTGCCAGACAGCTGCGACTGCCCGTCCCGAATTTTCCCGACCGATGTTTCAATACGGTGGTGGTGGGTTCACCTGCTGCCAAATTGTTTGTGCGGTGCCACCGCGCTGCAGGTCTGACTTGGACTTGGCGGCACGGCACGACGGCCGCTGAGAGCTTCTTAATTTTCGTATTCGCACATTTTACACGGGTCCGCATAACGGCTGTGTAAATGCTGTGAGCAGGAAGACACCAGCTTGGCGATGTGGACAGTTTTGTGGGTGTGCAGGGTAAGCGAAACGTGCAATCCCTACTGCATATTAGACAGGGCTGTGCTTGAGTTGCAGCCAGTCCTGATGTGGCAGGGTCTTAAATATTTCGAGTATTGAATAAGCGGTCTGCACAGGAGTGCTAGCAGAGTATGGGTACGGTGAACCCAGTCTTAAGGCGTTGTGTTCTAGAAATGGCGATGCGTCGACGGCTGTCGCAGACAATCGTGGGGCACGCGTCACGCTGGCCTCGACCTGTCGTGGCCCTGGGTCATCCTCCCGCTCAACTGGACTCATATCAGCTCAATGCCACCAGTCTACGAGGTACCGGGTATGTTTGTTTAACATTTAATGGGTACTACTTCATGCAGTAAGGAATCACGGTCGCACATTCAGGCTCGTGGTTCCCAAGACTCAACGCTCAAATTCTCGTACATACATACATGGAGATATTGCGTGTCGTGATGTTGAATCACGACGGCATATGGCTGCTGTGTACCGTTCCGAACACCCTTGCTTGTGTCTCCGTCTCCGTCTCCGTCGTCCTTGGCCAGCGCCACGTTACTCTATAGCCATGTTCCAAGGTGCTCATCGCCGACTCCAAATGTAGGTGGGTGGCAGTACAACTGCGCCATGACGTGCAAGCCAGAGGTGTCATAAACCCCAACGCTAGCGAGCCCGTTTCTCTTCCCAACAAACCCCTCGTGCTTGGGTAATTGGAGCTGTCTCCCCGGCCGCGACGCTGTCTCACGCTTAAGTGTGGACTCCCTCCATAGGACCAGCTGCATGATCCGCCGCATGACCGGGAACTGGGTCTCCCCCTGGGGCTCCCACTGAGCCTCCCGTCGGGCCTCCCACTGAGCCTCCCGTCGGGACTCCCGCTGCGCCTCCCGGAGGGACTGCCGCTGGGCAGACGGCGGTGGCCGAAGGTGGCCTCCAGGTGCAGTCAGCGCCCTCGGTGCACTGTGAAGTTGGAGATGTCAGCATCGAAAAGGCGCGCTGCTTCGTGTGGGAAAAGGGCAGTGAGCGGGGCGGCACTTACCTGGTTGTTGAGCCCGCACGGGAAGTTGGAGATCCCGCCCTTCTTGCTCGTCTTGTTCAGAAGTGGGATGGATTCGTTCGCGACCTCACAGTGGAAAATATTGGTCCCAAGCTTGTTCTGCATCGTGGCCTTGCCCCTCCTGCATTTCTGATGACGGGAAGAGAGAACGTCAGCGGTTTCTAGGTTGTGTCTTGCGGTTTTACGCGATACGTACTCCTGGGTAATCTCTGATGGGGAGGCCGCTAGGGATGTATTTGCCAATGTTGGGGATGCCGGTAGGGACTGGCAACGCTTGGTTCGCCGGGGGCACGGCGAGGGCGACGTGGGAGAGGGCGAAGGGCAGAAGGAGCTGGAGCTTCATTTTGTCGATGAGTATGGCAAGGCCGAGTAAATAGTTGGTGAATTGGTGTGCAATGTGGATGAGGAGATAAAGGCTGCTGATGGTAGTTGTCGAGGAGAGCTGGTCGACTCGGAGTCTTAAGTACCCCAGTGAAGAATATGACGATGCTAAAAGAGGACTTGGGTAACATGTATCAAGTAAAACGTATCAAATTCTGAGGATTGGCAACATCGTGGCCAGGACCAGGGCTATGAGGCGCGCACCGACGTGCCGGTGTCGATTCTGAAGCAGCATAGCCTGCGCAAGAGCCACGGGAGTCTAGACTTGACATCAGGGGGGTACCCCACAGTCGGTGCACAGCTTGTGAATATGCGATCTGATACGATTTCAAGCTTAAAAGCAATGATACAGTACGCACGTATGAATTGACGCTGTCGCGTGCCGGATGACGCCGCGGAGCCTCAGACGGAGCATCGTGGAGTGTCCTGTAGACGTGCGGCTTGGTGGTCCAGTCCCTGCCGGTTCTCACCTTCGGCAGAGCGCACGCATTCCATGCCGATGAGTGCGGTCCCAGCACACCCCTGCTACAGGCTGTCAAAAACTCGCCTAAAAGAAAAGGCTTTTGCCAATATCATGCGGGTTGCGGCAATACTTGGTACTTTGTACGTACAACGACGGCTTGGCTCGCGGCTGTTAGGCGCGGGAGCGGCAACAGCCGCCGCATCGGGGGCCACTAAAGGAAGGCAGTCCAGGTACCGGGTGGGCCGTGGAGGGGCATGTTTACGTACGAGCATCCACGTCCCAGGAAACAACCGACGAAGCTTGCCCGTCACGGCTCGCCCTGCAGCTTCGCCGTCTCCTTCTCGAAGCTCCTGTCTGGCGCCCAGCACGAGCAGCATCGCGGTGCACACTGTAACGCGCGGCCATGTTTGCGACGCTGCCAGACTTCACGCCCCGAGACGTAAGTATCGCGCTGGAAGCCGTGCGCAGCCACGCCGCCGCCCTGATCCACGAAGACGAAGCTGACGGCGGACACTCAAACAGTCACACTCGCTGTGGTACACGTCGTCGCGGGCACCGGTCCCCTCCCACGGGCTCTACGACGCCCACCACGCGGACCACCACCACAACAATCACCACCATGCGGGCAACGGCCACGCGGCGGCGGCGGCGGCCGGGAGCCACCACGCGCGCTCGCAGCGCGGCCACGTCATGGAGCGCACCGCCCTGGCGCGCCTCGCCGCCGACGAGCAGTACATGCACCGCCGGAGGCTGAATGTGCAGAACTTTGGCAGCGGCTGGCTGAAGCCCCCCGGCGTGCCCAAGACGCTGCACCAGATGCGCGAGGAGAAGCGCGAGCAGGAGGAGCACCAGGAGGCGCTGCGCCGCGAGCAGGTTGCCCAGGAGCTCGCCGAGGCCGAGGCCGCGGGCATGCCCGAGGACAACATGATGGACGACGTGCAGCTCGACGGCGCGCAGGACCTTGATGACGACATACCGGACGCTGACGCTGATGACCACTTTGACATGGGCAGCGACGATGAGGACGAAGAGGACGAGGATGAGGATGACGAGGGTGACGAGGAGGACGAGGGCGTCGGTGGGGACGCGAATGGCGACGACGACGAGGCCCTGCGCGAGGAGAGGCAAAACGACCTCATGGCCGCGCGCATGCGCATGGCCGACGACGCGTTCCGCGAGGCCCTCGTGCGCGGCGACACGGACGCCGACGAGCTCTACGTCGGCGACGAGATCGACCCGGAGGAGGAGGAGCACGGCCACATGCTCGAGGAGGACGACTTTGCGAGCCACCTGGCCCCCGGCGGATCCGACGACGACGGCATGGGCGCGGACCTGGACGACGACATTCCCGAGGCAGAGAGCGGGGGCTACGAGCACACGGACTCTGAGGCGGAGCTTAGCAGTAGCAGTGGCGGTGGTGGCGGCGGCGGAGGTCCTTACGATGACGACGACGACGAAGACGATGATGAGGAAGGGGATGAGGATGAGGATGAGGGTGACGATGATGACCATGACATTGGCTTCGCGCCTCGGGCGGCGCCCCTGGGTCCCCCGCAGTCGCCTACCCTGCGCGGGAGGGCGAGCCTCGCGGCGCCGCGCGCGAGCATGGACCTGAGCAACCTGCTGTCCCAGGACGAGAGCAGCTTCATGGACAGCAGCCCTGCGGCAGGGCGGCGTGCCCGACACGGGTGACGCAGCGCGCAAACTCCCACTACCACCCCCCTTGCTCTCTTCTCTCTCTCTCTCTCTACGAGAGTACAGTCTCCCACCAACCACCCTCTTGGCCGCTGAGGCACACGCCAAGACGCACCCGTGAGCATCATGATACCCCCCCTCCCCTTCTTACCACCACCTCTCCCTGGCGCAGCCCTCCGCCGAGCCGTAGATAGTCACCTCGCACCGCACGTCCACAACGGCCGCGAGACGAACAGGGACCTCACGACCCCATGGCAAAGCTCACTTGCCAGACGACTACTAGGTAGACTCACTCGGCCGAAGGTGCACGCACAGCTCAGCATCACCGCATCCATTCGTCCTGTATTAAGTATATATGGCTACCAGGAAAAACAAACAAACACTGGAAACAGCACCCCCCCTCCCGGCGGAGGGATGAGGAAGAACCTGTGAAAAGTAGTCATTTCATTCGCCGTGTTTGCGCGTGCGTGCGTGCATGTGTGCCTGTCATCCCCCCCCCCCCTCTTTTTCTCCTATAGCCTAGAGGGGTTCATGTTTGACTTCCCTCAGTACTCATTCTTCTTTTTAATGATACCCTCCCACGATGCAGAATAAACCAAAGGCCCGACAAGAAAAACAACGCCTGTCCGTATGCAGCAAGAACCAAAAAGAGAAAAAGACAAAGACACAATGCATGTATGAGTCCGCCACGGGGTGTATACGCAACGCCTCCCGTGTCCGCTTGGGTGGGGGTTGGGTTTTGCGCAAAGGCATGGTCCCCTATCCGAGCGATTTCACCGTCCTGGATTTTGAGCTGGGTATACCACCTTTCTCCCGCTTGCCCACCCAGCTCCGTACGCTCTCTGATGGCCGGCCCTTCAACAGAGCAACGTAAGAAGCGTCATGTCGTCGTACGCGCTGTTGGATTCTTCTCGCGCTCCGCCTGCCGGGTGGTGAGTGTCGGTGGTGTGGTTCGGCCCGGGGCGGGTGAAGCCGGGGGNGTCCGCTCAGATCGACAATCAAAACAGCCAGACGTAGAAGAAGAGCATGGCGACGGCCGCAAAGAAGAGCAGCCAGACCCTCCAGCCGACGCCCGTGCGCTCCGCCATGATGAGCATGCGGTTCATGGTGCCGCGCAGGCGCACGCGCGTCGAGTCGAACGAGTTGTTCATCTTCTCGGCGAGGGCCGAGGACTCGCGGATCTCGTCGCCAATGGCCACCGTCATCTGCGTGCGTTCGACTCAGTCAGCATCGCCCCCGTATGTGTGTCCTTGTGCAGCCCATTTTGTGACCTCTCCGTCTCTCTCTTTAGCGCGCGCTGCGTGTGTGTGCTAGCCAAGGGGGTGGGAGGAGGAGGTGGTGGTAGCGGTAGTGGGAATCCGGGCCGTCTGGGTGGCCTGTGTGTATATCTGTATGGATGTGCGTGTGTTCTTGATGCCCAAAGGGACACGGACACGGGCACGTCGCAAGGCAGAAACAAGGGAGGGAGGCCATGTCCCGCGGCCGAAACCGAACATCAAGGAGGTGGAGGAAAAGGAGAAGGGGGGAGGAGGAGGAGAGGGAGAACACGTACGTCCTTGAGCGTCTTCACCTTGCCCAGAATGCCCGCCACCTGCGCGTCGTTCTGGCTCTCCAGCTCGTTGAGCACCGCATCGCTATACTGGCCCCTGCGGTTCGGCGTCGCGGGCCTGAACCCGCTGCCGGGCCTGCTGCCCCCGCCGACGCCGTCCGCGCCGCCGCCGCCGTTGCCCGAGTATCCGTATCCGTAGCCGTAGCCGTAGCCGTTCGCCGCGGGGCTCGCCGTCGTGGTGCGCCGCGTCTTCGAGGGGTCGCCCGTGTAGCCCTCGAACAGGGCGCTGCGCGAGTCGCGCTGGTGCAGCGACGAGGCGCCGAATCTGGGGACGGTCAGCTCATCATCGCCCTTCTGCCATCGTCGCCTGGCTCGTGCAGATGTTCTGCTGCGCTGTCCGAGCTGCGCGCCGCTTGGGAACGAACGGCGCCATCACTGGAGGCAGGCAGGCAGAATACGAACTGTCTCTTATACACATCTAGATGTGTATAAGAGACAGGTGCAGATGTTCTGCTGCGCTGTCCGAGCTGCGCGCCGCTTGGGAACGAACGGCGCCATCACTGGAGGCAGGCAGGCAGAATACGAAAGGGCGCGGAGTGCGGTTTCGGACTCTCTCTTACCTCTGCGCCATGGTCGCGTCTTCGCCGCTTCAGCTCTCCCCCTACGCGGAGAACCCGTACAAGAAATGCCCCAGGTCGATGAACACGGGCTGAAGATGACAGTAAAAGCAGCACCCCAGGAAAATGAAACAAGGGAGCTAGCTGGCCTGCGGTCAAGGGAGACACCGGCGCCTCTCCTTTTCCATGGGGGTAGTCGTGTAGAAAAAAAAAGTGTAGGTAGGTAGGTAGGCCAAGGCAGGGTAGGGAAACGAAGCAGAAACGACAAGGGTTCGTTCGCCGTCAAGGTTTATTTGGCCGCGGACGGTAGGTCGGCTCTTCCCATTGTCGATTAGGTGTCTTCCCCGGGGCGCCGACCAGTGGCGTCAGCGCCCTGCAAGGTCCCATCGAATTGTTGGCCCGTCGCCGCTCCTGAAAACTGTACGTACCTACCTGCCGTACCGCGCCCCGCGTCCAATGACAGGGTGCCTCGAGGCTGAGTGTGCGAAACCGCCCTCGCGCGCGACAGTGAAGAAGGTGCCAATGGCGATGCGGACATCGGCTTTACCCCTTGCCGGTGATGCGATGGTTTCGCTCGCCTGCGCAGGGAGAGGAATTTTGTTCGCCTGAGTGTGAGCCCCCGCCTGGCCGCGACTCCGTCATCGCTGATCACATCGGACGACGACCAGCCCCCCTCACGCAAGCTCACGTTCAGTTCACGTTCACACAGTCACTCACTACGCACTCGCACAAAACAACCACGTGCCAATCTGCTCGCGTTGCTCTAGCTGCGATACCACATCTATGATATCCAGCACAGTATGTAACATGACGAACAGCAGCAGGCCCTCACCATCCCATGCGCCGTTTGTTGTTTGTGTGTTTATGGACCCCCAACGCAGACACTTGCCAGGCCCGCGACCACCGCGCCGTAACCAGCATTCTTTTTAAGCACGACTTACGTAGCTCGTAATGTCGTGCGGCCGCCCCAGATACCCCTGATGCAGACAATCGAAAAGGCTAGCTTAGCCCGTCATCTCGGTGTCGTCGGCGGGAGGCTCAAAGTCGTCGTCGTCCTCCTCGTCCTCGTCATCGGCGGGGTTCTCCTCGGCCGCCTTTGCGAAGTCGATCTTGGCGCCTCGGGTGCGGCGACCGCCCTCGACGATGTTGTTGAGGTCAATCTCCTCCATGCCGTCCTCATCGTCACCTACAGAAGCCATTGTCAGCAGTGTATTCTCGAGTCACGGCGCCCCCCATGCCGCGCGCGTCAGGTGTATTTACCACCAGCGTTCTGCATCATGTTAGCTTCACGGTTCACACTCTTGTGTCCGGCGCACGGAATCATACGTCTTCCTCGTCGTCCTCCTCCTCGTCGTCATCATCCTCGTCCTCATCCTCGTCCATAGCGTGGTCCTGAGGAACGTCCTCGGCGACGGCCTTGCCCTTGCCCTTGCTCTCAGCAAAGGACTCCTCGCCCGAGGTGTTGGGGATGGTGGTGCCGTTCTCCGCCATGGTTGCTCGAGTTCGTAACGGTCGTTGAGTGCGCGCGTAGAGTTCAGTGACGTGGGGGGCGCGTTAAGGGAGGGAAACGCGAGGTCGGGGTTGCAGGTTGAAATGGAGGTGAGCTTTCGTGACCTTTGCCTGCGACGGGAGCTTCCAATGGGTCTTTTAAGAGGAGCGGCAGGTGCGCCGCGACGCCAAAAGCACAGCGGCTCGTGGTACGTAGCAACCGAGCTAGTCCCGATGTGAGCTAGCGCGGCGCTTCTGGGACTCATCACGTGACAGCTCCAGGACCGGTTGTCAAGCTTGAGACGTCGAGAGCTCCTTTGAGCTCGTTGATGCTCTGCTGGGTTGAGACTCGGATCGATGCCGCGGGATTGTAACGAAACATGAATGCAACCTGCGATGTGTGTCCCGACAGACACAGTTTCAGGGGAGGGAAAACATTGTTTACTACATGGGATATCAAGGAAGGCCTTGGCCATTACCAGGTCACGTTAGGTAGCTCCTCACAGCAAGATCAGAAGAACAGGCACAATCGCCCGTGTATTTTCCTCTATTACTGGCCCATGCTCTATTTCTCGCCGCCGCCTCCGCTCATCGCGATAAACACCGCAATGCCAATCATCCACCAGTACCTGTCGCACGTAGTTAGCACACGCTCTCGGCTCACAAGAGCTCAGAGAAGACAAGGGAGGCTGTCCGTACTTTTGCAAAAACGTCTTCTCCTGCTCCGGCTCGACGGTCTTGCCCTCGCGCGACAGCACGACGGGCTTGTTGAGCGTCGGCTGCGCGCCGCGGGCCTGCGGAATCACCACGACCTGCGGGCCAAAGTCCCTCGTCTGGCCGGCGTCAATGGCCACGCCCTTGCACGACACGCTCACCACCTCGCCGCCGGCGCCGCCCGCAGCCGCCGTCGCGGCGTCCACCGTGACCACGATGTTGGGGCTGTACCCCTTGGCGAAGTTCTCGGCCGACGCGACCGTCGTGCCGGAGATCCAGCTGCGCGACTTGGCGTCGTAGAGCCCGATGCGCACGAGCGCCGCCTCGTCGGGGATCTCGGGCGCGTCGTACGAGACGATGGACGAGGCTGATAGGGCGACCGTGTCGTAGGCGATTTCGGCGAGCGGCGCGGGCGGCGGGAGGGTTGAGGAGGAGGATGAGGGTGACGAGGGGATGGGCTGGATGTATATTTGTGCGGTGCGCGGGTCGGCGCGCACGGCGGCGGCGGCGCACAGCGCGGAGAGGACTGTCGTGATGCGCATTGTGCTGTGCGTGTGGGCGCGCGGGTGGTGCGGCGCTGGGGAGGTTCGAGATGGTTGAGCTCCTGATGGATGCTCGAGGTTCCAGGTTGACGACGTTGCACTCGCTGTGGCGGGCCGTGGGCGGTGGTGGCTGACGGTCCCAGCGATAGCTGGCGCGCACGTGCAGGGCTCCGCTGTTACGGAGCTCTGAGCCAACCTCCAAGTCGGTTGCAGAACCACTAATAAACCGCACATTGAAAGTGCCAACCAGAGACCTTATGAATGAAGCCTAGGCGTCTACGTATATTGATATAAAAGTTTGAATTCTTTTGACTCAATTGCTTCTCTGACATAGACCCCCAAATAAGTACAGTTGAAAGTTGAAACATCCAGCCTGGCCTGCGTCCAAGGCATGTCACCTGTAGCAACCAAATCCTCGAATGTACATGCATGCATACCTTGCTTGTGCCAAACATTGCAAGACCATAACGCCTTTCGTGTGCTGCTTCGCGGCGCTATATCGCCTCAATGCGCAGCCGCCGCGCTCTTTGTAGTACCCACAGCCGAAATGTCCGTCTCCATGGTGACTCCGAAATCATGATAAATGCCAACGCTCCAATGCTCCCAAAACCAGGCTCTCACGGCTTGCCCGAGAGCCAAGGATGCTGTCCGTCGTCGTGTCCTCCGCGATGTTATCCATGGGTATCATCGTTTCATGAGAATGAGTGTGCGCGAATCTGCTCAAGTCAAAACGCCGCCCCCGGCTACTCGCCTTCTCCGTCGTCGTCGTCCAGGTCTTCGTCTGACGACCCGTCCGACTCCAGCTCGTAGCCGGGCGTCCGCTCGACAAGGCCGCGGTAATACGCAACGAGAACCTCGGGGTTTGGCACGATCTTCCAGTCCACACGGTAGAGAAACTCGAGCTCCAACAGCTTGAGCTCGGCGACACGCACGCCGCCCACCCTGGCGTACGTCGTGTTGTTCCAAAACGAGTCTGACAGACCCTTGGCCGCGACCGTGGCCGCGGTAATGAGGAAACGGTGAACCGTCAACGTGTTGATGGTGAATTCCTGGTATAAGGCGCACAGGCGGTCAATGTAGTAGACCATGGCGAGCAGCAGCGGCGGCGTCAACGTGGCATGCTTCGCCAGCCGATGGAGATAGTCGCGGACCGAAATGCCCGGGGCAGTCCTATACGTATGCGCATCAGCACCTTATTTTGGCCGGGACCTTTTAAACATGCAAGGGACATACCTCGAGTGGAACCGCGTCAGGCCGCCGCTGGAGATGCGAATAGCGTCATTTGTCGCGATGAGCTCCGCCAGCATATGCGCAATCAGCTCGACCATGTCCTCCACTGCGCACAGTTCGTATCGTGTTGGTAAGATCTTTGGCGGCTGTTGGTCGGTACGGGGCCGCTTGGAGGTGTTGGACGCCTGCAGATCCTGCCCGGCCGGCAGCGTCGACGGTCCTGCGGGAGCCTGGGGCATTGCATGGCTGGCAGAGCCCCGTCGCTTGTTGGGGGACAACGCTTGTTGCGCCAGATCGACGGCGGTGCCTGCCGTAGCATCCTGAGCCGAGGAAGGGCCTTGATACGTGGTATTTTCGAGGAATTGAGATCGAGAGGCCGCTGGCGGCTTGTTCTGGTGGCCAAGCGGCGTGGTAGCACCTTGCTGGTGGCCGCCGGTATGGGGCCCTGCCGTGCCGTCTGCGACAGGGGCAGATGAGCCATCCGCGCGATTATGCAGCGGTGATCGGGTCAGGGCGCTGGACGAAGACGCGGCGACCAGCGACGTTCGACGGGCCTTGGGCGAAGACGGTGCGTGGCCACGCCGGAAGGCGGTAGGCGACGCGTTGGCCGAGCCGGCGAGGACAGGCGATGTGGTCAACATGGTCTCCGGCGCATCGTAGGAGTCGGTTGGTCGCGGGGTAATGGCGGAGGAGAGGCGGCCGCGGAGCGCGCTCCGGTTATATCATTAGCACGCGCGGCCCAAGCGGCGTGGTCGCGCGATAGCGATAGATGACCGCGCCACGAGAAGGAGAGGGTCCGGGTCGACGGCAAGAAGTGCGGCGACGAGAGCGACGACGACGATGCTGCAATGAGGTTTTCTGGCGCTGGACGAGAACGCTCACCGAACCGAGGGGGCGTCTTAACAGGCCAGGACTAAACGCCCCTCCTGGAGTCTGGGCGTGGCGGGATGGGAGGCGCCTGAGTGGTCGGAGGCGGCCGGGGAGCGGATCCAGCACACCCTCGCTGCTTTTTCGCCAGTCTGAGGCTGGCCTGTCAAGCCCGTCTTGCCGTGGGCGTGGGAAGCTGACGGTCTCGGGGGAGGGGCTCCGGCGATTCGCTGCTGGAGGGCAGGGCAGTCGGTGGTGGTGCCGTCGTGGTGGACGAGGCGGCAGCCGGTCAGATACGGCAATCCGCCAGTATCTTGGGTAGCGTCCCGACCTTAGAGTGTAGGCAGGGCGGCCCAGCAGTGGCAGCCGATTCGCGGTCGAGGGCTGGCCGGGTCAGGTACGAATGCGCCAAGGTTGCGGGTCGGTAAGAGAAGAAGCAAGACAGGCCAGCAGAGGAGCGAGGACGGGGCATTGATGAAGAGGAGAGAAAAGAGAGAGCCGGGAGGGAGACGGGAGGGGCTTGGCAGCGCGGTGCGGCAGGAGTAAGTTTTTTCTCTCTCTCGTCACACTGGAGCTCGAGGTCGAACCGGTCAGTCAGTCACCCTTCGGGCACCGCAGCAGTTGGCCCATGCTCTGGGGCCGGACGGAGACGCCGGACGGAGCGCGGTCTCAGGGCCCCGACGGATGGATGGATGCGCTTCAAAGGCTCCAGTTTCTGTTTCCCCCCCAGCAATTCGGAGTGGAGCTTCAGCGCTGCTTGACACGCGCCTGACCCGACCCGACGGCGACGGTGGATGGCGGATGGGTCGCGCGTGGAGCAAGAAGCCCGGGGACAGCGCGGCTCAGATACGGGCAGGACCGCAGGAGGCTCCATAGCTCTCTCTCTCCAGGCCGCGTACTTGTCGTCCCTGGGCATCGCCAGCATCATCATCGTCGCAGCCGTCGATGGCGACGAGACAAAAGAACGGCCGCCTCGCCAAGGCAGGCGTCGCCATCCTCGGCGTGGCACGCGGTCAAGAGCCCGAGCAAAGGCCAGGCGAGGGCTCGTTACCCCAGGGGGGCCACGGCGCGCCATTCAGAGTCGAGACAAGCGCCGCTGCACCCCGGACCGTCGACCCAGGCTTCAACTCGAGGCCCCGTGTCGTGGGTGGTCACCGATGGCAGATCAAGCCCCCTGGGTGGCCCAGAGGCGTCGGCGCCGAGTCGGGTGTCTTGGAGGCCCATCGTGGGAATTGTCGCGGTGTCGTGCTTGCTGTGCGGGTGCTGCGTGGCGCCGTGCGGTGCGCGTCGAAGGTGAGAACGGGGGCGAGTTGCAAGAGTCAATGTCGCGAGGCGGGCAGCAAATGCGCACTGGCCACGGGCCCTCGTGCTGCGAGACGGCGACCTGATTCGCACGCAGCCTCGACTGTCCCTGCAAGACAGCGGGGTGTGGGAATCTGCGATACTGAAACTGGACATGGCATTTGGACAGAGGACGTCCAGATCGATGAGCAGGACATCGACGACGGCACAGACGCAGGAAGGACAAAGCTTTCAAGCGGCAGTATGGATGCTGCTCAATGGCGCGTACACGTAGATGGACGCTCAAACCCCTGGCGCCTTCCACCGCAATCGGCCACCTTCACGCCCCCAAGCGGACCAGCGAAGTTGGGAGGTAGAGCACTGGGCAGGCTGCCATGTAATGGAGCGGTATGCTCGCCCTGATGCTTCGTTCCCTAGGCCCTGAACGACAGGCACAAAAACTTGGAAGGCATTGATCTTCAAATACACAGCAGCCCAGCACCTCTAAACCAGCTCTCACACGGCTGTATGTGATCACTACCGTTGTTGTATCCATCAACGCTCAGCTCCTGGCCACGAAATTGCGGTCTCCGTCCTGGAGCATCGCGTCCCCCTGTCGTCCATGTTGGCCGCCCCCGCATGGGTGGGCCGTGCTCAAGCGTTTGCTAAACCAGGGCAGATCTGAGAGGGTGGACCTCCACTACAATTTGCCAAATGGGTAACTGGCCTCACTTCACTCCAAGTCCTCTGTTCGTGCGATGCCATCGCTATCAGAGCGCACGCGCTGGTGTCCCCCGGAAAAGAGCCCAGTGCTGGCTGCTTTCGAGGAAAGATGTCGAAAGGCAAAGCAGCAGCCATTCCTCGATGAGACATTGATGGACGAGCGCGAGATCGCTTGCTCCTGGTCAGACTTCAAGCGACCTTTGCTGAGGCGGTATAATCTGCAAGGCAGCCTGATCTTCATCGACGTCGTCGGCTATGGGGTAGATGGCATCGTGTGGAGAGTGGAAGTCGACTGTCGCATTATGGCACTCAAAGTGGTAAGTTCTACGCTACGTTCTATCGCAACTGTTAGCTGACGTTGGAAAGTTCTGGGACAATGAGGCCCCGGAAAAGGCGACGCAGTATTGGGCACTGCAACGGGAGTGCCAGAATGCCTCTCTCCTGCAGATGATCCAATTCGTAACCGAGAATTATCCTGACTCAATCTGGCTGAAGCCGAACCCGAGAACATTTCCCGATGCCGTACGCAATCTATACGCATTTTCTGACGAGGGCCGTCGGCAAAAACGGTTTCGAGACGTGCCAGGCGCCATCAATCATACTAATACTCCACGAATGAGGAAATGCTTCGGGTGGACGACCGTGAGGGGCGAGGACCTCTGCGCCTTGCACCGAAATGCGCGGCTCCCGAGAGTAAAGATCGATGGCCTTACGCGTGGAATATCACCGACCGAATCGTACCATGCCATCCTTTACGAATTCGTACCTGATAATTCCGACGTTCTCTCTACAGACGCTGTGCAATCCCAGTTAGACTTCTTTTGGCTCACTGGATTCTGCCTGACACCCCTGCGTTCGGAGAACTGGAAGGCACCGGGCGTTTTGATGGATCTGGCTGATCTCATCTGTCCCTGGCATGCCGGATGGTTCTCCTCTAAATACAAGAGACGACAGGCAGAAGAGATAACACAAAGCCCTGGCTGTTCATAACAGCACTTCGCTCGGACAAGCCGTCTTGAGATCAACGAGCGACTACCGCTTGTGTCTCTCTCTTCGATTCTAGGCGTCTCCTTGCCGTTGTTGTTGCCAATACCCGTGCTGCGCGTGTCAGTGCTGAAAGAAAGTGAGTGCTCGGTGGCATTCGCTTTCGTGGCCAGCCGCTGCCGATGCCGCCTGGCCCAATGCGTAGTGGGGCGTTGCCGCGGCCCGCCTTTCGCTCGATTCGGCGACCCCAACAGCTGGCCGGCCCGCGATAAGATAAGGGAGCCCGGGCCTGCCTAGCGCAGCAGCCCGGAGCTTGAGAGCAGCACCAACTGGCGCCTAAGTTACCAGTTGCCTGCACCCTGCCCGCGCCCAGTGACCGAGTGCCAGCGCTCCAGCGCCTGCCGGAAGCCTGGACACGTGCCTCGCCCACCCCCGTCGAGTGCGCTCCGTCCACCTGCCTGATGCATCGTCATTGACGCCAGATCCGACCGCAGCTCAACCTCACGCCATCACGACGTGAGCCGCCTTTCGGCATCACAACCGCAGCCCTTGAGATACCGCCTTCTGCGCCCGGCCCTGTCCTCCAACAACGCCTCCCTTCTCCGAACTCGTCCGATTGAGCAGTCCCGGCGCATGGGACACGGCTCCAGACGCGGCTTCCCGGCCTCCGCATTGCGCGCTTCATTCATGGTGCCCCGGAGCTGGTGTCGATAGCTCCCTCAGCGCCCAGACGCCTCACGATCCTGCATCCGCCCGAGCCGCCTCCATGGCGCGCCCCCAGAGCTCCCCCATCCTGGCCCAGCTGCGAAGCGCCAAGACGTACCCGGAGCAGACGGCTGCCCTGCAGGCTCTCAAGAATGAGATCGTCGGCCACATACAAAAGAAGGAGGCGTGGATCGGCTTTGGGGTTCTCGAGCCCATCGTCCTGACCCTCTCCGCCAGCCGGTCGCCAGCGAAACCGAACGGAAAGGACGCCCGAACCCAGCTGGTTTCGCGACCCCTGTCGGACGAGGACAGCGTCAAACTCCAAGCGCTACAGCTCGTCGCCAGCTTCGCCAACGGTAAGCATCCCCCGCGCTCTCACAGATTGAACTGGCTGACACAGGACTTTAGGCGGACCGGCTTTCCTCGCCCCTGTCCATGCCGCCGGCGTGGTGCCCGCCATCCTGGCCAACACGTGCCCTCTCTCGAACCCGCCACAGCTCGTCGTCGCCGCCCTCAGAGCGTTGACAGACATTGCCGATGCCGCCGCCCTGGCGCAGCCGTCGTCGCCTCTCGACACGTCTTCCCTCGCCGATAATGTCTTTTCACCTCAGAACATGGAGGCACTCAACGTGATGCTCTCCATATCCTCGCCCAAACACATGCTCCAATCGCAGGTCAACCTCGCGTCTGGCCTGATCAGCCGGCTATGCCGGGAGGAGAAGCACCAGCATGCCCTCACCACAGCGGGGGTCTTGGACTCGCTCGCCACGCAGCTAGCAAGATTCGCCGTGCGCGACGGTCTTGTGGTCCCCGGTGCCGAAGAGCATGCCTACGCCGACGGCCTCTACGAAGTGTTTCCCGAGCCGGCCAGCGCAAACGCCAAGATAGGGCCCATTCTCGAAGCAATCGCCGCCATACTCGGGGACTCCAAATATCGCTCCAATCGTCTCGTATACTCCCCCTCCCTGATGGCAGTGTTCCCCAGTGTCAAGTTCGAAACTGCAGAGAGCTATGGGCCCCAACAGGCCGCCGCCCTAACAGCCATGGACTACATTCTACCTTCGATGCCTGTCACGGGGACAAGAAACCAATCGGGGCCTCAGTCTTCTTTTCCAACACCAGACAGATCCGATTCGAGAACATCCAGCCGCGCATCGCTGAGCAGGTTTAGTTCCGCCGCCGTGTGGGACTCGCCGCGCAATCAGTCGTCCGGGAACGGCAGTGATACTGCAACCGAGGACATTGAAAGCCCACTAATCCCCTGGCTGATTCATTTGTCGCGCACGCTCGCCGAGTATGACCGCCTGATGGCGGCCGCGGTGATTGCCGCCTTGTTCAAGGCCGGCCTCGGCAGAAAGGCAACAAGAGAGACAAGCATTGGCTTTCTCGTGGTACCCATCCTCGTCGGCATGGTCGAGAGAAACGACAAGGACGGTGCCGAGTTAGAAGCGCCTGTCAACGTCACACAGCAGCTCATTCTCGAAACCGCTCCGGCTGTGCTCGCGCGCCTGATCACAGACAGCGAATTCCTCCAGAAGGCGGCATACGATTGCGATGCCGTCAAGGTACTCACCAAGCTCTTGAGGCGCGCTTACCAGCCCGTCCCTGAGATCGACCAGCCCAAGTACTGGTCGCCCCAGTCAGACACGGGTATGGATGACGAAAGCACGCCGGCAATGGCGCAGCTGGGAGCCAAGGGCCAGAACCCGCTGCTCGCTCACCGGATGAAGCTTCGCGAGGCGTCGCTCAGGGCCATCGGCGCCTTGGCCGCAGGCAAGGAGGACTACAGAAAAGCGTTTGTGGCAGAGGATTTTGTGCCCTACGTTGTCGAGTCTCTCTGCGAGTTCCCCAGGAAGCCCAAGCAGGTCAAGGAACGATCCAAAGATAAGCAGGGCGCAGACGCTGGTCGCAAGGGCCCATCACCGGCGTACGGCAGCAACCCTGTGTCCGTCATCATCGCGGCGTGCCACGTGGTGCGCATGCTGGCCCGCTCGGTGAGCGTTTTGCGCACTGCGCTGGTCGACTATGGCGTCGCTCTACCCATCTTTCAGTTTATGACTCACCGTGATGTCAATGTCCAGATCGCCGCGACTGCCACCGTCATCAACCTGGTGGTGGAAGTCAGCCCTGTGCGCGAGGTAAGCGGAAGCGGCCCCAACCTAATAATGAAGAGAAAGGCGGCTAAACTATATCAGCTTCTCACTGAGAGTGGTGTCATGAAAGTTCTCTGCGAGCATGCCCACTCGGATAATCCGGCACTGCGACTCAACGCCCTATGGGCACTCAAGCATCTTGTGGATGCGGTCGGGCCGGAGCTGAAGAAGGCGTGCCTCCAGCAGCTCGAGCCTGGCTGGCTTGTACAACTGATCTGTGACGATACGCAAGACACGGCTCTTTACAACTCTCGGCTGAAGGAGGCGGCTGGCGATGACTTTGACGAAGACATGGATATGCAGCCACTCGACGAGCCCCTGCGCTGGCTGTACGGCAGCAACGGCTCCATCCGCGAGCTGGACGCGTCGCGATCAACGAAGTTACGGCAGGCCGAGGACAAACTCTCGGCAATCCGCGAAGCCGAGTTGAACCCCATGCGACGCGCCCGCAACGACGACATTGCCATCCAGGAGCAGGGTCTGGACTTTATCCGCAACCTGATCGGGCGACCCGAATCCGGGGCGTCGTCGGAAACACCCAGCGAGACGACGGAGATGATAGACTACCTCTTCACAGAGCTTGGCCAAGATCGACTGTTTGAGATTCTGGCATCCAAGTTGAGATCGAGGATGCTGCACCCATTCTCACGGCGGACATCGACGTCGGGCCGGGAGCAGCGGGTGCTGCACCCGCAAGCCAAGATTATCGTTGCGGTCATTTACATACTCGTGCACATGGCGGCCAGCATCCCTCGACACCGACAGCTGGTCATCGCTCAGACGGAACTACTGAAGCTGCTGGCCCAGCAAGCGAGCAGCAAGGATCGAGAAGTCCGAGTGGCCCTGTGTCACCTCGTTATTAACCTGACGTGGCAGGAGGACGATGCCGAGGCGCAGCAGTGCGCGGCGAGGGCGGCGGAGCTCAAGCGGCTCGGCTTCCACTCCAAGATGGAGTCCCTCAAGCTCCAGGATAGGGACCTGGACGTGCGAGAGAGGGCCAAGACCGCGGCGTGGCAGATTGAGCAGGCGACTTACTAGGAGCGTGCAGGCCTCGGACGCCCGCCCAGGCTGAGGAGGTGGCAGTCGGTGACGCAGTGACGAGGCGGTCGCCTCGTGTACATGTATGGTTACGATGAGGAGTGTAAAAACATGTCATGAGTAGTGCCGCTTATGTTGTATGTCTTTTCCAGCAACACTGGTTCTGCTCTTGCCCTTGCTATCTTTGCAAACGTCCCTTTGTGGGATATCGTGCCCATCATCGTGCCCATCGAACGAATAAGGGGGTTTGGGTTCTTTGAAGTTATCAAAGGAGTCGTCGATCTACGACGAGCAGTTGTCCCAGAGGTGTTGTCCACGCCGGACGGGACGCCATGCGCGGCCCGAGTCCATACTCTGAAAAGAGTTGGTGTACTGCATTGCCAGTGCCATTTGTAACATAACGGTCGACTGCCATCAAATGGCATGACCCCGGAATGTCCGACCTAGAGCTTCACCAACATGCCACGGCTCGGCTCTACACCATGACAATCACATACACAGCTCCGGCGCTGGCGATGCCAACTGCTTCCCGAGATAGATTTTGCCAGTTGGTATGTTACTCTCCCGTCTCGGGAGGTGGAAACATGAAAGGGGAGCCGCAAAGCCGGTCGAAGCCGGCCGCCCGAGACCGCCCCCGCGCCGGGCCCGAAACCCACGACCCTCTCCCGCCCGGCCTGCCATCCCACGTTCCGCGCGTCCCCAGTGGGTGACCGACTACGTACAAACTGGTGTGTGTGTGGTGTGCGAAACACGATGGCAACGGCCGCTAGTAGTAGGTCTGGCAATGGAGGGCGGGTGGGCGGCGGCGTCCGACCCCCATTGTCTCGTTCAGCCGTGAGCCGCAGTGGCCGGTTAGGAATGTACGCCGCGTACTGAAATCTTAACGTGGGACGAAGAAGACACGGCGCCTTTCTCCCACGGCCCGGCCTGAGATACCACTAACTTAGTACACATGTATGTACCATGGACGTGCGCGCGTGCGTGCGCTAGGGGGAGCCGCCGCGGCGGAAGGCCACGCGATTGGGGATGGGGCAGCGTGGGGAGGAGGAGGGCGATGGGCATGTGTGTGTCTCGCGCTAGCTCACCGAGGTGTCTCCCGCCCTGCCTTGGGGTGTTTCGAAGCGGGACACAGAGGCGGGATATTCATATCGTACGGGCACTGGGGTGGATGGAGAGTCAGTCAGTTCAGTCCGGCCGGGTCGGGGGACGGACTGTCACACTAGCCACCCCATTCCCCGGGATGTACGGGTTCGTGGGGGGAAGTGCGAGAAACACGGGAGGCACGGGAGGGTGGATTATCAGTCAGTGTTTTGTTCCGTGGTGCTCCGCTCGCCGAGCGGGCATGCGGCGTGGCATGGCTCCCGGGCGTCTGATCCTTTCCTATGGCATTGAGACAAGCGTGGCCGGCGTGGGCGGCTTTGGGGTCTTGACAAATACGTACGTGGGCTTGTCTGACGGTCACTCACCTCGCCTTGTTCTGTCTGTTGACCGAGACGTGAGCCGTTGGATGAGTCGTGTGCCGCCCAGTGTCATGAAAGGGGACAAAGCCATTCCACGTCTGAACTCTTGGGCCTCGTACGTGCTCGTCGTGTATACATCGAGGCGGCGTACGAGATCACCAAAGAACGCGGGCCTCGTGGCCTTGCACCCCCCATTCCTCGGGGGACTCAACTCGCTCAGGGGCAGTAACGGTTTCCACGTGGATGCTGCGCGATTCTGGGTGGACGTACGTAGATATCTTCGTACAACACTCCGTTCCGTACCAATCTTACAACGTGGTACGTACTTGCTGAAACGGAGCGAGAGACTTGCTTGCGACGTCGCTGTCCTTCCTCCTTTGGCTATCTGTCTGAGGCGCCATACTGTGCTTTCCATGAAGCACAAACAGGCTGGCTTAGAGATTAGACATTCTGCGCCAGCCTTGTCTCCGTCCAGTGACACGAGACTGGCCACCTCATGATACAGTTCTGACAGCGGCACACCGGGCAGGGAATGAATGAAGGATGCAACTCCGTTCTCGATGACGCCGTCACCATGTCTCTCTCTCTCCCCCTCTTGCTCACACGAACAGCGCAGCCTGCTTGACTCTCTCTCCGCCTCGTCCTAACGCATGGCGCGAAACATGCATGACGCGCGGCGAATTCCTTATCTCTTCTGAGTGGCCTGCCCAGCACATATGCACGGCCGTGTCCCAGCTACCGAGTCGACGGGGCTGCGATCACTCCCCCTCCGCATTCGCCATCAGCCTTCCATTGCTTCCTTCTTTCTCTGAACCATCTAGATCCAGCTCCTGCACTGCAGCCCCAACCCCCACGCGCGGGTGTGCCGCGCTGTGCCCACCACCAGACGGCCCGTCGGCGGCGGGGGCCGCTCCCTCAAGTGCAGTATACCTGCATCTCCCAGGCGTCGTAGTAGCAGTAGTTTTCGTTTCTGGTGCACTGCATGCCTGCGTTAGTTCATGAGGGACAACTCAACGTCGTGCCTCTGCTACGTCTCTCTTATCAAATCTCTCCTTCTAGCGTCACGCACGGAAGGTGTTGCCAAAGGACAGCGGTTTGGCCAAAAGACTAAGAGACCTGGGGGATGAGAGCAAGAACCTACCCTGCTGTTCCAACACGTCCTCTTCGTTCGGGCCACTATCCCTTCGCCTACCGGCTTCGAAAAGTAGCACTCCTGCGTGTCCTTATAGCACTCCTGGGAACCGCAAGATGTTGGTCAGCCACCACAGCTGTCGGTGTCCTAGGAGATGCTCAGAGCGCGTGGGTCTCACTCACACCCCCGTACTTGACCTTTATCCTCTCGCCGACGGCAAGGCCCGCGTAGAGCAGGGCCGATAGGCCAAGAAAGAGAACCGAGTCAAACTTCATGTCGCTCGACGTTGGGTGCCTGTGGTGAAAGATGCGTCGACGAAGCGCTATGCTATTTGCGTACGCAGCAGCTTCCTTATATATCGCATGGAAAATCCTTCTTTAATAAATGCCGTTTTTCATTTCGTACGTGGACTTTACGTAGTAGAGCGTGGGCTGTTTCTACGTTGAGCGCAGCACGGAAGTGTAGTTGAAACGGGGGTCATCGTGGCATTACGTATGTGCTTGCGCTTCATGACACGAGGAAACCCGCACAAAGCATACGAAATAGTTGCCAACAACCCGAACAGCAAAGACGCTATTAGATGGAAGAAAATATTGCTGCCAGGCCGTTGCAATCACGTCGCCAACGACGCACATGTAAAAAACCCAGAGCAGGCTGGCGCATTTCTGCGCCACGAGAGGCTCAACTGGCACCCAACCATCCCAAACGACAACACCTGCCTACCCGCGTATTCCGCGGAGAAAGACAGTAAACCGGCTCAGAGTAAAACCAATCGCTACATTGCAGACAGAAGAAAAGGCAGAGAAAGGAAAAAGAAAACCAAAAGGCAAAAAGAGGCAGCAACCTCGGCCCCTTCCCCATTCGTGTGCGTGATTCGCTGACCCAACTGCCCGGGACGACGAGTGCAGTCCCAAAGCACGTCGTGCCACTGGCCCCGTCTGTCCTTTGGACTCAGACCGCAGCCCGTGGCTGAGACGGGCGCGAGCAGACGAACGAACCGGAAAAGGGGGGGAGTGAGGGTCCGGATGTGAGACACGGTGAAGCTCGCAAGAGACACGCGCACTGTCCGTCTTTGGAGATGATGGCCGTCCGACTTGGGGACCGAGGCGGACACGGCGACCTTGGTTCGATGTCGCGCTCGATTACATGACGCATGTGTATCTCTGAGGGTGCATGTGGAAATCGACAAACAAGAAAAACAAGATGCGGCTGGCAGTAGAGTGCAGTATCGTGGCAGTAAAGTACCGATATGCACAATCTGTAAGATGTCTATAGCCGCAGCCGTTTTTGCCCCCTTCTCAGCCGCAGCCCGTCGCCCCGAACGTCGACGTGCATGCCGGCGCGCATGCCCGAGAAACACAGAGAAGGGCCACCTCATCGCCATAATTGCCTTGCAGCTCAAATCTCATGCGAGGTGCTGGTCCTGCTGGTGCTGTCGCGCTGCCTTGCGCCTCTGTTGGTCGCAGCCATCGCCGCCGCCGCCGGTCGCTGGCCGCCTCGTTGGCAGTGACACAAGACTGTCTCGTCCTGTTGCACGCCTAATATGGGGAAGGGGGGCGGCCGACAAGCACGGTCGAAGGGGTCGTCCAGCCTGGTGGCCAACAGGGCCTACGAAGTCCCGGGAGTGTCACGAAATACTTGCCCAGTTGTGCTGGTAAGTATTAGCCAACATGTCTTGCGCAACGGCAGCTGAGAACGTGGCTGTGGGGATCAAGCCTGTTGTTCCTCGAAGGGTTGCCAACAACATCGGCAGCGACAGAGCTCCAGCATCGGAGATAATAAGTCGGTCGAGGCGACACCGCACGAGATGCCCAAAAGCCGCCTGGCCAACATTGTGCGTTTGCGGACGCCCGGAAGCAGGACGATGGCACCGTGCGTTGGTGGCCCACGGAGCACTTGTGAGTCGCTGACGCTCCGGGAGGGAGCATTGTGTTACTCGACCCTACAACTCTGGGTCTTGTGGACGGAGGTTGCATCCGCATCATGGGGGGAGAGACGTGTGGCCCACGGGCTCGGGACGGCAGTCTCATTGAACCCCCTTTTGTCTGGTCATGTGTGAGTGAGTCCCATGTGAGTGTCGAGAGAAACGATGTTACGTGGTTGGTGATGTATGTGTATGTACTGCATGCGACCCCTTTTTTTCTGCCGGCAGGCCAGACTGACTGACTGACTGACTGGAATGGAGATGCTCTTCATCACGGGGGAGGCGGCGCATCTACGACACGGAGGGCAGAAGACACGCTTTTTCTTCAAGTTCGTAGATGCCAAGACTGTTGGTTGGCGCGCCGAGCCGGTACTCACTCGACGACAGTCGGGCAAACAACACAAACGACGGGTCCAGCAGCAGCGGGTCCCACGAGAAAAAGCCCGTGTTTGTCATCGAGGAAGAAGCAAACATGCTGAAAGTCTCCGAGCGAAAATGCAACGCCGTTGTGGGCTCGACACATGGCATTTCCGCGGTTGCGATGCGAGGGGGCGGGCGCGGCGAGAGACGTTGGCTAGGCTTGCTAGGTCCCGTCCCTCGCCCTCCACGACATGGAACCCGCGGGAAGAAGCAAGCATGTCGTTGCTTTTGCGGGCTTGACTTTTTGTGCTCGGCACAGCATAACAGTCAACCCAGCACACCTTGCCAAGCCAGGCCTGTGTCGACACCAAACGCCACGGAATGACACCAGAATGTCAGCAGAGGCTTGGTCTGAGAAGGGGGCGTAAGTCGGCACTGCATCCAGAGGCAAAAGGCAGGGATCTCCGTGGCCGATCCCAGGGTCGTTGCAGCCGATGCGAGGGCCTCTCGGGCACACGGGCCGTGACGGGCTAGGCTGTCATGCAGGCGCGCGGACATGGGGGGCACAAAGGGGGCGGGCCTTCGAGCGTGTGTCTGTCTTCTGGCCTGACTTGCGGGCAGTGCTGTTGTGCGCGTTTTTTATTATTTGAGGGAGGCGCTCAATTCCGAAGGACTGTTTTTGTGCAGCCTGCCCAGGATCATCCTTTGCCGCCCACGCGGGGGCTTGACACCCAAGGAGACAAGAGAGGACAAAGGGCGGCGGAGGGCTTTCAGCTTTGGCTTCACCTGCTTCCGACACTCTGGATCCGAGGGCACACCCCGTCGAGGCGAAACAAGAGAAAGTTGTTACTGCTCCTGCCCCCCTTCTCCTGGGGACAGCGTGCAGCGTGGGGCAAAGGCAGGCATGCAAGCAAGGCAAGCCCTTCGCAAGCTTCTGGGCCGGCTCGTGGATAGCAGCAGCCCACAGCCCACGAGGCGGCGCAGACCCCTGCTGGCTAAAGTCGACGAAGCTGTCTCACTATTGGGGACGGGGCGGCATGAGCATGGCAGGCGACAGGCGGGAAGGGCGGGCGAAGCTACTACTGACAGCTAGCGTTGGAGGCTTTTGCCAATGGAGCATGAAGGCCGCTGCCATGCCTTGCTCGGCCCTGGAGACTGGGAACTGGGACTCCCGCTTGGCGCTCGCAGGAACGCAACGCGGGCGGCGCCCCATGACGCCGGGGGCTTGGGATGGACTGGTGGATGAATGGATGGATGAATTGAAGGTTTGGGAGCAGAGCCATGCCTTGCCCGCCAAGCCATGTCCCGGGCCCGAGCGTCGGTCTGGCAGCCGTCGTCTCGTCAAGCGCTGTTGTCTCGCGGGCGCTTCCCAGAGAGAAGTTAAAAAAAAAAGCCTCCATTCCCCCCTTCCTCTCCCCTGTCTGTCGCGCTGCACATGGGAGCCCTTGTCGCTGCCGGCCCCCTCGTGGTCGTGCTCTGTGTTACCGACGAGGGCCGTCGGTACTTGCGCACACTTCCTCCTCGCCACGAATTTGTATGAGTGAGCGCTTTCAGGGTTATCGAGTCATGCTCACCCAGAGGCGCTTTCATCCATTGTTTCCTCTCGTCGTTCCCCCCCTGTCAGACAGCGCTGGCTGCCGGGTTGCCCAAAACGACCTAGTCGATGGACTGATACCTAGTCACTGACCAGCGCCGGCGACGGCGGCGGCGGCCCGCCCAGCGAACGGAGAAAATTAAAAGGGAAGGGGCAACGGACGGGAGGGCAAACCAAAAAGAGGGGCGCCAGAGATCTGCCGCACAGTTCCCGCAGCCTCTGGGGCGACACTGTGCAAGCTCCTAGAGCAGGGCCCTGACAGCGGGTCCGCAGCGGGCGGCGCAGAGGGCGCAGACCCCTCCATTGGCTGTGTTGGACGAAGACAATCTCTCGCTCACAGTGTCCAGACTGTGGCGCACAGAGGGGGATGGGGGCAACGGACGGGAGGGCAAACCAAAAAGAGGGGCGCCAGAGATCTGCCGCACAGTTCCCGCAGCCTCTGGGGCGACACTGTGCAAGCTCCTANGTGTTCCTGATGTGAATGTGGGACGTGGGACCGCATCGTGAGGAATCCTGGGGGGAGCACAGAAGGAGCCTGTAACAGCCACCAACTCACTCGCACGAGCACAGCGCCGCACCATACCATCGCCCTCGTATGTACTCCGTATGTATGTATGTAATTGAACGCACGAGACGAGAGCTGCTGGTTCGACGCGAACGGTTCATCTGAAGATACCCAGCAGCGTTGCAGCCGGCTTGCAGAAACCCCCTCCAAGCGGTCGGTCGTCACGACAGGACAGCCACAGCATTCCCCCTTCGCTTTGCTACGCTACGCTCTGCTGTGCTGCGAGACAGAATCCAGCCGCCGCCTTTCAACGAGGGGCGCGGCGGAAGGGGCCATGATGAGATGCTGTTTGTGCACACAACCACAGCGCAGCCCAGCACAGCACAGCACACAGTAACGTACCGCACTGCCGGAGACGACCAACGACCAACAGGGCCGTGGAAATCTGCCCGGGCTGTTGTTCCCTGGCGGGCAACAAAACCCACAGCGTCGGGATGTGAAACTCGACGAGGCCCAACCGATGGGCTGATCTCACTCACACGTTTCCCCGCCCTCTCTGCTAGGTGCTCCATTGGGGCCAGCAGCGTAGCCAGTTCGCCATGGACATGCACACATCCTGGACAGTACAGTGCAGTAAGGACAACGCATGGCTTGTAAACTGCGAGATGATGGGCCTGCTCGTGAAGGCAAGTCATGTTGGCACGGCGCGGTGAGCGCATCCTGTCTATGAAAAAGAGAGGCAAACCAAATCCAGGAAAAAATTCCACCGACCGCCAAACCAGCCCGGGTGCAGCAAACCGGGCGCTTGGGTGCAGTGCATTCCACGGGGCGTGGCGTGCGTGGTCCTCGCCTGCATCGTCAGGACCCTCACCTGGCGCCGCCACAAGGAACCGCCAGTCGAAATTCTGTCCGTTCGCCCCGCCGCCCGCCCGCCCGCTGGGACGGGGTGTCGTTCGTGTTGGAGAGAGCTTTTGCAGATGACGGCCGGCCCGCTGGGATTGACAAGTCAAGTCTTCTTTTTCGGTGGGTTTGCGTGCACGGTTTCCGTTCAAGCCCCGGCTGCTTCGGCAGTGTGCCTAAAATACCTACTGTACACATTGTCACTGCTTGTCTGTGGTGGGCGAGCTCGCTGCTGGCGCTCGACGCCCGTTTTCTTTCTTTCTTTTTTGGGAGTGGCAGAGAGACAGCAGGAAGAAGAGAAGGAGGGCTTGTGGTTGCTTCTCCCACACGCAACATGCGACGGGCGCCAAGGCGAGCCCTATGATCGGAGCCCTCATGGGGTCTTCCGTTGACTGGTGCCGCCGTGTCGGTCAATCAATCACTCATCCATTCATTCACTCATTCATTCAGTCAATTGGGCCCCCCTCTTCTGTTCTGCGGCCGCGAACCAACAGAGACAAACAGGCTGGAATGTCGACCCTTTCCTCCCCCCTCTGAGGAGCAGACCCAACAACGCCCGGTCCCGACCCTGTGTCCTACCCTGCCATCCTCATCCTGCCTTGCTGCGTCTCTCACTGTGTCCACGTCCACGCAGGCGGGCAGGGCAGGCAGATCAGGCAAGGCACTCGCTCGGTCCCCATCCAACCGTCCAACCACCATCCATCCATCCTCGTCTCCCCCCTCACCATTGCTGACGGAGCAGAGCGCGCGCTCGCCGCTCACGCTCGCAAAGGGCAAACCAGAGCCGTGGTCCCGGGTTTGGCCCCCCTCCTCCCTCTCGCCAAAATCCACCCACCCACGCTGGCTGCCCGAAACCAGACACTGCCCGTCGTCGACCAACAGCGTCATCTGCGTGGTGCTGACGCTCGTTGGTTGGGTGCGGCGGGTGCGGGACAGGCAAGCAGGCAGGCAGGCAGGCAGGCCACGGGATTTGGTACCGGCTGTGGCATGGCATGGCATGGGGCATTGGGGCATGGCCGCCGTCCCATCCCAAGTTCCAAGCGGCAGAGGTCTCGTCAGCCGCAGTTTGGCCCGCTTGGTATCACCGATGCCATTCCCCGACGCGCCCCCCCCGTCCCGTGCGGGCCCCGTGGCTTGCCCACCCAGCCTTGATCCCGGGTTGGCCCCGGCCCCATGCCCCCCTCTCCACTTCTTCTTCTGGCGCCGCGTCCGCCCCAGAGCCGTGGGATGCGTGCGCTGCCTGTGCTTGCTTGCCTGCCATCCTGCGATGAATGGACGTGGGTGCGCATGGCGTGGCATGGCATGGCGAGCAACCGTCGAAGGATGAGGGGGGGAGGGGGCGCGCGCCGGCGGCTTGGGTCGAGGCACACACGGTGCAGCGACGGTGCTGTGCGGCATCCAGTGGCCCAAAGGCTCGGTGCCATCCTGTTTCCTCATTGCGGTACGAGGCTTCGGGACGAGGATGGGGTACAGTACATGCGTATACTTAAGGCGCCAGCCGCGAAAAAGCGTCAAACGCCGTGGGTGGGAGTCGAGAGCTGTGAGTATCTTCACCTCTGGTCGCGCAGCGCCGGCGGTTTCGCCATCGCCATGTGGTTTCGCCATTTGAGCAGAGGCGCGCTGCGTGAAGCACCACGAGAAAGCCCCAGCGCTCTCAGGCCCGTTCGTCGTCGTCGCGCGAACCGTCTGTTCGGGACCCGTGTGTGTGTGCCATGCCGTAGGTGTAGGTAGGCACGGAGCAGTGGTCCCCCCCGGGGAGCCACAATCCCGCAGCGTGTCGTCGATGTACAGCCCCGTACCTTACCGGCAGGTCGCAGCGTTTGTCGGCGCCCGCCCTCGGCGCTGGGGCCGTTACACGGCGTCTGCTGGATCAGAAAGAGACGGCCCAATCTCGACAAGGCGAACGATGGAAGGGGGCAACAGACTGAAATTCCGGCATCGTGCTGCTTCAAATTTCCAAGTCATACGAGTTTTGTGTCCAGTGCGCTCCGGACGATGAGAGTGTGTCGCCACGCCTTCCACGGCCGAGTTCCAATTCTCCCGTCGTCGTCTCTTCCCGCGGCGCCGCCCGCCGCATCCAGGTTAGCGCAGAAGTCGACTCCCCCGGAGCATGTTGCCCCTGCTTCCTTTTTCTGCCGCCAGACAGTGACAGCGAGGTGAGGCGACAGGGCCCTTCGGGATGGATGGTCATCATTCCTCCCGTCGTCTCAGCCTGCTGCTGCTGCTCCTCCTCCTTCCTGTCCTCCTCCAACAGGCTCCCCCCTCCCATCCCACCGCCGCGGAGACCGAGAGCACCGCGCCATCGCTGAATTACACCTGCTGCCTGCCTGCCTGCCTGCCTGCCTGCCTGCCTGCCTGCCTGCCTGCCGTAGAGTGATGTTACTGTATCGCGCCCGTAGACGCTTCAGAGGAGGCTTCGCCTGGGCATCCCCACAGCCGCCATGCTGGCGTCGCTCCCTTCCTCCCGCCCGTCAGATCCCGCCGTCGGCGCCTGGCGGGCGTGGCGGCTGCTAACTATTGTGCTCGGCGTCACTACCTCTGTCGCCTCGCTCTCGCCTCGCCTGTTCTGCCACTAGCGGGAGGCGCCCGACAGGCCTGATGCTAAAACGGTGAGAGCGCCGCCAGCCGCGAACTACAACCTGGTACCTACACCTTGGCTTGCCTAGCGCCGACGCCCCGGTGACACCGTGTTGCAGCCAAACTCTTGTGCCACTGGACAGACTGGCAGCGGGCGCGCGCCGTCATCACCTTTCCTGCGCTCGTCCTCTGGGCTCAGTTCTTCTGGAGACTCTCCTCTTGCGTTTGCTCATGCTCAACAAGCCCCGGCCTAGGTGCTCGCGACGCTGCACTCGTCCATCCAGCAATTGATCTCTCGCCAAGAGCCACTGGATGGCATCTTGAAGCATCCCGGTTCTCCTTGCCGGACGGGTTCCGAAAGGAAGAGCCAACAATGGCCCAGCCCCGGTCCGCCAACCCCAGTTTTTTCCCTTCGCAAAATGCGTGGCCGTGGCCCCTCCCACCATGTCGTCGGAGCACGTTAACTCTGCTTGGCATGTGGGTGCAAAAAAAAGCGCCGCCTGTACCAGCACCTGTGGTGCGAAAGTCTTAGGCTTGGGGGTCTAAAACCGGCGCTTTTATTTGCACCCACATGCTTGGGTAGTGTATGTACCGCAGCTTGGGGAGCAGAGAGCACGCCCATACGGGTCGCTGGAACGGGCGAGCTGCCGAGGCCGCTGCCGCCGACACAGCAGGTACAGACGGTACAGCGCTGTACATGAGGTAAGGTACCTGCCTACACGCAGCGACGGGACCCCAGCGACCCTAACCGCTGGAACTCGAACCCGCCGCTGCCACTGGCTCACTGGCACACGCTGACGCCGGCGCTGGCGCTGGATGGTGCCTCTTCGTGGCTGGGTCCCCCTCCGGTCCCTGCACCGGCTGCCCGTCGCGGGTCCGTGATTGGCGCTGCGAGTGCTCAGCTGCACGCGCTGCACCCGCTACCCAGACTCTCGGGGCCGTCTGCTGTGACCGGCCCATGCCCCCCCAGCCCAGCCCAGTCCCAAGTCGTCCAGCTCGCCCGCCGTGGGCCAACCAGCGTGCCATCTCGGCGCCCAAGTGCCCCAGTAATTGCCCCCATGGCCTCTGCTGCTGCTGCGCGCGCACCCCCCCTTCCAAGGGCCTGGCTTGCCTGCCCCCGGGAGCCCCCCCATGCCACGCTTCCAAAGCATCCATCACACACACTCACGCACACGCACACACCACCCAGCTCCCAACAGCTTGGGCTTGGCCCCAGCCGATCGGCTGCTCTCGCTGCCGCCCTCGGCGCGGTACACCTGCTGCCCCGGGCGCTGGGAATGGTACGAGGTGGCGCTGCAGCGGTTCCCTCACTCATTATCCTGGGGGGGTGGCCCGCCTGCGTGGTGTCTGGACAGTTCCATCCCACCCGCGCAATCAAGCAAGCAGCCAGACTGCAGAAGAGGTACCTACTGTACGGCGCAGTACGGCACCAAACGGAGCGGGCGATCCAACCCAGGGTACATCACTGCAGCGCAGAGCGGCACGGTACCTCGGGCCACGTCCCTCCGCATCCCGGCCAGTCTGCGCCCAGTACCGGTGGAGAGGGTCCAGTACAGTACCTCCTGTACCTCCAGCACGTACACCATTGTACCTTGCCTTCCCTGGCACCTGCACCCGCTGCGGGCCCGTTCGGCTGCCGTCTCTCTGTCTCGGTCCCATCCATCACTTCCACTCTCTGCCTCTTCCTCCCCGTCCGTCTTCCCTCCTGTGCTTCCTTTCGTCGTCTGCAGCTCCCCTGCTCGGCGTCGTGTCGACCTCCCTCTTCCTGACCAAACCCATCCTCTTACACCTACCGGCTGGGAAGGAAGCCTCTCCTTTTCCAACTCTAAACGTCCACGGGAGATCCGTTCATGGTAGCATCCTTGGTGCACCGCCATCCTCGTCGGCCTCGCAGGTGAGCCGTATCCTGACGAGCTCTTCCCCGTCGCCCCGGGACCTCTCGACTGGCGGCCGGCACCCTCGAAGTCGCCGCTGCCCCAACCAGACGAGAAAACTCCTTCGCAGGTGAGTCGAGCCTTGGAGAGGAGGGTGCTCGTGTGCCGAGGTGAAGGAGCATTGCGTCGCATGCCCTCGAACCCCCCTGGGTCACCGCAAACGTCGAGCTTGGTCGTACTGACCCTCCCGCCTGCAGATCCGATCGAGCATCTCCGCGTCCCGGCCTCGCAACAAGATGGCGACTCCTGCCTCCATCCCCACGAACCCCTCGCGGGACTCGGTCCAGCGTATCCATCGCATCACGAGGGAAAACCGCAGCTTGTGGTATCAGTTGACGGTGCTCCAGCAGCCGGAGCGCGCTCGAGCATGCGGCTCGGGCATGAAAGGTACGCCAAACCAATGGACATGTCCCCGAGTGGCCGCGAAATCCGGTGTGCTGACATCCTCCACAGCGAACAGCGATCGCCGTCCGGTCGACCCTCCGCCCGTTGTTGAGCTGCGCATCATTGAAGGTCCCACGGTCGAGGAGGGCAAAGAAATCACCTTCGACTACAATGCCAACTTCTTCCTCTACGCCAGCCTCGAACAGGCTCGCACCATGGCCCACGGCCGCGTCCAGACCCCCGCCGCCAGCAATCCCCCGATCCTCACCGGCGTCCCGGCCTCGGGCATGGCGTATCTGGACCGACCTTCCGAGGCTGGATACTTCATCTTCCCCGATCTCTCCGTCCGCCACGAGGGTTACTTCCGCCTCTCTTTCAGCCTGTTCGAGACGACCAAGGAGGAGAAGGACTTTGACTTGAAGCCCGCTGACAGTGACATGCCACCAGGTGTGGACTGGCGGATGGAGATCAAGACGCAGCCTTTCAACGTCTTCAGCGCCAAGAAGTTCCCTGGACTGATGGAGAGCACACAGCTGAGCAAGACGGTCGCCGATCAGGGCTGCAGAGTTCGCATCCGACGTGACGTACGCATGAGGAAGCGCGACAGCAAATCCGGCGGATACGACAGACGAGACGAGGAATACTCACGCCGCAGAACAGTGACGCCCGCCCCCGACGACCCCCATGGCATCCGTGCCCGTTCACTCAGCAACTCAAGCGAACACCGCGTGCCGTATGGCGCAGACGCAGTCAGGCGGCCGTCAATGGCAGACCCCTATTCGCTGCCTCCACCTCCGCCGGGGTACGAGCAACCGCAGCCTCCCAGCCGCGGCGGGCATCTCTCGTTCGGAGACGCGTCCGCCTCGCAGTACGCGGCCCCGCGCCCTTACCCTCACCCGACGGCCATGCCGGCGCCACCGATGTCTCCCAGCGGGCCATACCCCCCGTCATCGCAATCTCCATATAATTATCACCATGGGCGGACCTCCAGCTCCGCGGCCATGAGCTCGACGTGCCCCTCGCCGGCCATGTCCATCAAGCAGGAGCCGTACGATAGGTCATCAGGGAGCTACGTGCCGCCGTCACCCTCGGTGTACAATACGGCGGATAGACACGCGCGGAGAGATTCGCACATGTCATACACTGCGGCGACGCCTATACTACCTGCACCAGCACCGAGAGCGCCGACGCCCGCTTCGAGCCGGCCGCATCCCGCACCGCTCAAGATTGCGGCTTTGATGTCTCCGCTGCCACCCATCGAGGCGCAGACGGAACCGATGGCGCTGCCTCCTGTACTCCCCACGGGCTCAAAACGAAAACACGACTACGTGTTCCAGCAGTCGGCCCAGCCGCTTCACCACGGGCAGCGCCAGGTGGACCCTCATCTGGGCGGCCATCGACGGATCACGCACGACCAAGACGTGGAACAAGGGATGTACTCGCGTGCGGACGGCAAGGTTGGCGTGGTCCATTTTGGCGGGTGGCAATCATAGGGCGGAGCCCGTTCTCAATGCTAGCGACACGGTGGGCGGTGGCTTCAAGTCGGCATTTGCCCGGAGTTTATGGTGGCGGAGCAGCTCCCACTTTGCGGCTCCGCGGCTGCCTTACGAGAAGGCGGCAGCAAGATATCTCCTAGGGTCTTGGGTTTGATCTACGGATGGCGTCTGGCGCGAATCTTGTTCGATTCTACGGGCCTCGGATCACGGGACGACGAACGATGCGGAGACGCAGCCGAGAAGCTCGTGGGTCCCGGCGTGTTTGCGTTGCGCGGCGGTGGCGTGGACAGACAGCAAGCGGACGGGCTGAGGCGGGTAGACTCGATGGACGGCGTCTTCCGTCTCAGCATCGCTGGCCCCCGGGCCGGATTCCGGATCCGCTTTGCGCGTCACTCTCGCCGAAGCAACGTTTTCCTTTTCCATCGACATAACATATCTTTCAACTCAACTGTACGCATTTATATCTATTCTTTTCGACTCTACGCTCGCGGCCCAGGGCTGCGACGGCGGAACGGTGGCGAGGTTCTCGGGCATGGCCGTAGGGAGCGAGCGACGCCACCAGACACGACGATATGGCAGATGGCTCTTTACGAATGTGCGCGATTGTCGGGTTGAGTTGCGGGATCATACGGTCCGCTCCGTTTTTTATTTGTATCTGGGAGATCGAGATTGGATGGAACAACTAGGACGCACGAAGAGGAGGAGCAGGCGCAGACGGAAGCGCGCACACCCGACTGGCTGGCGAGCTGTATGTAGTTGAGCCGTGGACAGACGAGAGGTACAAGACAAGACAAGACAGCATTGCTGGCCATTCTACAAGTACATGGAGCGCTTGATGCTCGAAGACAGGGACTCCCTTGATTGAGGTGACGAGGCATGACGGGACATGGCGTGAGGTTAAAGTGATGGGGTTCCTGCGCGGCCGGGGCGGAGCGTCCGGTCCGGGCCCCTGCAGGCTGGAGCCTGGAGCGGGCAGCGGACATTCGATTGAGTTTGATGAATATGTTCTAGAAGTCGCGTCCAAGCGCCCGTAAGGACGTGGGCTGTGAGCAGCTGCCGACGCGAGGACGAGGCGCGGTGAGCCGATGGACATGAACAGCTGTGGAGTCGTTTTGTATGGGCGTGGGTGCAGGTGTACTTGATGGCGGAGGAGGCGATGAGGTGGGCTGGCGGGCGGGCGGGCGGCGGTGGGCAGCGGGCCGGGTTGTTAGCGCCCGTCCAAGACCGCCCGGGCACCCACACACACAGACACACACCACCCTCGTGAGTCGTCGGTCCTGGGCGGGACGGGAGTAACGGCTCCAGCGAGACTCGGTACTTGATGCAGGTAAGTGGTTACATCAGTAGTTGTCGCGTTCTGCGTACGTACCTTGAAACCATTGGCAATGCACATAATTGAACTGCACAATGCGTGTATGCACCGGCGTGGGCGGGCGGGAGGGTGGCTCCGCCGGCCCGGGGGGGAGAGGGAGTCAAGGTGCGCTCGCGCAGCATCTGGATGGATGCTGCGGTGGTGACGGAGCAAGACGAGACCTGCTGCTGCGCGGGTTGCAGCTCTGGACGGGTGGGTGAAGTGGTTGCTGTGGTGAGATCACGTGCAGTGCGCAGGTAGAGGGGACCAGGGGGATGAGACGCAAGGAGTAAGTAGGTCGTGCTGCTGTCGCTGTCGCACTGCTGCACTGCACTGCATTGCGCTGGGATTGAAGCACTAACAGCTCTGGGACATGGTGAGGTAACATACACCAGCGCCCACGATCAGTGCTAGGTTAGTGCTGTATCTTCTCTTTCCCAGCGCGATCGGCTGCCCTGTACTTCGTACCTTGCGTTAGCAGGTGGGGGGTGGCTGGGCGGGTTGTCTGGCGGGGAAACAGCAGCGGGACAGGGGAGGAGGGCCTAGCGTGAGTGCGTGTTAGTGAGTAAGTGGGTGAGTGCCCTGAGTGACAGAGTGAGTGCCCGTAGCGGAGCAGCCCAGCGCCTGTGTGTCTGGCTCAGGTTGGAACAATAACAACAAAAAATTGTTTGGAGCATGCCATGTGCTCCCCCCCTCCGCCCCGTACGAATACATACCTGCCTTCCCATTCCCCTACTACCTCCTCTCTCCAAAATATCTACTGCATTCATCTCTGCTCGCAGTTTTGCTCGTTGTTTTTGCGACCGGAAACGAACTTCCAAAAAACGCTTTCGACTGCTGCGCGTGAAACGAACGGGCGTCGTTGGGAAACGATTCACGTAGTGGGGCGGTTTTGCTTTCTTGGGGGAACCCGGTTGCCCCGCGAACGGGCGCTACTCTGTACTTCAACGTCCACACGTCAAGCAACGTCTAACGCGACGCATCGCATTGCATCGCATCGCATCGAGTGGCGACGACGCATTTCGTGATAGCCTCAGATTGGCCTGGCTAGAACGCGTCGCGCACGTTACTACTTGCACCGCACCCGCGCCCGCAATCGCCACCATCGCCAACGGCATCACCACCACCACATACTTCATCGTCACCATCTCCCCCCACCCGCGCCACCACCACAGCGTACGGCTCTGCAACGGCGGCGACGAGGACGAAGGGGGACACACGACGGGCGCATCCCACTACATACGCGCACACGCGCGCACGCACGCAGGAACCGCGACTGCGTGAAACGCACCCGCATCCATCCCTACATACAAAGCATTACATACGCTGAACGAACCACGACGTTCGCGCCATGGGCCCGCCACGAACCCGCGCGCAGCGCCTCGCCGCGCAGCAGGCCGCCCGCAGCCGCTTCCACGAGGGCTCCATGAACGACCGCGTGTCGGCCGCCCCGCCCGTCGCGTTCCTCTTCGGGCCCGGCGAGCGCGAGGCCCTCGAACAGCCTGTGTTTGGCTTCGGCGTCGTCGGCGCCAGCAGCGGTCAAGCCGTCGATGAGCAGCAGAGGCGTCTGGGCGGCGACGATGACGAGAGGCGGAACGGGGGGTTCCAGCACCAGCAGCAGCAGACGCTATCGCAACAACAACAATCACAACCGCCGCAACTGCAACAACAACCACCGCCGCCGCCGCAGGACGGCCGACGCAAGGCCCTCCTCGGCCAGATGTGGGAAGGCCTCCGCGGCAGGCTCAGGCTGAGGAGGGACCCCGCCGCGGAGAACAACGACGCCGCCACAACGGGCCGGAAGAGGCGCGCAGAGAGCAGAGATGACACCGGCAGCAGCAGCAATAACAACGCGCAGGCAACGATGCCGCCGCCCTCGACCGCAGAGATTCCCGGCCTCGGCCTCGGCGACCGCCCCACGCGCGAAGAGGTCTACGCCAACTACCACCAGCTCGTCGCGAGCGGCTTCTTCTCCAGCCACGCCATACACTCGACGCGCCAGCCGGGGCCCTCACAACGCCCGGCGACGTCGCATGATGCCCGCTCGCCGAACCATGTGCGCCACGACCCGCCGCAGTGGCCGCTTGCCGTGCCGCCGGCCCCGGGGATGACGACGGCGTCGACGGCCATGCTGATGACGCCGCCGCGCGGGCCGTCGCCCATATGCTCGCCCGCCAGCGCCGCCTCGTCGCGCGGGACCAAGCGCGCCGCCGAGGACGACGATGACGACGTCGAGGATCACGTTGCCGACACGGCCATGCGCGGCGACGGACAACCCCCCGCCGCTGCCGCAGCGATGGACTACGCCGGCGAGGACGCGTCGACCCTCGCGCACAGGTTCCTGCCCAAGCGCCTCCGCAAGTCGGCCAGCAGGGACATCTCCCTCCCGAAGCTGCGCGCCGTGGCCACGCGCAGGGGCCTCGCCGGCGGGCGCCGCAGCATCTCCATGGTCGCTGAGGTGGGCAGCGGCCGCGCCGCCGCACCAGAGCAGCAGCACCAAAACCACCACCACGCCGGCGCCAACACCAAGCACAGCAGCAGCGGCGGCAACAAGCTCGCCAAGCGCGTCCCCGGGAGCTCCTTTCCCAACACCAGCATCCTCCCCACCGACCCCTCCTCCTCCTCCCTCGCCCGCGCCTCGCTCGACGTCGTCCAGCAGCAACCCCCGGCGCCCCGACGGCAGCAGCAGACGCAGTCCCTCCGCGGTAGGCACGCGGGCGACGACGCCGCCGTCATCATGCCGGGCGCCTTCTTCGCCGGCGGCAGCAGCAACAGCAGCAGCAGCACGGCCAAGAGGCAGACGAGCTCCCGCAGCCTGCGCTCCAAAGCCGCCGCCATGTCGTCGTTGTCTTCCGCAGCCGCGCACGCCATCCCCGCCGCCGAATCGGGTCCCCTGAGCGTCGTGCCCGACGCAAACAGGGGCATCCCCGACGTCCCCGCCATCCCCGCCAAGTTCACCTACGGCGAGGACAGGGAGAATGGCGTGCCGTGGCGCGGTCTGCGGCGGTAGAGGCTCCGAGACCACTACCTCGCCATACGTGATTACAGCCAGCGAAGAATCTCGACTGGCGGTTCTGACTGCGGTGGCACTCGACTGGGATAGTGATGGCCACGGCTCGAGGATCAAACAAACGAACGGACAGGAGGAAACGGGACGAACGAACTCTTGATGTGCTTCACGACTTTTGACGTTTCTACTTGAACATTGGATGATGTGTGCTCGGACAGATACGCGGTACGAGAACCGATTATGACGAGCAGGTGCCGAGATGATTGGATTGGATTGGATCGATTGCCCGATGCCGGTTGGACGGACAGACGGGACGGACTGAATAACGCTGACTTCGTTTCTGGCGGATCGAGACGCCTGGACTTGATTAGTGGATGTCCATGAGCACGCGTTCATGCCTTTACGGGGCACTACACGTGTGTCGAGAGACCTTCCTCTGGCACCCTCAGACCATGAGATCCGCGGCGATGGGCACCCCATGGCAGCGACGTGCGCCGGGCAGAGTATCAACGAGGATAGTAGCGGCTCTGGCAGAGTATGTGTATATATACGCGCCTAAATATCAACCGCATGTGACGCGCCAACGACTACAGAGTACATCAGCGACAGCATGCATAGTCTAATGATCCTCACATTGACAGCGCTGCGTGTAACCGCGCGCACTAGAAAGTCCTACACGTTGTAACATATACAAGCCCTCGCTATACCTAGACCCGTCCCATGACACCACCCAGACACTCGTCTCGTTCGTCCGTGTCCATCCTACCCCTATCACAGAACCCAGTCCCGTTCAAGTTCCTCCCGAATGACAGTTCACCACTCCGCCATTAGCGCGCCGACGAAACTGGCCCTCTTGGGAGCACCTCTCGAGCTCCGCCAGCGCCTCTCCCTGATATTTCGGCCCCCGTCTGTAGAGCAAGTCCAGAGAAATAGTGTGTCGCGTTCCTTGTTGCCTCCTGGCGATCCTTGCTGATCCGTAATCTGTAACGATGGTGATAAGGGGCGCTCTACAAACGAAACGCAAGCCCCTTGAAAATGGTGTCCGAGAATGATAAATGTTGACAACACCTGTGCCGCAAAGCTTTGAAGCGCCGTACTCTAGAAGTGAATCGAACGTAGCCGTCATCATGATGCATTATACCTCAACTGGTGGCGCTCTCGTCCCTTGTGGGACCAGTCGCGCGACCTGCGTCTGCCCGACCTGGACCAGCGCGCGCGCAGACGACCACAGGAAGGGGAAGAGCGAAGGGAAATAGCTGTAAAGCATGGCGCAAACCATGACCAAAAGTAGCGGTATCTGAGATGTTGTTAGCTCAGTCACACAAACGACATGTCGACAGGAACGTACCCAGATAAAGAACAAGTTCCGGTCACTGCTGAGATTCTTCAGCTTCTTTTCATGCGCCGCTAGGAACTGTTCTTGTTGCTCTTTCGTGATGGCGTTCTTGCGTCCAATCTTCAAGATCCCGGGCGATGTAGCTCGCGTGATCGTCCTCGCTTCGGCAGCCGCAGACGTAGATGGCTGATCGTACAGGCTCGTGCACTTGATGTCTGCCTCTGCATCGGCGGCAGCGCGGATCGCAGACTCCTGCTTCGTGTCGGAATCCTGCCGCCCAAAGATCTCCTCGTAGGCGGGAGGTGCTTGAGCGCCGTTCTGCATGTAGGAGCTGAGGTCCCACCAGCGACTGTCCATCTTGGGATTTCCGCCGTCCTGCGAATCTGGGCGAGCCCCGGAACCGCCAGGCATGAGCTGCTGCATGCGACGCATGAATGGAGCCTGCTGAAGGTACGCCTGATAGTCGGGCAGTAGGGGCATGCCAGGGAACGTCGGGATCTGCGGCATCTGGGGTAGACTTTGGAGATGCAACGCCATCGACTGCTGGAGTTGGTGGAATTGCTGCTGAAGTTGGTCCTTCAAGGCCGCGAACTGCGTCGTCGGCGACCCAGGGCCACGAATCTCCTCGTCCGAATCGTCCCCAAGATGGTCGGTGCTGTCCACATCGCCTCTCACCCGGCTCTGTCGTCGCATGTGCATGTACAAGTCCTCGTCGGGGTCTTCGTCTTCAAAGTCGCCAGACGTGTACTCGGGGCTCTCCTCGCCGCCGTCGACAGCGATAGGCTCGTCGTGGGTGTGGGCTCTGGTCATCGGCTCCCAGAGCGAGCGCAATGAGGTGGCGCTGCTGGTTCGGCTGTGCAGAGAGCCGCCGCTAAATGATCGGGCATGGCGCTCAGACTGGCGAATGGCACGCAGCACCTGCCGCGACTGCGCGACGTCGGCAGCCGTGAGACTGGACAGGCTTCGGATGGTCGGATCGGCCCCGACAAGCATCAGCCGCCTCACAATCTCGGGGTGGTTATTGATCGCAGCCACATGCAGCGGCGTGAAGCCGCCCTTGTCACGAGCGTCAGGGTTCGCTCCTCGGGCGAGAAGCGCCGCAACAAAACGGTGGTAGCCGAGCGAGCACGCCAGGTGCAGCATCGTGTGCCCAGTTGGCCTCTTCAAGTCCAGCCGGGTCTTGTGAGTGCTGTCGTCGAGATCAATCAAGTCGAGGACCTTGAGCAGCTGGGACTCGAGGTGCTCGTGGGAAGCCGCATGGTTGAATCCGGGTCCGCCACTTGTCTGTCCACCCGATGGCCCGGCGGCCCACGTCGAGCTGCCGTCGTTGAGGATCCGTCGTGCCAAGTCGCTAACATCGACCATCTGACCAGACATCTTGTGGCCTAGCACAGACAGCGCCGTTCTGATAAGCTTGTCCTCGTTGTCGTCAATGTACTTGAAGATGGGCGGCTCCTTGCCCATAGGAAAGCTCTGAGCCCCTGGGACACCTTGGTGCTTGAAGGTGACCGCCACTGCTCCAGCCACGGGAGAGGGAGGCAACAGACAGACAAGGGACGAATCGCCCCAGTAAGTCGTCGTAGTGGCTTTTTGATCACCGAACCAGACCTCCAGCCCTTGGAAGAACCCTTGCCCCAGCACGGTGACTTCGATGCCGCCCATCTTGGGGCCCTCGTTCGGAATGATCTTGTGGATCATGGGAGGCGGCCGGGCCTGATTGACACCCATCGGCAGGGCGAAGAGGCTGCTGCTCAGCGACTGCGCAAACTGGTTCTGGGGGATGTTGACGCCATTGCGTAGGCCGTTGGGGCTCGGGGCTCGACTGGGGTGGCTCGACGTCGGTGCAGAGTACAGCTGGGCCATTGCCAGGTTATCCATGCTAGCGGACCTGTTGTTGGCGAAGAACGGGACCTGGTCGCTGCTACCGGGTGTCGGTGGCCCATTGGCAAACGGCTGTTGCCCAAACATCTGCTCCATCTGCGAGAAAGCAGCGGGGTTCGGCGAGAAGGGAGACGTGGCCGTCGACAACTGGGCGCTGGTAGTCTGAGAACCCGGGGGCGGGGACGTTTCCAGTCTCGTCATCGTCAAACCGTTAGGCACGCGCGTTCCGCTTCCACTCGACTTCCTCTTCTTCGCCAGCGGCCCGCCTTGGCTTGGGGACGGCGGCCTGGACATTGTTCGGGTCGGCGCCGTCGCGGCGCTCATCGTCGGCGTGGTCTTGCCCGAAGTTGAGGCGGCATATGATGGGGATTGACCGTTGCGCTGGCCCGCGTGATGGTCGCTGGCAGATGGCGACATGTGATAGCCATTTTGCGCAGGCGGCCCGAGGCTGCTCGTGGCGGGGTCCTGAGCCGCCGTCGAGGATGTGACGGCTTCAGACATGGCGGGCTGCGAGGAAGCTTGGGTCATGGGATGAGTCTTGTGGTCATCCGTGATCATGATTGGGTTAGACATTGCCTGCGCGATGACGCGGTCCTGGAAGTCCTTGATGGTGAAGATGACGTTGAAACCCATCTTCTCGTTATGGTGGCGGCAGTAGCACGCGATGCGCATCGGTGCGTCAATCTGCATCGCGAGATTAGATGCCACCGTCTCCGGCCGCCCGTTCGGGTCCATAACGCCGCTCAGGGGCTGCCACTCCTTCACCTCCTGTGTATTGAAGACGATGACGCGGCGTTCCTCGTCAAGGCCCCAGAGCTTCTCTTCGTCCGGCTTCTTGATCTTCTTCCGCGCGGCTCTCTTTCGTTCTCGGGTGATGCATCCCTGGCAAATGCGGACGTCGCCGCCGTTTTGTGGCGAGTTCTCGTCGTCCAGGTCGGGCAAATGACGCTGCGGCAGCTTGCAGGCTCTGTCCAGGGCCTTTTGCTTCATTCCCGGCTGCTCCATGGCGCTCGTGCAAACCAAAGTGACGTGCAGTTCCAGCGTATCGGGTGACCTTTCGGGCGCTGGCTTCGCCAGGAGCTTCGGCTTGGATATCGTATGGGCTGGGAGATGCAGCTTTGTAACCCCCGGAGGCAATGGCGACAGCGTCATCTTGATGGGAATTTGGGTCTCCACACGCGACTTGAGCGGCGTTGGCATGATCCTCAGCTCGTAGCCTCCAGTGAAGTTGAACGGCGCCGCGTTGTACATGGCAGCCTGCTGCTGTGGCATCGGCACCGGGCCTCCAAACGGAACGGGGACAGGCCGCCCGTTCGCGTGCGCAGCCATGTCCAGTCGGTTCGGCCACATGGCGTTGCCGTTCATGGCCTTATTAAAATCGTGACCCGCACCAGGAGACGGGGAGTTGAAGAAGGTATTTGCGGGGGAGGAATTGTGACTGGTCACCATGGCCGACATAGGCGAGACCTCTCTCGAGCCGGCCGTCTTGGCGCCGTTGACGGACGAGGCCATCGAGTATTGCTGCATCCAAGAGTTAGCGAGGCGACGTCTGAACGTCAGCGCGGAGCACTTACCGATGGCTGCTTCTTGTGATTCGGCGCCTTCGCCCGGTTGGGCTGTGCGGTCTTCTTAGGGCTTGTAGTCTTGATGGTGGGCATGCCCGGTGACGGCATGTTGATCTGAGAACCGACCGCAGCTTCAGGACTGCTCGAGGCGCCTTCGAAGTCGAAGGAGCGATCCATAAATGTGTCGTCGTGTTCACCGAAGCCGTACATGGCGTCCATCATGACGGAGGGGTCTGCCTCGCGGCCAAAGGCAAAGGCATTGTCCTCGTCGTCAAACGCGCTGTAGTTGGGGTTGGCCCACTCCATCTTGACGTCCTTGCCATCCTCCATGGCCGTGTCGGCGGTCGTCGCCGGCGTCTTGGCGGACGCGGAGCTGCCGGCCCTCTTGGTGGAGGAAGCCGACTCGGATGAGGAGTCGTGGTACGACTCGTTGGGCGAGTCGGGGAGGGCGTCGGGCGCGGAGGCCGTCAGCTCCTGCGGGTTGAGGAAGTTCTTGCTCTCGTTGGTCCCTATCGTCTCCAGACTCTGCAGGGTGTCTGGGCTGTTGGAAAAGTCGAAGAGGTTCGAGGCGCCGAACTCATCGTCGTAGTCGTGGAAGTCGCCACTGGGCATTCCCGCTCCCGCGATAACAGGGTCCCCGGGGCCTTTACCTGCCGCAGATGACATGACCACCAGCAGACAGAGCCGTGCGCGTCGTCCACCTCACAGGGGTCTCGCTCGAGCGAGGCGCCGATGGGAAGGCGACGTGCGTGATGGGGTGACCGGGTGCCGAGAGGGTTCGAAGGGTCCCGTTGGGGAGGGACGCCCGAAGCGTACAGATCAGGGGTCCGACCCGGCTCGGGATGCAGTTGTATCTCGACTCAGATGCCTCGAGGCTCCAAAGCCATCTCCTCCCCCGTGGGACACGGACAAAAAAAGGCGGAGGGAAGGCGGTAAAGGTGCGTGCGCCTCGGCGAGGTCGGCGGGACGCGAGACGTGAGGTCGAGGGCAAAAAAGCAAGATTAAGGTTGGGGGCAGGAGCACGCGCCGCGCGGAAGGCGCTTCAATTGACGGGGCGGCAGAAATCGACCGCCGGGCGCCCGATGACTGTGGGATCGAACTCTCGACGATGGGCGCAGATGCCGCTCGAAGGCCCTCTGCCGTCGTGGCCGTGATCGTGGGTTTCGCTCGGTGGTGCGGCAGCAAGAGACGTTGAGGCGTTGAGGGGGAGGGAAGAATCTGCGACGGGATGAGCGAGACAGTGGACGAGACTGACTGGCTGTCGGGCTGGTCTTAGGGGACTCTGCGCGCACACGGCCTGCGCTGCGCCGACTTTGGGGGGGTGGGAGGGGAGAGGGAACAGTGGAGGCGGGCTGGGACAAGCTGGAAAGGGTACCGTCGCTCGAGGCACTAACCTGGAAAGTGTCAGCGCCCAGCGCTGAAGGAACCTGGAACCGTGGAAACAGACCGGGAGGACGCTGGGGCGGCGCGGGCTGTTAGTTGGTGGCCGCTGTCCCGCCGCATAGCACCGCAGCGCAGCGTCACCTCACGCGCACTGCGGCAGAGTCAATGTCAGTCCATCTGGAGCAGGCCCGCCCTGGTGGCCCTTGTGCGGTCCTTGGTAGGCGTGGCGCCTCAGACTGGTGGGGTCCAGGGTACGGGGTGTCCACCCGCCCAGCCGTTTGATTGCTCGAGTGCCGCTGTCCGAAGTCCGGATCGGACAGTGTTGAGTAATTGATCCGCGATCTGAGGCACTGTCCGTGGCGCAGCGGAAGCCCCGGATAACACAGTGTGTATTCAACTCCATCCAGTCTCCTCCTCCTGGCTGGCAGCCCGGCGCCCAGCCAATAGCGGCGCAGCTGGTGGTCATGCCTGCCTTAATGACTCTGCGACGTGATCCATCCATCCATCAAGGCACGGCTGCCTCCGCGTCCACAGTCTTGCCAGTGCAGCCATGATTCCCAGCCTTCGAGGTACCTGCGCGGCCACACACAACCCCCGCGTTGCAGGCGTACCTGCCACGGTCGACCGCTGAAGCGCCATCCACTGTGAAGCTTCCCAGCCGGGTGCCAGTTCTCTCCACAACTCCCACCACCCTCAGCCCAGCCAGCCCAGTCCAGCCCAGCCCAGAGAGGCACCGCCCGGCGGCGGCGGCAGCACAACAGAATCGCCCATCTGAACAGCTGTCCCCTCCAGCTTCATCCCCAACCTTCTGACGTTTCCCCAACCCAACCTGGGCCCCCCCGGGTCAATCGGGCGACGATGAGCTTCTCCAGCCTTCCGCAGCAGCAGCCCGTTCTGTGACTCAACTCCGCGTCGAAATCCCACCCCGCAATATTACGCAAGCCCCTCGTGTCGTGGCACGTACTCGGATCTGTTGCGTCGCGTTGTGTGTGTGCCTTTGGGTTGCGTCGTCCGGCCTTGGTCGCCCGAATGCTGCCCCCGGCCGACCGCAAGCTGGTCCCTGCACCAAGGACGCATGTACGTATGCGAATGGCGGTCATGCTGCCCCTTGATGGATGGCGCATGCCGCAATTTTCGGCGCAATCAATTGGTTACGCGCCACAAAGGAGAGAACTCCTGCATGCTGCTGTAGGCGTTGTTGCGTAAAGAGGCAACGCTCGGCCAACGCGAGTGGTCGCCAGGAAAGCATGCACACAAAGTATCGCCATCGCTGCGTCTCGGCCTGTCTGCCACCAAGCGCCCGGCGGCGCCACCCGGTGCGGACCGGGCAGTCTGCAGCTGACAGGGAGGTGCGCATTCAATTGCCTATCTACGGGCTCCGCATCGCCATGAACTCAAGAACATGCTAGCCGTAGTAATATAAAAGCTGCGTGTACTGTACGTGCGTCGCCATGGTTCTGACGCGACGCCATCCACAAGCTTTGGGCCCGTGTCCAGGCCGCCATTGTGGGCTTTGTCGGCGAAAAGGGCCGTAAGGGCCTTGGTGGTGTGAGCCGACGCCCAATCAACGACGCCAGCCGCATCGCCATCTTTGCGACTTTTTCTCGCCGCATCCCGCACATCGACGACGTGCATCTTGTTATCAGTTCGTCCCTGCGCCGTCCTGCACCTAGCATGCAGCCACGCCTTGCCGCGTTGCCACGGTGGCTGGCCGTCCATGGCCGCGGCGCGTCGTGATCGCGTGCCGTCCATCGTGCCTGGCTTGCTGTGTCGGCCCGACGCTCGACACTGGCGACACCTCCCGCGGCGATCTTCACGCATGTACTACTGCTAGTATCCAAGGCAGATGAACATCTCCAGGATTTTATTCCCGTCTATACAAACGCTGGCTAGTGATGTTCTAGAACCACTCCACTCAGTGGAAAGGCTGTTGTGTTTACAGGGTGTGGATGCGAGGCGCATCTACACAGACTATAAACGCCAGGACGCCACCTCCTCGCCACCGGATGAAAGAACGGCCTCGAGCGCATCCGGCAATTGGGCGGTAACGGCACTGCGGATAAGCGATCGGGATCTTTCGCTGTCAAGGTGATCGATGCAGCTCGGCTACACCTCGTCCGGGAACCGAATCTCCCGATCTCGGCGGACGCGGACGGGCGTGGCCGTCCCAGAGTCTGGCTGCATCTGGATTGCACCGGACAAGGACGCAGACAATGCCGGCCCTTCACCCGAGGGTGCTGTCCCCTGGTGGGCCTGGCGAGGGTTCGTCGGGCCTGATATGACGGGACGGGGCTTCGGGCGCCTCGACTCGACGTCACCTGGCTTTCCTGCGAGATATTTGCCGAGGACGGGGATCCGGCGCCGTGCTTCAACGGCACGCGGCTCGTCGCTCAAGCTCTCGCTAAGCACACGGCCAAAGGTTCGAGGCGCGAGATATCCGATTTTTCCAAGCGGGATGCTCAGGCCGTGAACAACCTAGCGCTACGTTAGATTCTGGGTTGAACGAGGCAGACATTTCAGACAAGGTGACGGCTCATGCACTTACAACACTGCAAACAGTCAGGAACCAAACGACGATTCGAATCGTTTCACTGAGATCCTGGACATCTCTACGCGGGACACCATTCTCATCACTCATATGCTCCTCGATGAACTCGAGGCTGATGAATAGATAGAAAACGGCAGAGACTCCAATGGGGCCAAAGAAGCCAACAAAGATGGCCTGCCTGGTCTCCTCGATCTGGCGAATCCACTTGTGCATGGCAAACACCCACGGTAGGCGGCGCACCAGGAGGACCAAGATGCCCAGCACGGCGAGCTTCCAGGTCGGAACGATGGGATTGTCGCCGAAGAGGGTCCACGGGAGAACGGCCCCGTACCACAGAAAGATGGTGACGTTAAGCAGCATGTCGATGGTGGGCTGCAGGGAGTCATCCTTGGTCTGCAGTCGGAACCAGTCGTCCCACGTGAAGGTGTTGCCGGCAATGAAACAGGCAAGCACGTCGTCGGTGCCAATGAGGCCGCATGTGCCGAGCACGAAGAGGGCGAGCGCGATGGCGAAGACGAGGAAGCTCTCGCGGTCGACATAGTTGCGCTGCTTGGCCCAGAACAGCAGCTCCTTGCCCAGCCAACCGACGACAGCGCCGTATAGAATGCTCAGGATGATGGTGTAACCCCACGTGAAGCCGAACCAAAGCCCCATGGCGTCGCCAGCATTTCCCTCAGTGGCCCCCGCACCGACGTACTTGATGAGGTAGAGGGCGAAGAACAAGAACGGGTAGCCCAGGCCGTCGTTGGTGCCGGACTCGGCGATGATGAGGTTCTGCAGATCCTTGGGGATGTTCTGGTCCGCAAACTTGCCCTTGACGATGACGGCAGACAGCACGGGGTCGGTGGGCGTCACGCACGCACCGACGGCGAGGGCATGCAGAAAGCTGGGCGGGCGGACGAGGCCCCAGACAAGCAGGCTGGTGGCGATCCACATGGCCGTCATGCCAGGCCCGACGAGGAGGAGGATGGGCTTCCACTCCCTGCGCAGGTACTTGCTCGGGAGCTGGACGCCGGCCAGGACCAGCTGGACGCCGAGCACGAGGCGAGAGAAGTTGAGCGTGATGCCATTGAGGTTGTCGCGGCACTCGAGGGCCGAGACGCCGGACTGATTGCACTCGGCGTAGTCACGCGGACGGATGAAGTCGGCGCCATGGGGCCCAAAGCCGACCCCGACGAGGAGCGAGATGACTGGAACCAAAAGATGTCAGTCCCTCTGTCCCGCAGCAACTGTTCATGCCCTCTCTTCTCTCGCAAGTCTCACGCCTTCCAGGCCGCCAAGTGCCTTGGCACGGGAGAGCGACACGGGCCAGGTGGAGACACGAAAAAGCCCAGGCTCAAGCGCGGGGCGGGGGAGGAGGGGGGGGCGGACTCACGAGCCTCGGAGAGGTAGAAGTTTTCCTTGAGGAGGAACGACACGAGGCCGAAGAGGGAGATGAATCCGCCCAGCAGGGCGACGGTGATGTTGAAGTTTGTCAGCTGGAGCGGCACCGCCCAGATGCTGTCTTTGTTGTGAGCCATCCCGGCAGCACAAGGCGTTAGCAACGCGAGAGGCGCGAAGCGGCGACGACGTGGGTGAGCGCAGACGAGGAAGCGGTCATGGCGCTCTTGGTCGGCGACGACGAAGGCGGCGAAAGTAGCGACGACGACGAATGGCGTGTCATTCGCAAAGGAGGAGAGCGGCAGACGAGAACGCGGAGACGGGCGTCGCGAGCTTTTCTTCAGTCGGTGTGATCTGGCTACGGTGATGACGTTGACGCGGTGGTGGTGCTGGTTGTGGAGAGAGAGTAGGCCCAAGTCGGACCAGAATTTTTCAAGGTCAATGCCGTCCCCTACGGCACGGAGCAAAGGCCCACGGGGGTGCTCAGTAGCGCGCCCGCCGGTGAGGCTCCAGCTGTTCAGCCACCGGGCGCAGGCGCCGCGGCGAGGCGCCCGAGATCCCACCTCGCTGCAGCCGGCACTTATCGTTGGTTAGATAGAGGCACGGTAGCTTCCCTTGCAAGTTCCTGGCCCGGAGGGCCCTTTAGCTCCCGTCGGTTCATCTTGGGCACACCACCACCACCACGACAACCACTGGAACCCGTGGGGATCAAGGTACCTACCTAGGTGGCCTTCAACCGTCGTGTGCCCAACACAGGCGGGCTGACACCCCCGAACCTCCCCAGGCGGCGTCTGCAGCTCCGGCCCGGGAGCGCGGCAGGTGAGGAGAGACGTCGTCGTGGTCGGGTCGGGTCCGGGCGGCGCGTACAAGACACGGACAAGCCGGCCGGGGGGGAGGTGAGACACGCAGGATAACCCGGCCTCAGCCCCGGGGTGACGACCCCGGTCCTGTTCCTGTTCCTGCTGAAGGATGTCAAACTCGGCCGTTACACAGGCCGTCCCACGCTGGAGGTGCGGACGCACACACGCAGCCGTGGACGTCCGTATACCAGACGAGGACTGATAATCATCAAGACACGATCCCTCATCTCCTCTCCCATCTCGCCGTCCACCTCCCTTATATGTACACATCTCATCCTCCTCTCTCCCCATCACATGCCAACTCGCCGCCTCTCCCTCTCCCTCCTTCCCTCCCTCTCTTCCTCCATCCATCCATCCACCCCTCTTTCTCTCTCTCCCGCAGCCACATCATCCCACCTCCGCCTCGCCCAAACCGCCCGCGCTGCCAATCTTCGACCCTCCCGATCATGCTGTACACTGTTCCATCGCAGGGCGACGGGACCCGTCCAGACGAACGCTTGCCTTTCCCCTCTTTCGACATGCCGTTCGCCGGGCAGGTGACGACGTGTGAGCAAGTTAAATGCGCGCAGGACACACAAATGCGACGAGGTGCGTGGGCCCGTCGAAAGTGACAGAAGAAGGACAAAAAGATTCCGTAGAAAGATTACGAGGTATCATCGCGAGAGCGCCCGGCGAGGCATACCGGCCCAGGGCGCAGAGAAGAGTACAAGTATGCCCGCATGTGCATCGCCTCCCGATCTCCGTCCCGTCCAGTCCAGTCCAGCCAGTCCAGTCCAGTCCAGCAACGCCCCCAGGTCTCGCGTCACACACGCACCGAAGACGAGAAATAAAAAGACGCACAAAACAAAAGGCCGCATCGCCCGGCCCGTCTGCCATCCGCCGCCCGTCCCGAAATACCCGCTCGTCGATGCCCTCATTCACACCACGCCAATCTTGGCCCCCCTGACGGCCAGCCGGTCCGCCGCCACGTTTCCCCTGTCCGTGGCGTGGCCCTTGACCCAGTGAAAGTACGTCGTGGCGCCCACGAGATTCCTCTGGTCTATCAGATCAATCACCTGCTCGATGAGGTCCTTGTTCTTCACCATCTCGCCCGACGCCGTCATCCATCCCTTGCGCTTCCAGCCAGGCGCCCACTGCGTCACGCAGTTGATCGAGTACTGGCTGTCGCTCACAATCTGCACCGGCTCCGTCACCGGCGCGATCTGGAGCGCTCGCAGGATCGCCATCAGCTCCGCCCGCTGGTTCGTCTGCGGCTCGCCCGGCAGTCGCTCCGACACGTTGCGCGGGTCGCCGTCGCCGAAGAAGACGCCCACCCCGGCCCGCGATCCGGCCTTGCCGTTGGCGAGGCTGCTCCCGTCCGTGTAGATCTGCAGTACGTTGTCGCCGGGCTTCTTGACCGTCGTTGCCGTGGTCCCGGCCGCTGCAGCCTTCTTCGTCGACTTGCCTGCGGTGGCACGCTGGGTCGTCTGGCCAGGTTCGACACCCGCCGCCTCGCCCAGGGCCTCGACGGCCTCCCGGCTGCCAAACTGTCTAATGTACGCGACCGCCTCGCTCCGGCTGTTGAATCGTCTGTACTTGGGGCCCTTGACACCCTTAATCGCCGCCGCGGCATCAGTCCAGTCCGTGTAGATGCCCGTGGGCGAGCCCACCGCCACGGCGTAAAAACGGTCCGGCTCATCTGCCGGCGCTGAAACCTTCTTGCCTGCTGCAAACGCCTTTGCATCCTCCATTGACGTGAATGATTTGACTAGAAAGACGGTCAGTGTGAGTCGCAGCGTGAGCGGATACCTGGCGCGCCAGCTCAAACTTACATATCGCGCCCTTGAACCCCGTGGTCTGCCTCGAGCAGTCGGCGTAATTGAGGTACACGCCGGGGATGTGGCCGGCCTGGACGGCGTAGAACTTTTGCAGATTGTCCATCTTGCGCTTCTTGGTGGAGCTGCCGGCCGTGGGCTCAGAGCCCGACCCTGGGGCGGACCTCTTCTTATTCATTGTGTTGTTTTCGTCCCCTCTCGCAGCTGGCACTGCTCCTGCTGCTCGTGCAGCACGCGGGGCGGTGGAGACGGCGAGGAAGCCGAATAGAAGCGACAAGTCAGAGCCGGCCGGACGTGCAGCGAATGCTCGCACCAATCTCGGCGCCGCGCGGGCGAGGATGCTTGCCCGTCTCAATGCTGCTGTCGCGGGCTGCACTCGGGCGGCTGAGGCAGACGACCAGTGGCAACCGTCTCGGCGGTGGAGTTGCGCGCTGCCGTCGCCGTCGCTGTTACTGCTTTCGCTTCTGCTGCTGCTAACACTTGATATGCAGAAGACGCCGCCTTCGCTGCCGTTGCTGCCAACGCTGGCTGCTGCTTGCTGTAGCAGTGGTAGCAAGCCGCTGCCGTTGGGCGCTGTCGTCGGGGTCGCACAAGGCTGTCGCTGGGCGAGTCCGTCGGCTCCCTAGTCAATGAAGGCGCATGCTGCTGCTGCGGCTCAAACGGGCTTTTTCGTCTCCCTCCTCTCCGGCACGTGGCGCGCGACGTCGTCCTGTGCGGTGCGTGGCGGATACTGGGCTGGTGATGCCTGGGCCGCGACGCGCTCTTGTCGTGAGCAGAGAGACACGAAGAGGAGAAAAGCTGTCTCTTATACACATCTAGATGTGTATAAGAGACAGGGCCACCACACGCTGCCTGGCCGCCCTCGTGATGGAAGCAAAAGTCAGTGAGGGGCCACCACCCTGGGCCAACTTTGGCGGGGCCTTCTAGGGGGGGGGGGGGCCACGCCAGCATTCGCCCGGCCCCACCAAGCATCCCGACCCCCCCCCCCCTTTTTCGAGCCCCTACAAATCTCAATCCTCCTGTCTCACGACTCACCAAAGCACCTCCGGCGACATGCCAATGAGCCCGCGTAATTGCCATATCACCATCCCACCCCTCGTCTCCTGAATGCATCTCACTCTCACACGCCATTTTCCAACGCTGCTATGCCATCGCGTGAGTGAAAACAGGCTCAAGTTGAATGAAGCACTCAATTCATCGCAAAAGTGTGTCTAGTGCAAATGCGACACAGTGTCCCAACTCCAGTCCTAACCGTTCGCCTCGCCATGCCGGGTATGCAGTACACATGAACAGCCGCCTCAATCACTGCTAAACCCCCGAGCAGTGAGGACTATCTAAACCCCCTTCTGCTCGTCCTCCAACCAGCTGTCGACTATTCAGCAGTCCACAAACACACAAACCTCTGAGCACCTCAACATAGCAATGGCACCGTGTTCGTCGCTGACATCGTCGCCGTCGTCGTGTGCGTCCAAGTCTTCTCTCGTAACAAATGCAATCAGTTCGCGCCGCCGTCGCGAGGCTCACACGTTCGGGCGACCATCCAGGCGCGGCGTATCGGACGGCGCGCGACGGTCGAGTCTCGCATGGGCCTCGGAGGTGGTAATCCTAAACGTGAGTGGTCGGGTCGACGTGAGGCAGGTCGGGCACGCCCTTTCGCTCCCACTCCCACGCCATCAGGCTCCAGTTGAGCTCGCGACGCCAGAAGAGCCCCAACCCTCGTCCACCTCCGTCAGGACGGTCATCCGAGCTCAAGCCCCCGGTGCGTGGCATATGTCGGCTAAACACGACTCTGCCCATGCGCGAGTGCAGGATTCCCATGGAGCAAGCAACGCACGGCTCGTGGGTCACGTACAGTTCGAGGCCGTGGCACAAATAGCCCTCCTTGTTCGGGTGCTCCTGCAGGAAGCACTGGCGCTCGATGTCCAGAAGGGGCCGGTCCTGGAAGGCGTCGTATTCGAGGTTGGCATGCTTGAACTCTACGCCAGCCGCTCGGCGCTCGTGACGGACGAGCTTCTGTGCCACCATGCTGATAGCACGGAGGACGCAGTGCGTCATCGTGTTCATGGGGGTGCCCATACCGTACTCCTGATGCCAGCGCGCGTCCCCAGCAAGCCCAATGACGTGGGATCCCTTGTCATCGCGAAGGACAACGACCGCTCCCATGGCTTCGCCGATGCCAGCTCTCTTGGCGTCGAGGGCCACGCGGTGGGCAAGGGCCATGAAGATGGGCGCGTCGTTCTTGAGTTCGTCGGTGCCGCGGCCTACCATGCTAGGATGAGGTCCCAGCGGGTTGTTCTTGCGGTAAACCGTGGGCCAGAACTGGGAAGACCACATGGCAGCCTGTACCTGCGAGGTCGGGGCTAGCAGGGGGATGGGGATAATGTGGAGGAAGATTTCCTCCTGCTGGAGTCCCTCGATACACGAGAGGGTTTGGATCACAGCCTCCTTGTTGAACTCTTTGACCTCACCCACAATGATGTAGATCCAGTTGGACTTGGCCGTGTGTATCTGCCGTCCAGCGGGCGTGTCGTTCATGAACTGGGTTTTGATATGCGCCGGGAGATCTGACGGCTTCGCGCAGGTACGAAGATGAGGCAGGGGGTTAGCACTGCCTTCGGGTCGCAGGTTGCGTAGTGCCCTGGCAAAGTAGAGTCAATACACGCTGCAGGCTGTCTTCCGAAAGGACAGAGGCGACTCACGAGATGACGTCGTTGGCCGACTTGGTCGGCGCCCTGGTGATGTACGCTGTGACGATAGTGTGATCCTGGCGAACTTCCTGAGTCGTCTTGAGGGGGATCAAAACGCCCCTGGGGCGGTTCTTATCTCTGAACTCGTCAAGCAGCGGGTTCGGCGCGACTCCGACAACCTTGAGAGGCTCGGAGTCGGCCAGAGCCGTCTCATTCGGTGCGTTGGCACCGTTGGCAGTGGCGTTGACTGTCATCGTGCCGAATGCCGCAGTATGCTGTTCGCTGTCGCAGTGTACTATAGTGGCTGCACCGACGGGAGCTCGAACCGATATCAGTGGCGGATACGCTGTCGGCAGAGGCCTGAGCGATGATGATGACTGCTAGGAAGACTCCAAAAATCCACAGGAGAGGAGCACGACCAAACAGCTCGCCTTTGGGTGCCGGGAACGCAACCAAGGGAGGAGAAATGTAGGCAACGAGAGAAGGCGACGAAGGGCCTGCCCAAATAAGCGATCTTTGGCCAAGATGATCCTCCTCTGGACGCGTCTCTAGGGAAATGGGTGGGGTGGAAGCCGCGTTGAGCGCGCGGCCGGCTGTGACGGTCGAAGCTTGGCAGGTGCTGGGGTTGGAAGCCGCGAGAGAGCAGCGAAAGGAAAGACTGAGCTGTTGGTTGCTCAGCCAGCACCTTCAAATGATGTGGGAGCTGCCGTTCTTTGAATGGAGCAGGAATTGTGACGCGGCAGTCTGGCTGCGGCTCCGAGGTTGGCGACTTGAGATGCAGCACGAGCTGTAGCGATGGCTCTCAACTGCCCTCAAAGCCAACCAACTGTGAAGCTGTGAGCTGCAGACAAGTCCCACGGGCTCTGGAGGGATGAGTGCAGTTGTGCGCGATTGTTTGTGACGGAAGTTGATCCCTGGGGTGAAGACGGGAAAGATGTGTGTGTGTTTGGTTTGGGTGGCAGGCAGGGAGGAGAGGGTGACAAGGTGAGAGTGGGCGGGGTTGGGGACGGCGAGGGCCGACGAAGATGAACAGGTCCTCCCCAGGCAGAACTGCCAGGTGCGGGGAGCCGTCGCCAGCTGGCAAAGTGAGAAGCTGCTTTCCCAACGATTCGCACTCGCAACGCTCTGCGAGGACCTCGTTGCCCCGTGACGCGAGTGGCGGGGTGAGAACTGCTTTGCCGACCCGTATCAGGCACCTGAGATCGATCCAGAAGCCTCCTCTGTCGTTTACGAGGGGGACAGAGGCCGTGGTCGACTGTTGCGTGCCTTGGTCGCGATGATGTCCAGAAGATATCTTGAACCTCAAACTCGTCGTGATTTCTCTGCACTAGGATTGGATGGGCGGTTTGAGATGTGGCTGTGCGAACGGGACTGGTGAACAGGCCCGGTGGGGCGCCTGGCGCATGTGGCGCAGTAGAATCCACCAGCCACACCTTCTGGAAGCCCAGCTGTCTCGTCAACATTCCAGGGCCCAACCCAACCCATTGGCGCGAGACGTGGAGATCTTGCCATCTCGCCAGATTGATCGGGGTCAGTGGGGCTGGGTTGGGCGGGCCTGGCAGCCGCCTGCAGCTCGGTGTTGTTTTGCCGAGAGACCCAGGACCAGGGCGACTGCGCTCGCCGTCGACGGCCACGGAGCCCTTTCCGGGCTTCTGCGGGCTGCCTGGAGTGGCATGAAGACGCGCCTCTATCCGGAACTGCCCTGACAGACTTGGCGCAGATCTGGCATCACGTAAATATAGAAGCCGGCGTCTGATTCACGGCTCGTTTCCATTCCACAACGAAATGCGCCGTCTGCGCTAAGGCGACTCAAGACCCGCGCTGTCAAGGTTTCGACCAGCCCGTCAATCTGGACAAATGCGATGATTGCGCCGAGACGCCCGTTGTCATGTCCGCGTTTGCGCTGTACCGTACAATCTCGCTGCCCGGTGGTTCCCCCCAAACCCTCTCCCGTCGATCCACAAGTTTGAGCTAGCATCACTCCTGAGGGCAGGCCAAGTACTGTGCAGGAATAGCATTGGCTCGCGTATCTGCCAGCTGCAGGCATGTTGCATCGGCGCAATGTCGCATCATCTGGCGGCGGCGGCGGCGGCCCGCCTTGGTCCAGCGCGCCTCAAGCAACCCGTTTCGTTCCTGGTTTCGTCAGACTGAATTACTCGGAAGAAACCAAGCGGCCTCGTGCAACGTGCCCTGTCGTCCGGCCACCAAGTTTTGCCAACCCTCCTTTCTTTGGGCTTTGGCAGCTGGACGAGCACTCTCGCATTTCAACGTGGGACACCACCGCGGGAGAGCGCCGGGACACACGGAGATGCTCCGCGACCATCCAGACCGGACTGGGCGGCAGACGGAAGATGGGCGCTGCCGCTGGCACTGTCGTCTTACCCCAAAGCGTCGTCATACCGCATGTGCCACCACCACCTCAACCTCAGCCCTTGCCGAATATCCCACCCAGGCCATGTCTCACTCTGCTACTGGCGCTCGGCCGGCACGACTGTTGGGCAACCGCACCGCACTGCCTGGCGAGGCACGGCAGTCAATCCAGCACCTACGAAGTAACTGTTGAGGAATGAAGCGTCGACGTCCGTGCCCACGGTCCCCAGTCCTGGAACGCCGGACGGCCAAACAAATTTGGGGCTGGATGAAACTCGTCGACGACGGCATGGACGGGTCCTGCTGCACGACCCCAAGCATGCGTGCCGTCGCGCACGGTGAGGTGATTTATTTAAGCATAGATTCAGAGTTTCCTGTCTCAATCTGCGCTGCGACGCTATTTCTGTTGAGGCAACAGGTCTCAGGTGTCGCGGTGAGGCGAGCGAAGATCTGGTTGAGGTGCAACAGCCCAGGGTCTGGATCGGGTTTCGGGGCCAGGAAAAGAAGCTGCTGCTGCTGCTGCGGCGGCCGCGGCAGGGACAGGCGGACGAGCAGGCTGTCCAGGGCGCGCGCGCCGCTCTACGCGCTGCTAAACATGGCACAGGCACCAGGCTGTCCCCGTTGTCGAGTTGATGCCCGCCCGCCTATGGACAAGGCACGGGGTGTGGGCAGCAACTGTCCCCTGGGCAGACGGTGGTGACCACCGTGTCATGGTGGTGGTGGTCAGCTCGCGCCTCGAGGACAGCGAGCAATGTGGAAATGGAAAGCCAGGACCAGGTCTCCTGCGAGGGCCCGGAGCACCGGCGAGCAAGTGCGTAAGCCACCGCGTAACTCGAGCCATGGATGATGCTGGTGGTCGGGGTGTCTCATCCTCCACAGCTCCTCCGCACCAGACGGATGATGATCTTGTTGGAGTCATTACGCAAAGATCGGGGGTAATGGGCGACAACAATCAATTACTACGGCCGCTGTGTCTGGCGTCTTATCAGTGCCCAGCCGCTGCCTGCAGCGGTGGGCTGGCCGCTACACTTTTAGGCTTGGCAGCTACAGGTACTAGCAGGCAGGCACGGCCGGCACTGGCGTCGCCGCTGGAGCAGCCCAGTGTCCAGCATCCATGGATGGATAGGTCAAGCAGCTGGCGCGAATGGCAGCGGGGGGTGGGGTCCGCACGTGGGGATGAGTCGATTGGCGTGCCTGTCGGGCGGCGACATCGGAGAAGAGGCTGGAATGGAGCCCTCCATTGCTGGTGCTCAGTGCGCCGTGCTCGCCTGCCGCGCTTCCCGGCGCTGGGGGATGTCGGGCTCGCGGGATTGTTTGCCCATCATTGACCTCCATGGCTGCTTCCCATGGCACGGGGCGTCTGCAAGTGCGCATTAGCAAGCAGCTACGACTCCGCGGGGCGTGGCGGGCCGGGGTTGCGAACCTGGGGGAGACGACGGAGGCGAGGAAAACGACGCGACGCCGGACGGATGTCCTCCATGCCCTCCATGCAAGACAGACTGGCAGACAGACAGGCAGACCGACAAGCAGGCGGGCAGACGCACACTTCCGCACAAGTCCGCTCCGCCACCGAGCAGCCCCCAACAAGACAGACAGGCTGTTGTTGGACGGCGGCGGTGCCTGTTCCCCGTATTCTGTTTTCCGTCGATGCGCGACACCGAGCGTGCAGACCGACGCGAGTCCCGTCTGCAACTCGCCTGCCAACCTTGGACGTACGTACGGAAGTGGGCAGGCGGACCGAGTGCGGCACGGGAGCAGGCGTCGCCCGATGCAGGGCAGCTCTCGTCATGGAATGTGCTGGGCGCTGCGACACACACACCATCTTCCCAGTGCTTCTAGCTGGACCCTGATCGGTGGTGATGGAGCTTGCCCCCCGGCGGGCCCTGCCCTGGCCATCTACTGTACCCATCCACGCCCCTCCATGCCCATCCACCACCAGGGAGCAGGGCATGTCCGCCCGCCGCGCCGACCAGCCAGCCAGCCACCCCTCCCCCGGCCCTGACATCCACCCTGGCCAGCTCGCTCGCTCGCCGCCCACGGACACAGCTCGGTGCAGCTCCGGACGTGGAGGTGACCGACGGCGCATCAGCGCATCAGCGCGCCCCCCCGTCGTCTGTAGCAGGACAGCTTCCTCCGAAACCTCGAAGCAGCAGCCCTTCCACGGCGATCAGGCCGTGACACGGGCGGGTGGGGGTGCCAGTCCCAGAGTCCAGGTGAAGTGCAACATGTGTGAGATGCATTGACACGCCTCGCCCGTCTTCTTGTTGGGGGGACGCTCCTTTAAGAGGCGCTGCGTCCACAAGTGCCGCGCATGTCTTGCCGTTATCATCAACAAGTCTCGACGACGCCATCGAATATCTACCCCTTGGAGCTCCCGCGCCGGTCGCCAGTGGCTCTCTGCTCCCGCTCTAGTCAGGACAACTGCCACATGCACAAGAGAGTGCGCGCTACAGCACCTTGATACACAACAGGTGGGCTCGCCGCCTGGGTAAACTCTATCGCGCAGGTCGACATAGACAAAGGGCAGTTTGGGCGGCACGCCGTCATACAGTTTGCGCGCCACCAAAGCCATCGAACAGTCGCGCACGGCAGCACAATACGATATCATATATTACACAAAGCATTCCTCCCGCTCGCTTTCCTCGTTTGCTCTCTCAGTCGAACTTGCTTCTTCTCCAACAAGTGAGCCTGGTTTCACCCACACAGCTTGAAAACTCGCCGTCCACAGCTTTTTTGGTCCACATCAACGGCACCTTCTCGGCGCACCAGCACGGCACACCAACACGGCACCACGTCTTGGGAATCTTCTGTCACTCCGTACGGCCACGTTTTTTCCCTCCCACTGCACCACAGCTTCTTCGTGTCCACCGCACACGGGTTCGCCGGAGAACCTCAGCCCCACGACTGGACGCGGGCGAGCCAAGAAGCGAAGCGTCCTCACAGCCCACCGCCGTCGAGTCAGCCTGCCAATCCAGGCCCTGGGCCGGTACTTCAAATTTGCGTCTCTCCGGTCCCCTAGCTCGCTCCAGCTGGGTGAGGTGAGGTGAGTGTCTGCCCAGCAACCCAAGTGCCCGCCCGCCCTGCCATCTGCGCGGCGGCCGAGCCCGCCCCGGAGTTAATTACAGGGCCGCTGGGGCTGTCTTCAGGGCTAACTTTGGCCTGGCAGCAGCCTCGCGTCGGCCTCCAAAACTCACCGAAGCCTCCACCAGCGGTAGTGCTGTGCCTCTGCAGCAGCCACTGCCACTGCTAGCTCCGACTTGGTAGCGGGCAGGGCCCACCGCGTCCATCCACTCGGTCGCCCCACGAGCCGGTTTCGCTGGCCTAACTGAACCCTTGGACGTCATTGGACAGGGATCCTCCTCCCACCACGTCGCGCCGCACGCCCACGCCTGCCCACGCTCACGCCCACGGCGCCTTGGGTGGCTCTTGACTTGTTTGACTTGTTGAGCAGGCGCACGCCCGCCTCCCCGGCCCTTCCTGGCCTCCAGCAACTCGATTTTCTCCTCCTCCCTCACCAACATCCAGATGCCAGTCGCAGTGCCCATACCCAGACAAGGTGTGTATTGACCTCTGTCTGTCTTCATCTCCTCTTTTGCACTCTCGTCTCGCCGCTCCAGCACCGGAGCCTCTGTACCCTCCCCCGAACAGGCACTCACTTTTTTTTTCGACTTAGACGTGGGCCACAAGCAAGCCAAGCAGTCCGACTTAGCCCAGCTTGTCATGCACAGCTCGTTGGCCTCATCGTCGCCACCTACTGTCTCGCCCACGACTTCGGAGCCGGACCACAGCCTAGCTGTGCTGCCGCCGTCCGCTGTCGCATATGGCTCTCCTACGCCCGGATATGCGTCGTCCGCGACCTCGGCGCCAATCCCCGTCCCAGCCATGGCCCAGGCCATGCGCATCATGAAGGACTTGACGGACACGCCGCAGTCCCAGAGCGTCACCTCGACGGCTCCCAGTTCCCCGCGCATGTAAGCGCCCTTTGCCTTTCTGCGCCTCACCAGTGGCGCCCTCACGGATGACAGCCGTTGCTGACGAGACGTGTGCAGGCCTCCTCAGCGCCAAAACTCCGGTAGCCAAACCCCCCGAGTGCGCCCTCATGCGACCACGCTCAACATCCCCGGCATGACGCGCTCCCGCGTCTCCCCCGACGGCCGCATCCCTCAGCGCGACGTCGCCGCCAAGCTCGTCATCGTCATGGTGGGCCTGCCCGCCCGTGGCAAATCTTACATCACCAAGAAGTTGCAGCGGTACCTCTCATGGCAGCAACACGATTCGAGAATTTTCAACGTCGGGAACAGAAGGCGACACGCCGCCGGCATCAAGGTCTCGGCAAAGGCCAAGTTGGCGCCCGAGCCCGACTTCCTCGACCCGCCTGTCCGCGCCGCCAAGATCCTGCTCAACGGTTTCCCTGCGCCAACTGAGGAGCTCAGCTCCGCGACGTCGGAACCCACAGCCCTCACCCTCGACAGCCCTGGTTTGGAACAGGACACTGATCAGTCGGCCAAGTTCTTTGATCCCAAGAATGCAAAGGCGTCCGCTCTGCGAGACCAAGTTGCGATGGAGACGCTGGATGAACTGCTGGACTACCTCCTGAACCAGGGGGGTGCTGTCGGTATTCTGGACGCTACCAACAGCACTCTTGAGCGGAGGCAGCACATTGTCGAGCGCATCAGGGAGCGCGAACCCAAGCTCGGCATCCTCTTCATCGAAAGCATCTGCAGGGACCAGCACCTCCTCGAAGCCAATATGCGCCTCAAGCTCTCCGGCCCTGACTACCGCGACAAGGACCCCTTGAAGTCCCTCGAAGACTTCAAGGCCCGAGTTGCCGCGTACGCCAGCGCCTATGTGCCCCTTGGCGACTATGAGGAGGATCATGACCTGCAGTACATTCAGGTTCGTTGCCAACCGCCTACATTTCGTGTGATAAGAGACTAACCAATTTTTTCAGATGGTAGATGTTGGTCGCAAGCTTGTGCAGCACAGGCTCAAGGGCTTCTTGAGCGGCGGAATCAGCACTTATCTTTCCAGCTTCAACCTTGCTCCACGACAGATCTGGATCACACGACACGGGCAGAGTGTCGACAACGAGTTGGGCAAGCTCGGTGGCAATTCGCCGCTGACTGAGCGCGGCCACTGCTATGGTCTCGCCCTCTACCGCTTCATCACTCAGAAGAGAAAGGAGTGGTTGATGGAGCAGAAAAGCAAGATGGCCCAGGCAACATTCCCACCTCAGCCTGGTGACAACACCCCTCCTTACCCCGACATGAATCGGGATCTTGACGAGAAGAACTTTTGCGTCTGGACATCGATGCTCCAGCGAAGCGTCGAGACTGCCGAATATTTTGACGCCGATGATGATTACGACGTCAAGAACTGGGAAATGCTCAACGAACTCAACTCCGGCCAGTTCGAAGGCATGACTTACCAGGAAATTGCGAGGAAGTACCCCGAAGAGTTCCACAGGCGTTCTCAAGACAAGCTCAACTACATCTACCCGGGCGTCGGTGGCGAGGGTTACTTGCAGGTTATCAGCCGCCTGCGCGACATGGTCCGAGAGATTGAGCGCATTACCGACCACGTACTCATCATTGGGCACCGCTCGGTGTGCCGCGTCCTCATGGCCTACTTCATGGATCTGACTCGCGAGGACATTACCGACATGGACGTTCCACTTGGAATGCTTTACTCGATTGAGCCCAAGCCGTACGGAATCGCATTCCACGCCTACAAGTACGACGAGGCCCGCAGCTGGTTCGAGGAGCTGCCCAACTACAAGCCGCAAAAGGCTACCCGAGGCAGCGTTTGAGCTGCCAAAATACGATACCCATACATGATTTTACGATTTGACAGGAATCTTTTGTTCAGAACGTGTACAACAGCAAGCAACAGCACTGTCTGCAGTATTGCGAGGATCAGCACCGGCGTTTGATTTCAGGAGATGGAGTCCTTTTAGACAGGATGACGGCAGCAGACACGAAAGGCGTCCCGATTTCAGGAGAGTACCCAGGGCTGGAAGGCTTGAGCCGGTCGCGTTGATTCTGGGCCAACGGTGCATGAGTTGCGTCTGCCAGCAGCGGTTTTAGTCACTTTCGGCGTTTTATTGGGAACTTGAGGGTTCGGGATCGCTAGGTGCCAGGGGTGTTGCTTCAAGAGACGGTCACTGGAAAGGGGCGTGTCTTACAGACTCTGCTTGTGCGCGCAGGAAGCGCTTTCACGGCTGTCGCCGCCTGTCACTGAGACGGACTTTGTGATGAGGGTTCGCGATATCTATGTATGACTACCTCTTACGTGTCTCGAGCGACTACGTTACCGAGCATCTGCAACTGTTGTTCAGAAATCATGAGTCCCACCGGGACTTTTCCCTATATGTGATTGTGATCCTTAACGCCGTGCCATGCGAATCACCAGATTTACAGCCAAGAAATATGAAGACCGAGCCAGATAGCCTATTTTTCCTTTGCCAACACCATCTTTTGTCTTTCGCTCTTGCGCCGCTCGAACTGCTTCTTTGTGTGCCGGCGCTCGTTCTCCTCCTTCCGCTTGATGCTCTTGATCTCGTCGGACTTGATCTCGGCGGCCTTCTTGAGGACCTTCGGGATGTGGCGATGGCGCTTGATGCGGCGGACCTCGGGCATGTGAGAGTAGCGGTTGATGAGGGCCTCGTTGTACTCGAGGGCCTGGCGGTGGCGGGCCGACTTGACGCCCTGGCGCTCCGAGGCGTTTGCGCGCCAGAGGCGGATGTTACCGTCGTCGGAGCCGGAGAGGATGTACTTGTTGTCCGGGGTCCAGCGGGCAGCCATGACGCGCTGCATGCGCTTGGTGTGATAGATGTCGCGGGAGTGGCCCTGGTCGCGGTTCCAGAGGCGGACGGTGCGGTCCCACGAGGCGGAGACGAGCTCCTCGCCCGTGGGGGAGAACTCGACGTCCATGACGGCGGCGACGTGGTCCTTGAGGACGTTGAGGGCGCGGTCGAAGCGGCGCATGTCGAAGAGGTAGAGGTTGTGATCCTCGGAGGCCGTGGCGAGGTTGAAGGCCTCCATAGGGGACCAGGCTATGCGGTTGGTGGCAAAGTTGAGGATGGTCTTGGTGACGGGGGTCGAGGTGCGCAGGTCGTAGATGACGACGGAGCGGTCGGTGGAGCAGGAGGCGAGGACGGACGTCTCGACGTAGTTGAAGGCGACGTTGGTGATGGTGTCGGTTGAAGTGGGCCAGTGCAGGACTTCCGGCGCAGCAGTGTGCTTCTCGAGATCGTAAATAGAGATGACGCTCGAGGCGGCGGCGAAAGCATTCTTTGACCGGTGGTGGGATAGGCTGGTAAAGGCACCGGATCCGAGCCACGACGAGATGGGCGCAGCCTCGCTCTGCGTGTTGTACGGATCGAACAGCTTGACGGTGCGGTCGGCGGCACACGTCAGGAGCTTCTGGTCGCGCGTCCACTCGAGGCCCTTGACGATGTTCTCGTGGGCACTCGTATGCCACACCTCATCCCTGTCCGTCAGGTCCCAGACCTTGACAACGCCGTCGCCGCTGCCGCTGGCGAAGCGCTGCAGCGAATTGGGGTCCTTGGCGATGGAGTAGACGCCGTCGACGTGGCCGCGGCCGAGCTGCGCAACGAACGGCGCGGCGTGCATGCGCTCGAGCTTGACGGCGTTGACGGCGCGCTGGTACTCGCGGGCGCGCTCGAACGGGTGCAGCGCCGAGTCGAGGTTGCGCGGCTGCTTGGCAACGTCGGAGCCGGGCGCCTGGTGCGACGCCACGGACCGGCTGAGGGCTTTGATCTTCATGACTTGAGCGCGTGTCGCTGCGGCCTCGACGGTGGTGGGCGATTCGTCGACGAGAGGGGGGCCAGGCAGGCGGGCGATGGGGAGGGCTGTCGAAGCTGTGAGGTAGGGTCCAGGAATCTGAGGTTCCAAAATTTCCCAATGTGAGGTGAGTTTGGCTGGCAGATGGCGGGGAATTTTTTTGCTTTATCGGACGTCCAACTGTAGCGCGATAAGGCGGGTGTTGAGCCGCTGACTAAGTCTCGGTGGCGCGGCGCGAACACCCGCAAGGGATCTCTTTTGGCGGGCTTGAATCGCCTTGCTAAATCCCACCAGCCTTCTCTCGCCCAACTAACTTCACGCCTTCACTCCCACGACTCGCAACGACCTCTACGAACCCGACGACGACGACGAAACGAATCGACAAGAGATACTTGCGCGATCCGTCGAAGGGCTCCTGCGAGTGGAACAAGCTACGGTCGCAGCCGCGGCCGGTCTGAGCGGCCGAGATGGACGGTATGGACTACGACCCGATGGTGATGGACGGGGAGCCGGAGCAGCCCCAGGTCAAGATCTCAGCGGTACGTAGGCCGCGAAGGGCTCTTCATCCGCTTAACCTTGGAGCAGAAGTGGCTGACGAGCAGTGCAGGCCGACAGCACGCGGGTCGACTTTGAGCTGTCCAAGACGAACCTCTCCTTCGCCAACTCGATACGTCGCATCATCCAGGCCGAAGTGCCGACCATCGCCATCGACCTGGTCGAGGTCGAGGTCAACAGCTCCGTGCTGGCCGACGAGTTCATCGCGCACCGGCTGGGCCTCATCCCGCTCAGCTCCAAGGGCGTCAACGAGCTCAACTACTCGCGCGACTGCGACTGCGAGCAGTACTGCGAGCAGTGCAGCGTCACGCTCACCCTGCACGCCAAGTGCACGAGCGACCAGATCATGAAGGTGTACGCGCGCGACCTCGTCGTCGATGGCCGCCACGCCAGCCCCGTCGGCAGCCCCGTCATAACCGACCCTGAGGGGCTGGGGTGCCTCATCGCCAAGCTGCGCGAGGGCCAGGAGCTGAAGCTCTCATGCATCGCCAAGAAGGGCATCGCCAAGGAGCACGCAAAGTGGATGCCCACGTCGGCCGTCGGCTTCGAGTACGATCCTCACAATAAGCTGCACCACCTCGACCTGTGGTACGAGAACAACACCGATCCGCAGAAGGAATGGTAAGTTGCCGTGGCGCGCCGCCCTGTCTTGTCCCCTCGCCGAGACGGATTGCTGACTCTGTATAACCAGGCCCAAGAGCAAATACGCCGAGTGGGAAGAGCCCCTGCAGGAGGGTGAGACGTTCAACTTCGACGCCATGCCTGAGCGATTCTACTTCGAGGTGGAGGCAGCCGGGACCATGGAGCCCGATCAGATCGTGCAAGGAGGAATAAGAGTCCTCCAGCAGAAGATTGGCGCCCTCCTCAAGGGCCTCGACCCGAGAAAATACGGTGGTGAGGATGCCGACATGGACGGCCCCCGGAGTCCGGACATGAACATGGACGGCGGCACCACGCCCTGGCAGGATCAGGGATTCACAACCCCGTACGGCGGCAACATGACGGCCTACGGCGGGGGCAACACGGCCTATGGCGGCGCCCCGGGCACGTCTTACGGAGGAGCCGGCACGTCGTATGGAGGCGGTGCAGGCACGTCGTACGGTGGCGGAGGCTCGTATGGGAGCACCACGCCGTACGGCCAGCCATCGTGGCAGTGAGTTTGGCGTTTGGGAGGGGCGCTCGGGCGGCGGGCGCTTTTCGAAAAATGGTTGGCGCAGTCTTGTATGCTTCCAGGGGCCTTGTAAAGTAAACATGAGAATCACGGACGGGGTAGATATGAACCGTGCACGCGTCACCCTGAAGCAGCGCTCGCGGATGGCGGGACGCATAGTGCGCTTATAAGTCTATGCGTATTTCCTGATGAAGCGGGTGCGTGCTCCGCTTGTCTAGTATTCCGCGGCCCTCGTTTTTAAGTACGTAGCCGCCTCGGGTAGAAACAGAAAGTCATTTGCCGTACAGTAAGTAAAACCCGTTTATGCATCGTCGCCCCGTCTAAGTCGCAACGCCGTCTACACATGCGCGTTCCCCCGATGCATGAGGGGGGAACCAGATGTACAATGTATAACAAGAGGATTTGGGGGTGGAAAAGCAGAAAGGGGAAAACAAAATCACAGCTTTTGCTCGTCGATGCCCTTGACCTTTCTATATGCTTTTCGGTGCATCTCCAGGAAGACGAATGTACAGATGGTGTGCCTGGTTCGGAGATTGTTAGACTTTCCGAAGAGATGCGGGTGGCTGTATACTACATGGTTGTAAAATAGGGAATGGGGGAGTAAGGAACTCACGGTCCGAGGCGGAGGAAGCTGGGGACCCAGCCCTTAAACATCCAGCCTATGCCGTCGGCCTTGTAGGCGTCGCCGACGACGCGGAGGATGCCCTGGTGGTGGGCCGAGGACATGACGCGGGTCTTGATGACGTCGATGGGGCTGGTGGCCGTGGCGGCAGCCAGGCCGGCGAGGAAGGAGGCGGTGAAGTGGGTGGTGAGGTTGTCGCCCATGGGGGTGTAGTCCATGAGGATACGTTTGAAGGTGTCGTAGGTGGCGAGCTGCCCGGCGGTCATGACGGCGGCGCGGCTGCTGTTGGGGAGCCACCCGCGGAAGAAGCTCAGGGGCCCCTCCTCGCGGGCCATGCGGGCCATGCCGTCGACGGCGTGGCGGTAGTTGCGGCGCTCGGCGGGCGGCAGGGCGGCGTCATGCTGCATGCGCACGTTGAGAACGTCGGCGAAGTTGCCCGCGATGCCGCCGAGGAAGCCGGACCCCATGGCCATGGCGATGAGGGCCGGGAAGGACGGCTCGCGGCCGGGGGGCAGGGTGCGCGAGTAACGCGTCTTGAGCTCCTCGTAGACGCCGAACCGGACCGTCGAGTAGGTGAGCTGCCGCAGGAGCGAGGCCGAGATGCCGCTGTAGAGGGCCAGCGGGCCGTCGTTCTTGATGATGTGGACAAAGGTGCCGCTCATGTTTTTGGGCGCGTTGCCCTTGCGCATCTGTAGACGGACCTGCGTGGGAGGATGTAGGTGTTAGTCAATGCGGCGGGGGATGGATGGCCCGGGGGTTTGTTTGCGATCGCGCGCAGCATGCAATTGCATGGCGCATGTGCGCGGCGCGCTCGCCATCGTGGTCGTGTGAGGTGCGTACCTTTACTATAAGTGTGCGTATCGCGGTCAGCAAGTTGTCCTGGGCCGAGGCCGCAAACGAGGGCATCGTGTGTACGCAAAACTTACCCAGATCAAGCGGGTGCGTGACGCAGGCGGCCATGCTACTGGCGCTGCCGCCAAACCAAAACGGATACCGTACAGCCGGCGGCTTCTTTTTCCTGCGCTCGTCGACCTTGGCCGCAACAGCGACGTCGGGATTGTTGGTGGTGGCCGCAGCTGTGGTTGTGGTCGGGGCCGAGGCCGAAGCCGAAGCCGGCGCCGCGGAGGAAGCGGCCATGGTTTTTCGTCTCGACGACTTCGACTAATGCAAACGGAGCGCGCGCTCTGCGGCGACGGGAGGAGGGGAGGGAAACGGGCGGCGGCCTATTGTGACATTGCACGGCGGCGGCGGGCGTGAGGAGGCAGCATGCGCGGCCGCAATTGGGTGGTCGCGGACGGTCGTAGGAGGTTGAGGTGAGGTGCGAGAAGGGGTTTCGCTTGCTCCTGCTGCGGCTGTTGCTGCTGACGGGGGTGGGTAGTGGTGTTGGTGAAGAAAGAAGTGGCGCCGTTCGGCTACTGGAGACAAATTCTCGGCCGTTGACGTCGGAACGGCGGCAGAAAACCTGCCCTGGCAGTGGCTGGCCGGCTGGGACTTGCCGTGGGGGGGAAGGCAGCGGCTCCGCACCTCAGGCGGTGACGTCGTATGATTTGCTCCAGGAACCGGCGGCGCGCGTCGCATTTCACGTCTCTCGTATGTACGAAGGTAGGCTGTCTGTTGTGTCTCCTTGTCTGCTGGGACGAGGGATCCAATTTTTTGTTGGAAGGGCTATACAGGCGTCGCTTTGCACATTTTACTTCCAGGAGCGTCAATCATCCGCAAGGTCGGCCACTGAGCAATTGTGTTCCAACCTTGCAATCATCTGACGAAAGAGGCCGCCGTCTGAATGGGATGGGTGAAATGTACACCATTTCATCTCGTGGTGCGCCCAACGCACGCAGACGGGGTATAGCAATGGCCCAATGACACACTCAAGAGATCCAAGCACAGACGGAGAGCCAAAAGTAGCATGCGGAATACTGCGAGGGCCGAAGAAGACGCGGAGGCGGACGAATCGTGTTGCGCAGCTTCCTCGCGCCGTCGACTTCTACCTAGTCCAGGGTAGTTAGGTCTTTCATGATTCCATGTCAACTGTCCCTCCCTACGTGTAAGTAGAAGTTGCGGATATCCTGCGCCTAGCCACGGAGCGCCGTCATGTCGTTGGCAATGTTTGAACTGTGCTGTATTTGCGTGGCGTTTCTATTATTTTGTCGAGCGAAACGGTAAAGATTGCACATCACTGCACGCCCCCTCTTGGATCATGTCTTGATGCATGCTTAGATATGACTTCAGGTAAGCGAGACTGTCCTGGTGTGAGCGACCCGACGTCGGTTGCTGCTGAACGGTTGGTTCAAACCCCTGCGAAAGGGACGTATATACCAAGCTCTTGCAACCCAGCCCCGTGCAGGCCAGGTTCATGCAGATCATCCTCACTTAGTGAACGGGGACAGCACCGCGCCAGCCTTTAGCATGTCATGTAGTCCGACATACCGCTATTCAATGCTTTACAAGCTCTCCTACCTCAACTGCTCTGCTGGTCACGGGCTAGCAGCTACATCGAGGCGCAGGGACTCGACCGAAACGCATCAAGGCCCATTAGCTCAGTGCTGCTTACTCGGATTACGCGGTCGTTGTTTTTCGATCTCAGCTGGTGGATTCAGAACCGCGCGCTAGTGACCAAGGAGGTAACAATCGGGCGCCCGTCCAAGCCCCCGTTAGAGCACGTACGCGGCTTCACACCCCTGAGCACCCCCGATAATACAGTCTATCTTCATGTGTGGGGCTTATACGAGCGCCCGTCAAGGGCTCAACTTGAACATAGCCCGGAAACCCTGCCAAGGCAGAAATATGATAAAATGAGTGACCGTGGCACTCTCCATGTATTCACATGACAAGAGAAAAAGAGAAGGGAATAAATAGGGCAAGTACAGAGTACACATTGTCACGATATTTCATCGACTCTCTTCCCGGCTCCTCCTGCCATCACATTTTCACAAGAGTCTTACACAATACCTCAACCGGCGTTGCAACAACCAGTAATTACACTACGCCAGTGTCTGGCCCTTTGCTCCCCCAAGACAGAACAATGGCAGACTGTCCAACTGACTGGAGCGGCATCACGCTCGCGTTCCTCACCCAGGCTCAACTCCAGCGACCAGACTTTTGCACCGTCTGCGACTGCCCACTCACGCTAGATGGAGTGCAGATCGCCAACATGGCCTACCGGCCCTCACTAGCCGGCAACGTTCTCTTTGCTGCCATCTTTGGCGTCTTCTTGGCCGCACACATATTCTTAGGACTGCGGTACAAGACGCGAGGTTTCATGATTGCCATGGTATGCGGTCTGATCCTCGAGATTGTTGGCTACGTTGGTCGTATCCTGATGAGATCGCACATGTTTGATTTCAACTACTTCATCATGTACGCTTCCCCTCCCTGTTCAGGCCTACGTCAGAGACTAATGACCCGAATTCGTGGCGCAGATATCTCGTTTGTCTCACGATTGGACCGGCGTTTTTCTCGGCTGCCATCTACCTCACACTTTCGGCCATCATCGTCATCTACGTACCAGAGAGAGCTCGCTTCAGACCGCAGACCTACACGTACATCTTCATCACGTTCGACTTAATAGCGTTGGTTCTGCAAGCAGCTGGGGGCGGCATCGCGTCCACCGCTGGAACCAATTCTGCCGCGAAACAGGGCGGCATCGACGCCATGGTTGCCGGAGTCGCCTGGCAGGTCGTCTCTTTGGCTTTGTTCGGCTTCTTAGCCCTCGACTACTGGGTCCGCGTGACGCGCCGCGACCCAAGCGTCCATGAGATGAACCCAATGTTTGAGCAGCTGCGCCGCCGTCGCGTGTTTCAGCCTTTCTTCCTGGTCGCCATTTTCCTTGCAGGCATCTTCATCTTTGTACGGTCCGTGTTTCGATGCGTTGAATTATCGGACGGCTTTGACAGCGCCCTCGCCAACGACGAGGTGACTTTCATGGTGCTCGAAGGGACCATGATCATCTTGGCGTGTGTGCTTATGACTGTGTTCCACCCAGGTCTTATTATAGGAGCGGAGGGGTGGTCGATTGCGCGTCGGAAGCGTGCGCCAAAGTCGTTTGAGCCGGCGATGAGGTTGTCGGAGTTGTAGCGCCGTACTTGAATGACGAGAAATAGCGCCAGAAACACTTAGACTAGGTGCTTGGTTTGCACGGAGAAAATATGGCGAGTCTGTATGTATGACTTGGTCCCGGCAAGGGACTGTTTGTTCCACGTAAATGCCGGCGCCGGCTAGAGCCTCATCGTCGTGTACTCCCACGAGGGTCCAACAACGACCCCGTCCGGACCCGATGAATGGAAGCAGATGCGCCGACGAACAAGAGCGCGGCCCTCAGAGTCCGCTTCCAAACTTGCTTCGTCGGCGAGGTCAAACCTCACAATGCGTTGTGCGTCGTAGGGGAGATGCTTGTCCGGGTACGGATTGCTCGCGCTCCTCATGCGCTCCTCGTCGAGCGACAGGCCGTGCTCGAACTCAACCACTCGTTTCGCAGTCGCGTAGGCAATGCACGCGTCCCAAATAGTCTCCCTGGAGCACGAAAGAGCTTTGAGAAGAACCAGCGCGCGGATTCGAAGTCGGAGCTGCCGGCATCGGAGGCTGACGATGTAAAGAAAAGGCAGATAGCCCATGTCGAATGAGAAACTCGGCGGGCGCATCCCAGATGCGCTTCGCGCGGCCCTTTCTTGCTCTGCCAGCTCGACGATGCGTCGGAAATGGTCCAAGTATTCGTCGAGAAGGGCCTCATTGCCAGCGAGACAGGATCTCGCTAATACGTCGGAGGCAAGCCATCGCGTCTCGAGGAGGCGTAACTCCGCGGCGTCCGACTCGAGCACGGAAGACGTCGATGAGAGCCGGCGTCTCAGAGCGACAAAGCCTTGCCACCAGAGGCTCAGGGCACGGCACACGTGAAACTGCTCCGTCCTCGCATCCTGTATAGAATACGAATCATCCCCATCCCAGTTGCCCGGCGCCAGCCGAACAAGCCTTGCCCCTCGAGCCATGACTGCATCCAAGGCTTGGCGCGCTTCTGCCACTGTGCACATTTCGCCTACTGGTGTTGGGCAAGGGTCGGCTTGCGGGGAAACAGAGTCTGTCAAGTTCAAGGGATTGAATAACCGGCGGAATATGCTGATATGGCCAAAGACGGCCGAGAGCTGCGCAGGCAGTTGGTCGTTGGCGTACAGACCGAGGCCGTGTTGGCAGTGTGTGGCGGCGGCATCGGTGCTGCCCTGAAGCAGCTCGATGCACGTAAACAGCAGAGAGACAGTCAAAAGGGCCTCCTCACTAGATATACGATCCTCGAGAACGATTCTGATGGCGCTGTTGTAGTGCTGCAGGGCGAACGCACACGCCGCTGACACGTCGGCGCTCATATCCGAGCGGCCGGTGAGGCCGGTGAGGCCATCCAAGACACCCGATGCTCTTTTGAGGAGCGTCGCGTCAAAACCCTCATGCAGAGCGCCGATGGCGAGGACGGCATGCCGCGCCGCGGGCTCTCGGTCGAGGACCTGAGGGACGTGGACGGCCCAAAACGTGTCGTCGGGCGATCGTGCAAGGGACGGCGCGACCACGCGGTGATAGTACGACAGGCAACGAACCTCGGACTCATCGACAAAGAGGCAGGGCCGCCGCAGGAGTTGCTGCCAGGAAATGGTGCCTACGGGCGCGGGTTGGTAGCCGCGACATTGCCGCCCTGACACTAGGCATCTTTTGCAGCTTGGGCGTCCCTCGTCGCATTTTACCCTACGGAGCCTGCCATACAATTGTCAACTACATGAGCCGCGGGGGCTCAAGCAATGGATGAAAGGGTGACAGGGAGAGGGGGCATTCGACCTACTTGCACGTCTGACACCCTGTGCGGGCCTTTTCGTGTCGTCTGCGCATCGCGTCTGCGTATTGAGGCAGATTTGCTTCGCAAACCTTGCTACGCTAGAGGCAATGCGGAACGCCGGAATTCAGGGTGCCATTGCAGGCTGAAGAGACGGGGAGGCAGTCAGCGCATGGCGAGCTTGGGTGATCTGTTGGAGATGGAAAGTCATGAGCATGACATGTCGTCTGCTTCTGGGTCGTATGTAGTTACCAAGTTGGTTAGCCTGGGTGCGTCATCCGGGCCGAGCCTCAGAGCGTCCCAGCCGGACCCGCAGTGGGGCATTTACGAGCGCATCCATGCAAGCCGTTGTAGAATCTCACCCGCAGCAACGCCACGGTTTGACAGAGAGCCAGGCAAACGGGCCATGTACCTGCCGGGACTCGCTGCTCCATCCCATCTTACTCACAGCCATGGCTGTGTTTGATTCGTTCGACGGCGTTGCGAACCAGCTGCCGTCTGGTTTTTACGGGCCGTGGCCCAATGCTCGACTTACACAGTTACACGCCAGCCAGCGTCAAGGTTCCGAACGTATAAAAGGGAATGGTGCATCACTCTCCGGCGGCGTGCACTGATACCATACACGCATCATCATGCCGTGACGAAAAGAGGCGAAGCCAATCTGCCCTCTTCCATGCACACCATGGGCACTGAACCTCTTCCGTCCCAGGCCCAGCCAGCCCCAGGGACGGCCATGCAGCACTCCATACTTCAGCAAGCAGAAGCTGCTGTTGCCGCCCAAGCGGATCCCGCGGGGCCTACGGGACACGAAACCCTCCTACAGGAGACGGATCTCTTCACTCTCGATGCGAACCAGGGCGACCTGCCTCCTCCTGCCTACGGCGACACCTATGGCGAGATTCGCAGCGAAAAAGACGGCCTGGGCACCAGCGGCTGCGTCACCGACGACGGCCGTGTAAACATCCGCATCAATCAGGTTAACAGGCGTCTGTCCCAGATTTTCAGTCCGGCTTTGCGTCGACAGATCCAGGCCGTCCAAGACGATCGCCCACCGCCTTCTCGTCCTCCCCCCTACGTCCCTCCGTTCTTGGGAGGAGGCAAAGCAGGAGCTGCTCCGGCGCCGCCACCCTTGAATGTTGTCATCCAAGTCGTGGGCTCGCGTGGAGACGTGCAGCCCTTCATTGCCTTGGGCAAGGTCCTGAAGGGCACATACGGCCATCGCGTGCGTCTGGCTACCCATCCCATCTTCAGGGACTTTGTGCGGGAGCATGGCCTCGAGTTTTTCAGCATCGGCGGCGACCCCTCCCGGCTCATGGCCTTTATGGTCAAGAACCCTAGCCTGGTGCCAGGTCTACGCAGTCTGATGAGCGGAGACATCAGCCAGAGAAGAAGAGATGTCGCCGAGTACATTCAAGGTTGCTGGCGGTCATGCTACCAAGCGGGTGATGGAATGGGTTCATGTTCTGACCCTGGCGAGGTTAATGGTCGTTCCGAGTCAGCAGCAAGGCCCTTCGTCGCCGACTGCATCATCGCGAATCCTCCGAGCTTTGCCCACATCCATTGCGCAGAGAAGCTGGGCATCCCTCTGCACATCATGTTCACCATGCCGTATTCTCCAAGCCAGGACTTCCCCCACCCGCTGGTCAACATCCAATCCTCCAACGAGGACCCTCAAATCACCAACTACATCAGCTATGCCATGGTCGAGCTCCTCTTATGGCAGGGCATAGGAGACATCATCAACCGGTTTCGCGCCAAGTGTCTCGGCTTGGATCCAGTGAGTACGATTTGGGGCCCCGGCATGCTCCAGCGCCTCAAAGTCCCTCACACCTACTGCTGGTCACCGGCCCTGCTGCCCAAACCGAAAGACTGGGCCCCTCATATTTCCATCTCCGGGTACTACTTCCTCGATTCCGCCCCTGACTACACGCCTGCTCCGGAACTCCAGGCCTTTCTCGATGCCGGTCCACCCCCCGTCTACATAGGGTTCGGGAGCATCGTTTTGGACGACCCCAATGCCATGACGGAACTCATCTTCGAGGCCGTGAGGAAGACTGGCCGGCGTGTCCTCCTTTCTAAAGGCTGGGGCGGATTAGGCGCGGACGAGCTACCAATCCCCGACGGCGTCTTCCTGCTAGGCAACGTATCGCACGACTGGCTGTTTAAGCACGTCTCCTGCGTCATCCACCACGGTGGAGCAGGAACCACGGCGGCAGGCATCGCCGCAGGCCGGCCGACCTTGATAATCCCCTTCTTTGGAGATCAGCCCTTTTGGGGCGACGTGGTTGCGCGATCGGGCGCCGGCCCCGATCCGATCCCTCACAAACAGCTCACGGCCGACAAGCTAGCCGATGCCATCAGCTTTCTCCTCAAACCTGAAACCCTGGAACGAGCCCAGGAACTCGCAAGCCAGATCGCGGCCGAGCGAGGCACCGACATGGGCGCGCAGTCTTTCCATCACCATCTCGACGTTGATCGACTCCGCTGCGCCCTTGCGCCATCACGACCAGCGGCGTGGCGCGTCAAGCGCACGCAGGTCACGTTGAGCGCGTTCGCTGCATGTGCTCTGGCGAATGCAAATCTCTTGGACTTTCACGACTTGAAGCTCTTTCGGTCTAGAGAGTATTATACCGACGAAGGCCCATGGGATCCGATATCCGGGGGCTTTACTGCCTTTGCGGGCGCGGTCGGCGGTATGATGATGGGGTTGGCGGATGTTCCGTCGGAGACGTGGAGAGGTTTGCAGATGCCGGCTGGGCGTAGCCGACGGCAGTCACGGGTATCAGTGCCCATGGTCGCGAGCGAAACTGAAGCCTCACACGCTGGGAACATACCGAGTCCGCCTCTTTTGCCCAGACAAAGTGAGACGAGCCCAGATGACTCTGTTTCTCGTGTTCGGAGCCCTCTCAATCTCCCAAGTCGATCATCTTCCACTTCGGACGTCGGATCGAGCTCTGTGCCCGGTTCTTTACAAGCCCATTTGCAACCCAAACGAGATGACTCCAGCCTAAGCCCATCGCCTAGTCGAACCCTCTCCAGCTCCGGCAAAGAGCCCGACATGCTGCGCCCGACTGGCGTGCACATGAGCAGAGGTGCTGGGCGTTTCGTCAAGGCGCTCGTGCAAGCACCCGTGAACATCTCGGTGAACCTCACGAGAGGCTGCCACAACATCCCCAAGCTCTGGGGAGACGATACCGTGCGTCCCCAAGAGAGGGTCAGCGATGTCAAGTCGGGCCTCAGGGCGGCGGGAAGGGAGTTCGGCTTTGGCTGGTACGATGGCGTTACTGGCCTGGCTACCCAGCCCTGGCAAGGCGCCCGGAGAGAGGGTGTTAGCGGCTTCGTCAAGGGCGTGGGCAAAGGAGTTGGAGGGTTTTTGACCAAGCCGGGCGCGGCTCTTCTCGGTATTCTCAGCCATACGATGCAGGGGGTCAGCAAAGAGATGGAGAAGCTGTTTGGTAGCAATGTGCACAGCTACATTGTTGCGTCCAGAGTAGCTCAGGGATACGAGGACTGGCTGCAGAGCTCCGACGCGGAAAAGCAAGACGTCATTGAACGTTGGAAGTTGATTGAGAAGTACGTGAAGAAAAGGGGAGACCGCAACGAGATGCTGCGAGATGTCCTGGAAGCACAGCGAAACCAGAATCCAGAGGACGGAGAGGCCCAGCACCAAGGCCACAGAACTACCGCCAGTTCCGATGGCTCTGCTACTGCAGAGGCTCCGGATCTCGTTCCCGAGAGTGCCGCGCTGGACACGAGCGACTCCGAGTCATCATTGCGCCCTGCCGACGCGGCTTCCCCGGGGCTGAGAGCGATGCAAGCCAACGGAATCAACCGACTGTCGAACCAGGAGACGTCACAAAGACGCGTTGAAGAGAACAGTGCCCACCAGATAGATCAGGGGGATGTGCACCAGACAATAATGGCTAGCAAAGCCGACTTTCAGCGACACGAGTGCGAGGCCTTAATTTATGAGGAACAACTGAAGCAAGCCGTGGCAGAGAGTGCAAGGGAGCAGAGGCAGAGGGCCATCGACGGCGGTCGGGAGCCGAATACGGGCCCCCATGACGTCGACGGCGACGACGACTTGTTAACGCATAGGGGGATGACCGAGAATGCGGCGGCAGCCGTGGATGGTGTGTCAACACGCGTCTGGCCGTTGGACCCGGGGCATCTCGGGGGCACCACGCGAAGCGAGTTCGAGGCGCAACAGCACATGCAGGGACAAAGGAGGGAGAAGACGACACAGGAGAGGGCGGAAGAAGTGGTTGTGCTGGAGTATGTCAAGAAGCAAAGCCTGTTGGAACAGCAGTACAGGAACAAAGGCAAGGGTCGTGCCGTGGCGATGGAGGATACGGAAGACTGAGGGTTGTAGTAGAAGGCGACGAAGCTGAGCAGGGCATGTAGGGACGCGCAGCTGATGCAACGCAGGGCATCAGCATGGTGGGATCCCAGGGACGTAATGGATCGTGTATCTTCCGGTGAGTCGATGAAGTGATTATGTTCCGCTAGGGCCAATGCCATCCATAGGTTCGCTCAAATAATCAACAAGTGTTTGGTTGCAGGGTAGTGATTCGTTTTGTCGCGGGCGCCGTTGCCCAGCTCCATCGGGCGTCTCACACAGCACTGGAGCTGGGCTGCAAGCTGCCCTGAGCTGCTCGCCCCGGGCCGCCACCAATGCCCGGGACCCGGGGCCACGCTAACCATCCAGGGTCCATCGCGATTGATCCGCTCTCGCTCAAAATTCCAACACCACCTTATCATCCACCTCATCCGACAGCTCTCCCGGGCAACCCCCTCAGCCGACCGCGCTCGGCCCATTGCACGCCCTCGCATGCAGCTCGAATGATGTGATTGCAGCCCGATTGGCACAGTCAAAATGTCGCTGCGGGCCGTCGCAACGCACGCGCTCTTGCGCCGGAGCGCCGGAGCTCCGCGTCTCGCTCGCCGCCTCGCTTGGTCCGGCTCATGTCTTCTTCGGCCGTATTCCTCTCGTCAGTTCTCCAGGTGCTGGTCAGGCGGGCCGTCATGCTCACAGCAAGCGCATGCAGAATCCGAGCCGACACAGCCCAGGACCTTGGGCCAAAACAAGCCGCCGTCCGTCGTCGTCCGCGGCAAGTCCTACAAGACGGACTGCGACTGGTTCAACGTGCCGCCCAACGTCCTCGACGCCACGTCGCGCAAGCTTCACCTCCAGCGCGACCACCCCGTCTACATCACGCGCCAGATCATCGAGTCGCACTTCCCGCAGCCCACGTACAAGTACTACAACGAGTACAACCCCGTCGTCTCGACGCACCAGAACTTCGACTCGCTAGGCTTCCCCGCCAACCACCCAGGGCGGGCGCTGACGGACACATACTACATCAACGACACGACCCTCCTGCGGACGCACACGAGCGCCCACCAGGCCGACACGTTCCGCGCCAACGAGAGCGATGGCTACCTCATCTCGGCCGACGTCTACCGCCGCGACGAGATCGACCGCAGCCACTACCCCGTCTTCCACCAGATGGAGGGAGCAAGGTCGTGGGACCGCCAAAAGGTGCCCGGCGGGGACGTGGCGGCCGCCGTGCGGCGCGACCTCGAAACGCTGCCCAAGCATAGCGTCACGGTCGAGGACCCGAACCCGCCCTTCCACGACGAGCGCAACCCGCTGCAGGAGGGCCACTCGGCGGCCGAGGCGACGGCCATAGGCGAGCACCTCAAGCGATCGCTCGAGAACATGGTGGTGGACATATTCTCGCGGGCCAAGGCGGCGGCGCTCAAGGACGACCCTACTTTTGTGGACGAGCCGCTGCAGATGCGCTGGGTCGAGGCCTACTTTCCCTTTACAAGCCCGTCATGGGAGCTCGAGGTGTACTACGCGGGCGACTGGCTCGAGGTGCTGGGGTGCGGCGTGGTCAAGCAGGACCTGTACAAGAACGCGGGAGTGCCGTCGCAGCTGGGCTGGGCGTTTGGCATCGGCATCGACCGCATCGCCATGCTGCTGTTCAAGATCCCGGACATTCGGCTGTTCTGGTCGCGCGACGAGCGGTTCCTGTCGCAGTTTACGGGGGTCTCGGACCGGCTCGACACGTTGAAGCGGTTCGTACCGTTTTCCAAGTACCCGCCGTGCCCCAAAGACGTGTCGTTTTGGCTGCGGGCGACGTCGCCGGCCGGAGGCAACACGCGAGGCACCTTCCACGAGAACGACGTCATGGAGATTGTGCGCAGCGTGGCGGGCGACGTGGTCGAGGACGTGCGGGTGATTGACGAGTTTACGCACCCCAAGACGGGGCGCAAGAGCATGGCGTACCGCATCGTGTACCGCAGCCTCGAGCGGACGCTGACCAACGACGAGGCCGTCGAGTTTCACGAGGCTGTCCGGCAGGCACTGGTGCGAGAGCTGGGTGTCGAGCTGCGGTGAGCAAGGAAGCCGGCTGGGGACCATCACGGGGCGCAGCGGCCGCGCGCCACACGGATGAAGCTGGAGCTGAAGCCAAAGCTGGAGCTGTACAATAACATCACACGAGGGGAGCGGCGGCTCTGTACGAGTACGAGACTGTAAGATTACCTGGGCCCTCAGGGAAGTAAAGCATGGAGGCGTAGCACGAGCCAGACGTCAGATGACGTGATGCAACACCTACCCGAGCGCTGCGAATATGTCAAATCCTCCTGTGAAGCCGGTCAACACGGCACTCTATGCCCCGCCAAGCCGAGTCGCCTCGCGACGGAGGGTGAGGCTGCGCAGAGCATGACGTTGGGGCAGCTCAGCTCAGCTCCGGTGAAGACATCGACGCCGCCGAGCCGGCGACTAACTACTAAGACGAGATACTTGCCTAAACGGGAAATCCTCACCTCTTGCCCCTCTTCGACCCGGCGGGTGCGAGGCGCAGCGCAAAGGGCCTCCTCTCAGCCATGGCTCATCCTCCCTTCGATCGTGTCTCGAGTCTTTTTCTTTGTTCCGACCGGTCTCCCGACGGGCTTTCCCCCCTCCCTCTCTCCATTCGTCAGGCAGTGTGTCTTGGCGAGAAGAGGAGGGGAAAAAAAACGCCAACGGCCTCCGACCTGCACATGTATGTAGCTTGTAGGTCGGGAGGTGGTGGAGGGGGGCTGTGCAAGAGCGCAGGTTGCGGGCGATGACGGCGATGGCGCCGGTGGGTGGTCTGTTCTCCCATGCCCCGGGCTGCGCAACAGTCTCGTCCTCCAGGGTCTCTTCTGGGCTGTGAATGCCAAGACGGAGAGGCGAGGCTTAGAGGAGGGCAGAAAAAGCTTGAAGTGATGGAAGGAGCAGGAAGGGAGGGAAAGGGCCGGAGGGATGCGCGTGTCGGGGAGGAGGGGGGTGCGATCGCGCAGTTGCGTTGCTCAGGCTCGATTGGCATTTATGGCATGTTAGCATGTTAGTTAGGTACCCACCACATATTGGTGCGAACCGCGGACAGACATCTCGTGTGAGAAGCGCAGTCGAGAAGCTTTGATCGGCAGAGCCAATGACTAGGTGCATAATCCTCACGACAGTAACCGAGTCTTGGGCGCGTTCTCTCACGTATCCTGAAAGATGCCAACTGTGGCGGTGATTCAACTAAGCTCTCGCTTCGACTGTAAGCTGCCCCGGCTTGTTACCATATGGACCGGTGAAACTCGGGATCGGCGTCTGCAGTCTCGGGGAGGCACAAACGTATCCGGGAAATACGTTACTTTGGTTGTCCAGCCAAGCACCAATAGGTGCGATACAGCTGACAAGTCGGGAAGTAGTAGTAGTAATAAGCTTTCCACAATGCAGCAGCAACGGCGGAAGAGGCGGAGCCCATCCCGCACGCCCTCGCCTGGCCTGCCGCCGCGATCGACGAGTCCTCGGTCGTGGAGTCTGATGAGGTGCGCGTGTGTGTTGCAGTTGTTGGCTACAGTACCCGATGCACCCGGCTGCCCGCCCGTTTGGCCGTTTGCCCGCCTGCCTTTTCCAGGCGTTTACTTGTCATTCCCAGTGCATGTCTCCACGCCCCGGCCGTGCTGCTCCATTCCCCATCGCCTCCTCTACGAAAAGGTGTAGTATCACGCAGCACAGCAAAGCACAGTCCCTTGGCAATTAATCTTCGTCTGCGCCGCCCCCGATTCCATCCATATCGCTCATGCTACCGCCACCAAAGGGCCAGTGCGGCGGCCATGCACCGCAAAAACTCTGCCCGCCCCTCCATTAAATCGCCAATCGAAACCAAGGCCCCGGGCGGCGCCATATTGTCGTGCCCAGGGGGATGGGGTCCGACGCTGCCCGCCAGAGGAGCCGCCAGCATAGCCTCACTGGCGGTCGAGACGAAAACGCGGGGAGGGGGCCTAGACGTTGTGAACTTGTGATTGATTGATGGATCTGGGCGCCATCTCACTCCGCTTTTCTGTGTGTGTGTCGTTGCCCGTCGTTTCTGCCGTCTCCCCTCCGTGTCCGACTTACACGGCGGGGGCGTGCGTGTGTGTCGGGTGAATGAATGAATGAATGAGCTGCATGGGATGCAATGCGGGACGCAGGCCGCATGTCGTTCCTGGGGCCCGCGCCGCCGCTTTTGGCTCGCTCAACCGCCCCGGTGGTGCATTATGATTGCCTCCGGTCGAAACGGTAAACACGGTACTACTTACACGGAGAATATTGCCTTTGATCGCCAACATCTGCTTCGAATTGACTCGTGACGATTCCAATCCACAGTTCAAGACACATCACAGTCGTACCAAGTAAGGAGAACGCACACAATGTACGCATAGCATGCAAGTTGCGTCGTACAAGCGATGCCCCATCAGTCCGCGGCCAAGACCGCCTCAATCACGCTCTCTCCCTCCGTGTACCACACGCCGCTCATCCTCAACCCCACGCCCGCGAGCAACTCCCGCCACTGGCTCTCCGTCCGCTCGCGGCTCACCAGCATGGCCATCATGACCCAGTCGAGGCTCGTGTCTCGCCACGACGCCCCCTCGTCCCGCAGCACCACGTCGTTGATGAGCACCCGCGAGTACCCCGGCGCCATGGCGTCGCGCAGGTGCGACAGGATCGCGCCGCACTGCGCGTCCGGCCAGTCGTGCATGATGAAGCGCATGTAGTACGCCCGCGCGCCGCGGCACGCCGCCGGCTGCGCCGTGAAGAAGTCGTGCGCGACCGCCGTCACGCGCGCCGGCAGCTCGCCCGAGGCGGTGGCCGCGGCGATGACGGGCGCTTGATCCTGCAGGACGAGCTCGCCGCGCAGGTCCGGGAAGCGGCTGTGCAGGTCTACGAGCTGGTGGCCCAGGTTGCCGCCCACGTCGACGAGGAGCGGACTGGAGGCCCGTATCTCCTCGCCCCCCAGGCGCTCCCGCACGGGGTATACGTCCGTCCAAGATGGCACCGACCTGGCGTATGCTTTCATAAAGTCGTTGAAGGCCTCGGCTAAGCGAGAGTTCTCCCGCATCATGCCAAAGAACGTCTCGCTCGATCGGAGGCCGAATTGCACCGGGCTGTTGTTCTCGTCGGTTGGCGTTTGGTATTTTGTCTTGCTTAGAAACTCTGGAAGCGCGAGAAAGGTGGGCAGCGTGACTATGGACGTATATCGCATGGTCGCGCTGACGGCCGGGTCGTCTATCGCCCTGGAAAACCGCGTGCTCACGTACACGTCCTTGCCCACTTCCTTGACGATACCATTCGCCGCCAGGTGTTTGAGGATCCGCGCTGTGTTGCGGTTCAAGTCAACGACGACGGCCTTGCACCTTGGACATGGCACTCGAGTACATACCAACCAAGACGGGATCTGCTACAGTCCCTGTAGCTACCTGCTGACTGGTTTGTGGTTCACTGTCGAGATTCCTGAGTAGGCCGAGCTCAAAGGCAACTCGTAGAGCCGCTGTCCTGGATGTCTCGCCCCAAGTGATGCGCGCTACAAGCTCAAATGGCGTGTACAGCTCCATCGCGAGCGCGTCGGCGGCGTCCAAGAGTTTGAGCCGGGCTGCGCGATCGCTAGGGTCGAGGAGGAATGCCTCGCCGAGGGCGGCAATACCCTCAAGATGTCTAGCTGCCATTATCGCAGACGCTCATGGACAGACAAGAAGGCAGTGACCAAGAGGCTTCCACAGCTCCGTGGTCGAACACAGACTATATACATCCTCGGGACCACATGAGACGGATGGAGCAGCCCGAGGCAGCCACGCTGGCCCAAACCTCGCACAAACGAGTCGCATGCTCAGGCAGGTGTCGGTTGTACGACACGTTTTCTAGAAGTTGTACCAGCGGTTCCCAATTACTGATGGTGTCTGGTCGGAACTCTGTTCGAGACCGGTGAGGGCTCTCACTCGGGCCGTGGGCGCGGTCGTGGGGTATGTCGACGACGTGTAAGTGCTGGGAATGGATGAGTTGGCGGACACATAGCCAGCCACACCGGTTTGACCTGCAACGTTGACCGGATGCTCGACCGTTCATGACGGTGCGGGAAACGGAGGAACTGGCTGTGTGAATGGCGATTACGAAGTACATACTTCTCTACTATAGGCATACGGCACCCAGCATCAAGCATGGATGTGAGGAATCCCACCGAACGTGGCTGATGAAACGCAACGCAGAGAGAGCCAGCACCGTTAAAATGGCGAGAGCGGCGCTGCGACCATCCCCATCTCGACTCGGGATGGAGCGCTGCAAAGCCCCAAGCCCCCCTGTCACGGACCGTTCGTTGCGGCAAGTGCGCGTGGCTGCAGCAGCACCTAGCGCATGGATGGCCAGGTGGTGTTCCATTGCGGTGCCGTCTGCTACCTTGGGTCACTGTCAGCCAGCACAGCCCTCTGGGGCCCGGCGCATTGGCAAGGTTCCAGTTCCCCGTTCGGTTGGGCCACCACCTCAACAACACGCATCACAACAACCATCCGTGTCTCGTCTCTCGTCACCTGCAGCTGGAGAGAGCCCGCAAAAAAATTGGACAAGAAAGCCACGCCGCAGTCGACCGACGCGAGGAGAAATTTGTCGATCCGTGTTCCACCCCCTCCCCTGATCGTCGCCTGATGCCGAGTGCTTGACGACGCTGAGACCATGGACCCTCCTTCACTGCCACAACGGAAAGGATCTCAATTACAGTATCAACGAGCTTGCGCTGGAGGAGGACCACTGGACGGGCGGGCACCTACTGTAATAACGCCTATAGGTACTGTGTACTGCTGGACTGCGCCGTACGGAGCACTGTATTCAATGGCCCCAGAACCAACCACGGCGAGCGCTCCAATTATTAATGTCAGCGCCCATTGTTGAACCTGCCGCTTTGGGGCTGGGCAACAGTGACCTTCTCGACGCTCCACTCTTTTTTCTCCGTCGAAGCCGAGAGCCAGCACCCAACCCTTGCCAACCCATGCCATCCAACCCCCCCAAGCCCCCTCGGCCGCCAAGTCACGTAGTCGAGTCAAATCAGTCAGGTTCCATCGTCGTCCACCACGCCCAGCACCACCAGCACCGCCCGCACATTCGCCTCCTCCCGTGGCTTTGCATCCTCGAAACCTTTTGCCGCCCGCCCACCTGCCACACGCCGCGACGGACACCCCCCACCCCACTCTCCCGCAAGACCCGTCGTCGTCCGCGTGCCACACCTCGCCTCGCCGCCTCTCGCTCACCCACGCAGACAGAACTCGACCCCGACCCGACACCGCCTGCGACTCCCGACTTCCGCCTCCTCATATTAACCGCCTCTCCCGCCGCCCTCGCCCCCTCACTCGCCGAAATCATCACCATTCTTCTCCAGCATTCCCCAGACGCTGTCACACTTTGCCTCTCGCCGCACCGATCGTCGCCTTGCGAAACGGACACTACGCAACCCCGAGGCATCGACGAGACACCACTTGCCACCGCATCTGTCGCAAGACCAAGGCACTCCAACACCGGACTTCACCGTCTCGTCTGCATATCTACCGCACCGTCCGCTTCCCCGCGACAGCCGCCGCTACCGTCGCGCTGCACAGTCACATACCCAACGACGCCATGGAGCCCACACCGCGCCCGTCACGATCCTCGTCGTCGGCCTCTCGCAAGGCCAACCTGACGCTCGACCTGTCCAACCTCCCGCCGCTGGTCCAGCCGACACCGCCGTCCAACACTCTGCTGTTCACGAACCTCACCAACCCCGACGTCTTCCGGCCGGATAACCTGCAAAGCATCCGCGACCTCATCACCAAGACGGCGCCCATCCACGCCTTTGCGCCGCTCAAGTCGTTCCGCCGCATCGTCGTCTCCTTCTTCGACATCGACGCCGCCATCGCCGTCCGGCAAGTCTGGGACGGCGAGGCCGTCCTCGGCGAGCGCCTGAAGGTCTACTACGGCCAACAGACCTCCGTCGAGGCCAAGGACGAGCACCTCGCCCTCCCCGACGCCGGCAAGCTCTTCTTCATCTCGCCGCCGCCTAGCCCGCCCCACGGATGGGAGATGCGGCTGGAGGACGCGCCCAACAAGATGGTCCACGCCGATGACCTCGCCGATGCCCTGGCCAAGCTGCACCAGCGCAGGGACGCCGTCGAGTCCCCGCTGAGCCCCGTCGATGGTGCGCTGCTCGGCGGCCGGGGCAGGAGCCGCAGCTCCACGCTCATCTGGCACCCCGAGGAAAACGGCTGCAGCCCCGATCTGCCCGCCGTAGTGGTCGAGGACATGACGGACAAGCCCGAGGAGATCAGCCCCCTCGAGGCCTCTCGCCCCATCATGGCGCACACAGCCCGGCCGCCCGTCGAGCTGATGCACCAAGCATAAGTAAGTGCTGAGCCTCGCCTTTACGTGGCGGGATTACGGCACCGGCGCATTTGTTTTTGCAGGGTCGGCGTTTACGGTACGGGTGGTGTTTTACTCTCCTACAAGCGAAGTTGGGCGTCAGCTTTGGGTGTGGCCGCGTGCTCGGCTGGACATTGCATGGTTCACGCGCGGCCTGATTTCGAGTCTCTTGACTCTGGTACAAATTCCGAGCTGAGGATGCTGGTTTTTGCTACTGGCGAGTGTCATTGAAAAGCAGTCTTCACGGATAGACTTGTCTAGAAGTGTACAATATGAATACAGTACCGTGGCGCCATGTGGGCGGCCATTGAGGAAACGAAGTCGCGTCTAAACCTTGGCCTCGAGAATCAAGCAACGCGGGCAGGCGACAGGTCCGCGTGCTGGCATCTGCGTGCTGCCTTGTCGCGTCGCCCTGCTCGCATGACGTCCCTGGGAATGGGCAGATGGCGCGTGGGTACTCTGGACACGTCGTTGAGGCGCAAGTGGTCTAAGCCCCGGGGCGGGCCGGGAAGGCATCTCGTGCCATCTCCACGCCGGGCTGTGCGAAGCTCAGACAAAGGGTGGAGCATCTCGTAGCCCGCGATGACTTGGCAGGCTGTGATGATCCGCAAAATTTGGCCGTGCGCCGTATGGGCCATGGCGGACCCTGGTGGTGTCATTCTAATGCCCTAGCATGTCTGCTTGCGCCTCTGCGACGCCCGGCATTGATGCATCAGACGGGGGACAATCCGAAGCGTACGAGACAGGTACGGCTCAGCAGCGGAGGATCCGCCCACCGCGGGAGAGGTTTCTCCGCCGGGGCGGCTCCGGGACCCACTGGAGGACCCCTGTCGGCCTGAATTTCCTTCCCCTTCACGTTGCGCCTCCAGGTGTCATGCACGCCCACGACAGCTTAGGTTTTTTTCCCTTCCACCCTCGCCTCACACTCCTCCTGGGCCGTCCGCCCATCACCACGCCACCGATCCGACACACGACGACGCGCGTGCAGCACACGTCGGCCATGAGCTGCGCGTGCCGGACCGCGCCCTGGAGGGCCTTTGTCCAGGGCCTGGCGCAGGTCCACAGGCTCGAGGCGGCGCCGATCCTTCGTGTCACACGTGCCGCCGCCGGCCTCGCACCCGTTGCGCCTGCTCGCCTGGCATTGCGCCGTGCGCTGCCTGCTGCGCCGCTGCGGGGAGATCGTGGGTTCCATGCCTCGTCGGGATTGAGGCAAGATGCCGCTGGTGCAGCTGCGGCGAAGACACACGAGCCGCCGAATACGACGCGGGAGACGGAGGAGGGGCTGAGCGCTGAGCCACCGTCCTCGGAGCAGGAGGCATCGTCAGCACCGGCGCAGTCCAAGCCGAGGCGGAGGAGACGCAACGAGGACGCGAAACTCGACATTGACGAATCTGCTGCGCGGCCGGCCGATGGAGCCGCGCCCCCGACCAAGGCGAAGCGCGGGCGAAAGCCCCAACCCGACTCCTCCTCATCCCCAACCCGCAACAACACGCACGACGACGACCCCTCCGCCGCCAACAAACCCCAACGCGAAGCGTGGCAGACGCAAAAGGCGGCACTGAAAGAAAAGTTCCCCTCCGGATGGAAGCCGCGCAAGCGCCTCTCGCCCGACGCGCTGGCGGGCATCCGGGCGCTCAACGCGCAGTTCCCCGACGTGTACACGACGCAGGCGCTGGCGGACAAGTTCGAGGTGTCGGCCGAGGCGATCCGGCGCATCCTCAAGAGCAAGTGGCAGCCGTCGGCGGCGGAGGAGGAGGAGCGGCAGCAGCGCTGGTTCCGGCGCGGCGTGCAGGTGTGGGAGCACAAGGCCGCGCTGGGGGTCAAGCCGCCGCGCAGGTGGCGCCGCGAGGGCGTCGCGCGGGATCCCGCGTACCATGAGCGCAGGGGCCAGGCGGCGGAGAGGGAGAGGCGGTGGGAGGAGGAGGAGGATAGGCGGTATAGGGAGCGGAGGGGGGGACGGAGCGGCGGCGGCGGGGGGCAGCAGTCGCAGCAGCAGCGGCCTTGACGGCGGGCTGGCTGGTGTCGGACGTGTGTGTACGATGAGACGGGACGTGGTGTATATTGAACTCTCCGCGGAGTGTTGATTTGGGATACGAAAATACCCAGCTTGCTGCATATTGGCGATGTTCTACCTCGTCTACTTGCTCTGAGATGTGAGGCCCTGCACTCCTTTGTGCGTGAAGATTGTAGGAGGGATGGTAGTCGTAGGCCCTCCTCAATACCTATGCTAGACAACGTAAACTCTACAATGCGAGTCCAGACGCATGAAATGGCTTACAAACAGCCGGCTGCTACGACTCAACACTCTGATGGTACAAACGTAGTATTTGGCTATGGAAACGGGGAAGTGCCGGGCGGCTGTAGATCGCCGCAGGCGCCATGGCGTCGTGGACACGCGCGCGCGCCGCCCGGTGTGCCTGCGGCTCAAACCGACTGGCGGGGCCCACCAAGAGCGTGTACTGTGTGTGTGTGAGGTGCCTGACAGGGGTGTCAAACCAGGGGTCGCCTTCACATGCAGCAGCGGGTTTCGACCAAACCGCCACCATTTCTTCACCAGCTTTCCAACGAAGAAAGGGCGGCGGAGCTTCTCTCTTCTCTCTCTCCTCCCTTCGCAGCTCTTCTCTGCGCACTTTCGCTCACGGCCGCGAACGAGAACCTGCGGGGCGAACCGTCTCTCTACCTCCGCCAGCCAGCGAGCAGCTTACGTCGCTGCATCAAAACTCAGACTCACAACCTGCCTGCCTGCCTGCCTACTCACAACCACCACCATGGCGCGGCCGCCGAACTACCCCCGCCCGCCGCAGCACGACTCGTGGTTCGCGCCGCTGTCCGTCGACCTCTTCCTCAAGGTCCTCTACGTGACGCTGCTGCACCCGTTCGTGTGCTGGATCATCCCGCTGTGCCTGCGCGCGCGCACCGTCAAGTGGGAGGCGCCGCCCATGCTCTTCGCCTTCGCGTGGGCGACGCTCGTGAGCCTCGGGTGGGCGGCCGCGGCGGTCAACCGGCGCGTCGCGTACGGCGCCCCGCGCGAGGTCGACCTCGGCGAGGAGGTCATCGTGGTGACAGGCGGCGCCAGCGGGCTGGGCATGCTCGTCGCCGAGGTGTACGGGATGCGCGGCGCGACTGTCGCGGTGCTGGACGTCAATGAGATGGAGAATGGGGAGGCGAGGGGCGTTACGTATTACAAGTGCGATGTGAGCGACAAGGCGCAGGTCGCCCGGGTCGCGGCCGAGATTGAAAAGGATGTGAGTGTCACCCTCCCTCCCTCCTCCCTCCATACCCGAGCCGCGCCGCTCTCTCTCATTCTCTCTCTCATGGTGGTACACGGGAAGAGGTAGCGAAGGGTGCTAACGCGAACGGAAAATACAGCTCGGCACGCCGACGGTGCTCATCAACAACGCGGCCATCGTGGTGGGCAAGTCGTTCCTCAACCTCACCCTCGACGACATCGACACCAGCCTGGGCACGAACCTCCTCGGGCCCTTCTACTGCCTCAAGGCGTTCCTCCCCGCGCTGATCCGCTCCGGCCGCGGCGGCACCATCGTCAACGTCTCCTCCGTCATCGGGCACCTCGGCGCCGCGCGCCTGACCGACTACGCGGCCGCCAAGGCGGGCCTCACGGCGCTGCACCGGTCCCTGGCGGCGGAGCTGCGGGAGACGCACCCGGAGATCCGCACCGTGCTGGTGACGCCGGGGCAGGTGAGCACGCCGCTCTTCTACGGGGTGCAGACGCCGAGCGCGTTCCTGGCGCCCGTCGTGGAGCCCGTCGACGTGGCGCGCGACATCATCGCCGCCGTGGACGCGGGGACGGGCGGCTGGGCGGCCATGCCGCTGTATGCGCGCTGGGTCGACTGGTATAACGTGTTGCCCGCGGGGGTGCAGGTGCTGGCGCGCAGGCTGTCGGGCATTGATCGGGGGATGAGGACGTTTGTCGGCAGGAGGGGCGCCGGCGGGGAGGATGGCAAGGCTAGTTGAAGAAGAGACGAGACGGTGCGGGCGTCGTCGTCGTCGTCGTTAGATGCGAGGTGAGGAGTTGTGTATAATACCTAGGCGGATAGTGATGGATGGGCGTATGATTGGACGAGGGGGAGGGTGGGAGAGAGCATAGATGCATGGCGTTGTCGTATATCTAAACAATGAATGAGCATGCGCTTGCACACCTACGCAGATCACACCAGCGAGGGAAACGGACAGGCCAGCTCTGTTAACCACCGAGTCGCCCCGATGTTTGAGGTGCGTCATGGACGGGAGCACGGTTGGCAGAGCACCATTTCAGCTCCGGCGACGACGCGAAACACGTAACCGCGCACTCATCCATCTCATCACAGTCGCCCAGGGCACCCACCTAGCCATTGAGAAGCAACCTTGGAACCCGTCCGTATGCCACCGCACTGTCTGAACGCGCGCGCGCCGTCACAGCTTCATGTAAGGTACCTACCTACCTACATGAGCCGTCCCGTCTTCCCGACGTCGTCTCCGTGCACAGCAGCAGCAGCAGCAGCAGCAGCAGCAGCAGGGGTGCCCGATGAGCGGCTCGGGAAGAGTGCGAAACGTCACGGCAGCATCGGACAACGACGAACGAAATTAAGTGCAGGTGGCGCAAATCTGCAAGCTTCGCCGTTTGTGCTTCATCTCGCAGCACCTGGCGTTGTACGGAGCACACGTAGATGAAATCACCTGCAAGCACCGCGTTCTGACAGCAGCATACTACGCATGCAGCACGTCAATGGGAATTACCAGCAAGGACGACCCCGTTGTCCCGTCTCACTGCTCATGTCGTCATGTCGTCATGAACGTGGGGGAAGGCAGGCAATCAAAGAAGCAGAGAGTCGGTCCCCTTGTCTCGGGCCTTTTTGGAATACGGGGTCCTCGTTTCAATTAATTCGTGCATCCTGCTAGCTTGTCTCGGCAGCGCCCAGGGGTGGCAGGTGGCGGATGGGGGTGAGGAGGATTGGCGAGAGTTTCGGTCCCCGCTAGTTAAGCCAGTACTGCTTCTGGAAACAACCCGAACTGGGCTTTGCCCGAGACTTTCCAACGGGGGCGTTGTCAAGCTCGGGCTCGGCCAGGAGGGCAATGGAAGCTACTGCGGGCCCCTCGTACTGTACTTTGGGCTCGTACCCACGAAATAGCCTACAAAAGGTACGGAGTAATATCATCACCACGCAGTTCTGGCTTCTGGGTCTCGGCCCCAGTCAGCCCTAGGCCGTATGGGCAGAGGATAAAGGATATTAGCAACGCGCGCAAGGCCACAAGGGGTCCAATCGCCCGAGGCCATCACAGCACAGCATGGAGGCCAAGAGCGCAGGACCAGGGGGGTTCGAGGGGCCCGCTGATGACAGGGCATGGGCGCCACGGGGCCACTGGAGCCCTGCAGCGGGCGGATGGGCAGCCGACAGGGGCGGGGGCAATCCACTCAACCTCCTCACCTTTGGCTGTCAAAAACACTCCATCCTGTCTTTTGCCTGTCAAGTCATGTCCGGTGATGAGGGATGAAGAGCAATTCCGGGGGCATGCTGTCTGTTGGGGCCCCGCCGCTGCTGGATTCCAAGGTTCCCCACGAACAGACCCAGGCTCGCCAGGCAAGCGAACCAACGGCGGATCGCCGGGCCCCTGGTCCACTCGCTCGCTCACCCGTGGCTGCAGGGTTTTTGTCCGTTGTCGTCGTCGTCGAAAAACCTGGTTTCCCTTCTCGGCCGCCTTGCCGCAGGCGCCATGCCCGCATGCCATCCCATCCTGCCATCTTTGCCCACCTTGCCCACCACCTTTTCCATCCATCCAGTCGCCCACTTCCCACTCAGGGATCCCCACCAGACGAATCCACCACCCTGGATGACCACCCAGGCACGTTGCTTCACTCGCAGTTGCCCGATCGCGATGGGCCCGCCGGCGGCCCTGGCGCGTCTCGCACTTTCCCTAGCGCCCGTCCAGTTACGAGGAACCGGGCAGGATGGACTGGCCCTGCGCTGTTCTCACGCCCGCCGCGTGTGATGGCGATGGACATGGGTACGGGCTCAGGCCCCCCCGTTCTGCCCGGCGCGGTGCGGTGCGCCTGCTGCACCTCGCCCATGTTCCGGTTCAGTTCAGTTCCCGGGGAGCAAGACACACTCGCACCGGGCTCTGACTGCTCGTATTTTCCCTCTGACGTACATCGTACGTTGCGGCGGCAGTAAAGAACCGAGATTGTCCCCCCGTCCATGCGCGCGCGCGTGCGCCTGCCTTGCCTCTTCGTCCCGACCACGTCAAGACTCAAGAGTGGTCCGTACCGTACTTTGTACTTGCGCGTCTTGGGGTGACGTTGCCGTGCGCCGTCTCGTCTGTCTCTCCTTGTGGTGCCCCAAGGCCGACTCGCCTTCTCCCGCGCTCGCTTCTCCATTTCTTTTCCTTTACCGTCCCCGTGTCTCCCGTTCGTCTCGATCCCGTCGTCGCCTAGTTGCGAGAGCACCGGTTTTTTTCTTGCGGCCTTTTGTGGCGACTGACTCGGCCTTTGCTGTGCTTCCCGCTATCTTGGCCTTGGACTTTTCTTGCTTGCTGAAGAAGATCCACCTCTGGACGGGCTTCTGGTGGACGGACTCTTGGCTTGCGCCTTGCTGAGAAACGACTCAGCCCGACACCAATTGCTTCGCTACTAGCACATCCGAGAGACGCCGTAAGACAACCGCCATGCTGCGAACGACGCTGGCCGTTCTCTCTGGCCTGGCGGCCTCGGCCGCCGCCCTGGACCCCATCGAGGCGTACGGCAACAAGTTCTTCAACAAGGACGGATCGCAATTCTTTATCAAAGGTAGGACACGGCCTGCTGCGGTTCACTGTTATGCTGTGCCCGTGGCTGACCTCTGCAGGTGTTGCGTACCAGCTTGTTCCCGATGACCCTCTCATCGACACCAACCAGTGCAAGCTGGATGCCAAGTTGATGAAGGACCTCGGCGCCAACGCGATTCGCGTGTACCATGTCGACGCCGGCAAGGACCACGACGGCTGCATGAAGGCGTTTGACGAGGCTGGCGTCTATGTCATGCTCGACATGGATACTTTTAACACGTACATTGAGCCGGTATGGCTGCCCCTCGTGTCTTGAACATGCCACTCACAGAATGAGGCCTCTGACTGACCCGACCCGACGCCACGCAGACGATGCTTTACTGGAACACTAGTCAGTTCGACAAGTACGCCGAGGTCATGGATACGTTCCAAAAGTACGACAATGTCTTGGGCCTGTTCGTCGGCAATGAGAACATTGCTAAGAGGCAGGACTCACCCGTCGCCCCTTTCCTCAAGGCTGCTGCCCGGGACATGAAGGCGTATCGTGACCGCAAGGGTTACCGCAAGATCCCCGTCGGCTACTCGGCCGCCGACATCCAGGAGCTGCGTCCCATGCTCCAAAACTACCTGACGTGCGGTGGCAACTCGTCCGAGATCATCGACTTCTTTGCCCTCAACTCGTACTCGTGGTGCGACCCCAGCACCTACGAGCAGTCCACCTACGACAAGCTCCAGGAGTACGCCAAGAACTTCCCCGTCCCCATCTTCTTCTCGGAGACGGGCTGCAACGTCCCCGGCCCTCGCAAGTTCGACGACCAGGACGCCGTCTTTGGCAAGCTCATGGTTAACGACTGGAGCGGCGCCATGGTCTACGAGTGGATCCAGGAGCAGAACAACTATGGGCTCATCGAGTACGGGCCTCCGGCCAAGAGCAACAAGAGGGCCGACGATGTTGTCGACGGCTTCACCCGCAAGGGCACACCGACGCCCAGGAACCCGGAATTCAACAACCTCAAGACCAAGTGGGCTAGTATCCACCCGACGGGTGTGAGCAAGGGCGACTACGACACCAAGAGCATCTCGACGCGCGCCTGCCCCATGTCCACGTCGGGCGGCTGGTGGCAAGTTAATGGTAATGTCAGGCTGCCTACCCTGGGCGAGACCAAGACGGGTGCTTTCGAGTCGTCCCCGAGCGCCACGGCGGACCCCAGCGCAACGGCCACGACGGGCAGCAAGTCTGGCGACAAGTCGGGCTCGGGCAGTCAGAGCTCTAGCAGCGCCCAGGCGACGGGCGGATCTGAGAAGGGTAAGACCGACAAGGAGAACTCGTCCGACAGACCGCTGGCATTGATTGGCGCCACCTTGGCAGGTCTTGTACTGTCTCTGGCAATCCTGCTGTAGCCGGTTGCAGACGGGGTTTCCCAATTCAGTTATTGTCAGCGCTGCACTCACCTTTTGAACTTCTTGGTACATATTCCGGCGTACACTCAGGTATCGGCCGCCGTGTCACGGGATGATGGCTGCTGATGTGCTATGCAAGCATGTCGATATGTTTACTACATGTATAAGACGAGCATTGTATAAAGCGTGAGCATGACTTGCTTAGACTTAGAACGACTGTAATTACGTTGACGCCGCCAGGGCAAGTAGCACTGAACAAGAATATCCTTTGATGAGCCTGCGGACGAAGCATGTGAATGTTGATGCATCCGTGATTGTTACGTGTTGAGGGCGTACCTTGATCTGGCCAGATGTCGGCGTAGTTTCTGGTTCTTGGGGAGAACAACCTCCGCGAAACCAAACGAAGCGATCTTTCTCTCTACACCGCCGCGGAGCCACGAATCATTGCGACACTCCCTCGTTGGGTCGTCTGGGGGCATTTCGATGCTTCACCAGTGCAAGGCCCGCCACGAGTAAACGTGTATACGATGCCGAGGACCATGACGCCCGCGAAGAGCACGACGAGGACGCCCATGAGGAGATAGCGCAGACGGTAGTCACAGCGGTGGGAGGACCTGCCCCAAGGCGTGCGCGTGTGAGACGGGCATTGCGACTTGTCGATCATGACAGGGTGCGGCGGTGATGACTTTGATGATGACGACTCTCGAGACTTGCGTGGGAGGACGAGGAGAACGACTAAGGGTCACAGCGTGTTTCCTGTTTAGGAGGCGTGTAGGGCGGTTGGATAGGTACTTGGGAATCTAGGATGATGATGCGGCGAGGGATACCATGAAGGTGCTGAAGTTTGGGATTGACCACGGGACTAAAGTGAGTGTATCTGGGAGTGTACACTGTACAGGACCTGCTGGCATGAAGGAGCTAGGGGCGATGCAACGGCGGTGCTTGCATTGACAGCATGCGCACCTGCCGCAACACTGGATGCAGGGGAATTGACTGGGTTAGTAGAATGTACTTGACCATCGACATACCTTACAGCCTGATTCACGCATAGGGATGGACTTTCTGCTGGCTCTTGCATTACCAGGGTTGCTCCTTTTTCTTGAGCAGAGGTTGCCGGACAAGAACTCACGACTCCTCAAGTACCTCAAGTACAGCCAGCACACTTGCACCTACATCTGCCATCCCGTCGCAGGTTACAGAAATACAGACTGAGACTTTCCGGATCCGGAGCGCCAGCCACAGAAACCACCAACCAGCATTCAGCACTTCCCTGCCTGGTGTTTCGTCCAATGCTGCAAGGCGACAACGCCACGCCCGCTGACTAAGGCATCGTCGCCCACCAAATGAAGCAGCCTTGGCAGCCCCCCCGGCCAGTCTGGCTGCAGTGCTTGCTGCGGAATGGGTGGAGCACCCACTCACTGGGTGGCTGTTCGTCGCCCAGCGAATGTCGCGACAGCGGCGGCAGAGGCAGGCAGAGTCTTTCGAGCCGACGCCGCCAGCTATCTATCTCGACGACAGTCGGCGCACCGCGATAAGCCGTCGATTCGCGGACCGTCAGCCAGCAGACGAGACACGCCGCAGACGAATCAACAACACTGCATCGCCAACGCCCGCCAGCGCGACCGTGCTTCTGATTTTGACCGGCGCCGCCAAATTATTTTCCGCGCCGGCAGCCGCTGTGAGGATTGTGTATCTCGGAGCGGCAGAATTTTGGGGCACGATATAAGGGCACCCGGATCGACTGACTCAGCAAATTTTCCTCCGACCGCCCGCCCGCCCGCTTGCGCGCCCGCCTGTTGCTGTTGCTGCGATTGCTCTGCTCGAGAGTCTTGGATAGCAGAAACGCCTCCGCCCATCTCGACCGCCCGACAGACATCCATGCGCATGTCCCTCCCTAGGCGGTAACCGTGTCAATTGGCATCATGGCCGAGCCGGCGCAGACCTCCGCCGGCGCAGCCGCCGCCGCGCCAGGTACGTTTTGTCCTGTCCTCTTCACCCCCCGCCATGGCGCCATGGGTCTCTGTCCGTCCTTGCGACAGACGCTGCTCGGTGCGCGCGGCGTCGCTGACATGTCCGCTCGCGGATGCTGACCCTGGCGACTGTCTAGACATCAAGCAAGAGCATGAGCCGACTGGTCTGGAGGGCCTCGACTTCAACCTGTCGCCCGAGCTCGCGTCGAAGCGGCCGTTCGAGGACGTCGCAACCGGCGCCATCGAGAGTCCAGAAGCAAAGCGCGCAAAGACGGAGGGCCAGGCAGAAGAGGACTCGCTAGAGGATGGCCTCGCCCTTCTCGTCCAGAATGCGCTCTCCAACGTAGGCGACCTGGTCGACCAGTTCAGCGCCCCGCCCGACCCTTTGCCCGCGCCCTCGACCGAGCCCATGGACGTGGACAGCGCGCCCACCCCGGAACCCAGAAAGGTCCCGGCCACGTTTGCGCTCGAGCCCCAGCGATACATTCGCGAGATGAACATGCATGCGCTTGGAAACCTGGTGCGTATACTGCTACTACTTGTTCAGAGAGGAAGCGCGGCCCGCTAACCAACACTGCATCGTTCCAGGCCATTTCTTTGCTTCTCATCGTGGCGCAGCCGCCGCTCGAAGATACCATCAAGCTTATAAGAAACGGCGATTCAGATCACGGGCGCTCCTACCGCCAGCTGAAACAGTCGTTAGAACAGATCCGATCGTTGTACACCTCGAAACACGTCCTGTCGGCGCACGAGCTGGAAATCCATGACGCCGATTCGCGAACCCTACTGGAGCTGGCGAACCTGGCGCAACTCGGCTCTTGGCTGATCGACGGCAGCCAGACCTCGCTCGACGAGGCCGACGAGTCGTTCCTGTCCATGTTTGACTGCCAGGTCTCCGATCTGCCCGCCGGCATGGAGGAACTCTATCTTGGCATCATGACGCAGAGAGCCGTCGAGTCGCTGGCGGTGAAGGAACCGGAAAAGCCCTCAGAGGAAGTGCTGGGCGAGATACTGATGTCGGGTCTCGAGGACCGGCTGCGCGGCCAGCACGGCGGCAACGAGCTGACGTCCGCGGACCAGCACTTTGTCTCGTCCGTTCAGTCCCGCAAAGAGACTTTACAGGGGGAGGCAAAGGAGCAGCCCGAACCAAGTTGGTTCCCCGACCTTGGCCACGCCTCGAGCCGTGAAGCTGACCGTTGTATAGCTGCCCTTAGGGAAAAGCACCCCCTCGAAGAGCTGCTGCGGCTGTACGTCAAGTACGTCAGAGAGCGGCTCGCGGCGGTATCGCATCTGGGATCCAAATTCGGCATCTCCACGGAAATACGCGACGCGTCCGTCACGGCAGATGTCATAAGCGACACCACCGTCGGCCACGCCAACACCAATACCTCCGCCAACCAAGCTGACGCCGAAGTCGACGTAGACCTGGATGACCTGTCGTCATTCTTCGAAAAGACAGCTTCCGGACTCGTACAGGACGCGCTGGCCGGCCTGACGGAAGAGACCAACGAGGAGTCGACAGCAGAAGGAGGCGAGCACGGTGCCCACACCAACGGCGAGGCCAAGGCCACAACGGGCCAGACAAATGGCAAGATCGATCTCGCGACAGACTACAAAGAGCTCGAGGCTCTTGTTGCTGAGAGCACCTCCAACTATGTCAGGACGACGCTGCACGGCCTCTCGCCTGTTCCGTACCAGCCAACCGTCCCCCAAAGTACTAGTGAGTTTGCAATGCGCACAGGCGTTTTGTCCTGGAGAATCGACACTGACAGAAAGCAGCGGAATCCATGGCCGCCCAGCTGCCGTATCTGCAGCAGCTCCACCAACACCAAGCACAGCATCCTTATTACACCTCCTACTCACAACGTCCGCCCGAGCCGCAGGCCCCAGCCCCGGCCCCGGGCGAAAACCTACCGCCGAATCAGACGTGCTCGAGTGCAACGCTGTACGACAAAGCCCGTCAGGCCGCCTTGTCCAAGACGTCATCGCACACCAGGAGAGAGGGCTCCCACTCGACGAGGCGGCCGTGGAGCCAAGACGAGGAGAAGGCCCTCATGGCTGGGCTTGACATGGTTAAGGGGCCTCACTGGAGCCAGATCCTGTCGCTGTTCGGACACAGCGGCACCATCTCCGATATCCTGAAGGAGCGGACGCAGGTCCAGCTCAAGGACAAGGCGCGAAACCTCAAGCTGTTCTTCCTTAAGACCAACTCGGAGATGCCATACTACCTGCAGGCCGTCACTGGCGAACTCAAGACGAGGGCCCCTACGCAGGCTGCCAGGAAGGAGGCGGAGGAGCGGGCACGCATGAACTCGGAGGAGGATCAGGCCAAGCTGCAAGGCATCCTGACGTTGGCCGGCGGACTGCAGCACCCACCTCAGGGGCGAGCCACGGGAAGCCCTGCCACGGGCATAACTGGCAGCGTCGTGACACCAGCACAAGCCGCGGCGGCTGCTACCTCTGCGCAACAGCAGAACCAGCAGCAGCAAGCCAATCAGTGGCACACGTCCGCGCAAGCAGCCAGTCGTCTTCACGGGGCAGCCACCGCATCGGCGTCGACGCCCGCGTCGGCACAGACGACGCAGGTAGCTAAACCCGGTGTGCAGGCGACAACGCAGCAGGTGCTACAGTCGATGCCGCAGGCTCCTCCGCGGCCGCAGGCCCAGATCCCTCCTCAGGCGCACAGGCCGCAGCCGTACGGCAACCAACCGCATCAGCTGCAGTACCAGCATCTGCAGCAAGCCCAGCAGCAGGCTCGGCCACAGGCACAACAGCAGGCTCAGGGCCAGCAGGGCCAGCAGCAGCACCCTCAGCAAGCCCAGGGCCAGCAGAACACACAGGCGCAGCAGCAGCAGCAGCAGAGCCCCGTTGTTCGGTCGCCGGCAACGCCCCAGCCTGGGACCCCCGGAGCACAACCGCAACGGCCGCTGTCTGCCCAGGGTCAGGCGGCTGCCCAGGGGCACACACCAGCCGCCGCCCAGCTTCTAGCACGGGCTCCGGCAGCAGCCCAGCAGTCGGCACAGGCACAACCCCAGGCTCAAGTCGCTGCACAACACGCCCAGGGGCAGGCCCAAACTCAGGGGCAGCCGCAAGCTCAGCATCCCCAGAGCCAGTTGCAACCTCAGGCAAGACCACAAGTGCAAGCAGCACAGGCTCAGGCTCAAGCCCAAGCCCGACCGGCGCCTGTTCCCGCGCAAGGCGTCCAGGGACACAACCAGCCTGTCCCGGCTCAAGCAATCCAGGGAAGACCAGCGCAACCACAGACCCCGAGCCAACCGGCGCAAGGTCAGCCGCCTCAAAGTCGACCGGCCCTCACGCTGCCAGCACAAGGCCAACAAGGCCAGCAGAGCCAGGCTCCTCTCCAGAACAACTTGCAACAACCCCAGCGTCCGCAGAGCCAGCCCCAGGCCTCACCGCTTGCTCTTCCTGTGGTGGCCCGTCCGCCCAGTGCTCCCGCCAACCCGCAGTCTCAGCCTCCTCCTGCAGCGGCGTCCGCGCCTCACGGACACCCGCCTCAGCAGCAAACGCAGCCGCAGCCGCAGCCGCAACCACAGGCGAACCACAGCTCGGGTGCCGCGTCGGCGCCTCCGTCACAGCAGGCGCCTCCTGCCCAGGCACCAGCTCCTCTCGTGCTGCCAACTCAGCCCATCGAGGCCGCACCGCACAAGTCTCAGGAAGAGACACAGGCCGACGACAACGCCGCCGAGGTGGCCCTGCTCGAGGGTCTGCAGGCCGTTGTGGCCCAGAGCCTGGCATCGTAAAACCCTTCCTCACCTCTTTTCCGTCGCCCACACGGGCTGCAAAAACGCCACCCTTTGCTGGACGAGGAAGAGTGCCTCATTGCCACGACACGAATTCTCTCTCACACGCCGTACGACTAATGACAGACACCGGCAGGTGGGCTCACGCACACAAGTTCGTATCTTTTTCTGGAACCGCTTCCATCGTTACATGCTTCCTTTTTACTTATGGCGCAAGAGGAAGAACGGGGGCCGACAGGGGGCGCTCGGCGGACAAGGCCAAACATACAACTTATATCGGGTGTGGTCAGCCAAACACGCTTCTAGCTTCTTTTTCTGCATGGGATATGATACCACGGAGTCTTGGGGGAAAAGAAATGGGGCGGGGGTTCGTCGGCATGTCTTTGGGATAAGGCGCGGCGACGAACGCGTTCATTTAGGGAATTAGTTAGAACTACAGCAACGAGGAAATACCCTTGGTGGTTCGGATGACTCGACTGTGCCACTCGCAATACCATTACAAATCATTCCACGGTCTGGTCTGTTTTAGCTTGGTGACATTGTGACCCGTCTCGTGAGGGTGTCGATGAGTGCCGCGCCTCCATCACCGATGAGCCGGACGGTCGGTAGTAAGCATGAACTAGTTGGCATTTTCGCTGCCCCCTTTTACTCACTACATGTTCTGTCGCGCTTCACAAGAACTTCGGAGGGGGAGTGTCGGTCATAGACAGGCCCCTCATCCAACGTCCAAGAGACAACGACAAAATACGTAGCCAGCGGGTTGTGTGGGCCTGCGGCATCTCGCACAAGCCTGCCGTATCTGCGCCCAAACGGCGTCGCGGGGGCACCCATGATGCGGGTAACCGCTGCATCATCCTCTGCACCTTCTTCGTGGAGAAAGGGGAGAGGTCCCTTTACGCTGGACTGACCCCGTGACGGGCAGATGGTGTAACGTCACGGTTCTGTGGGTATTACAGGCTGTGGCGATGCTGTCACGTCTGCTCCGGTGCTCGGAGGAGAGTTGAGGCTCGGGCGAGGGATGAGAGACGAGAAAGGAGGGAGGGGGGAGGAAAGAACGAAAGAAAGGGGATGACAGGGACGACGACTTGAATGTGTCGGTGTGGCGAGGAGCCATCCAGGGCAGGTCTATGCACATGGACTGTCGTACGTACATATGTCGTGTGCCGCTGACCTGTGGGGATGGTAGGCAGGGTGCAACGGGACAACATCGTAACGTCAGGCTGCTGCCTTGATGGAGTTGAGGGCACGGTCTGATCTGTGTCCGCCATCTATATATTCTCGTGGCTCCCTCCTCCCGGCAAATGATAGAGAAGGCGCGGCCTTCGGCGGCTCTGGCGTTCCGACTCTGGTATAAATACGGGGTGCCGCTCCTCGACTTCTCGAGTCCTGGGGAACCGCCTCTTACACCTCACTCCAACAATAACCCAACACTACAACGCAAGCTTCGACAACTCAGAACTTGACACAGAAGAGAGAAACTACACTTGACACGCAAGATTTGACTTGCCCCCCGGCCTCCCCTCCCCGTTCCGATTTGAACTTCAGCCCACCACCACCACCAAAGGCATACCGTTACCAGGCGCCATGTATCACCTGGAGGACCTCGCGAAGGAGCGCTGCAGCCACCCCAGCGGCCGGTGCCCACATAGCACCTGCGCGCTCCGCCCCCGCGGCTCGGGTAAGTACCATTTGTCCCCGTACTGCGAGCCTCACTCGTGCCTCTTCTTTGACGAGCGGGGGAGGCTGTGTGACCGTCCGCGTGTCAACCATGTGAGCTATTGTGAAGAGCGTGAGTCGTTGCCCCCACCGCTGCGCGCCATGTCTCGTCCACTCCCATCCTGCCTGCCCTGCCTAAATGCTTGTACTGGCACGGGCATCATGGGCAGGCAGAGGGGGGTGGAGGAGGCGAGGGAGAAAGAGAAAAGAGGAAAGGAAAAAAGAAGGGCTGACGCTGAGGCGCGGGGCTGGGGAGCAACAGACATCAGGTGTAAGGGGTCGGCCGGAGGGGCCAAGTGCATGCAAGAAGTGAGGGAGGGCCAGCCCGGCGTGTATCGCTTCTGCTGGCAATACCGTCGGTGGTCTTCCTGCTCTGCCAGATTCTCCCTGAGGATACGTCTTCTGACCAAGCGCGGCACGCCACACAGACAACTGCGTCGAGGACGGATGCCACAACCAGCGGCGATGGTTCGGCGGCCGGGACATGCGGCGCTGCGACGAACACCGCTGCCACTTCCACGACTGCACCGAGCGGCGCGACCGGAGCGACTACTGCCCCGACCACAAGTGCCGATTCGACGGCTGCCGCGACGGCGTCACGAACGGGCTGGGCCACTACTGCGCGCGACACGAAATCTTCCGCGACGGCGGCGGCGTTGGCGTCCGGCCCAGCGCCGCCATCCCGCCGTGTCTCTTCGACGGGTGCGACTACCCCTCGCTGTCGGGGCGTCGGTACTGCCGCTTCCACGAGTGCGAGGTGCGCGAATGCACGCTGCCTCTGATGGCCGGCGTGTCCAACTTTTGCTTCGAGCACAAGTGCCGCGTCTGCTCGGGCAAGAAGCCCGCCGACGGGCGCTTCTGCAGCCAGCACAGGTGTGCGCAGCTCGACTGCGAGGATCGCGCTCTGAACGGTGGCTGGTGTGACACACACTGGACAAGGCGTCGCCGCCGCCGGCGGACGGGATCGCGGCCTCCCGGCGTGTGGTTCGAGGGCGCGGGTGACCACAATGGGGACGACCTCGATTACCTTGACTACGGTGACGATGACGACGACGACGATGGGTATGACGGCGAGCGGGCGCGGCGACGGTCCCGTGCAAGAGGTGAGTTGAAAAACGCCCCCATGCCGCGACAGCATGGCACCAGAGATGGGACATGACATGGCCTTGAAACCCGGGGCTGACCCGCCGGCGGTGCCCCACAGAAACCCCCGGGCGGGGCGGATCCCCGGCGCGGGTCTGTCTCTTCCGCACCGGCAGCGGGCCCGTGCCGGACCGCATCTGCAACCAGCGCGCCGAGCGCGGCCGCCAATACTGCACGCGCCACCTCTGCCGGGACTACCACTGCGACGCGCCCGCGCGCGGCGAGACGTCGTACTTCTGCCGCCACCACGAGTGCGAGCGCGACGGGTGCCGGCGCAAGGTGCACGGCTACGACGGGCCGGGCTTCACGATGCCGGGGCCCTCGTTCGTGTGCGCCCGGCACCGGCGCTGCGCCATTGAGGGCTGCGGCAGGGACGTCGACGGCTATGTGATTGATGCGCTGTGCTCGAGGCATAGGTATTTTGGTGGGCCCTTTCGTGGTTCTGAGGGGCTTTTGTAGGTGTTTACAGTGCGTTTCTCTTCTTTTCTTTGCTTCCCCCTCTGTTCTTTCCTTTCAGTTCCCTTTTCTCTCTGCGCTTGATGGGTCTGTCGTTGAAGGAGACTACGTGCTAACGTGCGGGGGTTTTGCAAAAGCTGGCTTGCAAGCGAGTGAGCGTTCGTTGTATCGCAAGTAATACAGGCCCCAGGAGCGGCTAGGCGGAGCGTGGTGTTTCTGATTGCGAGGGTATCTGATGACATTGGTAAAAACATAACTTTTGAATTTGTGGCAATCGCCGGTCGGTAGACAGTCGGAGCATCTCTCTCTCAAAACTGGGTGGCATGGTTCACGCCCACGGAGCATACGTATACGGAGGAACAAACAGTCTGCCGGTGGGAGGGAATGGTGGAATCTACGACAAATTGATCTTGTGCTGCAGCGCTGAAGGGGCTCTATCTGCAGTGCTTTGACGCTTTGCTTCTTGGGTGCGTATGCCGGACACGAGTAGTATCGAAATTGGCGTCCGTGGTGGAAGCTGTGGTAGAGTTTCGGGGTGCAGAGAGATATGGTTCGGCTGCGTGTTTGGATTTAGGGCTGAGCGTAAAGTCCCAAGCGTCCAGTCTCACACGTGGTCCTAGCCGCCATTTACGTCTGGCCCAAGGTCTAGTCCATCTCGATGAAGGTCCCGTGCCCTATAAACTGCCGAGGGGCGAGGGGCCGCCTCGTTTGGGTTCATGAGCGTGCCGGTGCTAAACGAACTTGGTTCGGACGTGCATGGTCCAAACACGTCGATTTCCCCATGGATCCCAAACAATAGCTGCACTAGCAGCAACCAGGCATGTCGATGACACTGTCGCTTGGGCTCTCTGACCCCATTACTCCTCTTACACCTTGCGGTGCCGGGGTCGTTGAGTAGTAACCAGGAGGGTAAATAAGGGGCCGTGTCCCTCAGAGACCGAGTGCTTGGCCGCTTGAGCTTTGATCTTTGCGGTTGCTCCTTGTGTCGACTGAGTCCAAGCACAAACTGTTTGGTAGGCAGCGCAAATCACCACGTATTCCCGCCGCCTGCAACATGCGTTTGTGCGCTCTTCTCTCCGTGGCGCCTTTGGCGGCTGCGGCGATGGGTCCTCACCTTGCCCAGCGGGCGGAACCAGCCCCCCTCCTGATGCCGGGAGACACTTCCGCAATTACTGCCGGCAAGTACATCGTCAAGTTCCGAGACGACATTCCGGATGCACAATTCAAGAGCCTCATGGAAAGCGTCAAGGAAGAAGCGGACCAAGTTTACACAAACGTACTGTTCGGTTTCAGTGCGGCCCTGGACGCGGCAAGCCTGGAGCGCTGGCGAAATCATCCAGACGTAGGTTACCCCCATCCTCGGATACTGAGATGCAAGTCCATTGGTCCGTCTCCTGCTGACCGGGACGCAGGTTGACTACGTCGAGCCCGATTCCAAGATCACGGCAAGCGGCACCATCCGCCAAGACAACGCAACCTGGGGCCTGGGCCGCATCTCGGCCCGCGACAACGGAGAATCCGAGTACGTATTCGACGAGACCGCGGGCGAAGGCACTTGCACCTATGTTCTCGATAGCGGTATCGATGACACCCACCCCGTAAGTTCTTGGCATGATACCCTGGGGAGTTGTGCACTTGTTCGGCAAAACAGCTTACCTGCGGACAGGAATTCGAGGGCAGAGCCGAGCAGATATACTCCTTCATCACGGGCGAGCAGACGGACGGCTGGGGCCACGGCACTCTCGTAGCGGGCATCATCGGCAGCAAGACGTATGGCGTGGCCAAGAAGACGCGTCTGTACGGCATCAAGGTGATGGCGGACCGGGGCGGGACCGACGTGTCGATGCTCATCGCGGGCGCAGACCTGGTGCTCCGACACATGAGGACGCGGAGTTGCCCCAAGGGCGTCTTCGTCAACATCAGCATCAGCGGTGGCATGTCTCTGGCGACCAACCAAGCGGTCGAAAGGCTCGTCAAGAACGACGTCTTTGTCGGGGTAGCGGCCGGCAACGACGGCAAGGAGTTGGCGGATCGATCTCCGGCGACGGCGCGGTACGTCTGCGTCGTTGCGGGCACCAACAAAAACGATACTTGGTACAAGGCTTCCAACTATGGCCGCCGCGTCGATATTTTGGCTCCAGCAAGCGAGGTAGAGTCGACGACAATTAACGGCGAAACTGTAAGTTACTCCCTGCCTCTCTCTCTCTCTCTCTCTTTCTCTCGATGCGAGGAACGTCAAGAAGGGCGGGCTGCTGACCCGTCGGAATCAACGCAGGCTATTGTGAATGGCACGTCGGTGGCAGCGCCGCACGTTGTCGGTCTGGCGGCGTATGTGCGAGCGCTCAAGGACATTGGCGCCGCAAACCTCTGCGCTCATCTTCGCCTGACGGCGCACATTGGCAAGATCAAAGGCGTTCCTAACGGGACGAGCAATCACCTTGCGTTTAACCAGGTCCGCCGCGACGAGACTTGACGTCGTCGGGAGGGCCATGTTGGTGAACCTTTGTTGCTTGAGGGCTGTGTTGGCAATGGTTGGTGATTGCGCTACCGATTGGCTCGCCGTGTAAGTTGGTCTCCTTGGGGGGACAGTTGCGTTGCATGTGCGTGCCTCGTTGCTGTTGGTAACCTTTGCAAAGGTGGTTTGCGCTCAGCAGGGTGTGTCGGTGTTGCTATGTAAGGTGGAAAGATTGGGTATTGCTTGAATAGACAAATGAATGTAGCTGTCCCACTGCGCACACAACACATGATGATGCTCTCATCCAAGCACGGGGAACGCGCCGTTGGCCGTTGTTGTTTTTCCGCCCTTCACCAAAGCGACGACCATGGACAATTGGAATTCTACGGCGTCACTATCATCTGATCGCTCTCCCATGGTATCACATGATGTTGCCGCTTCCACGCAGACAAGAGTGCAGGTAAAGAGGCATCTGCGTCCATCAAATCTCATCCTTTGATGGCTGACATGCAGCCATGGATGCTACAGCTCCGACTCGGATATGTCACGATATCCGCCATCGGAAGCCCGAACGACAGCCATCACCCCAACGTTCTGCGGCTCTCCATCATCCGCAGCTCCCTCGGCAGCTTCGTATGTTCGATTCTGAGCTATCTTCCCCGATTTTTCACCACCTTTGCTCAATGCGTTGCCCCCAATTACTTCCTCTCATCCAGGATCATTGTCAAGAAGCTCAAGCCCGGCTGAGACAGCGACTTCGACAACGAAAAGCGCATGTACGAGAAGCTGCGGCCCTTGCAGGGGACGCTGATACCCCGGTGCCTTGGCGAGGGCACGTGCGAGGGCACCCGCGCCTTGGTCCTATCCGAAGTCGAAGGCGTGCAGGCGTGCAGGCAGAAGAAGCCCTGGCTAGAGCCCGCCGAGCTCCAGCGGCGACTCGAATCAGCCTTTAGGCAGCTGGAGGAGCTTGGGCTCGGGTACGGCGACCTGAAGCTGGACAACTTTCTCATTGCTGGCTCATTGCTGGCGACGGCATGGTCGTCGTGGACCTGGAGTCGGTGTACGAGGACACACCGGACGAGCTCGACTATGCCACGAGGACGCACATTGCGCACCTGAAGGGCCGCTATGAGAGGCATCTCGACGGCATGTGTGACGGATACTGATTAGAAGGATCGCCGCCCCGACGGCATCGAGATTCGAGATTCGATGATGGGAGGTCAGCCCACGTCGATAGCCGGCATGGCTAGATGGATGATAGAAACCCTTTCCGCCAGGAACCGAATAGCGATATACTGTTTTGTTTGTGGTTTCATTTGTGGATTAGCCAGACTCGGCACGGCTAGATGGAGGATGGACACCCCTTCTGTCAGTAAACCGACCAGCGCTACTATGTATTATGCTGTGTGTGATTGTTTGTAAAGTCGCCAGGGCACAGCCTCTCGGCCCAACATCCAATCTGCATCACCCCCGGAAGTCGTCGTTTTGTCGTCCACGCGCCACAGCCGCACGTCCCACGGACCTCCAGGAAAGCCAAATGCGCTCATTACCGGAGTAGGCACAGATATGACGTCGGGATGCGACGCGACAGGAGACACACACACATATCCACACACGTAACAGCTCACCGACACACACGCACATGCACTCACTCACTCACCCACCCCCCCTTCCGAGAAACAAGACGGACGGAACGCGGATGAGGCGCGCGCGCGGGGTTCGTCGAAACAAAAGTTGGTCACACGGTTGGCTCGGGGCCCGTCGTCACTGCTGCTGCGCATTTTTAATTATTTCCCTCCGCCCCCCCGCGGCCAGGCGGTCGCCCAATGGGCTGACCGCTGAGACACGCAGCTGCTCGAAGCTACAACACACCCGCGAAACTCTCTTTTTGGGGGCTGCTTGCTGCTGTGTCTCTCCCTCTCTCCTTCCGTTCCTTCCCCCCCCTCTCTCCCGTTGCTGCCATCTTCCCTCTCTCTCTCTCCCCCTCTCGTCAATGTCGGGCAGACAGACCCCGACAGGCAATTGTTTGTTGCAGCTCGGGGTGCGGTATTGAAGAATCGTCGTCGGTCATCGGTGTCGACATTGCCCACCATGTTCAACCCGGGCGTCTTCTACATGCTTGTAAGTCAGCCGCGGAGCAGAGGCACACCGCAAACGCGCGTTGGGAAGCTCAGAACTGATGATGCGAACCGCGATAACATCTAGGCCAGCGTCGTGCTCTTTGCCGTCGCAGTGTACGTCGCTTCTCCTTCTTTTTCTCCCAGGTTCTCATCGATCGATTGATCCATCCATCCATCCATCGCCACGCAAAGCCCAAAGCCACCATCGCTAACACACAAACCTCGACTGCCAACAAACAGCGTCGTCCACTTCCACACGGCGCACCTCTCCCTTCCCCTCTCGCCCTTCATCACCGTCCTCGCCGTCGTCCTCCCCATCGCCGCCTTCATCAACGCCTACATCTACCCCAACCTGCTGCGCAACTCGCACGCCTGCGCCCTCGCGCCCCTCGACCACTCGGCCCTCGAGCGCCTCGCCCCCGTCCTCCTCCAGGGCCTCCAGGCCGTCGTCTCCAGCGTCCTCGCCACCCTGCTCTTCGAGGGCCTCGTCCCCTCCCCGGCTCTCGACTATCTCCTCGACTATGAGTGGGGCCGCCTCTACGACGCCCGCGACGGCGAGAGCATCCGCCTCGTGCAGGACACGTATCGCTGCTGCGGGCTCAGGGCCGTGGACGACCGCGCGTATCCCTTCGAGGGGGCGCAGACATGTGCCGAGATGTATGGACGGGCGACGTCGTGCGAGGTGCCGTGGAAGAGCGCCATGCAGGTTACTTCGGGCGTGGACTTTGGCGTCGTCGTCGTCGTTGGGCTGATGCAGGTTCGCATCCCCTCTACTGTACCAGGAACTGCTAGCTAGGCGTTGATACTGACTGGGGCACTCACAGATCATCGGCCTTCTCATGATGCGCGAGCGCACCAAGTGGTGGACGGCGCTGCGCACCCGAGACTGGAAGCAGCCGTACTGTGACGACACCGCCAGCCAGTCTCTGCTGAATCCGGACGAGGAGCAGGAGGCGAATGGCACTGTCGAGGCCCCGTCACAGGCACAGGGGTACGGCGCACTCCAGGAGAGACAGCCAACGCCCACGGGCAGACCCGTCGAGGAAGGAAACCCGCCTAGCGGTCGGTAGGCGGTGGCTGGATCATCAACTTGCACGGATATTCTCACGCATGGGCACGTATGGAAACTGTTCACCGCATATGGTAGCGATGCGTTTGGAGTTGCTGTCATTTCACATTGCTTTCTTCTCATCTTCGCCGGACCTCTAGTGCCTCCTTTCCGAGCTTAGCCAATGCATTCTCGTAGTCCTTGACCCGCTCCTCGCTCATCTCGTCGATCTTGGTCCGCTCGACCTTTTGTGCTCGCCTCACGCCCTGTCCCTTGGCAATTTTGCCCCAGAACCAGCCGCTCTCCTCGTCGCCGACCAGCGTCCACGCGCAGCCGGCCCGACCGGCACGCGCGGTTCGACCCACACGGTGGACGTAGCCGGCCGCACTGCCAGGCAAGTCGTAGTTGATGACGTGGCCCAGTTTGGGTATATCGATACCACGCGCCACCAGGTCGGACGCGATAATAAGGCGGACAGGAGACGAAGGAGTCGTAAAGGCGCGCAAGGTCTTGCGGCGGATGTGCGTAGGCGTCGTCGACGTGAGGGTGCTGATGTGCGCCGACAGCGTGTCGTCCAGGATGGCGAGCAGTCGGGACAGACGGAGGGCCGACTCGTTGGACTTGGTGAAGATGAGGCAGTGGGGGAGCTTTGACTTCTTCAACGGCTTGGCCGGCTCGTCGTCGCTCGAGTCAGAGTCAGAAGTGCTGTCCGAATCTGAGCTTGAAGAGTCTGAGCTGCTGTCCGAGTCTGAGGACGAGGACGAGGACGAATCTGACGATGACTCCGACTCGGCAGCGTCATCCACAGCGTCTTTGTTTTCAGTATCCGCGAGTGCTGCCTGCATGTACGGCCCAGACAAGAGGTCGAGAAGGTACAACGGCTTGAGATTCGTCTCGTGCACGCGGATGGCAAACTCCTTGAGCAGGGCAGGTAGCGTGTGCTCTGCAATCGGAGCGCTGCTGTCGCCTTCCAGAACAATGAGTTGTGGCCGCCTCAGAGCGAGCTGGTTGAGCAGGCTCAGGTCCCGCGTCAGCGTCGCGCTGAGAATCACCTTGCGCACGCCAGAGTAGGCCATGTCCGGGAAGTCTCTCGCGCTGAATTTGTCGACCTTGAACTTCTCCATAACCAGATCAAGCCAGCCCTGGAAACTCTGTGCCAGGAGCTTATCGGCCTCGTCCACCACAAGCCACCGCACGTAGTCGAGGCTGAAGCCTGGCGTCTGCTCGATATGTTCAACGAGGCGGCCCGGAGTGCAGATCAAGACGTCAACGGTGGACGAATAATCAACGACTTGGCCGTCCCAGGGACCTAATCGTGGATCCCTCTCCTCGCCGAGAAGCTCGTCATCGTCGTCGAAGGCTGTATTTTGCCGTCGCCGCTCTTGCGACTGCTTGAGGATCTCCTGGTAAGCTTCCGGATCGTAACGAGACTCGCTGCTCATCAGCGTCTCCTGCTCGCTTTTGATCGACTGACTACCAACAGCCACGCCGATTCGAACTCTCTTGCGCTCGTCGCCATCAAAAGCTCTCGCGCAGACCTCAAAGACTTCTTGCGCCTGCTTGACAAGCTCTCGCGTGGGAAGCACAACAAGAGCTCTCAGCCTTGTGACGACCCCTTGACTTATGTCCCGCACAATGGGCAGGGCATATGCGAGCGTCTTTCCGGAACCAGTCGCGGCAGAGACCAAGACATCTCCTGGGCGCTGTTTGCTCGTTGGCAGCAATAGCGGGATTGCGGCTGTTTGGACGGCGAATGCTTCTGGGAAACCTTTTTGCTCCAAAACACGTACGGCCTTTGGCAGAATTCCGAGGTCCTTGAAAGGGGCCCGCGTGTCTTGAGAGACACGGATTGGGTTCGCTAACCAGGGCGGCAGAGTGTCGTAGGTAGGCTTGACTTCTTCCTCCTCGACAACCTTGGGCTGTGGGAGGGGCTCTAGGCCGTGGAGCTCCTCTGGCTCCTGGTCGGAATCGTCTGCGTCTTTTGCGGCTTCTTGTGCCAGCTTGAGCGACTTGGCCTTGCGCTCGAGGACTGCCTTGTGCCGTGCATCTTCTTGTTCCTGTTGAAGCTGTTCCTCAGCAGAGTCCATGTCGACCACCTTCTTCTTCTTCTCTTTTCTTCTCTTCTTTTCTTTAATAGGTTCAGGCTGCGATATCAGCATTTCCGTGTCGTCGGCATCGTGGTCCGCGTCAGCCATCGCAACATCGCCTTCCCCATCGGGCGCGCTCGCATCTTCAAGTGTCGTTTCCGGCTCCGGTGCGCCCTCAGCTTCAGGCTGGGATTGGGGCTCGGGCTCAGGCTCTCGACGTTTCGCCTTGTCCTTTTTCTTCTTCTGCTTCTCTTTCTTTATATCCTTCTTGGTGGCTTCCGGGGTGACCGCCCGTTCTTCCTCGTCGTCGGTCGCCTTCGCGGGGGCGGGCTCGGGGCGAGGTGCCCCATCACCGGAGTCGTCCGAGTCGGTCTCTGCTGCCCTCGTTCGTTGCTTGCGCTTCCGCCTATTCTTCTTCTTCTTGGGCGCGACATCGCCGGCCGGCTCGGCCGACATGGTGGCCACCCTTGCGGGGGTCTTTTCTTCCTCCGTCTTCTTCGTCTTCTTGGCTCCTTGCGGACGAGTCTCCTCCGCGTCCCGCTTGCGCTTGGGCTTCGGCGGACTAGGTTCGTCGTCAAAATACATCACGCTGGAAGACGGTTCCGTCTCAGGTCGCTCTGGCTTCGTCGGTACTGCTTTGGCCGGAGGGACGTAGCGGGCGTAGCTGGGGCCGTCGCTCGGCGCCGCGGCAGGAGAGTCGAGGACGGGGTTTGATCGAGCCGCTGCCGGCGAGGATGAGGGCGCCGAGGAAGGTTTTGAGCCTTTTGACGGCGGCACGTACCTCGCATACATGACGGCGTGACCAATTGGTCTGCGTGACGAGGACGTGGCTAACAAAGTGAAAGTGAGGACGGGCGCATGCGGCGGGCAGACGAAGCTGGTCCAAAAATTTAGGCGGTGGAGGGCCTTATCGTGGTTCTGCCGGACCCCACCGCCGGTCTTATCGCAGACCTACCACAGTTACCCCCTGGTTCAACCCGGTGGCAGGGACCTTTAGTTCGAATAGCAATGCTATTTGCACAGAGAAGAAGGTCTACTTGCAGCAAAGAAAGCAACGACAGGAACGAGAGCAACGAAGGCAACGAAAGCAACAAAAGCAACGAAAGCAACGAAGGCAACGAAGGCAACGAAAGCAACGAAAGCAGCAGCAGCAACTAAAGCAACGAAAGCAACCGGTTTAAAGCGAATTAAGCGTCACATGGAACATGACCGATCCTCCATGCAATTGTGTAATCTGGCCACTGATGCTGAGCGATTCTACCGGCGCGGCGGGCTGCGATGCGATGTAATTGAATGCATTGTGAAGTTGTGAGTCTTAGCTCTATGTGACTTCAATGGAAATGTCGGCGTGCGGTACAGCGCGCCTCTGCAGTCTCATGCCTGTCTCATGCCTGTAAGAGTACAGAGTACACCAAACATTTCTGGTGCGGCAGAGGTAGCCGTGCGAGCCCCTCAGAACAATTCAGAGCGCCTGTGCGAATAGACTTTTTGGTTGGTACGAATAGCGTTCAGTGTGTGGTGCCTGGATCGGCGTGCGGCGTGACCTGCTGTAATCGTTCAGTAGCCGCCTAAGCTACTTCGTACCTCGAATTCCAGACGCTCATTACACGTTCGCGTTCTTCAATCTCATGTCCACGCTCCGGCAGCCTACGCCGCGCTTTCGCCTGCGCCCACGCCAATGATCTGAAATCAAAGCTATGCGCCGCGCCGAGCTGAAGCGAGTCTCGTTAGAGCCTTTGCGTTGAGCAGCCAGGCCATGTCGGCGACGTCGCTCACCTCCTCCTCCTCCCCGCGGCGTCACCTCTCATAGCGGCCACGCAGTCCGTCGTCATCGCCACCACCCTCACTCACTCTCAAAGACTGGCGCGGTCCGCGGTCCTCCGCGTCCGCCAGCCACGCCCCGCCGCCGCCATGGCGCGCCGCACGTACAACATCGCCATGGTCAGCGACTTCTTCTTCCCGCAGCCGGGGGGCGTCGAGTCGCACATCTACCAGCTCTCGAGCAAGCTCATCGACCGCGGGCACAAGGTCATCATCATCACGCACGCGCACGGCGACCGCAAGGGCGTGCGCTACCTCACCAACGGCCTCAAGGTCTACCACGTGCCCTTCCTCGTCATCTACCGCCACACCACCTTCCCCACCGTCTTCTCCTTCTTCCCCATGCTGAGGTACATCTGCATCCGCGAGCGCATCGAGATTGTCCACGGCCATGGGAGCCTCAGTAGTCTGTGCCACGAGGGCATCCTGCACGCCCGCACCATGGGCCTGCGTACCGTCTTTACGGATCATTCGCTCTTTGGGTTTGCAGACGCGGCGAGCATCTTGACCAACAAGCTGCTCAAGTTTACGCTCAGCGACGTGGACCACAGCATATGCGTGAGCCACACATGGTACGGCAACCCCTTAGCTTTTCTCTCATATTCGTATCTTCTCCGACTGACGCCCCTCGCAGTAAAGAGAATACTGTACTTAGAGCCTCGCTCGACCCCCTCATGGTCTCCGTCATCCCCAACGCCATCGTCGCGGAGAGCTTCCGTCCGCGCGACTACCCATCCTCTCCCATCTCCAGCACCGGCGCCGTCACCTTCGCCCCCGAGACGTCGCCTAACCGCCTCGGCCCCAACGACATGATCACCATCGTCGTCATTTCGCGCCTCTTCTACAACAAGGGCACCGACCTGCTCACCGCCGCCATCCCGCGCATCCTCGAGGACCACCCCAACACGCGCTTCATCATCGCCGGGTCGGGCCCCAAGGCCATCGACCTCGAGCAGATGATCGAGACCAACGTCCTCCAGGACCGCGTCGAGATGCTCGGCCCCATTCGCCACGAGGACGTGCGCGACGTCATGATCCGCGGCCACATCTACCTCCACCCCTCCCTCACCGAGGCCTTCGGCACCGTCATAGTAGAGGCGGCCAGCTGCGGCCTCTACGTCGTCTGCACCCAGGTCGGCGGCATCCCCGAGGTCCTGCCCTCCCACATGACCACCTTCGCCAAGCCCGAGGAGGACGACCTCGTCCTCGCCACCGGCAAGGCCATCACCGCCGTCCGCGCCGGCAAGGTCCGCACCGACAAGTTCCACGACCAGGTCCGCAAGATGTACTCGTGGGCCAACGTCGCCCTCCGCACCGAGCGCGTCTACGACGGCATCTCGGGCGCCATCCCCGAGGAGGACTTTTACGGCTTCGACACGAGCGGCTACAACGGCAGCCGCGTCCGCGACTTTGCCCTCATAGACCGCCTCAAGCGCTACTACGGCTGCGGCATATGGGCCGGCAAGCTGTTTTGCCTGTGCGTCGTCATCGACTACCTCTTCTTCCTCTTCCTCGAGTGGTGGTTCCCCCGCGAGAACATCGACATATGCCCGGACTGGCCGCGCAAAACGCTCGACGCCAACGGCAAGAAGGCCACCGCCGCGAGCAACAGGTCCAGCGGCTCGCACGGCGCGGCCAAGCTGGACTGAGCCAGGCGACACGACAATAGTTACGGTTGGAACGAAAAGATGATATTAATAGCGTCGGGAGCAGACCAATGCGACAACCCAGTGCGATTACCTACGCAAGGCAGACGAGTCCTCGGCTCAAGGCACTCGGCACCAAAACAGACAGACTTAGAACATTAATATACCCAGCACAGCATCAAGTAATGTTGGTAATTGTAGTAATTTCACGCTATCCACACATTGATACAATGACACGTAGAGACGCTCTCGCTGGAGCATTCATACTGTCCTGGGCCATCTGCCATCGTCACAGTCCAAGCCATCAACCCCTCGTTCCTATCCGGCGCCTCTTCCCGATGCTGGCTGCCGCGCCGCCGTCTCCCGCCAGCTCGTCCTCGTCCTCGGCCGTGTCGTCCGCCGGAGTCGCCACGCTCGCCTGGCGCGTGGCCGACAGCGGCGGGGGCACGCCGCGCTCCTTCTCGGCGCTGCGCAGGTCGCCCAGCAGCTTCTCCACCTCGACGAACATGCTGCGCGTGTTTTTGACCACGCCGTTCTCGTCGACGTGATAGCCGACAACCTCTTCTTCCTCGTCCTGGGAGCGCTTCATAAACGACGCCCCAGGGCCGCGGTCCGGGTCAGGGTTGTACATGATGGCATTGCAGAACATGTGGACGAGCTCCCGCTCGAGCTGGGCGCTGTTGATGATGCCTTTCGGCGGGACGAGGTCCTCGGAGAAAGGCAGCCACACGCTGGCAGCGCCGGGATCGCCCCCAGGGAGGCTGGAGGCCGCTTGGATCGCAGCCTTGTTTCCCTGCTTGATCGCGGACCGTATGGAGGTGATGTCCTGGGGCTGCAGTACGATTTGGCGATAGTTGGGCGCGTCCTTCTCGCGGACCCCCGTCGCAAACATGTTCGCGTCGCGGTGGCTCGAGATCTGGTCCAGGGCTGACGACGAAACCTTCGTAAAGCCTCGCGTCCATAACACCTGGCTGAGTGGCGGTGTCGATTCATGCGGCGATTCTTGCCGCTTCCGCTTCGCAAGACGAGAAGACACGCTGCCCGGCGTGGCCATGTGCGTCCTGCCGTGCACGCTCTCGTCTGCTGTGGTGTCACCCGCATCGTCGTGCGCCCGTGGCGTCATAGCCTCCTTCTTAATCTTGGTCGTGGAAAGCATAGAATGGTGGTCCAACGCAAGCTCGTCTGCCTGCGACGCCACGGACTGACTCCTTCTCGAGACCGAAGGCGTGGCGCTCGCCCGGGCATTACGCGGCGGGCGGCCACGGGGCCTTGATGTGGGCGCCTCACCCTGAGGCGTAGGCTTGGGCATCACCTTCCTCATACCGGTCTTTGGCGTATCAGATACAATGGATGCATCTCGCGGAGGGGGGCTGACCGGCTCATATGCCGGGCTTTCTGGCTCGGCGACGATAGGACCTGGCGTCGAAGGCGTCGACTGCGATGCCCATTTGGTGCCGAAGCCGCGCGTCAAAGAGACAGGTGTCGTCGCGCCCGGCGTGGTAGGTGCGGCTACAGGGCTAAGCCGCCTGACAGCTGGGGTTCCAGCAGCTTGCCGGATAATGTGCTCTGGGATGGCGGGTCGTGGGGGTTGCGTGGTATAGGGAGACGTGTAGGGCTTGTCTTTCGCGGAAGCCAGAGGTGCGGGTGATGCTGAGGGAGAAGGGCGCTGTCCCTGCTGGGCAGGGGTTGCCTGGGACTGAGGCCATCTCTGCGGAGGGACGTGAGGACCAGCAGCGCCCTTCGGTGGCGTGGGAGACGCAGCCGCGATGGGTCGAGGCTGTGGATGAGCTGGCTGAGCTTGTTGTGGTAGCTGAGGCTGCTGCGGCTGGATGGGTCGTCCAGGCGGCAGCACGGGTGTCGTCGACGGCGGGCGAACCTGCGGCGAAGCAACTCCTGCTGGTCGAGGAGGCGCCGGTTGCAGCGGCGTTGCGACCTGGCCTGTTCCTTGCGGAGATGCCAGAACCGGCTTGCCGGTAGGACGTGCTTGTTGAGCAGTCGCTGGGGTTTGGCCCGGAGTGTGGCCGGGGTATTGCTGTTGTTGAAGCCGTTGTTGAGCCAGCTGGGGTTGCTGAGGCTGGGCCGGCTGGATCGGCTGCTGTGGTTGAGGCTGCAAGGGTTTTTGCTGGCTCGCTGCACTCGGCGGCACGTTCGGCGGTTGCTGTTGCTGCCCAGCGGGAGTTGCCTGTCCGGCCTGAGGCGGCTGATATGGCTTCTCCCACTTCAGGCCGCTGGCAGGTGTAGGTACCGGCTGTGGTGTGCCTGGAGCAGCGTCTTTGACAGCCTTCGTCGCGTCTGGACGCGGAGGAATGGCCTGCTTGCCGGGCTGCGCTGGGGATTGCAGGACTCGAGGGCCAGTCTGTGGCACGCCGGCCGGAGGCTGTAGCACGGATCCCGGTCCAGTTCCCGGCTTGGGCGAAGGCGTCGGCCGCGCAGGCGGCACTCCAACAGGCGGGTGACTTGGCGGCACGACCGGTGTCTGTACTGGAGTGGCGGTGGTGGGCAGCTTTGGCGGGTAGACGGGCGTGTTTGGTGTCGGACCGCGCTTGACGCCGGCCGCCGCGTTCGGTGCGATCGGGACGTGAGACGGGCTCGCGGCGTGCCCACCGACGGCCGTCTTCGAATCGCGCCCGACTGGTGCAGGTGAGCTGCCCTGGGCGGCCTTGGACGCGAGCCTCTCCTTCTCAACCTTTTCGAGCAACTGAATCTCCTTCTGCACGGTGCCAAACCGCCGCTCGTCCTCGCGCACGTCTTTGACGACGCCGTCGCGATACCGCGCGTAGAGGCGGTCCACGAGCACCGGGATCTTCTCGATATGGTTGTGCGCGTCCTGGAGCGATGGCAGCGGCGGGCTGCCAATCTTCCTCTTGCGCGAGTTGGGCGACTTGGACGCATCGGGCGCGCCGTCCGCCGTCCTGTCGGCCTCGCTCTTCACCTCCTCGCGCAGCAGCAGCAGGAAGAGCTGCTGTAGCGCCTCGGGCGCCAGGCGCGCCGGGTCGTACGTGTCGCCATCCCGGATAAGCGAATTGCCCCTGAGCCCCTCGGAGATGCGCACGAAAGCCGCCGCGTCCAGGCCCTGCGTCAGCAGCGCCTGGAAGAGGAACAGCGACTCGAGGGGCGTGTAGGCCGCCGGGTTATACATGCCCCCGGGCCCGCCTCGCCCGCGGCCGAGGGGACCTTCGCGCGTCGCGGCGAGATGAATCGGCGCCAGCGTTGGTAGCGAGGCTAGGCGATGTGAGCGCGCGCGCGCCGCGTCGGTGTCGTCGCCAGGCTCGCGTTTGGGGCTTCCCTTCGTCAGGTCGCTCGCGATCGCCTACGTCATTCCGGGGCCGCCAAACGCGTGTACGCGACCTCGCTCGGAGCCTCTGAGTCTCAGGACGTCGTTTCCGGCGATTTCATCGGGTATTCGTGGTTATTGAGGCTTGTCGTCGATGCGACTCTCCGAGCCGTTGTCGTGATGTTTTTTTCCCTAGGTCGCAACCGTTTGCCTGGTTATCACGTGATCGGCCGCTAGTTGGAGGCCGCGTCGGGATGGGTCGAAGGTTTTTTGGGAGGTGAAAAGGGAGAATTTCGGCCGGCCGACACCCAGCGCATTGAACTGCTCGAACGTTGGCGCATCACGTGACTCCCCTGAGCAACAACACCGGTGTAAGCCGCCGACATGCCTTTTTGGGATATCTTCAAAGCTAGCTTGTAAGGCGACAGCGCAGCAGTCACGTCACTAAGCGAGGATTCCCATGCACAAATCGACTTGCATCAATGACCGCAGGCTTTCGAAAAGCTGTGTTCGAGGCCTGGACTCTAAGCCAGACGTATAAGTCAATATCCGTAACTCCTGACCCATGGTATCATATCACGAGAATAGCTCGGTGAGCGCACACCTCCCCTCCACGGCAAGCATCTGCTCGCTTCCTGTTCCAGATGGCTGATTGATCCTCAACGCCGTAAACCTGCTCTAATCGTTCCTCGGGGGGTGTCTGTAGCAATGCCAAAAGGCTGAAGAATAACACATGGAATCGAAAAGGATGTCACGGCGAGGACGCGCTCGACGTGTCCGGGGAGCTTCGGCGCCGTTCCTCGCCGGAGTTCGAGTCTCCGTCGTCCCGTTCCTTCGCTTGGCTCGTGAGACGCAGTTTCTCGTCGAGCAGCGTGACCAGCCGCTCGGAGTACTGGTCCAGCAGCCCGCTCAACACCGTCTCGTTCATCGCCTTGCTCCGTATCGCCCGGTCGCCGAGCGCGGCAGCAGTTAGCCGGAGCTCGTGATCCAGCTCCGTCAGCGCGTCTGCGGTAATGGGCTCCGCAGACGACAGTTTCTTTCTGTAGGCCCGCAGCGTGCGGCAGGCCTGCTCCGTGGCCATGTTTAGGGAACCAAACCCACGGAGATTGGGTGAGGACTTTTTCCGAGCCGTATTCAAGCCCAGGGATGGCAACGATGGCGCCCTAGCGACTCGCCCCTTAGGGCTGGGTGGCGGGCTTTCCGCCTGATTGCTGTGAGATGGCCGCCGGCGCGATGGCGTGTCCTCCATTATGGTGCTGTTGCCAGGACTCATCTGATATGGCGCCGTAGGCGTTCGCGCATTCGTAGCGCTCGGCAGCAGACTCACTCGCGAGGACCTGCGCTGAAGTGTCCGTGGCGGCGAGCGCCTACCGCCGGATGGCGACGAGCGCTGAAACTCTGCAAGCTCTGCCTTGGATAAAATCCTTCTGAGCGTCGGCCGACCTGAAGTCGCTTCCTTGACCGGCGATGGATCCCTACTCATCGACCGCGGCATAGGATCGTTCAAATCGATCGCCCATATCATGATCGTGCCGTCCGAGCCGACGCTCACAATCTTCTGTGTACCGTTATCGTCATCTACCAAGGCGACTCCGTTGATGGCCTCGGTGTGGCCCCATTCTCGGTCCAGAAAAGTGCCCGAGTTGGCGTCATAAATCCTCACCGACTTGTCCGTATTCGAAGAGCCGAGCAGGTAGTCCATGTCCTTTGGAGCCCATTGCCCTATGGAGAGCGACTCCAGAGTAGCCGATTCGGCGCCGCTCTCATCGAGGCACTTGAAGTAGCCGAGCTGTCGCCCGGTGGTCAGGTCAAACTGGCATATGGACCTGTCGAGAAGGGACACAAAGATGGTCCTGCTATCTGGGCTCATCGTCATTGACGTCGGCGATGCCTTGAGAGAGATAGCTCTGGTAGGGATGGCTGCCAGAATGTCTGGCTCTCCCTCCTTCGAGACCAGTTCGTGAATCTGCAACGTCCTGTCCAAGGAGCATGTGATGACCTTGTCCTCGGAGGGAACGAGCACTTGCGCAACTTTGGCGTGGAATTCGAGAGTCTGGAAGTGCTCAATGCTGCCCGTCGAGTGCCGATGGAACAACTGCACGGTGCGATCTCGACCACAGGACGCCATAATGAACTTGGACTCGTTCTCGAAGATGCTGATGCAGATGCATTCGGACGCGTGCGCTTTCGTGTCCAACAGGCAGGTCTTGGTGTCCACGTCTGTGACCTTCAGTATGCCAAATCGGTCTGACGTTACCAGGAGTGTCCCATCCTTGTTCGTTTGGGCGCATGATAGCTGGTTCACCAGCTCAACCTCAGAGTCCGGCTCGACAGGATCCAAGAGTACCTCGATTGAGGATTTGATGCCCCCGTCGATGTCCCAGTAGGTAACGTTTCCGGTAGAGGACCATGTTGCAAAAACGGCGTTGGCCTTGTTAGGCCGCCCAAGCGTGTGTATGCCTGCAATCGGCTCTCCGTGGCCTGGTATCGGAATATGCATAAGAGCCTCGGCCTCTTGGCCGGGCTGGTAGTCAGGGTTCCAAACGTCAATCGACTGCCTCGAATCAATGGTTACCAGCTTGTCCGTGAGAAACCCTAGCGCCAAGATGCCAGCAAACGCCTCTGTACTAGTAAGGATGCTGTCCGCATTGCCGTCCATGACACCTGGGACGTCAAGCGTCGCAAAGTGGCCATTCTTGCCCCCCACGTAAGCCACGTTTCCGCGGATCGTGATGCTCGTTATGGCAAACACGAGGTTCAAAACCCTGACGAGCCTCATTTGCCTGTCGTCGTCATCCAGTACGCAGACGTCGCCTGCTTCCGTGCAGATAATGAGCCTCTTCCCATCCACGGCAGCACAGCTAAACGTCGCATCTAGAAGGTCGCCAAGAAGCATGTTGCGTCCCGGCAGTGGTTTTTGCGCCGTGGGCGGGGTGGACATCAACTCGTTTGCGAACCTTGACTTTGAAGGCGAGGTGCTCTGGCCGCCCTCGATTCTCCAGACCTTGACGTGGCGGACGCCGAGCGTAATGAGGGTATTGCCCATCCATACCATGTCCCTGACGTAGGATGTACACCTGTTTTGCTGAAAGAGCCTCGCCGCGCCGGTTCGAGGATCAATCTTCCAGACATAGAGAAAGCCATCGTTGGCCGCCCCGAGGGACGCGAGATACTTGGAATCCGCAGACCATGCCACGGCTTTCACACCAAAGGCATGCTCGCTGATGGAGACGAGTGGAATATCGGATGAAGCGTCCTGGAGGCTAAAAATCAAGACCCGCGGGCCATAACCCGTCTCGCCGACGGCCAAGTACCTGCCGTCCCGACTCAGGGCTAGACAAGTAGCCGCCTTTATCCGCTCTCTGCTGGTCCACGTCTTCGATCCGGGCGAGTCCCCCCAGTCACCCGGGCTGCACTGGGAGTCGCGGAAGCTGGGCGCCACGCGGTTGCGGCTGTCGTTGGCCTTGGGCGTCGTTGCCGTGGGCGTAGAGGGCGCATTCTGGGAAGTGGTGACGGAGTATACGGGCACCGCGGCCGGGCGGGCTCGGTAGAAGCGCTGCGAATACTGCTGGCCGTCGACGTCAACCACCACCACGGCGCCACCAGCGATGTAGGCGAAGGAGGAGTTGACGGTGTCGAAGCCGGTCGGGGAGCGACACGTAGTGCCGACGACTCTCTTGAGGGACAGGCGGGACTCTTGCGTGGTCCGGCCACGCGCAGGAGTCCTGGCCGGTCGAGGAAGAAACGGAGAGTTGGAAGGCGTGAGTTTCAGGCGATTGTTGGATGGCGTAGCGGCCATGATGTCGCCATTGACTCGCTCAGCGGTGCCTCGGAGCCGTTGACGGAGAAGGCGAGGAACGCCGCGGGATCATTTGAGGAACCTGGCGAAGCAGGATTGCGAGAGTGCGGGTGGCGGGCAGCACCACACGAGCAGGCACTCTCCAGACGAGACGCCGCAACGCACGTTAAGAGAAGAAAAAAAGTAAACGGGGGCAAAAAAGAAACAAGCAACGCCAGGGCTGCCGAGGTCGCGATTGTCGGCGGAGAAAATGTGACAAAAAAAAGACGGTCGTCGATGTAAGTCAGTGTTTGGCCGGGGCCGTCGAGCGGTGCGTGTCGCAACAAAGGCGGTAAGAGCGAGGACGACTGCGCGGTACGAAGTCAGTGATGATCATCCAGGGACGGGGCTCGCGCGCGCCGCAAAAAGGAAGAAGTTCCGCAAGCACTCACAGCAGGCCACGGGCGACGAGTTTAAGCTGGGACAGACGTACGGATGCGTAGTACGTAGTAGCAGTAACGGGGAGTAAAAAAAAAGGAAGGACTTGAATGTGGCTTGCAAGAGAAAAAATCTGCAGGCCAATTGGTCTGGAGGCTGGCCACGACGATGCACAAAAGACTGCCGTGGAGTCGAGGCGGCGCGTGTTGCAGGCGAAGAAAACGGGTCACCGGCAGTGGGTGGTGGTGTGGTGTTGAGGCCCGTCGGGTGTCACCTGTGCATGAGGTGAGTGAGGCGCATGCGGCAGCAACAGCGGGCGGCAGCAGCAGAGCAGCAAGCTCTCTCACTCTCGCCTAGCGTTTGTTTTGGTTCGGCAGCCGCTGGACCAGGGAAGTAGGCTGGGCTGGATGATGGGAGCAAGCTTGTTCCCGGATGCAGGGCAGATGCGGATGCAGCCCGGGCAAGATGCACAGCACCTTTCCAGGTTCGCCGTGGGCAGCGGGCGGGCGCCGCCTGGGCAGTAGGTCAGCAAATTCGCACGCGCGAGAGAACGAATGGCAGCTTCCCAGAGCGCCAGTTGCAGTTGGGGCGGTGGAGCCCAAGGCCCGAAGCAGGTTCCAGGTTACAGGGGGGGCCGGGCACCCCTGGTTGCCCGGTGTGCGCTAGTGGAGCTCTGGGAGCTGTTGGTGCTGGCGGGGTGACGGGGGGTGCTGTGGGTGACTGGCCCGTGCCGCCCGCGGACAGACCTCGAGCTCCAGGGCAAGTCCCAGCGCGGCCATTGACAACACGACCCTGAGCCCCCAACCTTAGGTTTGATGCCCCCCTCCCGGCCGCTGTTGCCGGGCCATCGTCTTCACTCCAGGGCACTAGCGCTGTTTGGCGCGCGCCCGTGCCGTTCAGAAGAGCAACGACGTCAGGAGAGCTGGGCAATCACACCACCTGGCCGCCAATGCTCCCGGTCACGAGGTTCTGACCTGCAAGGGCAGCGTCTGTCCAGAAGCTCGAGCGAACCTTGATTTTCAATACGAGTGCCGTTCTCGCGCCTTTATTAGCCACGGCGCACGAAGTTATCGCTCCAGCCTGTCGTGGCACTGCTGCTGTGCGACAAACGTATCAGCTCTCCGGCGGGGGAGTCCGGCCCCTGGCCGCGTTTAATCTCCCCAGGGCAGCTTGCGTGCGCTATTCCTCAACAGGGACACAAGGCTCGGGACATGCCATTTCATCCATTTCATTCATATCAAAAGAAGCCCAACAGCAGGCCAACTCCTTTCACCATCGTGCGCGCTCATGCTGCACATACATACCTTACAGCACGAGCGCACGCAGAGAACTGACACCACAGCCCGGCATCTCATCGCACAGCACGCCAAACCCACATGGCCACGCAGCCCCAAGGACCATCGCGCGCTCACGACCACGACGCCCGAGCCCGCCCCCGGTCCAGAACGAATCCTCAGCTCACACGCAGAGCATCCAT